GTTTCCCGGTCAACGAGGTATGTCGATGGGCCTAGGCTGGCCCGGAGTCCCATTTCCCCCGGTCAACGAGGTATGTCGATGGGCCTAGCTGGCCCGGAGTTCCTGTTTCCCCGGTCAACGAGGTGCGTCGATGGGCCAACCTGTCCTGGCATGCTGTTTCCCCGGTCAACGAGGTGCGTCGATGGGCCAACCTGTCCTGGCATGCTGTTTCCCCGGTCAACGAGGTGCGTCGATGGGCCAACCTGTCCTGGCATGCCTGTTTTCCCCGGTCAACGGGTGGTCGATGGGCAACTTCCTGGCTCTTTTCCCCGGTCACGAGGTGTCGATGGGCCTAGCTGGCCGGGTCCCATTTCCCCGGTCAACGAGGTGCGTCGATGGGCCAACCTGTCCTGGCATGCCTGTTTCCCGGTCAACGAGGTGCGTCGATGGGCCAACCTGTCCGGCATGTCCGTTTCCCCCGGTCAACGAGGTGCGTCGATGGGCCAACCTGTCCTGGCATGCGTTTCCCCGGTCAACGAGGTGCGTCGATGGGCCAACCTGTCCTGGCATGCTGTTTCCCCGGTCAACGAGGTATGTCGATGGGCCTAGCTGGCCCGGAGTCCCATTTCCCCGGTCAACGAGGTGCGTCGATGGGCCAACCTGTCCCGGCATGCCTTTCCCCGGTCAACGAGGTGCGTCGATGGGCCAGCTGGCCCGGATCCTTTTCCCCGGTCAACGAGGTGCGTCGATGGGCCAACCTGTCCTGGCATGCTGTTTCCCCCGGTCAACGAGGTGCGTCGATGGGCCAACCTGTCCTGGCAGCTGTTTCCCCGGTCAACGAGGTGCGTCGATGGGCCAACCTGTCCTGGCATGCTGTTTCCCCGGTCAACGAGGTATGTCGATGGGCCAGCTGCCCGGATCCCATTTCCCCGGTCAACGAGGTGCGTCGATGGGCCAACCTGTCCTGGCATGCTGTTTCCCCGGTCAACGAGGGTGATGGCCCCCCCGAGGTGCGTCGATGGGCCAACCTGTCCTGGCATGCTGTTTCCCCGGTCAACGAGGTATGTCGATGGCCAACCTGTCCTGGCATGCTGTTTCCCCGGTCAACGAGGTGCGTCGATGGGCCAACCTGTCCTGGCATGCTGTTTCCCCGGTCAACGAGGTATGTCGATGGGCCAACCTGTCCTGGCATGCTGTTTCCCCGGTCAACGAGGTAGTCGATGGGCCACTGCCGGATCCTTCCCCGGTCAACGAGGTATGTCGATGGGCCTAGCTGGCCCGGAGTCCCATTTCCCCGGTCAACGAGGTGCGTTCGAGGGCCGTCGATGGGCCAACCTGTCCTGGCATGCTGTTTCCCCGGTCAACGAGGTGCGTCGATGGGCCAACCTGTCCTGGCATGCTGTTTCCCCGGTCAACGAGGTGCGTCGATGGGCCAACCTGTCCTGGCATGCTGTTTCCCCGGTCAACGAGGTATGTCGATGGGCCTAGCTGGCCCGGAGTCCCATTTCCCCGGTCAACGAGGTATGTCGATGGGCCTAGCTGGCCCGGAGTCCCATTTCCCCGGTCAACGAGGTGCGTCGATGGGCCAACCTGTCCTGGCATGCTGTTTCCCCGGTCAACGAGGTGCGTCGATGGGCCAACCTGTCCTGGCATGCTGTTTCCCCGGTCAACGAGGTGCGTCGATGGGCCAACCTGTCCTGGCATGCTGTTTCCCCGGTCAACGAGGTGCGTCGATGGGCCAACCTGTCCTGGCATGCTGTTTCCCCGGTCAACGAGGTATGTCGATGGGCCAACCTGTCCTGGCATGCTGTTTCCCCGGTCAACGAGGTGCGTCGATGGGCCAACCTGTCCTGGCATGCTGTTTCCCCGGTCAACGAGGTGCGTCGATGGGCCAACCTGTCCTGGCATGCTGTTTCCCCGGTCAACGAGGTGCGTCGATGGGCCAACCTGTCCTGGCATGCTGTTTCCCCGGTCAACGAGGTGCGTCGATGGGCCAACCTGTCCTGGCATGCTGTTTCCCCGGTCAACGAGGTGCGTCGATGGGCCAACCTGTCCTGGCATGATATCTATCTGAGACTTATCATTACTATACTTAGGTGGCATATTATATGTTCCTTTAACTAGATAATGATTCAGATTAGAAACATTTTGGGCTCCAATGTCATAATAGCTAGATTGCTGATTCTTTTGATGACTCACTGAATTTTGCATCAAGGAGCAATTGACACCCTTATCAACAAGCACTTGATTAATTTCGCAAGTAGAACCATTGTGAATAAATGCACCATCGTTTAAATCTCCGCTTAGATTTGTAGACGGATCAGCTAATGATTTAACACTCAAATGCTCCTCTTTCCATGCTACATGGCTTGATTGCTGGCTTAGGACTTCCGCCTCCCTCTGCGATTCGTACTGCATACTGGGATCTTTGGCTTGTAAAACACTTCTGTTGCTAAGGTAATTAAGCTCAGGTGTGTAACCACTTAATTGGCGTGTGTTTTCATTTGGCAAAGTATCATACAATGTGCTATCTTTAACAGAGAAAAGAGAGCTGTTATCTCCCCTATACCCTTGCTGGTTAGATACGCTTAGCTCCCGAGCGCCGGAGATACTTATGGTATTGTAAGGTGTATTGTCTTCATGAGATAGCTCCTTCACAGTCTCGTTTTCTCCCGGTTCTGGGTTAACAAGTGTGCTATAGCTCAAACCCCGTGCATGAGACGCCGTGATGGTAACATCATAAGGTGCTGATGGTGAAACCTGTGAACGCACGGGAAGATTTGGATCCCAACAATAGCTATGATCATACGGTGATACTGCTGTTAGAGGGGTGTTTATTTCTGACGTACTAATGTCGGACCTATCTGGCTTCTGCATCAATGTATTCTTATACTCCGTTGTATTATAAGTTGCTCTCTTCGTTTGTCGTGTGTAATCAGTCATATCATGGATTGTCTCAGCCTTGTCGTCTGGGCGCGCAGGGAATGTGTCTCCTGGCTTTCCGTATGCATAGCTCAGTACGCGGGCGCTTTTTACTAAAATCGGCCCGTCATTTCTATAAGGCGTGAGCCCCATATCGCTTCCAACTAGATTAGTTTCCATATCAGAAAAGATATCCTTCTGTGTTTTCTCTTTGTAGTCTTTTACGAGTTTATTCTCGTCTAACAATTCTTCTCTTGTTTGTGCTACCTTCTCCAGTTTATCTTTCCAATAGTTAGCCCATGATATGTCGTCAGAAATAGTGACGGGCAGTGTTCCTGAAGTAGTACTGAGAACATTCTGTGTGTCTCCAGCCACAATTGCTGTGGGCATTGTAGCCAGCAGTGTTGCATTAGGTGTAAGTGCTATCTTCTTAGTGTCTTCAGATAACTGTACTTGGTGATCAATTGCGGTTGATTTCCCCGGTTCTATTGAATTACTTACATTCCTAAATAATGTCTGTAAATTGCTTGTTGCAGCGGCACTATATCCATAGTTCTCTGGGCAGGTATTACTGTAATCGTTAGATTTGAATGTCTGCTGCTGAGACTTTGTCGCTACTAATTGATCTTGTGGAGCAGGTTTCGAAGAAGCTAAGTTGCCATATTGAGATTGGTGTAATGGGACAGTGATAAGGGGGTCTTGCTGAGATTTCGTCCAGTATGCCGGTGCTTTGGAAACCTGGCTTCGTAGGCTTTCAAACGCGGAGGGGAGCTGAGGAGGAGGCACGATGGGGCCGTGCTCCTTCAAATAGTCACGGTACACAGACCATGCTTTATGTATTCGTGGATGCTTGAGTAACTCATCTGCAGGAGGACGACTCCTGGGGTTATGATCGAGAAGCAGATTAATTATTCTGGTTAGCTCTGCACTGTAGCCGTGATATGATGTCTTTACAAAGGAACTGAGAGATTGTATGGCTTCCTGCTTGTTGGCACATGTCTCTCTGTACCGGCGAAGCGTGCACATTTCGTGTAGTACACATCCTAACATGAACATGTCGACCTTCGCCCCATACTTATGCCCCAAGAGCATTTCAGGCGCCATGTAAACATAATCGCCAACCTGTTCAGAGATCTCAGACGCCTGACTCAAAGAGACTGCTTGACGCATACCGCCTAAAACACACGCTGTGTTGTTAGACAAGAATATGGTTTCTGGACGTATGTTTCGATGAATTACTATTCCGACTTCGGGACAATTCAATTTATAAGGTGAATGTAGGTAGGCAAGCACATCGCAGAGCTGGGCAAGAACCATCCAAATAGTGCTTTCGTCATAGAGATGCGCAGCCTCAAATCTGTCAACGATTTGCTGCCGTAAGCTCTGGCTTAAATATGCATCCATGAAGACATAGTACGTGTGGCGGAACTGGTCGTGGAAAACATTATGAATCTGAAGAATTCCTGGGTGCTGAAGTCTCTGTGTTAGTTGATACTGTCGATCTACATGCTCTCGAAGAGTAGTTGCAGATTGAGTGTAGTCTATAACTTTGCAGACAACGTCGTGTGAGGTCCACGTATCGTGCGCCCAATGAATCCTAGAATGCTGCCCATGGGTAAGAAGAGGCCCAAGGCGGTACCTATCCATCAGGAGAGTCGTGAGCATTGAGAGGCAAATTTAAGAATAAATTTACTCATTTTGGATAGCATCATCGACGAATTGAGACATATATGGTGTTTTGACACTAAATACAGAAGAATCAAGCCAATTTCTTTTCAAGATAGGCGATGCTTGAGCAGAATTGTTGTCTTGTTCTATTGTTCTAGTATGGTTATCCTGGCCACCATCAAAATAGGCCATAGTATTAGATTGACGTATGGCTTGCAAAGTGTGATCATCGGCAGAGCTACATGATTGAATTTTATGCTGCTCTTTATCTTGAACGAAGTCCTGTACGATTGGTCTAAGATGACTAGGGCTCTGCTTCCTTTGTCGTTTATGCTTTAATGCATGCGATTGCTGCTTGTTGATCAGTAAGCTATCATCAAGAATAGAGCAACCACGCTTCTCTTCAAAGTCAAGAAGCAGAATATCATTGTAACGCGCCACGTAGTGAGCCTTGATGTTCGCAGCAGAGCCAGCTGAAGCACTTGCAAGCTCGGAAGACTCGTGGCTTTCAATGCTTGCTTGCGTGCACAAGAGATTGATGGACGAATCATCGTCTGCATGAACACTACAAAACTGAGCATCCTGTGGCTGTAGCTCTTCTTCCTTTTCCTCTTCTTCTGTAAGCCCGTAAGTCCCCAAGCGAGCCTTATATGATTGAATCATTTCGCGAATAATTCCGTTAACAGATAGCACATCAACTGCTAGGCGGCATTCAGGCTCTAGTTCTAGGAAGGTGTTTATTATAGACGTCAAACTAGTGGAGTACAGGGGCATCTGCACCTTTCTCTGCAGCTTTCCTAGCTTTTGTAAGGCATCCATTGGGTTTAGTGCAAGACAGAAAGGCCTAAACGTACAGAGTTCATATATTATGCAACCCAAAGACCAAATGTCAGATTTTGTAGTAGCAACCCCTGTCCGCAGTAGCTCCGGTGCTCTATACTCTGCTGTGTGCACAGGAAAGCACTTGTAATACATGAGCTTGCGGGAGAGACTCAGAAAGCTCACAGTAATGATATCTAAGTTATCGATAAAGATAGATTCTGGTGTCAATGCATAAAGTAAAGCCTGGTCATGATTGGGCCCAACATCGTGTAGATAAGATAGAAGATCAATGAACTGAGATAGTATATACCAGACGCTCCGTTCTGGAAGGTGCGAGCCCCGATCCAGAGCCTTTCGGCGTCTGATGTATTGACTCAGGGTCTCCTGCTTAACTTGCTCCATAAACAGGAAGTAACGTTGACCAGCACGATCATGCAACACGCTGAGATAATGAACAAGCAGAGGGTGTCGAAGCCGCTTAATTAGAGCAACCTCTCTGTGGAGCACAGCGGCCTCATGTGGAGACAGCCGACCGTACTCATAAACCTTACAGAGACATGACTTCTGAATGCGTAGATCCGCTGCTTCGTATATTATGCTGTAGGAGCATGCCTTGAAGGGTTTTCCAAGACAAAACCTGTCGAGAATTCTAATCATTAATTCTAACCGTTTTTTGATCCTTTGATTCAAGTCAGAGCCCGCGGACGAGCTGCAAACAGACAGCGAAATAATTACGCTCACTACCCTCCACAAACAACTTAGTCGGCAAGAATTGTCCCTGGAGCAGTTAGTATCGACGACGTACCATGTTCAGACGACACTGTGGGGATACGCTTTGACCTTTCTGATGATGTTAGCCCAAACTGGGACACCAGCTCTCGATTTAACGTACAGCAGTTTCCCACTGGCTTCCCACAAACACAAAGAAGATCATGTTGGATCTCACTGGAGAGCATTGGAGATTGAGCAGGTTGTGTCTTCCGTAGTGCTTCGTTATGAGAAATGACCCGCCTATACGTTCTCCATATATCGCAGACTGTATTCAGCTTCAAGATTTGCTTTGCATAGATACGCTGGCTAGGCTCTGGAGCAAGCATCTGAGAAAGAAGCGAGATTATATTGGCATCTTTACCGGTCAGTAGAGGGTCACTTTTGAAGGAGGGCGGTGCTGAGATGGAGTGTAGAATCTCTGACAAGCACGTCCCTTGAATGTACGGCACTCCGAGATAGAACTCATACATGAAGCATCCTAAGGACCAGATGTCTGAAGCCCACGTAGCTTGCTTACCCATCAAGATCTCTGGAGAAAGGTAGCGGGCGGTATTTGCAGACTGGCAATCAACGTTATTCGTTTCAATGTATTTGGACATTCGTATCTGTGCCACCGTTACCACTCCCAGATTATCCAGATAAATGCCAGCAGGGTCTAGAGAGCGCAGAATGACTGTACTGATGTCCGGTGCATTTCTCTTAGACGGACTATGAAGATAAGCAAGAAGTTCCGCCAATTGCATCAGGACGAGCCAAAAGGTCTGCTTACTTGGGCTGGAAAATGTAGGGAGCTGATAGCTTCCTGTTCCAAAACGTAACCGTTGGTGCATCTTTAAACTATCTGTGCGCATGTCCTTCATGACCAAAAACGATGAACCTATAGAGTCTCCCTCAGCTATCTCCAAATATTCCATCAAATTTGGATGTCTAAGTGTGCGCGTCAGTGATATATTCAAGTGCAACTGCGAGAGCAACGAGAGTGAGAGCTTTGAGTAAATCAATCTCTTACACACACACGGTCTATAAGTATACCGATCAACAGCTAAATATAGAAACCCATGAGCTGTCTTCTGGCAAACGCTCCCCAGCTCGTACCGTTTCCCTATTACGATGCTAGTTTTCATCATCTGCCCACACAGTTTTTGAAAACCGTAGGCTTAAAGCATTAACAAGGGATCAAAACAAATATCTTTACTGCATACTAGATTGAATAGATGAGATGTGCATAGATGACGGTTGTTCTCTATACCTATTGGGTCTGCCCTCATAAACGTCTGCTGGTTGCACAGAATTGTAAGAAATCTGTGCCTTGTATGATTGAATAGGGGAAGTGGCGACAGATTGCTTAAGAAAGTTGGGGCTGCAATGCACAGCATTGTGCTGTGTTGATGGCTTAACGAGTTTTCTAGCACTTGGGTGCAAATGCTGAGAAGATATGAATCCGTGTGTGTTAGGAGGAATGATCCTGTCTCGAATGAGCTCTAAGGATGGAACATCAGTTATAATATCCTGAAGCGTTACTGGAGAAGGCGTTCCAACCCCCTGATCACACATGTACTGATCCTGAATGGCAGGTTGATGCATAGTCTCAGGCTTATCGTCGACAGTGATTTCCTGAGAGTGCCTGCTCGGGAATGAAGACTGTTGTACCGGCTGTTCGTTCATTGATACCGAGCCACTTGAAGAAAAGCTAGCAGTGGGACTGAAACTAGAGATAGAGCTGCCTTGAAGCAGGTTTGCATTGTCGCTAAAGACTGATGGTTGCTCACTTATCTGATTATACTGGATAGGGCGCCTAGCTCCGAGGGGCCGCGTGCGTGGCTCTGCAAACACTTTGCTGAGCATGTAGCGACGATGATGCCCTTTGCCCTGCTTAGATATCCAGTTGTTAACAATAGTGTAAGTATTCCCAGATGAATTTGCAACACGCGTATAGGAAACATTATGTGAATACGGGGGTTCTGCAGCAAGTTTCTTTAGGTACCGGCGATAGCCACAGCAATCGTCCATATTTCCTCCACATGCACAGGTACTCATTCGGGCTATACGTGGTTTGCGCTTATAGTAATGGACCCGCAAGAGCTCCTTATATGTAATCATTAGCTCAGCTATTGGGGGGCGTGCAATAAGGTCATCGGTGCTGGGCCGCCTTTCTGGGCGTGGATTCAAAAGGTCTGTAATGAAGTCTGACAACTTTCTTGAATACTTAAACTTTGTGTTTGCTGGATTGGTTGTTAGTTCAACCGTTATGTTGGGAGGTGCAAGACTTAGTTCTAGCACTTGCTGTCTTGTCCAGCCAGTAACATATGGTCTGCGCATGCATAGCTCAAAGAGCGTTGCGCCTAGTGACCAGATGTCCATAGTGTGGAAAGGCCTAGCACCTGCTAAGAGCTCTGGGGCATTATAACAAGGGGTCTCGTAGTCAGCTGACTCCGGAAATATATCAAAACGTGCTAGTCGAACTGTGTCCACGAGAACAAAGCCCATTTCGCTAATATATATGCAAGACGGCCTCAAATCCAGGAGAACTTTGTCTTTTGTGGCTGTCTGAGATGAGTAGTCTGCCAAGAACTTAATGAGTTGAGTGGCGATCATCCAAATGGTGTCTTCGGAGAAAAAGAAGTCGTCCATAATAGCAGTATCCAACTGGGTTCGCAGGTCTCCGTACTTATGTAGATCTACAAGAGCAGCAAGGTTTCCACCTTTTTGGTCCAAGACTACGCTGCTGTATTTCATCTGTCCCGGAAATGTAGATTTCTGGGCCAAGGCTGCTTCGTAACGAATGAGCTCAATCTGGTGGCTTGTCAGCTTTGCAAGTGGAAACTTCTTACAGCTAAATTGCCGCTGCGACGTGATGTCTTTCATACAGAATATGTGTGAGTATTTGCCACGAAAAATCTCAGACTCTTGCCGATACCTTCCTAAGAGAAGTTGGTCCTCGGCAGCAGGCTGTGTGGCAGGATAGTTGACTGCTAACATCTAGCCTTGAACTCTGTGTGTCCACTGCAGAGACTGTGCTAATTTAAAAACTCTTCAGGCTATTGGGGTTACAGAGTTTGTTTTTGAAACACAGACCTAGCTTACAACGTAGAGTAACAACCACTCGCCTACAGCTAGGTCGTTTTCATTTACTTCACATAAAACGGTCAACCTAAAGAAGCAGAATAATTTATATAAATTAAACTAAGAGTTTTTAATCCGCTCAAGATACACCCAAAGGTACAGCTTATGCATAACCTGTAACTATAATTAAGAATACACAACAATACATGCGTTGAGAGCTACCCGTTTTGGTCGAGATTGTCTGATTTGATAGTAGCTTCGTAGCAATCTTCGCAATGATTTAAAATTTTGCCTGCGTGCTAGTGCTTATGATGACATAGGTTCACCATAGCCTTGCTTCTATCAAGACAGGAGATGTCACAGTGTTCGTACCGCACAGTAAAAAGCGCTGACAAGACCTAGCCACCACCCTTGAGAGTGTGACTAGATCGCACATGCTGTATTGGGGACATTTCCACCACTACCGGAGAAACTGACTTCTGCGAGTGCCGACGACTCTGTTGTCGGTCATTTTCATAGGATACTGACTCTAGGACAACAGGATCTTTTGAATAATGAAACGTCTTCTGGCCGGCATACATTAGGCTGTCAACAGATGGGTGAGGCCGTAATGACATCGAAAAACCCTGAGTGTCTGGAGACACCTTTTTGTGCTGCAGAACATTGTCGAACGACTCCTTGACAGATAGAGATTGTGTGTTAGGGTCATTTGTCCTATCACTCTTTGGAAGAGAGTCGGTAGTAGCCCCCTTCCAGTACCTTCTGTCAAAAGGAGAAAAGTTTCTAACATCATCGTCACGATACACGTTACTTCCTTTGTTGTCGCCTGTGCATCCATGCGGAAGGCTGAAATCCATAATGCTATAGTCGTTTTTAGCGTGTATTTTCGGATCTTTATTCATGGCTGTAACAGTTAGCTGAGACTTAGAAGAAGATATTGGCTCCATAGGCCGTGTCTCAACGTGCCAAGTAGCAGCTCCTTTCTTCAGTGACTCTAGGGGTACTTGCCTATCTGTGTGGTCGGCTAGACCATAAGAAAGTGCCTCCGCCGCGTCTGCGTAATTCCTGTGCACAAACGTTGGACAAAAACAATCTGTTTGAAGATCACAGCATACCTTTCCGTTTCCGCCACAGGAACATACTCCGTTCCCGGCACACACAAGCATTTCTTTATAATGCTGCAACGTGGAATTCTTTAGTAAGTATTCCGGAGACGCTCGACTGCTCGCTATGGGATCCAGCATAGTACTAAGCAGATCCTGCATCTCACGTGAATATCCCCTCAGGTTAAAGGTTGGTCTCGCATCTTTAATAAGCCCAAACAGCTCGCTGACATCCAGCAGCTCATAAAGAGGCCGCAAAGTACACATTTCATACGCAATGCAGGCCACAGACCATACATCTGACTTGATAGACCAGTTCTTGCCCCCAATTACTTCTGGCGCATGATAGCACGGTGTAAGCTTTGGTTTATTTGTCCGAAAGTGTTCATACTTACCTAGATGAAAGCGATGGAGCTGAAAAATACCGTATTTGGAGACAAATATATTATCAGGGCGAATAACGTAATTGTGTGGACAAGAGAGGCTCTCGATATTAGAAGAACCGTGCAGAAGCACAAACAAGTCTAGCATAGAGGCCAAAAATATCCAAATGCTTGCCTCCTCAAATGGCTTCTGTATTGTTTTCCGGTGCCTAATTTGCTCGTAGAGGCTCTGTGATTTATAGTAAGGCATAACAGCAAAATAGCCAGCCCACTGCTTTTCGAAAAATGTATCCAAATAGGGCACGAGATACTTATTCCTGAGGCTGCGGGCCATGAGAAGTTCCGCTTGAAAGGCTCGAGCCAACTCCTCTGTGGGTAAAGGAAGAACAAACTTCTTGACAACCACGGGCCCCGCTTCCTCCTGCGTACTATCCACTGCAAGCATGATGACAGAACAGCGAGACCGCGCAATTTGCCCGAGAATCTCATAGCGATTGGAAAGGACGGGGTGCATTTGTTTTTAAAATTTAACAGTGCTATTTATCCAACCAACGTTTATAATGGCGTACCCCGTCGCACCCAACACGGTCCAGATACCACTCCCCACAAGAAAAATGCTCTCTATCACCCGTTATGTATTCATCCGTCTCTGGCTTTACCTGTTGGCGAAACCTGTCTTGAAGAAATTCTTGCACGAGCGGATCCTGGGATAGTCTGTGCATCAGCAAGCGCTTGTTAGATTGTAACGACAGCCGAAGCATACCTTCTGATGGAGGGGCTGCAACGCGTTTGATTTTGAGGACACACGGCATCTGGTTGGGGTACACAGAGAACTTGAAAGCCAGAGATCCCATTCCTGATCCATATCCTGATGCATATATTAGATACTCGTCTTTGAGAGGCGTACGATAGTGTGTAGGGGAAGCAGTTGCAACCTGACTGGCGGCAATGGCTTCTATGTGCTCCAGGATAGAGACGAGGGCCAAGAAAATGCTCCCCGTATATATGTTGCCTGTTTGACTCGAAAGTTTGAGAGACGGCACACACCTCCGTTCACAGTCCTCTGATATAGAAGGATCGGCAAGACAGTTCTTACTGAGCACACTGAGCACGTTGCTATCTCTTGATTGTATTGCTGCAAAGAGTTCATCTTCCTTATCAGACTCCAGATGCAGCGCGTGATAGAGCAGTGCGTGCATTTTCTTTGGAAGGGTGCAATATGGAGTATGAAAACATGCGAAGTCTGCGTCTAGAAAGAGTCTACGCTGCTGCTCATTACTCATTGCTGCTAGTAAATTGGCACGTAAGTAACACTCAATAGACGTTGCCCCGTGGACTACTGGAACTGGCGAGGCTATATGTGGCTTATAGAAGTCTGTGGTGTTTTCCCAATAACTATTGAATGATGCATCACACACTATACCACTAGGATAATCCTTTACCAACAGCAGAGCGACAGCACCAGCCCCACCTGTAGGAATTGAAGCAATATCATTGTAAATTGAGATATCCGTTGTGACAACAATTGCAGCCGGGTACTTGTTTGTTTCGTCGTCATACTTAGCTGCGGATAGCCATAAAGCAGCGTTTTCCAGAGCTAGGACACCGCCTAGACAAGCATTGATTATATCGGCGCCTGTGGTTCTAACGGCACCCAGCATGTCCGCAAGGACCGACTTAATAGATTTAGCCTTGTCAACAGATGACTCGGTACCCACCTCAAGTCTACCTATAGTGACCTTTGAAAGAATATCTTGAGTAGCCTTATCATCAATCAAAAGTTGCAACGAATTCAGAGCTAAGGATACAGAGTCTTCGGAGTCGACAGTAACTGCCATCTGATGCTGCCCAAGGCCTTTAGTTATCTTCTCTAAGGGAATCTTGCAAAGAGAAGAAACCTCCTCCTGAGACACTACTATTGGTGGGATGTACACGGCTATTGCAGCTATTCTTACTTCAGCCGGCGGTTGCAAAGGTGCATGTTCCACATGTGTATCCCTTGACATGACCTTGCTCCAAAAGCAACAATTATTTACCCTACCGCGCAAACTTTAAGTGTGCGCACATTAATTGCTATTGCTCATCAGAGCTGTGCTACGAGACATCGCACAGACAGATGCTATTTTCCGCTATTGGCTCGGCGTATTCCATTACCTCAGACTCTATATATACCGCAAATGGTATTTTCAGGGAGCCTTCATCGATGGGTAAATCGTAGTCTGCGCCATTAGGTTCTACATCATAGCTTAAGTCCTTAATATAGTACGGAGGCATTGGTAGTGGTTGTTGACAAGTTGATGATAAGTTGTCCAGGGGAGCGGGGGCAGCAAGGGGCTCCTCCGCGCTCTCCTCGCACTCCGGGGTGGCGGCCCTCTGGTAGCTCTCGTCCTTCGCCGGGTCCAGGGGAGCGGGGGCAGCAAGGGGCTCCTCCGCGCTCTCCTCGCACTCCGGGGTGGCGGCCCTCTGGTAGCTCTCGTCCTTCGCCGGGTCCAGGGGAGCGGGGGCAGCAAGGGGCTCCTCCGCGCTCTCCTCGCACTCCGGGGTGGCGGCCCTCTGGTAGCTCTCGTCCTTCGCCGGGTCCAGGGGAGCGGGGGCAGCAAGGGGCTCCTCCGCGCTCTCCTCGCACTCCGGGGTGGCGGCCCTCTGGTAGCTCTCGTCCTTCGCCGGGTCCAGGGGAGCGGGGGCAGCAAGGGGCTCCTCCGCGCTCTCCTCGCACTCCGGGGTGGCGGCCCTCTGGTAGCTATCTTCGCAGTATTTTGCAGCTAAGACAGAAGGCTCATCTCTGACCTGTTCAACTGTAGTAACAGTTTCTATAACCTCATAGCGGTTATAAATGTATTTATCATCAGTCTTTTCAGAAGGTGTTCCAGCCTGTCCTTCTGCTTCATACAAATCTCCCTCAGTAATAGGCGTTGGTTCCACCTTTGATGTAGCAGGCATGTGGTATGTGGTGTTTAATACTTGTCCATTCTCATCATAAATGGCTTTATCGCTAGCATTACTGTTCATCAATTCTGCTTCTTCTTCTCTTGAAATAATCTTTTTAAGAGGCATCGGCAAACTGCTTTCCCTGGTGGTCACTGGCTCTTCCTCACGCGCGAATAGAACAGGCTTTGTATTCGGTCGAGTATTAGTGGAATATCCAACTATACTCTTAGAAACATAGTTGGGTTCAATAATCGGATGTATGCTCTTGTCTGAATCTCCACAATAAAATTCTGGCAAGGGCTGGCAATAGGATTTGAAGCATGTCATAGAGCGTTTTTGGGTCATGCTGTCCCGATCATCTACCTGGTACGCTTCCCAGTCATCAGATGTAGGATAGACAGGCACTATCACCAAAGTTTTTCGTTGCTCGTTGACAAACTTTAAAATAGTGCCAAAGTCCAAAAGAGTGTCTTGCTCTGCTGTTATGGCATCCAACAGCTGCTGAGGAGTCAGAAGAGGGACGGGAAGATCAGTAATATTAGTGTAACAGCCCTTTAGAGCATGAAGATGGGCATCCCAGCAGATTGGCAAATCATCTCCAGCAAACACGGCATCAGCTTGTAACCCCAAAAGAAAGTAAAGGGATACGTCCTCATCGGACAAAGAGGACGTACGTGCTACACTGCTACATACCAGGTCACTGTCTAGAGGGCCTTGATCAACTCCATTCCGTGGGTGCTTCTGGTCGTACAGATCAAACAAGTCGCCAGTCTCATCACAGTTTATACATTGATCATAGAAGATGTTAACAACTTCTTGTATCTCCGGAAGAGTCATCTCAGGCATAAACTTGAGAATCGCAAACACAAGTGCCGTTGTTTCCCGTGTATAGAAGCACTCTTGTTTTAGATACATAAACCACGAATCCTCTGCCTTGTCTGATATTTTGATATTCGGGAGGCAGACAGGCTTGTCACAAAGAAACCTGCACGCGTTGGCAAGAGATGATAACTGAATGGTCAGCACTTTAAACTTAGTAAGAAGCTCAGTCAAGGCCTTTCTGCTGCCTTTCCCCGAACTCAGAAGAGCAGCCGTCTCATTCTTACAGATAATCCGCTCTTGAAGTAGCGTCCTAAAGAGTTTGCGGTATTCTAAAAGCGTATGCATCCTCTTTTGATACTCAACCGTGAGCGTAGAGCTTCTGTTGAGCTGAGAATACGCATAATCACGCTCTGAATAGGGGATTTCAAGAGCCTCCCACATACGAGTGAGTGATGCAACAGCATTGTGCGCCCTCAGAGCCATGGATGCCCCTTGGCCCGTCCTTGGCAAGAATTGGTTCCCACTTCGGGAGACAAGAGAGGTAGAGCCCCGATCCTTTGTCATGAACTTCTCTGACTTGTTGAGATTGTCTGTATCGTTATAGTATCGTGTCTGTGGGGAACAAATGCGTTCCAAATAAGGAGAATATTCCACCTGCTGCTCGGTAACAGACGCTTTTGGACTCCCGTGGCCATGCTTTGTAGATTTACGATAAGATTTGATGTCTGTATTTGGAGACTTTTGTAGTGGGCGGGTAATGGAGCGTGAGCGGACATTTGCCATGGTTGCCCCTTCTAGGTGCTTGCTCTGAATGCGGAGCATCTCTGCTTGCGACACACCTCGCTCCGTAGTCTTGGCCATCTCGACAATCCGGGCATTGTTCGGATTTGAAAAGAATGCCTTGAGGTGGGGGTCGCTTTCTGCATGGTATGACGGTGGTCTGTCACCAATTCTAGTGGTAAACTCTGGCTGCAATCTTTCGCGTCGCGGTGCGCGGTGGTCAACAAAGCTCATGAATCTTAAAATCCTTATTGCAAAGCATTCTAAAAAGAATAATTATAGACAAATTAATGGATACTGCAAGAAAATTGCAAGAAAAGGTTGCTGAGCACGAACAAAAAGTCTTGATGATGAGTGGTTTCATGGGGTCTATTAATGCAGGCGATCTCTTCACTAATGAGGAGATCGATACCATGGAGCCAAAGATGGCCCGACGCATTGTACGCCACATGTCTGCTTCTAATAAGACAGTCAGGCTTTGGTTCAAGCTGATTTTTACCGGACTGGAGCTCCTTCTCGCCTCTAATTATATTACTCTTTGCTCTTCTGCTCCAATATTTTCTAATCCCTCGCGCGTAACTCTTAAACTCTTTGGGGTTCACATACCTTCGTTTTTTATCTCAACAATCCCCTGGTTCACGCTTGCTGCTCAGCTGCTGGTTGCATTCTTTCTCATCTTTAACTCCCACAAACGCCAGCTGTTCTTCCTCCTCTATTTCACAACCGTCTTCTACGTATTGGCGGGTGTGCCTCTCCTCCTTCTTCATCTTCAAACTGATGAGCACGTCAGTCAAGTCTTCTTCTACGTCTGTGTCGCCGGGACTGTCATTAGCATACTCACTGAGAGGGCTTCATACAGAGCCGATCAGGGACTCTACGAACTTAAGCGAACAGTTATGGAAAGCAACAAGACGCGCTCTGAGAAGTGATCTAATCCATATTCACTTCTATCTGTGTAAATGAGCTTTGCAACATGCACACTTTGATGCGACTTCGTGGCAACAGCAGAGGCGTGGCGCGTATCTTCAAGGATAGTCACCCGACTCGAGCGTGGTCACGCCTTCGTGAGCTATTTGTCGGGCACGGACCATGTCTACGCTCTCCGGCTGAGACGTCATGACAAGGAGCATGTCGGGATATTTGCGGACACAACTAAAGAGATCCTTGCAGGTATCTTCGTCCGCTATAACGGCGAAGTGAAGAGAGGTGTTTCCATTGATGCAGTAACGTGACAAATCTCTATGTAGATCGTCCAGGAGCTTATGCATACAGTACCCCAAATCAGTATACTTCCCTGATCGCTGGAGCCTAAGGTCCCGAGATGGTACCCAAACAGCGATGGCTAACTTCGCAGCGGATGGCTCTAGGCAACGGTAGAGATATGCGAGGACCACTTCAAATGCTGTAGAGACCGTGGATAAAGCTCGCAGCGCCCTACAAAGCTCTGGTTTGTTCAATGCATGCTTGAAATCAGAAATCTTTCCTTCTTTTCCCTGGCAGCAATTGCAGCTTTTGTAAACGCCTATGGCATCATCAGTTATGCTTGCACTGTAGAAAACATCGCTCCGGCAGGAGATGCACTTAGCCAATTCAGGAACCATAGAAAGCATAAGCGGAGAGAAGGTGTACATAAGGTCGATGACGGTTTCTGCCTCTACAGTCTCTCCAACATAGACAGAGAGGTGCCAGGGCTCAGTGATCTTCCTGAGAAAAGCGTCGGAAGCCACCTCAGGTGCGTTGTCCCCCGACATCAATCGTTCAAATTTACAGGTCGAGTCAAAAGGTGGCAGAGGGGTGAGCAGCTACAGCATACTTCCATGAATGCCGTTCATCCATGGAGGACGCACTATTCTCATGTATATCTGTATATCTTTATCCATGATCGTGACGCGGTGGGCGTGGTTTGCCAGTATTTGGCAGTCTCCAAGCACCTGGGAAAGCATGGCTTCGGATGCTTCCTGCAATGCGCCGATTGCCTGGGCTTGGAAGCGAATTTCGTTTCCTCCTGAGGGAAGTGAACACGTTATGTCACGTACAAGGCGTTGAAAGCAGGCGATGGGGATGACGCTAGTGACTCTGCGCTGCATGTTAGTGATCTCTTTGCGAACCTGGGAGCCGGGTCGGGCACGTCTGGTGACGGCCTTTTCAGATTTCGATATAGCCTTGCGTGCGACGGTCTTCTTGGAAAGAATCGTCTTTCGAGGTGCATGTTGTCCTTTGCGTGCTGTATTGACGTGCACGCTCTTGCTGCGGTCCATAGCTGTGTTTTTGGTGCGAGCCATATTTTTAAACCTTGATCATCCTAGGATGGTTAGTGTAACGTCTTGCTGATAGGGTATTCAGTGAAAATGGTGAAAGTAGATAGCAATCTTGCTTGTTCAGAGAAGATTGTGTTGAACTGTGGCCTAAGTAAGGGATGGACACGCCCTAGGAGGAAAAACAGCAGCTTTGGAAATTCTAAAATACCAAGGGAATCCTTTTCCATCGCAGGGCAGTAAGATTCTCTTCCTGTCGATCAGCAACGGATACACAAAGAGCGCAGAAGAATGGATTGATAGGAGTCGCCAGATTGTCTTAGCAAGCAGCTTTTGAGAAGCACTCAATGTAAATCATATGTTCAAAAAAGCAAATTAATTCCGCTTCTGATTTCATATAAATTTCAAGTCCACTGGCCTCTCCTGAGGCAGATGATGACTTTGCGACGGGCGGACGGAGGGACGCGTGACGAAGTTTGTCGTATTCTGAATTCCTTCATTTAAAATTGGGCTTAAAATGCATCATCTCCGCTTTTACCTGCCGCTCCAGCGTGTGGACGGCGGGTTCGCGTTCTTTGCTCCTGGCGGGGTCGGTCCAGTTCCTGCAGAGTTGCAGCATTACCCAACAGTCGTGGTATCAACGGATCCTTCAAATGAAAACCAACTGATACCCGTTGATAAAAAGGGCGTAAAGCTCACTTCTCAGGGCAAGAAGGAGACGGGCCGACGAAGGCGCTCAGGAAAGCCAGCTACAGATACCATCGAGCAACCTGTGCCAGCTACCGGCAACAGTGATGCGCACAGCACCATTGATGAATCCGAAGATGAAGTCTACATGGGAGACAACGCGAAAAGCAACAGAGCCCTTCTCGAAGCCCAGGCAGTCGCTCGTAGGCTGATAACGTTGACTAAAGAGATAGACGGCGGCCTTGTACAAGGAGAAGAGGCCACTGGACAGCGAAATGATCCAAAGGAGGGTCTTGTCATAACGGAGGCAGGGGCTGTCTATCTACCAAGTACTCAAGCATCGGCAGTAAGGGCTTGTACTCATACATACGGGCCCATGCTGTCTCGGGTCCTCATGTCTTAGGCAGATCACAGTCTAACGAAGCATTGCCTTATGAATAGGAGCATGCAAGGCAAACGGTGTCATACCCTCCTCCCTTTAGGATTTTTGCACACCCACTACCAAACTGAGCTGCCTGTTTAGGTCGGGCGACCAACTCTGGTGGGACTCCCAATAGCCAGGCAGCATCCCTTAATATCTTTTTATTTCTGAGATACTCATATCTCTCTGACTCCATCAGATAGTTGAAGAAGGCAGCGACCATCGGCTCTAGGTACGGGTAAACTACTCGGGAGAATACCCCAGAATCCCTAGTGATATTCCTCTCAAATAGGTTTTGGCAGGCATGCTTGACTGAGAGTTTCCACGTGCACGTGTCACCGTCCCGTAATGCTGCATACGCACCGCAATACTCGTCCGGGCCCAATCCGGACATGACAGGAACGTCGATCTCTGACCCATCGGCCCTCCTCGTCGAGTGAAATAGTATTGATCCTAAGTTTAGCATCATCACAGTTGGCGGGCAGGGGGCTATTAAGTCCCTTACTTGCTGTAGACTGCTTCTAAACTTTACTTCAGGGATTGACATGCTCGTGATTTTTATGCGATCCGGACATGACTCGACAATCCTCTGTAGCCGCGGAGAGTCACATAGGGACCTAAATGCAACTGCATCCTTAGCAAATTCAAAAAAGTTTATATTAAAAAGTTCTATTCTAGATTGACTTTTTTCTAAAATATGAGTTGCACAAATATATACTAGTAAGGTGGAGTCGATGCCGCCAGAAGCCAGTATACGGATCTCGGGATGTCTGCTCAGCTGATTAGATATGAGCTCCTTTAGAATTTCTAGGAACTTCATTACAAGGTTATCACTGGGCTCAAAGTGCATCTCCATGGCTTGTGATAAGGACGGAACAACTTCAGTAAATGGTATGTACTTTTCTAGCGAAAGGTAGTGCTCAGTGCTCGTTAACACACTAAAGAATGTGTGCCCTGGAAGGATAAAAGCCAAATCCTTGAGCCCCACACATTTCTCTCGAAGATATATCCCAGATTTATTGTAACAGAGGACTACTCTGGAATGATGGTCAGTCATAACTTCTATTCTTTGTTTCTCTCTGTCTAAAATGAGTATAAACATGGAAATACGTTCTACATTATATATAGGTTCATGACCAGGGCACAGTAGCATCTGCAGAGTCGGACTATCCGGTGCCTGTGCGAAAGTGGATATGCACTCACATCCAGCATAAGGCCCGACTGTAAGTGTATGTGTGAATAATGTGAACGAGAGATTGTCAGCAATTTCAACAAGAAACTTTGGCTGAGCTTCCGGCGCGATTGGGGCCGCAAGGGTCACACTCATTGGTCAGCACAATTTTAGCTTTAGTCCTTTCAGAGTTTTGGTTTTAAAGAAGCGTGCTTCGCTTGCTCTGATTTACTCAATGGAGATCACAGTGTCCCCTGGATGTGCATTTCCGGAGAAGACGCGGCTTGCTAGGGAAATGGATGCACGAAGAAGGTGGATGGAAGAGAGAGCCCTTGTCCAGTCTGGGGTCACCTCGGGGAATCCTGAGTTAGCAGAGAGCATCATGGATATCCGAAACCTATCTGCTTCAACTAGTCTTTCGTCTTCTCTTGCTCTCAGCAAGCTTCACCAGTCTTCAATGTCCGCAAGCAACACTGCTTTGGAGGACCACCTCACCTGTGCTATCTGTTATGGACTCTTCAGCCATCCTGTTGTTCTTACATGTGGCCATGTTTTCTGCGAGGGCTGTGTTCAAGCAATCTATGAGGGACAGCCAGAAAAGTACAGACTACACTGTCCTCTGTGTCGAAAACGATGTGACAAGCTGAACAGAGTCTACGTTCTTGACTCTGTTACGGAGAGTGTACGGCTTGCTCGCTCAGGCCTTCGTGAACATGAGGGTACAATTAATCCGCACTCTGAAGAGGGCGTAGAGCTCCCCAAACAGCTTGAAGTTGATATCCTTTTAAAGCGTATCTCAATAGCCACAGACGCCATGGAAAAGTGCTCAAGGCAAGTTCATGGATTCAATAAGTTGACCCAAAGCTACTATTCGTCGATTCGGAAGATAGACGACAAAATCAGTCAGCTGAAAGAGCAAAAGGAGCTCATGACCGTGGAATACAAGAAGACTTCAGCGAATCTGGAGCGCATCATTGAGAAGGAGAAAGTCTTGCGAGGATTGATCGAAAGCTTAGAGTCAGAGCTGCGTGTAAAACAAATTATGATCGCTAAGCTATCTCCGTCTAATGAGAATGAGCAGCAAGTGCTGCCAGAAGACAGATTAAAGATTTAGGCCGCCAGAGTAAACGATGAGTGAACGGTGAGTAAACAGAGAGTAAACGATGAAAAATTCTCGAGAAGCTGTCTTCATGGAGGCAGAGCCGAACTTACAGCATCTGGTTCTGGAGTTGGTTGAACCGCACAGAGAGACAGAGCCGGTAGAAGTCTTAGTTACAAGTGTCGATTTGCGCCTCCTCGGTCCAATTATTTCTAGGCTCAAGACCTGCAGCATGTGTCAGCTCCCCTTCAGCTGCGGCAGAGTGTGTAAGAGGAGGTTGGCGCCAGGTGAGCAAGTGGCTGAGTTATGCATCTGTGCAGGCCAAGGGCTCGTAGATACGGTTCTAAAGGAAATGACGTCTGAAGCCAATTCAGTGGGATCTTCAAGAGTCACAGATGTCACGACGATCCTCCGTGAGGTACAGGCTGTGCATAGCATTCAGCTCTCATTGTTTAAGAGGACGCTAGGGGATACGTGGCCCATAACGCGATACCCGAAGAGGACTACTATTGAGGACGTTGTTTCTTCAGGTGAGAAAGAGTATCTTGAGCGATGCATAGCCCTGTTGACCAGCCACTCGACTGTGGTTGTGGCCTCGCCCAGCACGTCTTTCATCGCAGTCATAAAAGGGGACACTCCAACAGAATGTGCTGAAAGTATCCAGCCCCAAGGAAAGATATCAGACATGCTCCGCCATCCCGTATATACTGCCATTGAACAGGCTATGAAGCAGGCGGCTGAGGACGATAAGGCATACTTGCTAACAGGTTACGATGTCTTTGCACTGGAGGAGCCGTGCATCTTTTGCAGCATGTGTCTTCTGCATGCCCGCGTCAAACGTGTCTTTTACTCTGCATTCATGGGGCACAATGGTGGGCTAAATGAAAGCCTAATGGTTCCGTCTTTACCAGGAGTCAACCATAGATTTCCTGTCATTAAGTTCAGATGGTCTGAAGTCTGCTGAGCATCGACAAGTGCTGCTGAGCGCCTAGAGCTTAACACCTAAGAATAACTAAAGAATAACATTAATAAAATGGGTGGACATGTAGTCGATGTTTATCGCTTTAACCTTTCGCAAGTATGTAGAGAGATCACTAGCCTAATTGGACGCTACCCGATCGTGGCCATTGACACCGAATTCCCGGGCTACTTCGAAGACCTCAATCAACTTGTTCAATTGAGTAATGCCTCTGTTTCGTCCGATATCCTTGCCTCTCCAACCAACTATCAGAAGCTCAAGATCAACGTAGACGCTCTCAACCTAATACAACTCGGGATTTCTCTATCAGATTTCGAAGGAAATAGTCCATACCCCCACTCAACTTGGCAGTTTAACCTGGCCTTCGATGAAGCCACATCTATAGTTAATAATGAGTCGCTAGAACTTCTACGTGGACAAGGAATTGATTTTTCCAAGCTTCGGCGAGACGGCATCCATCCATTAATGCTATCATATGAGCTCCAGGTAAGTGGCCTTCTTTACAATAGAAATTTGATTTATCTCTGCTTTCACGGCTTTTATGATTTCGGCTATTTAGTGAAGGCCGTCACAATGCACGATCTTCCCGACTCTAACAGAGAATTCAACACCCTTCTCAAGGTCCTGTTTCCGGGGAGATTATATGATCTCAAGCAGTGTTGCTCGTGGATCGGTTCCTTGGAGAGCCTGGCCGACATGCAGGGTGTCCAGTACCTCGGTGTTCAGCACCAAGCAGGAAGCGACGCCTGGGTAACATCTTCGATCTTCCGGTCGATGATTCGCACCACTGGGCTTCCGCCGCATTGTATGAACAGATGCATTTATGGACTTACGCAGATTGATGAGGACTGATTACCCGTGATTGATCACCCGGTGGATTGAGAGGCTCTGATGCTTATCACTTATCACTTATTACTTGCTTCTATAACCATATTCATGGGAAAAATATTGCACGGAGTAGCTAAGCAACGCGCCCTTGTTCTCAAAAGTCTATTAGCAACTAGAGTAGCGGATAGAAGATCGAGGCGTGACTGCTCTTCTCATCAGGAAGTATCTGTTTTACAATTGTAGATAGCTGTAGGCTGAGGCTTTAAGGAAATTGTTAGCAATCGCATTAAAGTAAATTATATTCTAAGATCTTAAAACTTAAGAGTCTCCATAGAGAGTTGACTTTCCGATCTATCGATGGTGCTTCTTGACGGGGAATTTATCGTCTTTCAACCGTTCTTAGCTGCTACATCCATACCATCTTACACAGAAGGAAATCTATGGCTTGATCCTTCCGAATACGCAACTGCCACAACCAACTTGCCTCCTTCAAACGGGCACCTTCTGGTTGCAGGACAGCTGTATCTGAATATTGTGCTGACGAACTACCGCATGTTGCTCTTTAGAGCAATTAGTCCAACGGAATTTACTCCCTTTGCAAGTATACCCCATTTTATGGTCGTTTCTATTTCTAAGATTGGAGGAAAGAAGTCACGCGACGCCTATGGTGTGCTAATTAGCCTCATTACACCTCTACAGTTTGCCGTCTTTTTGCCTCGACATAACAAACAGCGCACTATCTTTATCGGTACGCTACTAAAGTACGCATCACCCAGGCTCACTCTGACACACCTGTTTCCTTGCTTTTCTCTTTTCACGTCTCCTAAGGCAGAGAAAGGCTGGTTTATATACGATCCATTTGCAGAGTACTGTAGGCAAGGCGTGGGGACGCCGCGTTTAGATCTAGAGAAATTCATGAAGCCCTTTGATCTATCGGTGGTCAAGCGGCCACTAGGGACGCTTGGAATCAAGGCCTCAGATGTCAAAGACGGCATGTACCGCATTGTGACCGGAAACCCAAAGCTCATGGTGTGTATTCACGAGTATGAAGAAATGAGAAAGGAAAAGGAGCGGGCGCTCCCTTGTAATCCTGGACACGTTCCCTTTTGGTCGCTCACCGACGCAAACTTTGATTACTCAGTTTGTAACACTTATCCTTTCTTACTAGCAGTTCCTAGTCGTTACTCAGGAGAGAACAATCTTGACGCACTTCAGCTCGTTGCTGGGAATCGTTCTCATAGGAGACTCCCAGTGTTGGCGTGGAAGGACAAGGATGACCGCTACGGGGTCATTCTGCGTTCCTCTCAACCCTATAACCCAACAAAGAAAAGCGATAGCAAATTTGTGGCTGATAGAGCATACCTGCAACACATATGGCAACACTACGGCGCCCTGCATAAGAAGGAGAAGCTCTTAGTGATTGATGCTCGGACAAGAGCTAACATGCAGATGAACCAGTTTGTTGGTAGGGGAACGGAGGGGTATCCCTTTGTGCATGTGGAGTTTCTTGATATACCAGGATGTCAATACATTCAACAGAGGCATATTGCAGACTGTGCATTGTTTGCCTCCACACAAGATAATTTTCAATATCATCGCTTGGGGCGCGTCGGTGGCATTACTGAGGTACTCGGAGTTGATCCGCGTAACTACATATTGCAGGACACAGAGTGGATGAAGGTAGATGAAGTACAGACGACAAGGAGTCAGCAAGATTTCGTGGCAGATAATCAGCCACCTGCTGAACTTGTTAGTAGGGATAGAATCAGGGAGGATGGCGTTGATCATGAAAGCTCCGAATGTGATATCTCAGGGGTAGAGCAGCTATCTCCAAGTATAGACTTTAACACGATTGCAGTACCGCAATATGTCGGTAATGAAAATGTTGACCATAGCTGTCAGGCGGGCTCCTCCGTTGTTATGATTAGGACAAAATGGACTAGCACACGTCAGCTTGAAGAAGTACACAGACTTGTCATTGCAGGAGCCGTTTCTATATGCGAAAACATCATTCGAGGAACTGTGGTTCTTGTTCACTGTTCGGATGGCTGGGACAGGACCGCCCAGTTAGTCGCTCTTGCGATGCTTATGCTTGACCCCTATTATCGATCTATGAATGGCTTCTTTGTCTTAATAGAAAAGGAGTGGTGCTCGTTTGGACACAGGTTTTCTTCACGGTGCGGAATTCTACAAGTTAGCAATCAGGACCAGGAATCTCTTGAAGACGCTGATAGAGGAGACCTCTCATCGAGTCTATGCAGCCCTGTCTTCCTCCAATTTCTGGAGCTCGTCTACTACCTTTTGAGCGCATATCCGTCAGAGTTTGAGTTCACCGAAGAGGTTCTCAAGTACCTTGCCTATCACACCTATAGTGCTCGATTTGGGACCTTTATCGGCGACTGTGAGCTAGATAGGCTCTTGTGCCAGCTTCCTATACGGACCGCCAGCATATGGGATCATCTGTTGGCATGTAAAGATCACTATACAAACAAAGGGTACTCGCCAGAGTCTATTCTGAAGAAAAATGGATGGGTGTATCTCAAGCTCAATTGCAACAGACAGCTTCCTGCTTGGCCAGGCTATTGGGAGCAGCACATACCTAAGCCTTAACTATTTGAAAACACAAGTATGACACTTCGCAAATATGAGCACAGCCCTTGTTTGATAGTTGAATGAAGGTCTTTATCTTTTGATTTTGTAGTTTTAGGACTTTAAGATTACAGCAAACGCTTCTACCACAGACGAAATGATAAAAGATAATTATAAGTCTAATATCTTAATGATTTTGTCAAGATTTAGGGATGTATCCCTGCCATTTCATCTATGTCCAGTGCAGAGTTTAGTGTCACGAGTACCACTTCAGGCAGCGCCTTTCAGTACTCGGCAGTCGTCCCTACCATCATTGTCTCTAGATTCGATTACAATAACTGCTGGGCCGAAATAGACATCCTGCAAAGCGTTTATGAAGATGATGGCGCCATGGACATTAATGTCAAGCCGCTGTATTGTGATATTCCAGCAGAAGCCAAGCTCTATGCCATTTTCCGTATCTCCGAAGTCGAAACAGCCACATTTCCATTGGAGCCTCAGAGCACGAGGGCAGGTGGATATGCTCCTCTAGCCTCAGAATACATACACACCAAGGCACAAACTTTTAAGATAAATTGCAGCACCATCTCTTCGTCCCCTGCGTCTAAGCAGAAAATGACAACTGCTGAATGCACTCGGATCTTCCGCACCTTTATTAGCTATCCCTATCACCTGGCACGCCTGGGCGCCTCCTTCAGCTTCACCAATTCAAGCTCCACGGGCGGTGTTGTGGTGATGCAACCCTCCACAAATCTGCGCGACAACTCAACAGCTCTTTGTTTCAGCACCGCATCTGTGCGGCTTTACAGAGACAAGATCTGCATGGAACTTAGAGCGCCCACCGCGGAGTCCTCAGCGTGCACGTTGGCTGGAGACGTAAAAAGCACCTACTTTTACTTTAGCTTATCAAACAATGTTGATCCGTTCTACGCTAGCGTGAAGTGCTACTATACACGACTGGATCCTGATTTCACGTTTAACACATCCGTTAGGAGCCGGTACTGGTATACTTGTAAAGATAAGACGTGCAAGGATACGTTCGCGTCCATAATCGACCACCGCAACACCTCTGTCGCCAAGTACGGCGTCTACATGACAAACTTGGCTGGTCAGGAAGTGAAGCGCTTGCTCTTCACCGCTCATCCCCCCAATGTTACTTGCTTTGCCGACATGTATGCCGAGGTGATGGATGACACCCTCTGCATACATGCTACCTTGCCGCCGAACGAAGACTATTGCAATATCCTGGAACTCCCATCCACCACAACGTTCAGAGTCAAGCTCTGGTACACTGCCGGTTCCGGAATAGAGTCTGCCAGTGTCAGTTTAGCCGGTGAATTCAAATATACCGGTGTCTTCGCAAACTTACTATGCTTTACATGCTCCAACAATTGGGTTCCAAACGACAAGTATTTCAATGGCAAGTACTGCAGCTCGCAGCTCTCCTTTATCAAGTCACAATATAAGAAGCTGCACTCCTACATCACCGTCGAGATAGACGATATTGTAGAGGTCCCCGACAATGTCTATTTTCTTGATAACAGGGGCCTTCTCATAACTTCTTTGGTTTTGGCGTTGATTAGTGTAATTGTAACCGTAACAATTGTTACGTTGGAGTTCTTGCAGATTTGTAAAAAGAAGGGGCGCGGAAAATGATCTCTGTCTTGTGAGTGGCAATTCCATTAAGAAAGCTTACCCTTTACTTGTGGTTGACCCCGGAAGCTCCGCGCTATCACAGTAGTGGTCAATATATAATTGTAGACACTCACTGCTCCATGATGGAGAGCACTGTATCGGTAGGGTTGCCGGTTCTTGCACAATCGGCAACCACATCTTTGAGGCACCGATCCCAGCAGTCCATAACGATGACGATGGAGTGGGCGTCTCTGAGCACCTGGTAGTGCCTAATGACGCCTGGGTGTGAGCGTCTGGAAATGGTGACCAGCGCGACCCAGTGGCCTCCGTGGGCTTCCCACTCTGAGCTTTGGATAGCTACCTATCACATGGACAGTACCAAAGCTGCCCACATCAAGCACCCCTCCTCGCATCGATGCAGCTCGTCGGCGGGCACAGGATATCGAGTGCACCGTCCCCGGCCATGACGGTATCAACGGCACTGTGCAGAGCACGCTCGGGGGCAGGGGAGCGGCCACCCCTGCTCCCGGTTGCAGGCTGGCTGGCGAAGTATACGAGGCGCACCCGCTTGTCGGCAGCTGCACCACTAGTGACGCGTTTACTACCTAAGTCTACGCCTTGCCCCTGCAGATGAACCACCAGCAGAGGAACCCTACAAGGCCAGCCACGACAACCACCACAGCAACGGAGATCCCCGCTATGGCGCCAGTGGAGAGGCCGCTCTTGTTCGTGCTTCCGCCATTGTTATCGTTATCGCCGTTGTTAGTGCCGTCTGTCTTAACATAGCAGGTAACAGGAGTCGGCGCATTAGGAGACGAAGGAGCTTTACAGCTCACGCAATTAGGTACGCCTTGGATGTTACCACTTGTTTCAGAACACTTTTTACACTCTTTTCCAGTGTCAAGATAGTATCCAGAATAGCACTCAGTACACGTCTTCACACCGCTATCGCCGCTGCACTTTGAGCAGTTGGCTGGACACGGAGGACACGCGCCTGTTTGAGGATCTGCATTCTGTCCATTGGCGCAGTTTGCACACTTTCCATTGGCCCCTGCGGCTATGCACAAAGTGTTACCTGGGAATGCCCCGGTTTTATAGCATCCGCCAGATTCTAAGAAGTATGCGCCCGTGCAACTAGTGCAGACTCCTTCTCCGGCCACACACTCCGCGGCTGCGCGGGCTGTTGTAGAGACGCACATGTCGTTTATCGGAACGAACCCTGTCTTGCACCTGCTGCAATACTTGGAGCCCCCAACGACGGCCGTGCACTGACCAGCTTCGCAGTTCTCTGCGTACCTTCCCGTGCACTCCTGGATGCATTTGCCAGTAGTCGGATCGCCATCATGCTCAAGTACAGACCCGGGGTAGCAGGCTGTACAGGAGGCTTCTGCGTTGTCACTACAGTTTGCACATGACTCGTGGCAGCGGGTGCACACCTTGCTATTGGCATATGTGCCAGCAGGACAATCGAGCATGCACTCGTCCTTCAGGGGGCTCAGATTATTATTAGTACACTCAGAGCACGTAACTATTGGACCTGCTCTTGCAGATGTTGCTTTGAGGGAGCACTTCTTGCAGTTGGCTATGCCACCCTTATCGGCTTCACTACACAGAGCACATACCTTCCTGTTACTATTCTGTGCATCGGTCATGGGGAAGAATCCATCCTTACACTCCTCTGCACTGGCACAAGAGGCTGTCCCCGATTCTGTCTTCAGATACTTATCTGCCTGGCACTCAGTGCACGTTGCAGGGCCGGCACTCTGTGGCTTAGTGCACTTGGCACATCCAGCGACGCCCTTCCAAGCACCAGATCCCTGAGTAGCATCTCCGCACGATATGCAAGGGCCCTCGCTCCCCTCTGTTGCTAAGAAGTACGTCTCTGCCGTGCACGACTTGCACTTGCTGACTGTCCCGTCGGTGCAGGTCAGGCAGTTATCTGCACATGCTGTACATGTCTTTCCTTTACTATTATCTACAAAGTATCCGCTCTCGCATGCTGTGCACGTGGCAGCCTTGGGAGTAGTAGTATCACTTGCTTCTGTGGGCTCCTCACACTGAGTGCAATGCAATACGCCCTTGTACTTTTTATCGTTCTTAACTGTTATTTCCTCTTCGTCTCCACATGGTATGACCGACTGGTGAGAGGCGTCTGCGCCCGGCGGCACGAAGTACCCAGCCTTAGCCTGCGTGCACACTCCATCAGTTGCTGTTTCACACATCGTGTTGCCAGGTGCCTGGCTATCCTTGTAGCATCCGCCCTTGTACATGAAGGACTTATTAGCGCACTGTGTACATACTCCATCTTGTTTTTGGCTACATTCGTTGTTGTCTGCTGAGCACACTCCGTCCGTTGGGGCAGATTGAGACCCACCGCCGTTGCACTGGGAGCAGTACTTCTTGCCGTTGATGACGGCGCTACAGGCCTTGCAAGTGTCGGGCTGATCACCAGAGACGGTTGTGCACTCCTCTGTCGCCAGTTGGAGCGCAAGGCCGATCAGCAAAAACGCGTAGAACATTGTGGCTCGACGCTCTGTCACACAGAGATATAGCAGCTCCGTTCGCCAGTCCACCCCTTCATGGCATCTGCCTGTGCTGCATGACGCACTGGCAGGGAAGGCCCTCCACAGGCCTGCGGAGAAGCGGAGTCGTATCGATTCCACTCTTATGACCTGCCGCTCCGAGCTTCTGTGACTGGCCGGCTGTGAGATGGATTGATCAGTATAGGTCTCCCCCTTATGCTGCAAGGCGTACCATAGTAGTGGCTACACGGCGGCCATGCTTCGCTCTTCGCTGTGATGTGAGGGCTTCCATTGGCGTCAGCGACAGGCGGAGCTGGCTCGTCCTATCCCAGTCCTGTAGTGTCACGTAATCCCTAATCCGTCGGAACTTTCGGCACCATACGGCATATGGCTGCCCAGCCACAGAAAGGGTCGTCTTAGCGGTAGGCCGTAGGTAGGATGCACAGGAGCAGGCCTACACTCGCCCCAGAATCTATGTGCTAGCTTCGGTGGCCTCGCACTCTGCACACCAGGCCGCTCCCGTCTAAGCGCGGCCAAAGTGAAAGCTGGGTCGAGAGGGGTCTATTCGCTGACCGCTGGACCGCGCCATCCGGTGGGCCCAGTAGTACAACACACCGTGACAAAGTGAATCCAGCCCACCGGACCATTTAAAAAACTATGAGTGGTACATACAGCCTGGAGGATATGGCGGGGTACCATTCGATCTATGATGATGTTACTCTCCCACCAATCACCCTCACATACTTGCCCACTGGTCAGCAAATCACAACTAAGTCTGAAATACCTGTGGGCCAGGCATTGAAGGTGTTTGATCCCGAAATCAACGCCATAGCCGCTCTCGTTAACAATGAGATCTTAAGCCTCAATGAAAAGTTGGACATAAGCAGCACAATAGAGCCTATATTCTTCAAAGGCGAGTATGCGCGCCAGATCTTTTGTGACTCTTTCACGGTGGCACTGCAGGCTGCTGCAACTAAGCTCTTTCGCGGGCAGGCTCTTGAATGTTGCTACATCATGCAGAATGCTAGGTTTTTCAAGTTCACCGACATGGCCCTTACTCGTGACGATCTAGACGCTCTAAAGGCTTTATTGATCGACATCTCAGACGCTGACCTCAAAATCTCGCGTACTACTGTTTCGTTTAACGACGCACTTCACTACCTAAAGGAAATTCATCATAAGGGCTCTTGTAACCTGCTTACGTCTATCAACACGTCAAAGGTTTCTATGGCAAGAATATACTCCAAAGAGCTTAGTATTGATTTCAGAACCCTCTGGATTTCTACGCTCGCACCTTCTACCGGCGTCTTAGGAAAGAATCTATGGACGATGAAGCTTCACGATGCAGGGATACTTGTTCATCTCACCGATGACTTTGTCAATGTTAAGCCTCCCAATGCTAAGCTTGAGAGCCAACTTGCTCCAATCATGATGGCCTATAAAAACTGGTCATCTGTCCTTCGGGTGCCGAATGTAGCGGCTTTGAATGAACTAATTCCTAACAGGACAAGAATTCGTGAGTTCATCAACACGTGCGAGTTCAGACACGAGAAGCACATTTCTGAAGTAGCTAAATCTATCCCAGATGATGTCCGCTGCATCTTTGTAGCTGGCCCCAGCTCGTCATCTAAAACCACGTTCAGCAACAGGCTCTCTGTGCATCTCCGTACTCGCAACTTCCAGCCCATCCGCGTCAGCCTAGATGACTATTATATGAATCCGGATAATATCCCCCGTCTAGAGAACGACCCAACAAAGCCAGATTTTGAACATATAGAAGCGCTGGATCTTAAGAGGCTGAGCGAAAACCTTCACGGATTACTTAATGGAGAAGAGGTGACCATGGCCCATTATGACTTCAGGACGAAGACTGCAGGAGACGGCAAGAAGCTGAAGCTTCCGTCGGGCGGGGTCCTCATAATTGAGGGCATCCACGCTCTGAATGACCGCATAACCTCTGCTGTTCCTGCTGATAAGAGGTGTAGAATCTTTATACAGCCAGTGGGAAACTTGATCTGGGACGAGCTGCGTCTGTTTGAAAGCGTGGATACACGCCTACTTCGCAGAATGTGTCGTGACTTTGTTTTCAGGAACCGCAGCGCAGATGGCACATTGGACTTTTGGCCAAGCGTCAGAGCTGGCGAAGAACGCTGGATATTGTCGAACCAGAGTAAGTGTGAGATATACTTCAACTCTTCAGTGCTGTACGAGCTCTTCACGCTCAAGGTCTTTGCAATTCCACTTCTCAAGTCAGTGCCACAATCTAGCCGCAACTTCCCATCGGCCCGTCGTCTCCTGCGCCTTCTGGAGCCATTTCTCCCCATACCCGTTGAGCTAACTCCAGAGATTTCCCTTAGTCGCGAGTTTCTTCCATCTGGAAGCATCTTCGAAGACTTCTTCTTCTAGCCCCGCGTGTGGTGGTCTTACTTGTTTACATTCAATCCTTGAGTGAATTTGGGTGGTTGAGGTCTGATTAAAGATTCAAAAATGACGCGGTTAGCGACTCTCATGTCTCGGTATCAGCTTCTAAGCAAGCTGGGCAAAGGATCCAGGAGCACGATATACCTGGCTCAAGACAATGAAACAGGCAATTATTTGGCATGTAAAGAACTTTGTTATCGCGACTGGGATTCGTCGGAACTGAGCCTTCTAGAACATGAGATAATGGTAAATAGGGCGCTAGTTCATCCTAACATTATGCGGTATCAATATATTCTTAACGATAAGGAGAACTGTCGCTATTACCTCTTGATGAGTTACTTTTCTAAATCAGATTTGGGGTACCAGCTCGTCAAGCGTAAGGAAACACATGCACGATTCAAGGAGGCAACCATATGGACTCTCATGGCGCAGTTGTATGATGTGCTTCTTTATTTGCACTCTGTTGATAAGCGCCACAGTACTGATATCTCCATTGCTCTATTAAGGGATTTCAGACCATCCAATTTCTTTCTGTCTAGTCGCGGTATTATTCAAATTAAATCTTTGCAGCACCTCAAGCTTCTCGAATTTGGCTCTGTAGAGGCCGAGCCGTTTGCAAGCAAGCTTCCTCCACTGCTCGTACCATATTTGGCACCCGATGTTTTGCAAGGAAACTATTACAGCGCATCATCTGATATCTGGTCTCTAGGATGCCTTCTCTATGAGTTGTGTACATTTCAGGCCTTTGTTACAGGGCGTACACCCAACGATGTCCTCCAGGCGCTAGCAGGCGCTAGACACCCCATTGTTTTGGACCATTATTCACAAAGCTTATCACACGTTCTCAGCCTTATGCTCCAGCCCAATTCCCGAGATCGCATTACCCTGAAGCAGTTGGGGTCGTTTCCACAGCTAAAGTCGGCCTGGGAGCAATATAAGGCATACATCACCCACACAAGGAAACCTGTGGGTGATCCTATACCCTTACTGTTCCATTGCAAGTGCGGTGGGGATGGCCATAGTTGCTGCCTGGATGCTCGCCGCAAGAATGGCCTTCCAGATACATATATTTCGCGGAGAGACCTCCAGAGTGATGCAGTGACTCCGGCTAACCTCTGGCAACAAAGCACCTCTTCTCGCTTACTAGCTTCCAAGCGCCACAAGTCTAACGGCGAATTCGAGGTTGTCCACGTGAATCAGCGTGCAGAAGACGAGGATGGAATTAAATATGAACGCTTGGAATCAGATGCTCTTGCGCTGGAAGATAGATTGGGTTACACACCGAATGCAACGGGTGTTGTATTTACACAACCGGCCATACAGGCAATCGATCTGAACAGTACACGCCAATCTCCATCGAATACCACCAAGGAGTCATACTTTGCAACTCATGGGCGCTACCCCAAAGGGGTTGTGAACCGCCTAGTCTATAGCAATGAAAATAGCCGTATGGAGGGCGGCGGGGCGCTGCAAACTCAATTTGAATTGGTAGAAAAAGTCATTGAAGACTCTCCTTCTATTAGAAATCCGTCCAGCGCGAAATATATAGAATATGGCAATTTTGCAGGCCGCACTATGCTCAACACAACCATCGGTGGTCAAGGAAACATGACAATGATGGGAGGAGTTCTTGGCCCTGTGAATGTAGATGAGATTTTCAAGGGCGAGGAGGTTGAGACACAGGATAGGGCATGCAGTCCGATTATCGTTAGTGTGCATTCTCCCAACTACACTAGAACAGAGCTTGACAGCCTGATGACAAACGATGGTGTCACACGCCATACTAGAAAGCATAGAAACGAGTTCGGTGATACAATCAGCACCTGCTGGCAGCCTTCTCTAAAGAGCAATATTTCTTCTGTAAGGACTCTTGACTTGGATGAAAAGGTTGCTTCAATTAACATGCCTTCGACACCAAATCACCGTCTAAGGGACAGTAGCTATGATATTTATCCCACATTAAATTCTAGCGGAGGTATGGCAGAATCTCTATATGCCAATTCTCTTTCTCCGCCGAAGAAAAACAAAACCTCTATCAATGATAGCCATGACTCTAAGATCACTAGCCATATTTTCTCGCCGTCCTACAAGGCATCCTTTTATGATCCAAAAATGCTATCCACACCGAAGGCTTTCGAGGCATTTAGCTCTGATGAAGAAGGACAGCATAGTGATGTGCCGCAAGAGGTAATTAACTACCGTCGAAGCCCCCCTGCATCCTTATATGAAGAGCCTTTACGCTTGGATTACCACAGGCACCCAGTACAGGTGCCTATTGTTTATACTACTGATGATACGGTTTCATACATTGATATTCTTAAAAGCACACAATCCACAACCAGAGCAGTTGGTCCTAATAAACCGGAAAAGCTGAAGAAACAGAAGAAGTCCAAAGAACCTACCCAGCCCCCTGTAATATCATTTGAGGACGATTGCTCTGTTGGTAGACTACCTACGCCTGATAGGACAATGATAAAGGTAAGCCACCGGGATTCTATCAGAGAGCCAGGAAACGATGATCATCTTATTTCTGCGTATTCTCGATGGTCGTCGCCTTCAATTACTCCACAACCTCCTGCAGCACCCTGCACATATGAACATTATCATGCATCGTATGTCCCACGTAATAAGCTAACGCCGCCGAAGACAATACAGGTTCCGCTCCCAGGCGACTACACTCACTATGCCTTTTCATCAAATAAGATTGAAAAATCATCAGCATTAGCCAAAGACATACATGGTGCGCATGAGCCTACGTCTACCAACAATCTAGCACTGTCCAGGAACAGCATTGCACATGTTTATGAGACGCATTTTCTGCCCCATGAAAGGTATGTTTCTAAGCATGAGTTACAAAGAACACACCCTGTCACGTTTTCTATGTTAAACACTACCACTAACGGGACAAGAAGCGGAGCAGAGGGGTTGAGAAATACGCTATCCACTGACAGAGGTGTTGGAAGCTCAAGTCAAGTCACTTTGTAAGCCACACCATATGTCAATAAGTGAATGGCTGCTTGGAAATCATTTCTGTTATAAAAATGGCAAATCAGATTCTGGCCGGTGTCCTTCAATTAGAGCAGGTCCTGGCCACCGGAGAACACAGTGTCATATATCAGTGCGCTGACTTACGGACTGGGAGTACATACGCATGTAAGAAGATCTGTTATTCACGATTTGATCAGCTTAAAGAAGACGCTCTTAACCACGAACTTGCTGTCGTGCATAGAGCTAATCATGGAAATGTGGTTGCATACTTAGATGTTATACATGATAAACCATGCCAAACATATTACATTATTATGCCTTTTTACAGATTTTACGATCTAGGAACGCAAATTTGTAAGAAAATTGAAGAGGGCGGTCGTTTTGAAGAGGCATGCGTTTGGCTAATATTAGTGCAGTGTCTTCTTGCTCTAGACTACCTTGACACGGAGCTCTCTGACGTCGACGCAGATGCACGTCCCACAAATAAGCTTGTCTTCGGAAACATTCGGCCCACCAGTATCTATGTTGATTTGCAAGGGAATACGTACATAAATACATTTAGATTGTCAAAGTATCCTTCGCTTTTGAATGGCACTGCAGCTCCCAAGTTAGCACCATACTGGGCTCCAGAGCAGCTCATGAACTATTCACATAGTAGTAAGATAGAGATTTGGTCGCTAGGTTGCATAGTTTACGAAATGTGTCTCTTGCACAGTTTGTTCAGAGGCACATGCGAAGACGTATTAGAGCAAATACAGAAGCTAAGGCGACCTGTCAAGCTGCCTAATTACTCAGCACAGTTGGAGGAGGTAGTTAACAGCCTTCTAGAGCCGTCTCCAGACAAACGTCTCTCTGCAGCAGAGCTCCTCAAGCATCCGACAATCTTGGAGTACAAGCGCTTTTATGATGAGCAGATAGTTTCTAGGAAGCTTGCCTTAGGGCACCAGCTTCCACGGATGGGTCTTTGCAAAATCTGCGGCGGGAATGGATTAGATTGTTGCGAAATAGTTCGACTTGCAGTTGCCAACAGCAAAAGGCTATCTTATATAGATGAGCATGGGAATCTTGTTTACGTAGATACTCTTGCAGAGCAAAAGGCAGGGATCGCCCGTGTAGCCAATCAGCGAACTATGGACCGCATTTATTCTGTGATTAATCCAGATTCTCGGAAGGCAAATTACTTCAATATTCAGCCAGTGACGAAGGATATGATTCGAGCTAAGCAACAAGCCAGCTATGCATGGAAATCTGCACAAGATGAAGGTAGAACTAAAGGTGAAAACGCCCACTCTATTGTAATGAATTCAATAAAAGATGGATACAAGTACAACGAGCAGCGCAACTATTTCCCCAAAGAAAGATATCGAGACCCAAACACATATCCGCTTACTAATCTAGTTCCAGTAACGCTGATCCAATCTGCAGAGCATAAGCAAGGAACGAGATTGCAGTTAGCTTCTAGACAACGGAACGAGCTGGATCAATGGAGCTATGAGGGACTAGACACAATAAACTTCAAGACGCAATACTCAGAGCAGCCGTCATGGGCATACTCCGGCAACACAGATATGAAGGATGTACCCAGTATCGTCTCTAATGCAGAGGAGCGAGCAGTTAGGCAAGATAATAATGATGCACCTTCTTATAAAGTAGGGCATAGTAGCGGCTTTTCCAGCACTATCGGCAATTCGTCTTTTATCGACGAGCTTCTCTTCCAGGTAAGGTCCGTATCTCCACCTAAGCCGGTCTGTAAGGACTTCGTTCCGCTAGTGTATGCGAATTCTTCGACGCCTCCTCCCAGCTATCAGTCGATGAACAGTGTCCCAGTAACAAAGGTAACTACAGAGTACGAGCTCTTCCAACCGTCTATTCATACACTACTAAATCCGTCAGTGAACCATGCCAGTCCAGCAGACACATCGGTACAGAGCGTAGCGCCTGTGAACATTTCGGGGCCCAGCGCCCACAGAGATGGGCCACAAGCGTTGCAGGCATCAGGACTAGAGCCTAAGTCGTCTCTACTCGTGTCCAGCGCTGTACCATCTAAGGCATCCACAATCTACAAGAAGGAACCGCTCTCCACTTCAGTCACTTCAGTATACAAAGACTCTGCGCTCTATGTCTCATCTGTTAACCCAGCTAGCGAGTATATGCCAGAACAAAAGCAAAAGTAGCTGGCTCTGATGACCGGCCTTATATTTTAAGTAAGTTCAGGACTTAAGATGTGTTAGTTCAAAAATAACAGACAAGTAATTCCACTAGTGTTTAAGTTGCATATCTTAATGTGTTATATGTGAGGGCTGGCCGACTGAAAGTATGCTTTGATTAATTTGTGCTTGAGTCTAGGGTAAGAGTTGTTTCTCGCTCTGTCATTTCCAGAGCCGTTACTAGCGTTGTAAGGGTTGACTGATCAGCAAATGTTTGCCCCATATGGTCAGCTGCTTCATTTTCTTCTTTATCTTTATCCATACTTACATCTTTTGATTCTCTTATGGAGCACGGGGGGACCGCAAGTCTTGCAGTCGGCTCTAGACCTGTTGCACTTAAGGAGATTATGCGTGGGGCACTCACTTTAGCCTGGCGTGCAGTAGCTTCAGCTAGCAGGATATTATCGTCTTCAATGTTAGTAGATTTATCGACATAAATCTCGATATTTGAGTCGTTAGGAATGACCGGAACAAGTACCACATTGCATCCTGAAAGCCGAATATCAGACAGAACGCTACTGAACTCTATGAGTGTCTGTTCTTCACTCTTTACGGCATCTAAGATCTGTTCTGGTGACAGCAGTGTATATGGTAAGGAGCGGTTTCCGTAGAACTCTCCTTGTTTTGTGTGCAAGAACATGTCCCAGTTGACTGCAAGACAGTCGTGCTCAAATAGTGTTTCGGCCTGTAGGCCTAAGAGGAAATTTAAAGCAGCCTCGCCGAATTCTTCGCTACTGTAGTTTGATAACTGGATGTTTTGGCTAACATCTTCAACGCTTTCAACAATCTGATTGTCGTCTTTAATCACAAATTGGTCGTCAGAATCTTTGTGTATTGTTTCATGGAAGTACTCTTTAACCAACTGAATATGCTCCTTATATGTGTACCCGGGCTTAAAGCAAAAGATAGTGAACAAGAGTGCAGTGTTCTCGACACTGTAAAGTCCTTCTAGTCTAAGGTAAAGCAGCCAATTGTACTTAGGAGACCTAGACGAAATTCCAAAGGGCTGCAGATTGACAGGCTTCTTGCAAATAAGTCTTGCTAAATTAACTAGAGTGCTGATGAAAATGGTAAGCCGTTTGAGCTTCGTCAGGGAGCATATGAGAACAGACTTGGATCCCTTACCAGCAGCCATTATCTGCCTGACTAATTGTACAGTCTTCTGTCTGTCTTGAGATAATTCAACATAGGCACGCTGGAGCTCAACAAGAGTCTTTAGCTTCGCCGTGTACACTTCTAAATACTCCGAATGAGACGAAAGAATAATGCTTGCATAGTTTCGTTCCAGTGGCGGTATATCTAAGGCTTTCCAAAGAGGTATGAGCGACCCAAATGGCTTACGTAGCCAAGCTGAAGACTCGGATGGTGACTTCAGTGGGCGCCTTTCACGATGAGCTAGGTTTATAGACGAGTATATCTGCCTGTCTACCAGTCTATTAGCTTTGAGGGAGCCTGTGTGTAGTGATACGTTATCGGGAGAAAGCAATCGCGTCTCTCTTCTACTTCTGCCTCTTCCAAGCACTCTTTCTAGACTGCTGTTTTTTCCTGGAGAGGAAGAAATCCGATATATGTCCTGGTACGAACACCCGGTGGTGTGGGAAGACATTAAAAAGTTTTTGAGGACAGGTTTTAAAGGATAGTTTGGGCAGTTATAGCTGGAGCTGATGCGTGGCAACCTACCCTTGTCAACCCTTTCATTACTAAAATGTGTTTGCCATTCTCCATATTATCAATTTTAAAGTATTGATACAATGCGCAGATAAGACCCAAATTCACTTCTGAGTATAGAGGGGGGTTACGTTGTTATCTTCGCTGTTTTCTGCCAGTCACTGGGAGATCCGTTGCTTCGCTTTGCGGCTGCGGATTAGCTGCTTCAGCACACTCTATTTCACCGTCCTCATTATAAAACGAGGTTTTCTTGGTATCGCTTTGATAGACACTCTGCTTCTTAACTTGGCGCGGTCCTGTTCTGCGTTGATTGATGGACACAGTTATAGTGTCGCTTTCAGAAGGAATACAAGCGATGTTTTGGAGCACAGACGATGCTATGCGATTTGTACCTGAATTACTGTTGTCCTTATGGGACGATTCTTTAGTTCCTACGTGAAGTACTTGTGGGTCATTGCTGCTATTGTAGTGGGGATCAAGTGAGATCTGCTTGTCCCTGCGGACTACTGAAGACGCCAACTGATCATTCCATTGACGACTATTAGATCCAACGGATGCACTCCCAGCTGGTCGATCTTTGGAAACCGACGGCTCTTGCCTGGAAGCCACTTTGGCTGCAGAGGCATGAATAGCCGACTGTTCACCAGATCGGGCGCTGAAAACATCATCAGGGGCTGTGTGAACACTAATCTGTTCTGGGTCGCGGAATCGCGAGGGGTGATCACTTGTAGGTTGATGTGCTTCGCTGAACAATCCCATATCCAGTTTAGATTCGGCTTCCGTTGGAGCAGACGTCCTGTGAGTCGAATAATCTGTGTGATACGACGATATTGGACCGATCGTAAGATCTTGTGGCAAAGGATCATTGAGGGCTATTCGATGATTAATTTGTGGAGCAATCGATTCATGTGTAGTCGATGATTCAATGGAGGGTGTTCTAATAGGTCTATAGGACGTTTCAGAGGCAGGTTCAGAGGATGGCTTCTCTCTTTCCAAGCTTTTGACGCGCGGAGGCAATCGGGCGTGCTGAACCTTAGCAGGGGAATGATGCTCCTGAGTAGCCACAGCAGTCTTATGCTGTTCAGAGTTTTTGGTCCATGACATGTTTAACTCCTGAACCTGTACATCTATCTCTTCCAATTGTAGGCTTCGCTTAGACGAACTACTAGGCTCCTTAGAGAAGTGCTTAATAAGGGAAGCCGGCTCCATTGAGATTGATGGAGACCTGGTTTGATGTTGCTGGCTTGGCAATACTGTTGATGAACTAGATAATGCCGTTGAATGTTCTGTCGCCTGTGTGGACGAGTTCAGCTCTACCACAGGGATGGAACCTCGTGCAACTGTTGCACTTTGAACGGTAGTGGCAGTGCATGCAAAAAAGTCTTGAGCAACATAAGGGTCAGAGGGATCCATCTTAGATCCCTCAGTAGGCAGATAAGAACTTGTATCATGAGATACATCATCTGGAGCAGGAGTCTTCTCTAAAGATGCCGCAGGGTTTGCAATACGTTTGGGAGAACAGAGAGTTCGGGAAGGCATAGTCTCAACGGGTGGGAGGGTAGTTAGAGAAGAAAGAGCTGGCTCAGTGAAGGTAGGCAGGGGAAGCTCTATAGTTGATACAACAACTGGGCTGTTAGGAATCAAAATTGTATCAATATTTGTGGTCGTTTCATATAATGCAGCCGAGAACGAATCCTGCCGCTCATGTTTAGAAACATCAATACTTCCAGGAATTATTTGAACGATAGATTGCTCTGCAAGGAAGTTGGAAATAAGATCGTCCTTGTGTTGTGGCTGAATGTTAGCAGGAAGGCTGGCATGGTTTAGTATTAAAGCTGGCTGTTCAAGGCTTGTAGTTATTGATAGATTATTAGTGGAATAGAGCTCGTCGATAATGGATGTTTCCAGTGGCGCTGTAGCCATGGCCTGCGAGTCCTGATCAGCATACATCTCTTCGATGATAGACTTTGTCACAGATGCGGAACGCAATGGTAGTGTAGGTGCACTGCTATGCATTTGCTGCACATAATTGGACAGGCGCGGCCCTTCGGTAAATTGTGCCGGTATTGGGGCTTCCAAGTCTTCTAGTTGCAGACGAGATTCTTCTGCAAGCAGAGAGGAGCGTTGTGTTGGAAGTGTAGAGGTTGCCACCTCAGCCGTAGCGTTAGGAATTTGCAATGAACTTGAAGCCTGCGAGGAGGCGTGAAATTCGGCGAGGGAACGCGGAAATCCTTCTAGTTCGCTAGATGCATCCCTTGCATGTGACACCCGCACAGAGGGCAGCGCTTTCACAATTGATTTTTCAAGGGTAGTCGGAATTGTGCTTATATGGTGGACAAGTCCAGTAACGTCTTCTCCGATGACATCTACGGGAGTGAAGGCACGAGACAAGAGATACTCATTACTGTGTTGCGGAATAGTTGAATGAGATCTGGAGATAGAAACGGCCGGAAGGGCTTTAGAGCTAATGGGGCCATCAGCCATGCTCATCTCTTCCAAGATAGAAAGATTGTTTTCGCGTACCTGACTATAGTTTGAAAATTGAGGTGGCGGGAGGTCTGGGAATACCAAATTGGTGCTGGCACCTGGAACTGTTCCCAGAATAGACGCATTAGCAGCAAACGGAACTGTTTCAATAAATGTATGTGCTGCTGTACAGTCAGTCATTATGTAAGGAGTGGATGGAGCTGAGCGCCTAGAAATAGACGGCTCCTTGGACCACACGGTGGGCTTTGGTTTGCGGATTACAGTTGCTCGATACTCCTTTGTGGGAGGAATCGAAGGACTGGTGACCTGCTTGACCTCATTTGTAACAGAAATAATCGGCGGTGTCTGTTTGATTAATTCGTTAGCAGAGGTAGACACATGTGGAGCAGGTTGGTGAGGAGCCAGTTCCTTGAGAGTCTGTTCTGGTCGAGGTTGTTCGCAAGAAGGAGTTCTAGACCTCTTAGAAGAGTGCATAACTAAAGAGTCCGATGGGCTATGGGTTTCCTCATAGGTCTCCTCCGGCTGCTCCGCCAGTAAGTCGCACGTTTCAAATTCGTCTAGCTGACCTTCGCAACCAGGCTCATCCGGAAAATCTAACGGTTTATGTGCCCGTTTAATCGTGGATCGCGACAGGGTAATAACGTGAGCTGGACTGGCGGGCTGAGGACAGAAACCTTTCGAGGAATCGCTAGATAGTAAACCCGGCTCTCTGGCAGTAGCGAATGTCATAGTGACCTCTGGAACCATAGTGCTCTGAGCTGAATTTGGTCTGGAGAGCTGAGTAGTAGAAGATACTGCTGGTGTTTCAGAGATGTCCATCAAGCTGCTGAGTACTGTTGTATGGTCCTGGAGTGGTTTATCAAACGACTTGCTTTCTAAATTAATAGTATTAATAGTTGATGGGTCAGCAAGAAAGTTTCGATGATGTGGATTTTCAACCACGTGAGAATCAGCTGCAAATGTCAAAATCATCTGAGTTACAGTTACATCTTCGTCTAGTGTACTTTCAGTAGAGCTTCTTGATTGGACAGAAGAGCTTTCCTTAGAACCTAAAGTAGTAGAGGATAGAACTTGAGGATGCTCACCAGCGTTTTCCTGGGCAATTGATGAATACTGATCTTGAGAATTTTGTTTAGGCACTTCATTGGAAGAATGCTTGATTAAAAATGAAGACTCGTGAGTTAAGGGCCTAGATAACGAATTTTCTTCTGCCTTATTTTGTGAATGCATAAAGTTCTCAATCAAAATATCGTAAGAAGTATCTCCATTACCATAAACATCTGTATTTAGCAAAGTATCCTCACACACCGTGTCTTCTGCCAAGGGCTTCTTTTGGTTTGTTCTCGATGCATCGGTAGGTTTTAATTTCCGTAAAGGTGGAAGGGATGATAAGGAATACGTTAGAACAAGCTCACTAACAGGTACATCTTCATTATCACAAGCTGGAGTAAGTACTCCCTCATGTATATCGTTAACTACAAGAAGGTCTTCGACGGGCTCCGCGGGCTCTGCAAGGCGTGCCTCCTCGGGCTCCTCAACGGGCGCTTCAGGTTCTTCGACGGGCTCCGCGGGTCTGCAAGGCGTGCCTCCTCGGGCTCCTCAACGGGCGCTTCAGGTTCTTCGACGGGCTCCGCGGGGTCTGCAAGGCGTGCCTCCTCGGGCTCCTCAACGGGCGCTTCAGGTTCTTCGACGGGCTCCGCGGGCTCTGCAAGGCGTGCCTCCTCGGGCTCCTCAACGGGCGCTTCAGGTTCTTCGACGGGCTCCGCGGGGTCTGCAAGGCGTGCCTCCTCGGGCTCCTCAACGGGCGCTTCAGGTTCTTCGACGGGCGCCTCTTGCTGCTCGGGCTGTTTCTTTGCAGGAAGAGAAGAGTAACTCTTACTAGCAGTAAGCTGCTGTAAACCAACAGACTCAGGTTCCTTTCTACTTCGAGATTGTAATAGCGGGGTCCCATCTGGTCGAGTAAAATCTGTTAGAGGAGTACTACATGGTTCGTCCAAGATGTCTTCGCGAATCCTAGATAAAAGGATGATATTATCACAGACGTGCTCGTCGTCAACTTCATATACTTGAAAGTGTTTGGCTGTACTAGAATCCTCATAGTCTGTAGAGTCTAGACAGGCGTATCGCCCAGTACTACTACTTCGTACTTGTGAAGTAGTGATCCTATCAAAATGACTAGAAGTGATCACCACACATGGAATGTATTCATCGTTGATATTAACTTGACTCTCAGGATGCTCGTTGTGTAGTAGATCAATTTCCCTTAGCAAGGATCCACCTGTCGAAAGAATATTTCTGGGTGAAGATATAGTTACAATAGTTGCGCTCATTACATCGTCTCGAGAGGCGATTTCCGTGGCAGTTGACGGCGGAAGCAACGTACACTCACTTATTTTGGGAATAAGGGCAGTAGCAGGAGAAATAATATTTAGATCTTTAGCATTGGTCGAGGAGCTTGGGGGCTGCGCAGTAAACTCAGCATATGGGTCCTCTGATGGTATGTCCAAACCTCCACTACTAGCTGCAAATGAAGGACCAACCACTTCTGGTTCAATAATATCTGGATCCTCATGATAACTTTGTTCATCATAGGTGCTTAAATTCTGAGTTGATGATATGGATGAGTGAGCTAGTGCTTGCATCTCTAGCGACTCCTCGTCCTTTGGAGGAGAAAGATTAACTATGGGAGCATCTTCGCGTAGATCATTGCCATCCATCTCAATAGTTGGTAGATCGGCTATCACTTCAGGTTGCGATGCAATCACAGCGGGAGATATTGACCCCGATGGCTCAAGCTGCACCTCGTGCTCATCAGGTTGTGGAAGTATAATATCCAGCGACGCCTTTAATGGTGGTAGAATAGTGGGCGCGCCTGATGAACCACTTAACGGTCTACTAGAGACATGAGTTGAAAGATGCTCATTAGATGCAAAATTCGCCTGTTCAGATTGACAAGCTTCGTTAGATACAGATGCATCTAAAGAAGAACGGTGGTCATCATCGGTAGAGCGTTCAATGTGAGCAATAGCAGAAGACTGTCTATGAGGAACAACACTTTCATCATCACCATCCGTTAGACGTCGTAGCAAGACTATTTTATTTGACCCTTCATCCTCCTGCGTAAAGATCCTGTCATAAACATCCAACGTATCCGAAGCTGAGAGCGGAGGAACAGCAACAATCCCACAATCACTTTTGTTTGCCTGCCTCATAAGATCGGTTAATTGGTTAATGGTTGTTCGCTCGACTGCAAATGCTGTGAACACTTCCTCTGGAGTCAGCTCCAGACAAGGAAGAGGAGCCTTGCCCATAGATGGCCCCCGCACCTGCTCTAAGTGTTCTACCCATCGCACCCCTAAATCATCTCCCTCAAAAGCAAACGTCATTGGAGGAGCAACCCCCAGTAGAAGAGCCAAGGATGCAAAATCATTGATAGGCGAGGCTGTGTCTACACCAGGGAGCATAACACATGCAGCTGGGGTATGAATGTTGTCATTTTGGTTTGAAAATTCTTCGTCTTTGACGCTATCCCACATACCGTAGAAGGAAGATAACAGGGCTTTATGGTCAGATAAAGCTTGACTCTTGCTATACTTTAAAACAGTAAACATAACTGCAAAATCGACTTGATTGAAACCTCTTTTCTTCATCCTCACGATGTAGTTTGGAGACTTCTGGGAAAATCCTGTTCTGAGAGGATTAAATGAAACTGGCTTTTCACAGATTACTCGTGATGCATTGACGACAGAAACTATGGAAATTATAGATGACCGAAGAAGGAGGAGATCGTTTGCAAGGGACTTCCTGCTCCCCTTTCCTCCTTTCAAAGCGCTTTCAATATTGCCAAAGGCGCTCTCATATTCCTGAATGCTTGTCAGGTATGCTTCTCTGAGATCTAAAAGAGCTTTTAACTTATTTATGTAGGTGGGGATCTCAGCCCTGTTTGCATCCAGTCGCTCATAAGCAAGATTGCGCTCTTCAATGCATACATCGAGGCTGTCCCACAGTGGTATAATATCTGTAAGAATATTCTTAGCCGTCTCAGTACGTCGCAACGGTGCTGGATTGTATGTGCGCGCAGTCTTGTAAGAAACGTCTTTTCTCGGCTTGTGCATTTGTTTTCTTGAGAGATCCGCGCTCATAAGCAAAGGATTTGCTTGCAAGTAGGGACTCTTGTAGGTGAACTTAGTGCCAGTCTGGGCAGACATGGCAGATGTATTAGTGACCAGACGCCCGCCAGAGGTAGGTCCACTATCACGACGAGACGTTCTCATTGCGTCAGTTTTTGGTGTGGATGATCGTAACACTGCCTGAGGTCTTGATCGGCCTCCAGTCCTCATAGATGAATCCGGAAACATTTGGTCCGCGATTTTTAAAATCCGGTTATAAATACGCCGACTGTCTTGGGAGCTTAAAGGAGGTCCAAAGGCTGCGTTCACTCACATCCGTCTCTCCTGCTTCAGGCTTGAGTTCACATTCTCTGCGACAAAACATGGCTACTCCTTCTCCTATTCGTAAGCATTCACAAAAGCAGGAAGAACGCCACGCCTTTTGGCGTTCACTTCTGCTAAAGTGTCCTGTGTTTGTTCCTGTTCAAGGGTCGACACACAAACTGCAAAAGATCACCGCTTACAGTATCTCCAAGCATGTGAATCGTACACGAGCAAACAGTCAATTAAACCCAGTTAGAACCCCTCCCCTTTCCAGGTCATTAACCAAAGCTGTCCCTGGATCACTTCAAAATACCCGAACGCCGCGTGGCTCTGCTGTCAGCTCAACCATCCGGAACACACCTCCCATAAGAAAACCCGGCCTCACCACGTCTGTTCTTTCTAATGACTCACTACTCTCACCATCCGGCACTACATCATTTGCAGTCTTCAAGCACCTCCCTAAGGGCTCTATAAATGGAAGTCTCTCTACGAGAAAGTCAACTGCAGAGCTGACTCTCTCAGAATGGACCCATCTCGAAGAAATGCAGACAGACTTAGGGCTTTGCGAGGCGGAAATTGCGTATTCAAAAGTTACGATCAAAAACAACCCGGCATTGGGTAAAGCATACTTCCGTAGAACAAAAAACCTTACTGAGTACAATTCTGCGTATCGAATAGCATATAAGGAGCGTGCAATCGTCTTAGCTCGTGTCCAGAAAAATATAAAAGAGCTTCGTGGTTCACGCATCGCTCTGCTACGTTCTCTTGAGCGGCTTCGCGCTCTGACTATCTACATGTGCTCATTGATTAATGCTGCTCGCTTGATCTGTGGGAAACCAGTAGTTCTGCCAGGGCTCAATTTATACAGTGAGCAAAACTGGCTCTATGACCTACGGCGTGAGCTCTTTATGAGCAGGAAAACCACCGCGATACTGCTTACGGTGTTCAAGCTCTTTGGTAGAAAAACATATGAGGATGTGCGCTCTGTTGTTGATGCGTATTTTACATCGTGTATTACCGATTTTCCCCCTACTCTGTCACTGTCCGAGCAAGAGCTAAGCCGAACGCTTGGCATGCCACCTAATGAAGATGCTTCACTTAAGAGCACTATGTCAGCTTCTAGCGCCCCTGCGATCAACGGTAAGACAGCTAGTGATGATGGATCGTCGCAACCTACTCTTGAGGCAGCGTACATTCCCGACGATAGCATGAATAACATGGGCTATTTCTCCAGAATGGACGGGCTATCTATGACCGATACCATCTATGATGAAGATGCAGATCTTGACAGAGTTACTGCGGGAGACGTGGCTCTCTACCTTTTGTTGGGTGTTAGCGCAGAAGAAATCTTCGACGGAGATGATTTGGCAGTGGCATGGAATACTCATATAGATAAAATCATAAATACATATCAACGCCTATCAAATGTGGAATTAGAGGAGGTCCCGTCATTACAGGACCTGCCAATTGTAGACATTCCCTTGTTGACAGGGCTCCAAATTGTGGAGATGGCTCGAACAGAAACTTTTATTGTGTCTGATTACATAAACCTCCTCAAGGACTTCGATAACGTTGGCTTGGACGTTGTCAGAATACCAGTTGATCCATCCGACCCCTTTGAGACGTATAGAGTTAACTTTGATCTATCTCTACTACGCGACAGTGCAGATCTAGCAGCATTTGAGTTAGATGGAAAATGTATTGGGTGCTCTTCTCTGTCCTCGAAAACTGCTCCTAGTTGCCCCGATGAAACAGCACATAGACCCAATAATTCTTCTCGCTCATCTGTATTTTCATTAACCAAGAGCATCTCAGTGGAGGAGAATTGACCCCTCTTTTCTGAGAGCCGCGGAAATTTAAAAAGCTTCGTCCTTTGCTTTTACCCCATGTCGCTTTCGCCCATCAGCATGAAGACAAGCCATTGGCAATATAGGAGGCCCACAAAGCAGCACATGAGCTGGGACTACTTTGAGTTGCTGAATCTTTACCGCGCAATAACTTTCGCAGGACTGAGTTACCTCAGCGGTGACGGTTTGCCAGAGGATGACTTGGTGATTGAGCAGTTTTATACTCTGAAAAAGGACTATATAAAGAAGTTTGAGCCTCTGGCCGTTTATCAAATGTATAGGGCACAAGTTCAGCGTACTCTGTTGCTAGGGGTAAATCATGATTGGATGACCTCCTTGCTGAGCATAGTTTTCCGGCTGTTGCGCGCAGAGGCGTGTATTCCTCATGAGAAGATAATGGCAGTCATAAATAACTTAACAAACCACGTCCACGAATACATCAAGGAAAATGCAGAACACAGGATATCTGGCTTTCTTGAGCGGTGGTCCCTTTCTAATAATGTTTTGCCTTCTCGCTGTCCGTCGGCCCACTTCAAACGCACCACAAGGGAACGAATTTAATAAATATGCCTTCTATTATTGACGCGAAGTCTTTTATAGAGGCACCCTCAAGGCATGGCCGTGCCTCTCCGCTCGATGCTGATCCTTGGGAAGATCTACCGACTATGAAGGTGGCCGTCGGAGCTGCACAACTGGTGTTACAAAAGTGCGGGGAGAGCAGTATGTTCTTGAACATGCACTACTCAACGAGCGTTACTTCCCGCAAGATTGCAATCAGGACATCTCCCTTTTTAAACGAAAAGCGTGTCAGCCGAGGGGCTTTAGCTGGAGACCAAGGAATCCCTAGTCATGTCAAGCCCGCTGTTTCTGTTATATTACTTGTCTCTTCCGCGTGCGCTAAAGCAGCCTCAGAGATTAGGAAGCAGATTTATGAGAGGTTCTATTGTAAGGAGGCCCAGCATCCAATCACTGATCCCGGAGATGACTTCAATGTCGTCCTCATAATCACAAGAAAACATCTAGAAGCCATGTTTAACAAGCACACAGGCTCGTTTGTGCGCACGTACTATTACGATAAACTTACAGAACTGCGCCGTGGTACGCGGCTCATGTGCTTAATGGACATTAGATTGCAGAAAGACCCTGTTGAGGGTAAAGTAATGACAACGCTGATGCAAGCTTTCACTGCTCCGCCATATGTTTTGGACATTAACTGCAAGGATTTTACTTTTAAGGTCATCGCGGGCTGCTTGGGCCATGATCTATGGCTCTACCCGTGGAGAGAGGCCTCTCTCAATTCTACCGAAATTTCCTTGATGAACTCCCATGCACGAACAGAGTACTTGCACATCCGTGACTTCATCACAACCTATGACGCCCGAAAGGCACGGACAGCAGCTGTGGACTCAGATGGTAACTGCTATCTCTTAGAAAGTAGGAAAGTCCTTCCATCTGAGTTTTCCATAACCATGCTGCATTTGAGTGGCGGGAAAGTGGAGAATTGTTTCGTTGGATCCACAAAAGAGCCACCCGATATGATAGCAAAGCGCATTTTCCTAGTTGGGAAAGTCCTTAGACTGGCATGTCCTGATCTTACGGTCTCTGCTTTTACTGTAGGGGGGATTTCTGCTCCACAAGTGCCTCTCTCGCAAGAGGGGCTGGGGTCATTGAGAACCTCCACTTTAGAGCTACCTAAATTGGATGGGCGGACGCACCCTATGAGTTCTAGAGATACCAAGCACAACAAAAGAAGTAAAGTGAAACTTTGAATGTGTTTGTGCATTTTATGCGTAACGACTCGACCTGGTACTGAGGTGGAATACAGAGTCGAATTCTCGGATACACAACTTTGTTCTAGTTATGTTCTGGTTGCCTTGGTATCTCTACAGCTGGTAAGACACATACAGATTGATTTTAAAAAGTCCAAAATTCCGATGGATCTTTCTGTTAAGCAACGCCTGAAGCTCTGCAAGGCAGAATTCGATGCTTGCTTTAGGCAGCTGCAATATGATAAGGCGTTACGCGCCATATGTCATGCAATAGAGATTACTCCAGATGATGTAAGCTTATATCTTAATAGAGCACAGTGTTACACCCAAATGGGCTTAACCCAAAAGGCCACCGAAGATGCACTCTATGTAATTGCAGCAGAACCAAACGATCACAGAGGATACCGCAGTAGAGCAGACGCACTCCTTTATCAGGGTGAATTTGAATTTTCACTCATTGACTATTATCATTGTATTGAAATGCGGCCTGATCTGGTAGACCACGAGACGGGCGTCAAGCGTTGCGAAGATGCAGTGAAAAAGGCAATTTTATATGATGACAAAGATATAGAACTCATTCTAGAACTGTTGGAGCTTGGGGTAATTGTTGAGGGCACCGTCTCTCATTCTTCGACTAAGGGGTTTTCCTTATGGACCCCGCCAGAACTTCCTGAAGAAGAGGATGTCGAGGGTTCACAATCTCTTGGCAATTTTCTGGCTCCATTAACCGACGAGAACCTTTCGAAAGATCTGCGGATACAGCAAAAACGCAAACCCGTAGACAACATTATAGTGCAAAGGCCTAAAACAACTCGACCGAAGAGCAGCCGTCTGCCCTTCTTTGATTTAGGAGCAGATAAGGACTTTCTTCGCGAATTACAATCGTTTCCGTTAGTCAAGGATCTTGCCGCGATGGGTACTGAATACATTGACCAACGAGAGCAATACTGGGGTCAATTGGCCAAGAAGGGGTATAGCTCCGATCACAACTCGCGCCGGCCTAACTCTGTCAAAGCACGGCCAAAGAAGGAATCAATTCCAACCTCATCTGAGCGCTCTCACTCAGCAAAAGTGCCTGATACACTTTCATACAATCGGCGAAGACTCTTGGAAGCGACAAAGTCCGGATCTAACATCAAGAAATTAGTCCCCTACACCTCTAAAGCGGTCGAAATGGCGCATGGTTCCCCTGCTGCTTCTCCAAAGCGATCACGTAGTCCAGTGGCGAGTCAGGCACCTGAGTCATCATCAGGGGCGTCAGGATTACATTCACAGATTGCTGCAGCTGTTGCCATGAGTGCACGACTCCAAATGCTCCAGAATGCTCAGGGCCTTTCATTGGAAGAAGCGCCTCCCACAGATACCCGTGTCTCAGACTCTATTTCAAACACAGATACCGATCAGTGTTTGTTTGACGAGCATATCGTACGAGCAGGAGCACACATTAAGCAGCGGAGTTCGTCTGAATCTACAAGGTCGACTTTAGACACAAAACCCCCCATCGATCCATATCTTCAGGTGACAAAGAAGGTTAACAAAAACACTCACCTCATGCATAATACGCCCAACCACAGACCTTCTACCTCTAAGGCCGCATCTGTAACGAAAAAGCCTTCGTCTGCATCGCGTCCACCCAAAACACGGAATAGAACAATAGAGCTGTCTGTTACCGACAAGCGTGATTACATTGGAGGAGTCGCTGGATTGGCTGCAGAAACACGGTCTAGCAGCATCCGGTCCCAGGCCTTTTCAAGGTACATCCTCAACACCGTGACTGCCGAGGCCCTTGCCAGCAAGCGCTCAAAGGTCAACCCGGTGACCTTGGCCCAGGAGGCCCGTACCTTAGAGACTTGGATAGACGGAAAGCAGAGAGATGTCCTTGATGCGGTTCAAAACGGGCTTCTCTGCGACTCTATCAAGCTCTGTAAAGAGGTTTTGGAGCGTATATGCAAGGGAGACCGGGTGTCGAAGGCTCTTCAAGATCTTCCACGTCGAAAAGCACAGTTTTACCTTTATATCGGGTGTACCTATTTTCTCTTAGACCAACGTCAGACTGACCACTCGCGGTCATGCCTTGCGAGTTTAAAGAACGCAGTCGACTATGCCAATCTGACGAAGGATTCGGTTCTGATACTGCAGTCTGTTCGTGAGCTTTCCAAGGCCATGCTTAATATGGGACAGGCCTTCAAGGCGATCGTGCCTCTTAAGAGCATTCTGCGACATTTTGAAGACATTCCACTGCTGGAGGCAGATACACTACTGTGCATTGGGAGGGCATACCATGACGGGGGTGACTATCTGAATGGGCTCACATACACCCACGAAGCTCTCGCTATCTATCAACGCCTCTACGTTAATGAAGACGAGCTCCCGATAGATTTTCCTGGCAAGCGGTGCAAGTATACTGTCTTCACAGAGCTGTCTCCGCGTCACAACTACTGCTTCTGCCTCTGTCTCATCGGCCGGTGCCACTTAGCCCAAAATGACAAAGCCCTAGCAAAGCAGTATCTTGAGCATTGCAAGAGCCTCGGAAAATTATGGAAAGACAGCACGGCATGGCACACGGCCACGGAGCTGCTCAGATTCATTTATTAGTTAAACTTCCTCTGCCTGTAAGATATACCAATTACCAAAGGCCACTTAAATTCCTATCTTAATATCTGTAGTTATAAAATTTTAACAGACTTCTGTAAGATTTAGCACGTTGCATGAACAGAAATCCCAAAAAAGTAAATGAAGCGAGACAAGCTTCTTTTAAATGGCAAGTATAGCATCAATGTTAAAACTAACGGGGAGCGGACGTACAAAGCGCTATGTAATATTGATGGCATAGTACCTGCAATAAAGATTTACCGGCTTTCGGACGTCTCGAAGAGCTCAGTCGACTTTGACCAAAAGGAGATAGACACTGCTGCACGGAGCCTCCTACAACCAAACTTAGTTAAATATATCGAAGCATTTGCGGACAAGGAGTATTTCTACGTTGTTATGGAATTTGTGCCTAACAGCTTAGACCAGATTATTGCTCACCAGCGAAGTACAGAACATCTTGCTGCGCTCTATGTGACCCAGATTGTCAAGGGCTTAATTTTCATTCACTATAACGGCTATACTCATAAGCGAATCACACCAGAACATATATTAATCACAAATGACGGATTTGTCAAAATTAGTGACTTTGTCCTCCAAAACGCATACTTTGCAGATGGTGACAAGGATGTTCGTGACATGGCACCAGAGGAAATACTGCTTCTAGGCAGGACAACGGCCGTTGACATCTGGAACCTTGGACTCCTCCTGTTCAACTGTCTAGCACGGGAACACTTTTTCAAGAATATGGCAGATCAAGAAATAATAAGATTGTTCCAGTCTACTAATGCACAGAACACGATCAATGAGCTTGTCACTTTTCGCCTTGCCGAATGCAATTTAAACGTGTCCCAAGCGTGCAAAGAATTCATACTTGCTTGCTTATCCATAGATTACACCTTCAGACCATCTGCACAGAGCCTTCTGCAGGCTTCATTCTTAAAGCAAACTAACACTGAGATTGTGTGTGGGAAAACAGGTGCGTCTACGTTGAATCAAAACCAAATAGATGAGATACAAGCTCTTAATGACGTGAGTGCAGGACTAACAACGTTGACAAGCCAGATTCCAGACAAAGGACACGCAGCCACTAACATCCAATCCACACTGAATCATGTAGTCACTAAATCAGCAAAGCAATTAACCACTATACCTCCCCCTACTCCTCCATATTCTAATTTTTCGCGGGCTCAAGAGACTGAGGGGGACTCGAAGACGATTAGCAGTGGCTTTAATAAACAAGACCAAGAGATTCTTCGTCGTGCCATCCTAAATATCCCATCTGCTTCAGAAGAGTGTAGAAATTCCTATGCCATCTCTGCAGGAGACGCCGCCACACTTGCAGCTATGCGAAGTCCTGAAAAGGCCATCAATACGTTTACCTGCATTCCTGCAACTGCAAACTTCCCCATGCCTGATGATGCTCCGAATAATAAGCAAAAGTTAAGAGCAAAAAGCATCGAGGCAGGAGCTAAGCAAGGGAAGAAGCTGAAACACCGTGTGGAAAATAAGCTGGAGTGTGTAGACAATCAGCTGGACGATTCATCATTTGATCTTCAGGACGTGAAGATCATAGGAAAATTAGAAGTCAAAAGATATGAGGACAGCACCACCGGCGACAACTTTAGTGACGTGATTGAAAATGATCCCGCTGTCGATAAAGGGCACCACCTGGGAGGTTCTGTTGCTGATCATATTCAGAGCAAACCCCGCCTCATTCAAACAAATTCAGCAGTATCTTCATCTAACTTAAACCCACAAAAGAAAAATCAGACAAAAACTCAACGAACAGCATCAAAGCCGGCAAGAAACCATGCGCTCAGTGCAGGGGATGACTTAATTTATGATGCAGCGGCAGCAGATAAGCATTCTGAGAAAATACATCCTAAAACTCGGAAGACGCAGCGCGCCATGTCTACCGTAACAACTAGAGCAATAGCAAAGCAGCCGACATACCAGAATGCATATTCGCGAAATGCAGGAGCAGCCGCCGGTACTGCTCGACAAGATCCCTGTTACACCACCCTTGCCACTGGATGGGCAAAGAGAGAGATGAATACCAAATCCAAGAGGAACTTCCCTGAGCAGAGTTTGTTGACCACTACAAAGGATCCCGTGTTCCCCATAGCTCAGACAGCTCTCAAAAGAACTACCTGTCCGCTATCACTAGATACACTAGACGATCACTGGAACTCTAACTCCTATTCTTCCGACGACAACATTTTGAAAAATAGTTCGCTTAAGCACACAAATTGCCCCTATCGAGCTCCAGATGGGAACAACTCCTGTTCAGAAATAAGTTGTACCGACATGGTTAATCCTCTTTCTTCGAAGTCTCACCATAAGTCCATCTTTGGTGACGAACGTTCAAAGGATCATTCAGATAAGCTCATAGCTAGCTTAAGTATTGAGAATAATGCACAAGGACCTGAAAATCTGGATATGTTTGTAGATAAATCCCAGAAATCTGGCACTAAAAAGGTTTCACTAACTCGGTCGGATTTTCCTAAGGACTCTCTTCATACCGCACCTATTTCTCCAGAGTCCCCTCAAGAAATAAAGACCTATGTGGACAATGATATTAATGAAGCGTACACTTTCTCCACTGTGTCTGCAGAACCCGTCCAGCCATTTGTCTTGCACTTTGGAGGCTCTCCAGCTGCTACATCTAGATTATGTACTGTGACTAATCTCGACAAAAGGTCCTCGAGGCAGGAGAATTGCCAAAACGATGACCCTTCTATCAACCTTGATACCATTGCACTTCCACAGGATCAGGATATTATGTCATTGATGCATAAGCGCCAGCTTATGTTGCAGCAGATGGATCCTCACATGGACGATACTAGCAGCGCATTTAGTAGTGGAACTAGCATGGCAAATTTAGAGAAGAAGGCTGCTGTCATAGAATCTGGCAAAGACACGCCTAAATCTGGTGCAGCATCGCCGTCCCGTCTAGTGTATCAGCAAAAGAATTCCTCAGCCGACAATATCGCCAATAATCATCTCGGTTTGGCTAAGGATGTACTTGCAAATCAGCAGAAGCGTCAGTGCACGGACCCCTCCAGCCTATCTGCTAGCACTGATATGCTTACCCAGAAATCGCACAATGGCTTCTACGAAGAAAACTCTGCACTGAACAGGTTTGAAGAGAAGATGACGGACACCAGCTCCACATATGATGAGTACGACGACTATGAAGGGCTGGAAAACCATGAGGCCGCGCTCTTCATCATGACAACCGACAAGACAGATGTGGAAGAGCTACGTGAGATCCTGACAAACTACAAGATCAACAATAAGATATCTGTCTCTTCAGTTGAACAGGTTAGAAAGTTGATTTGTTCTTCTAAGCGGTGCTTGGCGTACGTCAGGGACAACTTTTCCGTTAACTTTTGGTTTGTCAAGTTTAAGCAGTTAGTGGACACGGGAAAGGAGGAAGCCATTTTGGTCCTTATCCTCATCTCCACTATTGCCAGGCTTGACTTTCCATTCTGTAGAGATATCTTTTTGATGGGCCTCATTCCACTTGCTAATAGATTGTACAGTACGTATAGCACAATCAATGAGTTCCTAGATAGATGGATACTCCCGCTTTTAGTGAAGCTTATCTCAGAATATGAAGAGGACAGTGCTATTCTTCAACAGCGCGCTAATCACAAAACTGACATGCCAACTGACATGGCTCCTTTAACTGGCAAGCAGCAAACCTGTGGCTCACAGCCTTCTGAAGTAAAAAGTAAAGAAGCAGGGAGAAGGAGCACAACCACCAAAGGAAACAGCTATGCTGTGATGCGGATTTTTGAATCCATGATCGTCACCCACACTATGTCGTTCATTTTACGATTTTTATTTTCTCCTATTCAGACTGGACACCAGAGCAAGAATTCTTTCATTCCTACTTCTACAGCATGTGACTCTCTCTCGCTAATAATGGGCAAAATATCTGACCCTTCACATAAGGCCATCGAGCCGCATGAGCTTGCATACAATATTCTTCTCATTCTGTTTCAGAGCAAAACCATTTTCAAGTCGGAAATCCTCTGTGAGATAACTAGTCCGGACTCTCCTTTATTACATACCTTGATGGAGCACGTTGACAAGTCCATTGTGTATGTTTTTCTGCTACAAGACCTTCTATTCATAGAAGCAATGCGAGAGACCGTCTTAGCGCTTCTTCCGAGACTATTTAAGAAGCTCCAAAAGATGATGGATGCATATGAACTCATGTACACCGCCGCTTCACATGACGAGGATGACTACGATCTATCTGCATCCTTGCATATTGACTTCTCGACCTTTGCTGCTGGGATACGTACGCATAACACCAATGTTGCCAACATCATAGCTATCGGGTCTATCACAACATTAGAACCCGATAGCCTGCGCTACAATCTTACCATTCTGTTGACCGCGATCACCAACTTGCTAATTAGTCTTAGCAAGCTTGTAGCCGAGCCCTACTTTTCAGAACCTTTTAAGGATCACATAGACGTATTTGTTCAGGTCCTTAGCAAGAGTTCAGACTATGGAAATGCTGTTCCTTATGCCCTTTCATCTTTGCACTCGCTTTTCCGGCTCAATCTGGACTATATCGTCAACTTTCCAAGAATAAAGCACATCATGACCAACATAGGAACAATCCTCAACTGTAAAGAAGCAGCAAATATATATTCACTTCAGTTTGCAATACCATTGGCATTAACAATCACTAGAACAATCAACCCAAATAAATTCGCAGACAAGGAAATTAAGCATGTTTTAATAAAGGAGATCAAGGAAAACTTCTTGCTAGCATTTCTAGACTTGATTGAGAATAGCTCCGTGTGGAGAAAGCAGTGCCTAGATGCCCTGGCCCACATTTTATCCTACACAAATGAACTAGAGTCCACAATATGCCGCGATTTCAGACTCTCGTTAAGCAGTTCTGATTATAAGGAGACCCTTCCTTCAATCCTGACCTCCCTTCTATCGCTAAGCGAGAATAGCTCCACGATTCGCTCTTACCTGGCTAATCATAAAGAACTCGCAGCAGGGGTCACCTATGTACTCAAGCATACTTCTAAGGATAACGTGAACTCCAAGGTTGTTGCACTCAAGCTCTGCCTAAAGTTCAGCTTAAATTGCAAGGAGTACTTCGTAAATACCTACAAGAGCGTTCTCTCCATGCTGCCACAGTTCTGCGACATGAACACAGATCAGTTCGTTATCGGAGCCAGCATCAGTAAGCAGATTCTGGATGCTCTAAAGCTAAACAGCAGTAACAATTAGTTTATTGTTCGCTCGGCATTGGAGTCTTGAAGGAATACGGGGCTTACCACCGAAAGCCGAGACTAGAGAGATTAAAATGTCCAGAGGGCTTTTAGGTGAGTAGCGTGATCATAGAGCGTAGACACTTATCTTTTCCCAGCTGAAGGCATAATCCTAAACCAGAAATCTGCATGGAGCTCTGCTTCCTCTGGCAGATCAGTAACAAAGACACAGTTATTGATAGCATCTGTACCATACACGGCACGAACGCTCTCTGGAGCAAGATATGTGGCAATCTTAGGTTCAAACGGTCCTGCAAACGCACGAAGCGTCTCCACCATGTTGACTTCTTCTGGGGGTCTATGGGTAGCTACCTCGAGCGCAATGCAGGGGCCTGTACTGAATACGTCTATGTACTCGCTCCATCGCGGTATAACCCCTTGGTATGCTGCCATCACCTCGGCAAGATCGTTTGCTGTAGGGATGCACGTGTTGATGCCGGTAATATAAATGTCCGGCGATATCTTGCTGATGTAATTAACCAAGCCAACAAGGATATGACCAACATAGTCCTTGAACTTGGGTTGGATTAGCATGACCGAGTTATTTCTGCAGCCAATTGCGGCGACAGGACATAGCCTGAATACAATGCCTAGCTCTCTGTCTGCGTCTCCCTTGCTTGCACTCCCGTGGAACGCGTTGCTGGTAACGTCAACACCATATTTTGCGCGCAAGTGCTTCGATGGATCGCACTTGGATGGATCCGTGGGCCCTATTATATCTCTCCAGGCCAATATAGCGTTTGGGCCTATCAGCTCAATCACACATGCAGGTCCCGCCATGACCATCGCAGCTAAGTTAGGGAAAAAGGCCTTTCCTATATGTTCTTCGTAAAACGCGTTCACATCGTTCTCCGAGAAGCGTACCATACGTATTCTGCTGATCCTGAGATTGCGTTGCATTGCTGAGATGATCGCGTCAGCAATAATGATCGGGCTCTCAGCCACCGCGTGAGGCTTCACGATCGCACACGTGGCTTCCTTTTCTGCGGAGAGGGCATTGCACGTAAAGTCATTTGCATAGCCCACAATCTTGAGCTGGCGTGAGTAGATGGTAACCGTACCACCTACGTGACAGTCTGCGAAGTTGAACTCCGGATACTGACATTTCTTAAGAAACACCCTCTTGGTAGCGACCTCGTACATGTCTATCTCCCTCGTGTCTGGGTAGTATGAGAGGATATAAGGCCTGTCTTGGTCAGCAATACGGTCGTACCATAGCACGTTGAAGCTGTAACGAGTGGTATCCATCAAATTTTAGGATAAATTTATTAACACAAAATGTCACCATTACCTATGGCCTCCGCGATTGCCAGCCCGATAGACTGTTATATAAAACTGAGGTAGTACATCCTTGTGCTTATATTTTAAAAGGTGAGGAGGCCGTTGATGCTGCAGCTGAGTGTTTAGATACCACTGAAGCGAAAACAGATCTATCACCTAGGGTCCACTGGCCCATGTGCACACTCCTTGGGCTGGGGACCCAAGGCTTTGTTGCTTGCTTTGCTCTGTGGGCATTTTTGAGTGCCTGGTTAACTTTATGGTACTCTGCGGAGGATCGCATTTCAGTTATCGTATCGAGATCTGAAAGGTGAAGAAGGTTTAATGGATAGGAGATGTTTGGCAGAGCCTTTTGACGAATGGTAGCAGAGGAATCCATTAGTGGTCCACAGAGATAATTTTATGCACGAATCTCGTCCTACCACCTTTATCTCCTTTCAATAATGTACTAATCGTGTCATTGTTTAGACGCTGCTAAGACGCTACACAGATAAATTCGGTAACGGAATATCTCCGTAAGGAAAGCGTGTAAGAGTGTGTTTAATTTAAAGCTGAATAGCAACGATTGCACTATGCCCATGTAGGTATTAAGAGGCTTATAATTACAATTCGGTCTCTGTCTTTTGTGGTATACTTGTGATGGTCAAGGATTTAAATCCTTGGCTGTTAGCAAAGTAGACCAATGATAAAGTTGAGGATTGTCTGAGAGGAGGCAGTAAGTATGTATTTTGTGGAATAATCATAGCAACACTGCTCTTACGATAATCAGCTGGGGTATGCAAGATCCTGTAGAAGGGAATGTGAGGAAAACTAAGAAATGGTACAATACTATGCTTAGCAAGACATTCTTTGGTTAATGAAAAAATATAGGTTGTTGATGGCCAATGCACCCTAGCAGTAGATTGCTAAGAAGCCTTGTGTATGATTAGGCACAAGGTATCCGTGTCTACGATTAGCTGCAGCATCCATGGTTGCATGCACCACAACGAGGTTGCTCCACCAAACCGAGTGCAAGACACCACCACACAGGCCGATCTGGTATAGACGATGCCATGCTACCGGGTGTGGAGCGGTACTTCCGAACAGTACGCGGTGTCTGTTGTGCATATTTAGAGGACCTGGTTTGGTGTATATCGGTGACACACCACAGTTATGCTGAATAACGCCGAGATATCGATGAGTGGACGCACAAGTATTGAAGGCGATGAGCCACAGGGGCTTCTATGAACTGCTCACGGTGAGTGGAAGTACCGTAGATACCTTCACTACCAGGCACGCTTAACCCAATCTAGAATTAGTATAAAGCATAGAGTTGGACGGACCTAGACTGCGTCTAGTAAAGCGCAGGACACTTCTAAGAGCTCAACTTAAGGATGGCGAGGCGGCCCTGTAACCCTGCATAGCTGGCCTTGCATCCAATAAAGACTAGGGGCTGAGTGGCACATATGTTCGTCATCCAGGGTAGCAAATAGCCCGTGAAGCGGCAAGATTAATCTCTCCTGGACGAGCAACACGTAGTGAGTGTTCGACCAGTACCAATGGGCAAGAGTCAGTTCTCGCCATAACTGGCGCCCGGACGGCGGAAGCCAATAGGAAAGACAGCTCTTACCGGAGCGGTACTGGGATGCTCTGCAAGTCAAAGCCAGAAGGGCCTGGTAGCCACACCGGTGTCTGCTGTCGTCAGGCAACCCTGTTAAAGAAGCAGCGGCTCCTCGAGCGGGGCAGCTTAGAGACCCACTACGTTCTCCTATTCTGCAGCGCATATTGTCTACTGGCAGGGAGCTGATGTCTTTCGTGGTTGCATGGTCCTGCTCACACCAGAGGCAGAGCCAGACGACGGAGAGTAGGAGACTGACTCCCAGCTGAGATCTGCTTATTCCAGGCCCAACCACACCGCAGTATGCATCCACATCGATCTACGGTAGGTGGGCGGGCAGCTGGCTTGCGAGAGGGGAGCGGTGGCTGTGGCCAATCCACTACTAAACAGAATAAATTCATTAATAGAGCCCCCGAAAATCGCACAATGAAATCTTAGTAATATATAACAGAACGCTTAGCAGTGTTTACAGATGCACGACTACAAGAACTCACTCTTAGATATTCTCATGAAGATACGTCTTGTCTTGCCTAACAGAACCATTAGTACCCTATCATATTGCACTGCCGTTGCCCTTTCTTCTTCCACTTATGAATTGGATGCATCCATGATGAACCATTTACACGTAGATTTACACGTAGAAAGAATCTAGGCAGTGTTTAAGTTTTCCTTAACAGTCATCAATACCCAAAGTCCTGAAATTAGTCTAGCTTCCCGATGAAGTCCATTACATTGATGAAAATTCCCTCCACGCATATTAGACCGAATAAAGCTATAACGCTCCATGCGAGCATATGACGACGAGGAGTCATTTTCGCACGCTCCAGGTCTGGATCAATGGTCCCGCAGATATTTCCTATTTCCATTATGCGTGTCATAGGAACTGCTGGAAGGACATTTGTAACGTCTTCTGTAATGCACGTTGTCTGCTCTGTAGATTCTGTAGAGTCTATCTTATTAGCCTCAGAGATTCGAATGCTGTTCTGGGTTAGACTGAGCGTTTCAGACTGCTGGTTGACGCCTTCTTTCTTTGAGAGTGCACGCGTCAGGGTGGGTCTGCTATTAAAAATGGATGTTGTGCGTGGCCGCGAATATTCCACATTAACTGTGAATGGTGGTGGCTTGGATGCTTTAGAAATTGGCGACGCCGACGATGTTTGTGATGCAGAAAAGCTGGGGACTGCGGTAGAAAACGACCTTCCACGTATGACTCCAATAACGGACCGGATGCTCAGCACGGGGTCCTCCATGGATTTGCCGCGGACTTTAGCGGAAGTTACGTTGATAGGATCGGTGTTACTTAGTGCCCTGGCTCTAGAAAGAACCTCGTTAGCACTGCCGGGGAGCATTAGTGCCAGCACAGAGGTCCCAATAGCCTCTGTGCGTACAACTCCTAGATGATCTGCAGCCTCCTTGAATTCTTCATTGATGTCATGCGGATACTCGGCTCGGAGAAATGGTAGCTTATAGTGTACCCAAATTGGGACTCCAAAGTAGATCACCCCACCGCACAGTGACCCCACAAGTCCAAAAATGGCAGCTATGTTTTCGTAGACAAGGGCTATACCTACACCAGGAATCAAAAACACAAAGCTAAACGCTACAAAGAGCCCGTACCACCGTCGTGGATTGTTCTCACAATCTACCTTTGTATACGCAATTAAGGAAAGCTTAAGCGGAAACAGAGCAATGGGATACGTAACACAAACAACCAGGCCATACATTGCTTTTATCGATGTGATCCAGTAGTCCACACAGATATCGAACGACGATAATAGATTAGGAAGGATTGACTTGCCAAACAAGAGGGCGCCAAATATGCCTGTTAACACGTATAACATTGTGCAGAAAATGAACGCAATTGTAATTGATATCTTAAGAATACGCATTCGAAGATACATGGGACCACTGATGAGTTCGAGCATCGCCGGGACGGCCAACTGAGAGGTATAGTTTCCTTGAAGCAAGGGTATGTAGCTGAAGAAGAACAGGAACCCCATGGGCAGGGACCCGAGCCCCAACCCCTTGCTCGGGGACGGCCACCAGGGGATCGCAGGGCGGAAGAAGCCCCCTGCCGTGCTGCCGTTGGTCGGCTTTGCTGAAGGAAAGCGAGGGCAGACCTGCCCGTTGCGTCCGAGGGAGATGAAGTAGTATACAGGGATGGTGACGGCCATGCCCATCGCAAAGAAGATGGAGACAGACGCTATGGCAGAAAGCACCTTCGTGGACTTGAGGAGAGAAAGAGGAAGGATGATGAGGAAGGAGACGCCGGCTTTTATCACGTATGGTATCCACTTGTGTGAGTCGAACGAAGGAAGGAATGACTGTAGAATCCCAATAACTGATTGGCTAGCAATGATGATGTAGCTCGTAAGAAAGCCAAAGTAGAGAACTATAAGCATTGCGTCCATGACGTATGCAAACTTTGGCCCAATGACCTTTTGGGCTAATGCCCGATACGAGTAAGACCGCGTAAGGTAACAACCTTCAATAACGGGGAAAATAAGAACCAGCGCTATGGCGAAGGATAATGGTAAAACAAAGAACATTAAACCTAAGCCAACTCGTGAGAAAATGTATGCAATGGATAACAAAGCAGATCCCACGATTTGGGAAATAAGCATAAAGGAAGCAGAGACTGATGAGACATTCCCCCTAGGGAAGCCTTCGTTTTGTTTGTTATTGAGGTGCTTCTCGCCGAACAAACCGTCCTTTCCACTCATTTGAATTTTAGTGTTACAGGTGCTTGCTTTCACGTCTATCAACATGTATTTATGAAGATAATCGCATGCTTCTTTGGTGTTACATATGTCACTTAAACTAGCATTTTGCTTTTCTTTTGTTGTTTTTAAGCCCGCAACATAATGCTTAAAACACGACAAGAATCATATCTTTGTTGAGTAGTACATCTTTCTAGTCTTAAGTAAAGGGAGGCAAAGGTAGAATCCACTGGGAAATGCATCCAAATAAAAAGCCATTATGACCCGAGACGAGGAGATGATGTTTACGCTTCGCACCGGGGCAATTCCCCAGCTTCCCAGTCCAGAAGTTGTTCCATCCACCACTGGGGCCGAGGAGTTACATCAGATGATCATCCTGAAGGAGTGGAAGCGGGTCTGGTATCTTGGCGGTCATGGGGGCGTGCTCATTGAGATAGCTACACCATACGACGACGTTCGCAGAGGTAAGATGAACTGTCTACACTATGCGGCTCTAACGGGATCTACTGAGGCTGTGCGCTTACTCATGCAATCTGCGGGTAGGAAGGCGGCAAAGATCTTTATTATCAATGGCCCCAAGTACCATAATCCATCTGCCTTGATGTTGGCTGCAGCTGGGGGACACACAGAGGTTGTGCAGCTCCTTATGAACGCGGAAGCACGCATGACAGAGGATTGGGGTGGCAAGACTGCGCTCATGATTGCCGCTTGGAATGGACATTGCGATGCTGTGCTCCTTTTGGCCGATGCTGAAGCCCGAATGCAGGATAACGCTGGGATGACTGCTCTGATGCTTTCGGTGTGGACGGAGATGCCGGGGTGCACCTCTGTCCTGGCTCCTCTAGAGGCCGGTCTGATGGATGCATCTGGTCATACTGCGCTGTGCCACGCGTGCATGCACGGCTCGGTTGACTGTGCTAGACTTCTTGCTCCTCACGAAGCGGGTCTCCGCCTTCCCAGTGGGCAAACAGTTGCAGAGGCTGCCCTCTCCAAGACTCCTAGCCAGTACAAAGATGCTGTTGCTAACGTTCTAGCATCGTTCTTGCAGTAGAGAACAATTGTTCCCTTCGTAGTGTGAATGCTTGCGCGCAAGCGCAGTAGATTATGATTAATACTTTAGACATATTCCGCGGAAGTCAGTTTTCAAAAATAATGAGAGTCATTTGCATCGACGGGTGTCACGGCGTTGGCAAGACGGCTATCATTTCAGACATTGCGAAGCGAGGGTACCATGTGCTTGATGAGCTCTTCTTCGAGATGCCGAAGTTTCTAGTCCCTTCCCAGTCTCTCACTGTAGAGTTTATTTGGATCTCAAACTGGTTCAAGCGCATTCTCGACATGCAGAAGTCCGGCATGGCGGATGACGCGGTCGTCTTTGCCGATAGATCACCCTTCTCTGCCGTTTTCTACTCGCGGGCATCTCCCGAGGACCGGCTGGCTCTAGAGCAGGTTATCCGCGGCATGATTGCAGAACTCTCCAAATACAACATTACCATCCACACCGTAGGGCTGTTGGTCGAGCGCGAGGAGCTATGGAAGCGTGTCCAGCGGCGACTGGAGGCTGAGCCCTTCAGGCGGGAGTTCAACGAGGATAAGCGCTGGTGGCTTGACCAAACTGCAGACTGGTACGAGAGTTTTAGATGGGATACTGTGATAGACAACAGCTCCCAGCGATCGTCCGTGACTGGCCTCTCGGCGTTGATCAGCCCGTTCATACGAGACGTATGCGGCATCAACTGGGACTAGTTCCCCCAAGTGAATCCAGATCTCTGCCTTGTTGCTGGAGTTTACACGTCAATGTAGTGGTTCCAGTTGAATCTGTCTGGGATCACCCCGTACTGTATGCCCTGGACAGTTTCATATAGTAGCTTGGTAACTTCGCCAACCTGATCGTCAGATTGCAGGAAGTCGATAACAGTGGAACCGCGGGTGATGGAAGCAATGGGCGTCACAACGACGGCCGTGCCTGTGGCTCCGCATTCTTGGAATGTCTTAACCTCTGTGAACGGGACCTCGCGCACATCAACCTTCCAGCCGAAGTACTGGGAAATAAGCTCGCGGAGAGTCTTGTTCGTGATCGAGGGCAAAATAGAAGGAGACTTAGGAGTAACGTAAGTGCACGAAACGATCTTGCCCGCCCCATCTCTCTGGATGTCCTTAATCCCAAAGAAGTTGCTGGTGGAGAACTCCTCAACAAACGTGTGCGTAGCAGCGTCGAGGTACAGCTGAATGGGGAAGCTCTTTTTCAGAGCAACGCTCTGGGCCTTAAGAGATGCGGCGTAGTTTCCGGCACACTTCTTGCTGCCGACGCCATAGGGTGCTGCCCTGTCGAATTCGTCCATAACGATTGCGTTCACGCTCTTGAGGCCTCCCCGGTAATAAGGACCAACAGGCGCGACCATCATGAGGAACATGTATTCGGACGACGGTGCAACTCCAAGCTGGGCTCCGGTACCGATAACCAGGGGACGGACATAGAGGGAGCCCCCTGTACCATATGGCGGGATATAGTCAACGTTATCCCTGACAACCATCGCAAGAGCATTGAGGAAGAGCTGCTCTGACGGGGACTCCATGCAGAGACCGTCGCACGAGCTGATGAGCCTGCGGGCATTCTCAACTGGTCTGAAGGCAGCGACTCTGCCGTCAACAGTGCGGAAGACCTTGAGACCCTCGAAGACTGCCTGGCCGTAGTGAAGCGCAGAGGCCGCAATCGAAATATTGAATGTCGGCTCGTTTACCAGCTCAAGAGGGCTCCACTCGCCGTTTCTCCAGACACTGCGAACGTGGGAGCGCGTTTGCAGCCACGAAAACTTCAGCGCAGACCAGTCTATCGTGGAGGGATCGACAGCCATTTTTCATTCTCCTTTGCTTAAGAAAAATGCTGACCATTTTAACGGACGGCCCCCAAGATTGCTACGTTAAAAGAATGGAGCCCCGGGCGTAGCCACAAAACTCATAGAATTTACAAAGCTGTAGGCCAAAAGAAGCTTGAAACCAAGTAACAAATGTAATTATTACCTACTAAAAGCAAGTTGCCACACATACTGTTATGTGCGCACCTATAGTCGCGAAACCTGCACCGCATTTTCGTGCCTCTGTGTCCTGAAACGTACGTAGCTCATAGCTCACGATAACTTTTAAATCCATAAGCTGCAAAATATGACAGTGCTACTGCCTCCGATCATCCTCATTCCTGGGGTTGGTGGATCAAAATTGGACGCAGTAAATAAGAAGAATGACAAAGTAGAGCGGGTCTGGATCTCGAAAGATGTCCTGCCTGTGCCTCAGCTGGGGAAAAAATTTGTGCATTATCTGTGGGGCCGGCCGGATCCCGAGACGCAACTATACACCAGTTATACTGAAGAGTATGCCGAAACGCGAATAGTTGATGGCCTAGAGGGATGCTGGAGGCTTCTCGACCATTGGGTTATAAACACAGTCGAGCAACTTTTTAAGAACACAACTCTTGGGAAGTACTTCGTCACAATTATTGGACGACTTATGCAGGACTATGGGTACCAACCGAACAAGAATCTTTTCGGCTTTTCCTACGACTGGCGCCAGCCTTTGTATGCGGAGTGTATCAAAGGAGAGCTGCACAAACTGATTATTCGTGTACGTGAGCTTAACAATGGCATGCCTGTTAACATCATTGCCCATTCCCTTGGAGGACTGGTCGGCCGAACTTACTGCCAACTAACGCCGGATTGGATGACACACATCAGGCGCTTTATTACCATCGCGACCCCTTTTGATGGCAGTAGTAGCATGACGCTGAACAGCTTCATCAATGGGTATGCGCTCGACGTCCCAGGCATGAAGCTTGTGGCAGCTAGAGGAATTCAGGCATCCTCTTCCGTGACCATTTACCTATCGAACTTGCCCCCTCAGTATGAAGGAAATGATGTATCTCATAATAGGCGTAAACCTTTGGCCTACCTTTCCAATGGCTTGCCATACTGTACTTATTACTACAACAGCTGCATATATCTCAAGAAAGTACACAAAGGCCTTAAACGGGCTAAACCCACCCACTACCGCCAAAGAACCTATCTTGAGAAACCGCCGGGATACCCTATTGACGGCCACGAGCCCCTACACTCGCTCCTCTTTAACCCCCTACCGGCTTCCCTTAATGAGGAAGGGCAGTACAAGTCGTCTCAGTTTGATACGGATACCTTAGTTCACGACGCAGAGAAAGACTCCAGACTACCCTGTAGTCTCAGGTCGCATTCTACTTCTCCGATCTCGACTAAGAGAAGCTCTAAGGTACTCAGCTCGTATCGCCCCTCGTCCTCCGTAACCAAAGCAGGAATCCAGCACAGGCGAATGCACTCTGACACCGTAGAGAAGCTCAAGATCACCCACCAAGAATTGACGCCCAAGCGCTACTCTGAGATCGTGCAATCAGGATTCGATGACACTGAGGATAAATCCTATCAAGCCAAGCTCTCTATAGGGCGAGCAATCCACTCTCGGAATGGATCTTTTATCACGCTAAAACAAAACCTTGATGTTCCAGAGCAGACCCCGAGCCACAGAAGGTCAGGCTCTTCAGCGTCGTCCGTTAGCCCAGGACCTAGTCACATTGTGAATTATCACGAGCACAGCCATCGAGCAGTATCGCAAAGACAGTCGCGGATGCTTAATTTATCAAATATCTATATCACATTGGACTTTTCCAGATATGGAAACAACGTCCCTGATATAGGTGCCATTCTATTGGGTCGATTCTTGAGCGACCCTACTCTTATTGCCAACGATAAGAAAAAGGAAGTGTATCAGCTCCTTATGAAGAACATAGAACGCAAGGTAATTGTCAAGACAGTAGGCATTAAGAAGCCGCGTGCAAGTGGGAAGAGTCTAGACACCCTGCTTGTACCGAACTATAAGAGCAAGAAGTCGATGGCCGCTATTGAGGAGATTGTGAACACGAAGGGTACATGGAGATGGGAAGCCTACTCAATGTGGCCGCACCTAGGACGGACAAATGCGACGAGCATGGCCGCACATCCTTATTTTACGTTTAACAGCGTTGGATTCCCAGTGTTGAGGGAGGATTGCCCCTACCGCAATGAAGTCATCTCTGGAGTCATGCCCCACGGAAGCTCTTTCTCGCAGAACAGGGACCTGTATCTGATCGCGTCTGCCCAGGCCATATACATATCCACGAGGCACCTGACCGAGCCTCTGTACAGGATGGTCCTCGTTGGAGACGAGGAAAAGATGGTTAAAGGAAAGCAGTTAAACCTAGAATATGTCCCTCCGGACGATCTACATCTAATCACTGACACGACCATCTACAAGGCAGATGCCAGCGGTGTGTATAGCGCGCAAAACAAGGTCGCCGACAAGACAGACTCAAGTAACCGCGAAAAGACTTTGAAGAAAGGCATCAAGAAGCACTCCCATGGCAAGAAGATGCGCACTGTTGTGTGCCAAACCCCTGCTCCGTGGGTTTTTCTGCTGGACATTCTTGAGCAACCCTTGTACAATTTGCTGCGGCAGGTAACCAAGGTGGGAACCCTAGAGGCATATCTCTTTCAGCCATTCAAAGAATACTGGAAGTCAGTTGCTCGGGCCAGAGTGAAGGCGCTTGAGTACAATCTCCAAGAAGACATCGGATCATCTCAGATAATGACCAGGAGCGAGTCCGTCTTTCCTATGTTCACCAGTGTCTCCCTCCAGGACCATAGTGCTCTCGAGCGATCACTGACAGCCAGCATACCCAGCAATGCCCTCACGGGGGATGCAGCCTATAAGTTGGACCTTGTACCAGAGGCGCCAAACGGGGGCCTCACCAATGCACCAAGTCCCGAATCAACCACTCTGAGTATTCCTAGAAGGCCTAAGCAAGCTTCTCCAGTTCGGCCAGAAAAGTATCTCCGGAAAAGAAACGGCGACCCTCGGTGCATCCCCAAGGAGCTCATCGCCCAGTACCCCATCCTGTCCTCGATGAAGCCATGCACAACGGACGACTTTAGATTTATCAGCATAAATGGGGGAAATGTGCCTACACCCATACACACGATCTATCCCAAGCCGATAAGCACATACGACGAGCTCCAGAGCCAGCTTCCTGTCTTCATAATGGGCAGAGGAGACGGGACGGTCCTTCTCTCGGGAGCGCTGAGCGACAACTTTGACGACGCGCTCGTCCACGACAGAGTGGTGATCCCGGATGCCACGCACGGCGGGCTGCTCCACGACGAGGCCGTCTTCTACCTGATCTACATGGGGCTCGGGCTCCCCCTGCAGCTCCCGCACACCCACGGCGAGCCGGAGCCGGAAGAGCGGGGCGCCGGGCCGGCGAACGGCCGAGCAGAGGTTGAGTGAAGGGATCCTACGTGATGGCTTCGTCGTCATGACCGCCTCCGCCAGGACAGCTATTCGTCATCGGGTTGGGGTTCTTTTTCTCGGGGGATCAAAATTCAAATTAAAATACATTTAATGTGATTTATTCTGGATGCTAAGAAGAGACTAAGAAGAAGAGGTGCTGGATATATCGATCGCGTCCTCGCCAAGGTCCTCCTCAAAGTCGACCTCGTTCATGTTCACTGAGTGAAAGCTATAGTCATTTGGTGTGGAAGACGCCCGCGTAACTATCAGAGCTTCTAATTGTGCGGCCCAGTCCTGGGCTGCGGTGTCACTCTTGGCATCGTACCACTCCTTACACTTTTCTCTAGTGTGCATTGAAGTAAAGTCGACCTCGACAAGAAAGCTGAGGATGCTCCCGCTGTGGTTGCGGAGGAGGTAGAAGTAAGCCAGTTCGAAGGATGATCTAATGTACTTGTATCTAGTCACCCCGCCCGCGCAGTCGCTGGTTGGATCATGAGAGTTCAATATGCTTAGAAAGGGGGCGGACCCCCCTTTAATGCTCTGGTGATAGTAGCCGGACGTCCTCCGAGATGAAACAAAGGACTCGTTCCCCCGAGGATTGGTGTATATGGTCAAGTCTTCTGCGTTGTAAATAGTCCCAAACAGCTCGAAAAACTCTATGAGAGACGCGGCGTGGAACCTATTGGTCAGAAGTTCGAACTCCATGGATGTCTGGCCTTGATCCTTCTTCCTTACATGCGTCCGCTTCTCTCTAATTAGCAAGTTTGAGTTGGATTCGTCCATGCTACTTATGGCGGGCTGATCGGGGTCTACTTCACCTGACTCCAGTAGAGCGAGGTTTTCGCCGGTTATGGAATATGGGAACACGTTGTGTCTCTCTGAGATATACACGACTATAAGCTGCAAGAGAATATAGGAGCTCATTCCACCAGTATAGGGTTGATTTAAGCCTCGCTTCTTAAGGAATGACTTGACCACCATGATAAGGATGCGCGCCAAGGGGTGCTTTTCTATATATCCTAGTATAGTTTCCCTATGGGCCGCGCCATGAGGGGAGTTAAACGATATGTCATACTCCAAAGACAGCTCACTGTGGACACCCTTAATTATAGGCACCCGTGCATGACTTCTCACATCAACATAGTTGGTTGAGATGGAGCGCCGCAAGAGAGTTGCGATGTCATGCATATGGCACTGCATCATAGCAGCACTATTCACAGGCACGTTAACACAGATGTCCAAGTCGGAAGAATAGCTGGACATACCCGTCGAGTAACTTCCGAACACATCGACGGTGGCATCTGGAAGTACAAGCTGAATTATATCTCTCAGCTGGCCAAGGACATACTCCCTTGCAGCCTTTTCTGCCTCTGTCAGTGTGCAGTATGCAACGTACTGGAGAATCTCCAGGTTGAGCCTGGTCAAGTAGGGAAGATTGGCCAGCTTCAGCAACTGCTCTTGAGGAAGCCATGGAACATCAACCCCATCAACCCCGTCCTTGAGCTTAGCGACAGACGGGGCGGTCTTCTTTTGCCCCCGTGGGAGGGACCGCAAGTTTATCTGTTGTATGTGCTGTTTCTTAAGCCCTGGCTCTGCATGCTCTGAAGCCTCGAATATGATATCCTCAAACTCTATGTTTGCCGCGGCACGCTCTTCCGGGGCCTTTCCGCGGGCTTCACTGATGACTTTAAGCAGATCATTCATCCGGGATTTCGCCTTGCCAGACGTGCAAATAAATCACTTGGAATTTAATATATTTTGTCCATTTTGCAGTTACCTATACGCAAAATAGTACACTAAACGCTTTTAAAAGGCTGTAGGCGCATGGGCGGAGAAACCTTCGAAGATCAGTTTGAACCCATAGAGTTATTGGGCAGTGGTTCTTTTGGGAAGGTGCACAAGGTCCGCTCGCGCAAGGATGGACGTATCTACGCCTGCAAGGAGATAGAGTACACCAAGATGAGCTCCAAGGAGGTATCCCTTCTCCAGTCCGAGGTTATTAATCTTCGACGCATGAGCCACCCACACATTATCGCCTATTACTCCACGATTCACGATCAGGATGCGTCCGTGGTCTTCATCATCAATGAGTACTGTGGGAAAGGCGATCTGACAAAATACATTCGGACTTATCGCCAGAAGAAGGAGAACATTCCTGAGGCCACTATATGGAGTATGTTCCATCAGATGGCCCTTGCCTTGGAGTATTGCCACTCTCCGAACAAACCTGGTTTCAAGCCAGGGGAGATTGTCATTCACAGGGACATCAAGCCTGCAAACGTCCTCATCACAGATGACGACCAGCTGAAGCTGGCAGACTTTGGTTTTTGCCGCACGATTGGGCTTGACACCATGGCACAGACCAAGGCAGGTTCTCCTGTTTACTGTGCGCCGGAGGTACTGCGCGAGGAGGACTACAACGAGAAGGCAGACATATGGTCTCTCGGCTGTGTCATCTATGAGCTCTGCTGCGTCGAATACGCGTACAGCAGCATCAATGAGAAGTTTCTATTGATATCTATGATGCAGCAGAAGCGAAAACCCATTCCTTCTTGCTACAGCCGTGACTTGGCGGAGGTGATTGAGCGGATGCTGCAGGTTGATTTCAAGAAGCGTCCGAGTGCCACAGAGCTCCTAGCCCATCCCAAATTCAAAGAGTATAACCTTACCCGAGCCAGTAACAAGAGTCCTGCCCTTGCTGCTGCTCGCATCTCTGGGCCTTCTAGCAAGCCCCCGGCCTCTGGCAACACTCCTTCCCAGACACCTCAACCGGGTACTGCTGCTGCCAAGAATGCTGCGTCCCTCGGTCGTGTTTCTGGCTCACCGGAGCGGGCACTCCCAGCGTCAACAGGACAGTATGGCTCCAATCTAGTTGCACCGCCCTCGCGCGGAGCTATCGCTACCACACCTACCGTTCCTACCAATGCCAGCAAGGGCGCCCCTAAGGATTCTGGACAGCTTCATGACGTGATTGTGAGACAGAAGAAGGAGATTGATGAGCTAAAAGCGAGAGTGTCGTCAGGGTCGACGTCCCATGGTATTTCCGAGAACGCCAGGAACACAATAGTCAAGGCAAGTGATGAGATTAAGAAGAAGGACGACGAGATTATTCGCTTGTCCGACACTGTCTTTAATAAGGAGGAGGAGAATGCCGCTCTGCGCCGCGAAATAGCTGCCTACGAGAAGTTCACAACTACCGTTCTGATGCCCAGACCGGGCGAGAACCCACTCGCCGATGGTGTGACAAGGCTTATGCTTGCTGCGCAGAAGGGCCTTACTGCGGTTGTACAGCACCTTCTTTCTCAGGAAATTGGGCTTCGAAGTGCCTCTGGGAAGACTGCCCTCATGTATGCTGCTGAGAATGGACAGAACGCGTGTGTCCGTCTGCTAATGGACAAAGAAGGAGGGATGCAAGACAACAAGGGGACCACTGCCCTTATGCGTGCAAGCATTGGCGGACGCTTTGAGACGTGCAAGATTCTCTTCGCTAGGGAGTCCGGCATGCAGTCTCAGGAAGGCGATACGGCGCTGACCTACGCCACGATACGTGGGAACACAGAGATTATACGACTGCTTGCTCCGCGCGAGGCAGGCCTCCAGTTGAAGGACGGAAAGACAGCCCTTATGAGTGCAGCGTCTCGTGGCTTCCTGGAGGCGGTCAAGATACTCTACGATCGGGAAGGGAAACTCGTTGATAAGAATGGGCGCGACGCTCTCTACTACGCCCAGCAGAAAAATCTAGGAGATATAATCGCCTTCTTGCAGTCTAAGAGGTAGCTGGAGAGATGGTCTGAGTAAATACTTGACTTCATTTGGGGTCTTTGCGTATAGTTTGGACTCGATTTTAGCCGGTCTTAGACATAGAGTTTGTCCAGACTCACGGGGCATCATTTCCGGTGTCCCAATGAGCAAAATGGGTCCATTAGAGGACCGTCTGTTACACGCCGTTGAAACCGAAATTCTCTCGGCTTTCAAAAAATTATAGACTAAAGGTAACATGAGTCTAATAGAGGTTATGCGAAAGAAGCGGATGTCAGAAGCAGTGGCCAAGTACTTGACCACACTTGTTAAGGATAAGAGGATTCAAGACAAACTCGCGAAGTTTTTTGTCGTCATCTTTAGACGTCTCAAGGTTGATCCGCACGTCGTAGCCTATGCTCTGTGCCTCCTGGCACGAATACAATACAACAAGACCAATTCCCTCTCGTCACAGAATGTAAAGCGGTACTTTTTCACCGCAATGCTTCTCGCTTATAATATGCTAACAGATACTCCATATGACCTCCCGTCGTGGAGCATAATCGTCGAGGAATCGTATTCTGTAGATGAAATACAGCTTATGGAGACAACCTATCTGGACATAATACAATGGAATACGCACGTTTACAATGTCGATGTTTCGAGAATGCTTTACACGTTGATTGGCCTCTACAATCAAGACATACAATTGGGTGATCAGGTTCCCGTTCCAGCTGAGGTCACGCAGGCTTTGCAATAGTACAGGACACACCAGCGAAGGATGCTTAGCCTAGAACTGAAGAGTTACATAGCTTACCGGATGATCACGTGAACGTCCTCTGGAGCATGCGTCTCCACAAGGAGTGAGAAGAGTAAACATCTCTGCTGAGTGCCACTGGCCGGCCTCGAGGGTGCTATGGCATGGAGTGGGGGATAGGCAAGAAAGACAGACCCCTCATGTGTACAGGTCTCCAACCTCCTGGATCTTCTTGTACAGAACTTTATCGCGGGCCTTTCTGAAGTCACTCATGCACACGCGGATGCGTCGGTCTCGAAGTGCAAGAAGTCCTGCTTCCAAAGTGATAGCCTTGATGTCTGCACCAGAAAGGTCGTCTTTACAATTAAGGATCTCATCTTCAACGATGTCCTTATCCAGCATCATCCTGCGTGTGTGTATTTTAAAGATCTGCCTGCGTGCAGTGAGGTCTGGGAGCCCGACATAAATCTTACGATCGATACGGCCCGCGCGTATAAGCGCCGAGTCCAGGCTCTCAATAAGATTGGTGGCCATGATGACCTTGACACCTTCCGTTCTGTCAAACCCATCGAGCTGATTCAAAAGCTCAAGCATTGTACGCTGTATCTCTCTAGCACCTCCTGAATCTGCATCATACCTCTTTCTTCCTACGGCATCAACCTCGTCGATGAAGATGATGGTCGGTTGGTTGGCCTTTGCAGCCTTGAAAAGTTCTCGTACAAGGCGGGGGCCTTCTCCAGAGTACTTTTGGATAAGCTCTGACCCAGCCATTTTCATGTAGCACGCGCTCGTCTCATTAGCGCATGCCCGGGCAAGGAGAGACTTGCCCGTTCCGGACGGGCCGTGGAGAATGCAGCTGCGTGGGGGCTCAATCCCCAGGTCCACAAAATACTCAGGGTTCGTTAGGGGCAGCTGTATCGTCTCCTGTAGCTCCTTGATGGCCTCGTCCTGGCCTCCAATATCCGCGTAGGTGTCTTTCGGCCTTTCAATCACTTTCATCATCGTCACGTTAGGGTCTTCGTCGTGAGAAAGAACGCCAACTACAATATCTCTGTGTGCATCTTCCATTAAATGCACGAGGGCGTTAGGCTGCAAAAGCTCTCGGTCGACAAAAGAAAGTGCCTTTGTATAAATGCTCGAATATTCTGTCTTCTTTACAACCAGAAACTCTTCGTCAATGATTTCCTGAACAACAGCTATCGTTTGTGTCGTCCCCCGAAGCTTCGCTATTGTCTGCTCCTGCTCCTTGTTGACTTGCTTGTAAAAGGTCGACTGAGAAAAATTGGAAATGAAGTCGTTTTCAACGGCCAAGAGGGCATTGATACGCTGTTGCTTCAAGAGCTTAAGGTAGCATGGCAATATCGGCGCCATGTTCGTGGGTATACGGAAAAGGACTTGATTTTGAGCAGGCATCCTATGGATGGCGCCTGTTTTGCGTGGCCTGTTTCTCAGTGCACCTTGTGGAGGGCCCCTTTGATTTCCAGGCTGCTGGGAGGCTTGAGAGGACATCCCGCCCCAAGAGTCACTGAAGGCATTCCCCATCTTTTTTTGCTATAAAGAGTAGACGGGCAAGATGTAGTAGGGTAAAAAAGAAAATGGGTAGGTGCAATAAGTAGTTGAGTAGGGAAAGACGCTTGTATTATCACGACCTTCTCTGTTATGGTTAGAGGATGACAGTAAAAATTATGCCTGCGGAAAAGCACAAGAAGTCTAAGGGAGAACGCAAGCCTGTCGATGATGTGGAGGCCTCTAACAGTTGCTCCGAGGACAGCAGTGCAGAATTGTTCGAAGTTTTAGACCTCCTTGAGAGCAAGCAGCCCAAGGCCCGAGCAGCTGGCCTGGAGAGGTTCACACGACTCCTTATCGCCGATACAACAGTTGATTGGCTAAAGGACGACGCAGCCACTGCATGTGCAGCCATTCTGAAAGGACAGAAATATGCGCAGGGCGAGGAATATGTACGCTACCTGTCTATCCTTGTTAGGCTTGTACTGACCGATACAAGTGGATCGGTTGCTGATACTGTGTGTACTTCTCTTCCAGGCAACTTTATAAGGACCTCAATTCTATCATGTCAGCCCGGTACTACAGCTGATAGCATAGTGGCGGTGACTGCTTTTTTGCTGTTTGGCTCATTTGAGGAATCATGTGTCTCTGAAGGCATAGATACACTGGCTCTGGCTGCGCTGGAGCTCCCATTATCTGGAAACGAGCGGGCTCTGTCCAACGTGTACTGCTGTCTCGCTGCCCTTGTTAGCTTAGAACCTGCGATGATTAGAGCTACCTGGCAGCTGGAGCGTTATACAAAGCGGCTCAGGGCACTCTTGGACTCCTGCAACGTTAGTGTTTCTGACGCCGTGGGTCAATTCATTCTCGTACTGGCCGAAGAGGATGGTTTTTATCGGTCCTTTTTGCCTCTCTTCAAGGAGTTGAAAGACCTACATGGAAAGGATATAAGCAGAGACGTCTCAAAGGATATCCGTGCAATGTTTTCTGAGTACGCTGACGAACTAGCTTCAAGGTCTTTTGAACACAGAACCATTAAACTAAGGAAGTACGATGCATTAGAGATAAATAGCAGACAGCTCCAGGCGCGCTATGCCTTTATCCTTCTGGCCTTGGCAGGCTTTGATGACGTAGACCATATAATTTCTGGCAACGACACTGTCAGGGCCTTCCTGGGCCTCCCCAATGCCGAACTTAAGAACGTGAAGCAGAAGGGTAAGTACCTTGATGTAGTGTCTGATGAGGAACTACGTAAGCAGCGTGCAATACGACAGCGTGAAAAAACTGAGCGGAAACAACGAAAATAGGAATTGTGTAAATAACGAAAATAATATTTAAAAGAACCATAATGTATACTTTGTTGGTGTTCATACTGTCGAATCCTCTGCATATCCTATTAAAAGCACGCTCTTACACAGGAACCTTTTCGGCATGCACTAAGGACAATGCAGTTGTTCGTAGATTGCAATCTAACGATCTGTTTCTGCTGTTGGCTAATCCAATTAAAGTGGCCGCAGAGGACAACCTACCACAATCTGTTGACTTAAGGGAGTACGGCCTTATGACTCCTGTCAGAAACCAGGGTAAGTGCGGCTCGTGCTGGGCGTTTGCAACCGTTGCAGCCTTCGAGGCGTGTGCCCTGTATGATGGCGTCCTTTACCCTTACGGAAGTCCACTTGGCAGACACACAGACCTCCTGCACATCTCTGAGGAGTTTGAAATCTTGAGCTCCACGTCCAATAACCTCTGCTCAAGTGGCAACGTGGTGCGATTGATTAATGACCACCTGACGGGAGTAATTCCCACTGTAGAATTGGAGGAAAACTTTCCTTACAGTTTGAGTGACAATACTGAAAGCGAGCCCCCCGCACACCCCCTGCAGCCTGCGATTCCACCCGAGGAGTATGTGCTTCCAATTTATTCTGAGACAAAGCTAGGGCATAAAGCAGGGGTCATAGTGCTTTACAACAGAGACAATCCCTATAATGACTCAATTGCACAGCTGGTGAAAACGTATCTGTCACTGGGGGTTCCTGTGATGGCTACGATTAACACGTGGGCTAATGGAAGGAAAGGTCACCGGTTAATTAAGCGTTATCGCGGTGGCATTTTGAGCGCACCGTGCCGTAATACAAGCCTGGATCACGAGGTGCTCATTGTTGGATATGGACGGTATCGAGGTACTGCCGTTTGGATAGTTCGCAATTCTTGGGGAGCTGACTGGGGAGTCTATGGGTATGCATATGTGGCCCAGGGCGGTGACAGCTACTGCTTGGAGCACAGTGCCATTGCTGTTCTTCCCCGGACACTCGATCCGACCGCCAAGTACGCATCCTTCTCTACGCATCCACCTCCGTCTCCGCTCCTCCGGCCGATATATGAGGGCACTATTGTACGCTGTGAAAACGGGCTCGATGCTGATCCACCGGAGGGTTGCAGCCCATTCACTAGGGGCAGCTCGCCCGCGCTCGGGGCCAGCATCGCCCTCATACTCACAACCATAGCAGCTATAGGGAAATTTACTCACCAGCCCAGCCCCTTAATCAACCTTCGTCGTCATGATCGCGTCGAAAATGCGAGTGTCAGGAACAAGGTCACTGAAGCAATAATCACCGAAGTGCTCGGAATTATCGGATAAGACAGTCATTATCTCGGCGAGATTCTTCTGCATCATCATCTGGTTGAAGCGGCGCTCCTCCGAATTCTTCTTGAGGATGGGGAGATACTTCGCCACGCTCTCTGCGAAGGACTTGATCTTCTCGTTCATGCCACTGATGACGTGCTTCTTCTGAAGCTTTATGTTTCTCTCGGATGCGTCGAAGGACTCCTTGAAATTGCTGACCTCCTGGTTAAGCCTGTTGGCAGCTTGGGCGAACTCCCTCTCTATGATTGCCTCGAGCGAATTAATCTCCGTCTGGAGCCCGTGGCGAAGGGCGTCGAGCTTTGACTGGCCCGCGCGGATCCTGGAGTGGACCTCAGAGCGGAACGTGGACTTATACTGCTTTGTCTTGCCCACAAAGTCTGCATTCTCCGCGTCGAACGCCTTGAGCCTCTGCTCCATCGAGAAGACCTCGTCGATGAGGGGGCGGAGGGATGCGTTCAGGTGGGACACCAGCTCGGCGCGGCGGGCAGCGAACTGCTTGGCGACTTCGGACCTCAAGTCGGTAGACTCCAGCTCGCGGATGTTCTTTGTGGACAGAATGTCATTCTTGAGGTTGTTGAGGGTGATCATTATCTCGGAGGAGTCAGCGTGGCTGAACTTCGGCCTGAAGTCGTTCACCATGTGGTCCTGGAACATCTTAGAATTGAACATAAGGTCGTCAACCTTGTTCTCGGATATTAGGGATAGAGTCATGTACCCAGGGTCTTCCACCGCATTGGTGAGCCTCAGCGAGTCGCGGATGGTCGTAGGAGCGTCTTTAACTGCGAACTTGTGGTCCGAATAGGAGCTGACGGTCGAGAACGATGACTTCATTTTCTTGTTTTAGGGTTAGTTTTTTAGAAAAGGCGCAAAATTCCGCGCGGAAACCGCACGAAGACCACAGGCGCACACGTCGTGTAACGACAAAGTTCGTTGCGCATTCGCCTCTGAACACACTCTCCAGTTCTTATTGTAGCAGAGGCCACTTCGCCGTTCCACCCCAACAAATTCACGGATTTCTTATTCACAAACACAGGAATCTGAGTAAAGCCACGGATCGTCATTCACAAACAGGTCAGACATACGCTCGAAGGCATTTGATCACCTCCTGATTACCGGTCTGGCTGGCGATATCCATCACGCTTGTTCCGTCCGGAAGAGAAACACCAATTTCATGATCTGCCAGGATCTTGACGCAGTCCACAAGGCCTCTACAAACGGCGATCATCAGAGCTGTCTCCCCATTTTGACGCTGGATACACTTTTCCGTCTCGACAAGAAGACGCACGCACTCTGTGTGTCCCCTCTCGGTCGCATACATGAGAGCTGTTGTGCCATCGTTTTTACGCATGCGTGACTCGCGATTCATAAGAGACCCAACGATGTCAGCGTATCCTGCGTCAGCAGCACACATTAGGGCAGTCTTTCCGTCTGGCCTGCGGGAGCCGCCCTCTGAATCTATAAGCACTTTCACAACATCATAGGCCCCCAGAGCAGCAGCTTTCATCATTGCCGTCTCCTCATGAAGGTCGCGCATGCATGCCTCGTCCTTTAAGAGGGTGTTGGCTATGTCTGGCCTGTTGTTCGCCGCCGCAATCATCAGAGCAGTGAGTCCTGCTTTGGTCTGGAACTTGCACTCACGCTCCAGTAGCAGATTTGTAATCTGTGCAAAACCCATTTTGGCGGATATCATTAGCGCAGTCCACTCATCGTTATTCTTCAATCCTGCCTCGTACTCCAGGAGCTCCTGTACTACAGAAGCACGGCCTGCCTTGCACGCATAGATGAGCGCCGTGTTTCCAAAATCGTCGCGCAAGCGAGCCTCACGAGGCATGAGAGTCCTCACAATGTCGACCCAACCGCACTCTGCGGCAATCATAAGCGCTGTAACTCCCTTGCCCGTGACCATTCTGGCTTCGTGGGTGTACAGCTGCACTACAGAGTTGGTGTTGCCCTTGTGCGCCGCATACATCAGGGCAGTCATCCCAGCGGAGTCTTGTGTCTTGGATTCTTTGTCCAAAAGTAGCTGTATGGCGTCGAAATTGTCAAAGTATGCGGCTAGCATGAGGGCCGTGACGCCCCTGTCGTTGGCAATACGACACTGCGTTGGCAAGTACTTCTGGACGAGTCGCATATCGTCACGAATCACTGCTTTCATAAGGGGTGTCGTACCATCTGGATCGGTAATATGCATGTTTTCATCTTCTGGGGTTATCCTGGAATCATATGCAGCACGAAATTGAGCTATCTGACCTGGAAAATTAGGGAAGTATGTAGAATTGAGTATCTTGGACGATGTTATACCCTCAGCTTGACCTGGATATAACGTGGATTGAATACCCTGTCCTATGTTTATCATCTTTGCCGTACGGGTCTGCACGGGCACCCCCGGGAATCGGCCCTGCTCATTCTTCTGAGCTATAACATGGTCGAGCTGCTCGACTGTCGAATCTATCTGATCAGAGCGAAACAGACTATTGTCCCTGTTATTGGCTCTAAAACTGGAATCCTTGCCGTCATATGCTTCGGTGTCTCCAACGACTTTCGATAAACTGGATCGGTTTCCTGAAGTATTACCACCAGACTGTCTGCGGCGATATGCCAATTCGTCGCGGTACATCCCGGTTATATCGGTGTCTGCTGCGCCTTGCGCGTCGTTCGTAGCACGCACACTACCATCGTTCTGATTGTAAATTGGGGACGTGTCATCGATGGAATTGTCATAATTATGCGAGGCGGAGTTCATTTCCAGAAGGTTTCTAAAACTTGGAGAGAGGCCATTATTAATCGACGTGTTTCCAGGAAGCTCTGCTCCTGTACGCATGCTATCCACACGGCTACTTATGATCCGGGTTGCCTCACGACTATATGTAGGTGCAGCATATAACGTGGTGGCAACCGCAGCCCCGGGTGTGAGACTGCTTCTAGTGACGGGTTCATTTCGCACGCCCGGGACATTGCTGTGTGAACTTATAAGATCGTCAACGCTGAGACTATACATGCCAACATTATCGGTCATGTAAGCAGCCCGCTCGCGGTTGTCAGCGGAGTTGGCATCTAAGTTTTGCTGAATGCGCATACTCATCTGGCTTGCATTCATCCCAGTCCCAGTATCCTCTGCAGCATTCTTAAACTTCCTCTCTGTGGGGCCCACTTGACTAGCTCGGAAAGATTCACGCCACTTCTGCGCAAATGACCCCGAGTCCTCCTGGTACCTGTCACGATTCTCAGGTGCCATTTGTTTGTATCCAAATTCAGTCATAATGTTGACCACAGGTTCTAGTCCGCAGATATAAGTAACAGACGCCCTGGAGCGTGGATCAATACAGAGCATTCTTCTAATGAGATCAGCAAACTCGCGGCTATATCCTGGCAATCGCAGATTGGGAAGCACTGCCTGTACTTGAGTCCGCGCATCCTCCGCTGTAGGGTTTTTGACAAAAGCCTGAAGGGTTGCTAATTCGTACGTGATGCAGCCAAGCGACCAGATATCAGATCTCTCCGATGGGTTGGCGCCCTCAAATACCTCTGGAGCCGTATACACGGACTTTGCTGACGCCTTCGCCATATACCCAGGATCCAAAATGTGTTCAATCCTACTAGTGTCAATCTTATAAACGCCATCCTTGGTCACTAAAACACTAGCCGGTGTAAGAGTGCGGTAGTGATTTGGAGTCGAGGGGAGCATCCCCGGGCGCACTCCAGTGTGGTAGTACTTCAGGGCCTCTGCGAGCTCCCCAATGATCCGGATGATGGTTCCTTCGCCTATTTGCTCGCGGGACTTCCAATACGCATCAATCATGTAGCGCAGATTGTTATGGGAGTTAAGCTCCGTAACGACGTAAACCTTCTGCACTTCCTGGTCATAGATGATCTCCATGACACGCAGCATATATGGATGAACAATAGAAAGAAGCTCCTTGATAGAGGCGTGGTCAAATCCGTTGTAGCCGCTGTCAAGGTGCCTAACTGAATACTCGCGGCAGGAGAATGGTAGTCCGTCATTTTTACGCTCTACAGAGTACCACGTGCTCTCACTACCCTCCTCAATGGCGTGTCGAACCGTGTAGCGATTGGCGAAGGCAATGCGCAACATTTTTCTTTACGACATTAATTGCGTGTAAAGATGTCTAAAGGTGTAAAGCGTGATGGATCTTCTGCCGGTAACCCATTAGATGGTCTATGCACTTATGGTAAGGTCGTTATCGTGATGCTCTAGGGTAACTTGTAAATGATTGGCTTCGGCTGCATCGCACGCCTGAAGAAGCGATGTGAAACGACAAGTATGTTGTGCAGTAGAAGAAGGGGCTTCGAAAAACGTAGCTAGAGCTGAAGAGTATCCCTCAGTAAGCCGCGCCCTAAGGGTTTTTGTACAAGTCTTGCGCACTTCCTCCAACTGTTTTGCCGTACTATTTCCCCGACCAACGCCGTGTTCCTTTACCATACACCCATCATCTTGCTGTAAGCATTTAAGAATCTCTGGTACCATGTACATTATAGCAAGGGCGTCTGAAACAAGGGAGTGTTGTGCCTGAGTGGTTGTCTCAGGAAGATCACTGCTAATGCTATCAAGAAATGTGACGCTTTGGCTATCTTCGTGTTCTTCTTTATTGGTAACTATCGTGGAAGAAGATCCTGTCTCAGTTACACTAGTAACAGACAGTACAGATGAAGCACCGCTCCTGATACCAGTCTGCTTGGCCTCTGGCTCTCTTTCTGCAAAGCCAGTTGCTGATTTCTCTAAGGATACCGCGCTAAGCCTACGATCTTCCTGACCACGTGCATAACTAACTGCCTGGTCATATACTGCCTGTAATGATGTTAGAAGAATTTGTACACATGTGCTGTCCTTCTCAGCTGACTTAGCCACTCTTTCTGCGCTAGTGGATTGCTGATTAACTATTGTGTCCGCCTTAAACATCAGAGGCTCAACGAAGGTTCTATTGTTCATGTATAAATGTGCGTAGCGCCTCTGTATCTTGTCTACACAAACAAGCTCTATAGATATCAGCTCAAAGCTATTGCAAATAGATGCAAGAAGTCCTTGCTCCTCAGCTGTGTGTTGCAAAGGATCCCTAGCTAATTTAAAGAGTATGGTAAATGCAAACTGAGCATAGATTGTTGGAAGACTTATATCCTTTGCGAGCATGTTGGTCGAAAGGATAGCATCTTTGATCGCAGCTTCAGAAAGGCCCTTGCAGCGAATATTAGCTAGGACCGTTTGATTCTGTTGGTCACCCATGGCGAAGCATTCTTCGCTTTCCTCTAGATCGATGTCGAGTAGGCTTCTGACAATGTCTTTAAGGACATTTAGGAAAGAAGGATCATTACTTTCGATACTATGAGCCCTTGGTGATGAGTGCAAACTTCCTTCCAGAGAGATGTGATTGTGATAATAACGCAAGTAAGCTATCAGTGAATGGAAGCTGTAGGATCCTGCAGGTGGTTGCATTACTGAGCGAAGAGAGGCCAGACTGGCGACAATACTTTCAATAGAATGACCATTTGAATACAGCTCCCTACAGTGCTTCTGGAGATCGATAATACATGGCATAATTCGTTTGCACAATAAAGAAGCAGCATGATTGGTGACAGCTTCAATCTCGCTATTTATTGACGTATTAATGCATTCAGCAATCTTTGTATAATCATGTTCGCTTTTCGATATGCGGTATTTTTCTGTTACAATATCAATTGATTTGGCCCCTATGTGGTAGAAACTTCCAGAGAGTAGATTGTATCTATTCAGATGGCAATACCGCAGTGGCGGACTGTCAAGACACTTCCGCTGCAGTGGAAGAGTCAGTAAGTAGAAATTTCGATCCTCCTGTCGCACGTTGAGAAGGTTTCCCTTCCTGCTTTGTCTATGCGGAGAGCCGGGCATAAGAAGCGTGAACGTCTCCCCGTCGCGAGGAGGCGTCTCGTCGTGCTCGTGCCCTATGTACACAAAGTCTATGCGCTCTTCCGGGGCATGCGTATGATTCCACTGGTCGACGAATGAAAGGCTGATCTTGTCTCTTCCAACCTGGTCTGAATAGTCTTGGTGAAGAACCAGGAAGGTGTATCGTGCATGCCTGCGTCCTCCTTTAGCGCCTCTCCCCACCGCTTCGTCCTCCAGAGCTGAGCGAGCGGCCGGGGCAAAGGAAATCTCGGGTGCCACATCTCTCTGCCACGCTTTGTGGTAATCCAGTCCGTACACGACGAGCTCTACGCCGCCAACTACCTGGCAGAGAGGATGGAGCGTAAGGCTTTTGCCGGCCTGAGTGTGCCCCAAGAGGCTCACCGCCCCGGCCGCCTCCAGGAGGCCCAAAATCTTATCGTTGTTGTCGTGGTTGCCGTAGATGAGGGCCATGGGTATCGAGTCGCCGTCGCTGTGGTCTGCAAAGGACGAGACCCCGTATCGTCTCAGTGCACAGATTGCCTTGATGACCTTCTTGCTGGACAGCCTGTTCTGGTTGAAGAAGTCTCCGGCGTGCAGGATAGCATGCGCGCCCAGCTTGCGGGCCAGACAGAGGCACTCCTCAAGAAGCAGGTAGTTTTCGTGGGCATTGCAGGGGCGTGCAGACGGGGCAGTGAACCCGAGGTGTGTATCCGTGAATAGCGCGATCCTTGCGCCCGAGCTGTCTGCAGACATCTTCCAGAACACCAGGATGCAATCAGAAAAAGATAGTGATTTTACAATGCACACGGAGGCCTCCCACAGGGGTCTACGCGTGGCTAGACAAGAAACATGTTTGTGTCGGACATGGAGCGCCTGTAGGTATCTACGTTCACCTCTTGTGACCTGGGAAAGCCGTAGAAGATGTAGTTGTCGGAGACGTAGCTCAAGTAGCTACCGTTGTTTGTGCACATCAGGTGCAGCTCTGCAAGATCGAGGCTGCTGTTCTTCTCTATCACCATGCACCTCTCCCAACTGAGGGTCTTTGCAAATTCCCTGGCCTCCTCGTCAGACTCGAACCTCTTGGAAATCGGCAGCGATGGGCTGCTGCCTTTCCTCCTGCGCGATGAGCCGCCATCCTTCTGGCCACTTTCGTCGCTTTCTGACTTCCTGTTCTTCTTGTTACCTCTCCTGCCATCCGACGGAGTAGCAAATTCCACGGTGACGGATCCTTTGCCTGGGGAAGCCTGAGGAGTCTTCTTCTTCTTGACACTGCTCTTCTCAGATAGAGTATTCCCCGCAGGAGACCCGCTAGCTGCTCCGTGCTCGCCTGTTTGTCTGGACTTGGCGTTAGACTTGGGCTTTGACTGCTGGGCCTTGATATCTTTCATAGCGAAGCAGTGATAGCAGTAGACAGGAGCGCGTTTGCAGATGTCACTCCACGTAACATCGCACGTGTCCGACACGGTCGGCGCGTCAGGGAATTCAGTCACAAGTTCCACGTACCGGCCGGCAAAGACTGTGGAGATATCTTCGTAGATGCACTCGGCGGGTCGGTCTGACCCGGCTGACAGCTCGGAGCCGTAAAGCTCATAGAATCGATTGTACACTGAATGGATATCTATGGGGCCTATACCTATCTTTTTTAACTTGTCCCGAAGCGCACCGCAATCTTTTTCAGCAACATAAATTGGAATAAATCTCCCGTCTGAATTCTTGAAAAGGGCATCAGAAAGGGTAGCTGGCACGATATTATCACCTACAGCGATCAGAAACAGCTTGTTACCTTGCAAAAGCTGTAAAACGATGCCTTTGTCTGATGAAGAAGACACCCTAAGAAATTTAAAATTTATATCAGTAGGTGCTTCGTCCTTAGGGAACTCATCCAGCAGATATGTGTATATGGTAACATGCTCCCAAGGGCTAGATCCGTAACGAAACGTCTTGCCCACCTCGTACATACACTTTTAAATTTACCCCTTTTAATTTAGATTTATCTAGGTTCATTAGTCCGAGTCAAACTTACAACAATGTTGCATACTGCCTGATTTGACTCTAGGTAGTGATTCTAGGTGGGTGCCCACGCACACATGCATACCACCTCGCTAAGCAATGCGTCTGCCCTGAACATTACTTCTCTCACGGAACTGGGCGGCAGCCTGAGCACGCCGCTCACTGGAGAAAGCTTCTCCAAGCATCTTCTTTTGTGCCCGCCTTTCCCGCTTTATTTGCTTCGTGAGAGCCTTACGTTCTGCCCGTTCCGTACTGGTCTCATTGCTTCGTGTAGAAGGAAGAACATGGGGTCTGTACTGCTCGTCACTGCTGTGAGAATCCACCTGAGACGGCGCTTGATTGTCGGATGCTCCTCTGCACTCCTCGTTCTCCTCGTGAACCACAGGAAGTGGATGAGAGCCTTTAGTTAGAGAGGTGATGGGGATCCCACGCTTAGATAGAACGATCCTGACTGGCGCTTTGTCGGCTTCCATCTGCATGCTCTTGTCATCTGCCTTCCCAATATAATGAAGATTTCCCGCATCGTCTTCGATGGTGGGCTTCCGCTGTGCCTCAAGCTTCTGCCTTCCATAGCCCAGCTTATTCCAACTACAACGAATATATGCACGCGCGACCTGGCCAGACATAATGCAATCCACTAAGCCATTAACGATCTCCTCGTTGTCCATCATGTTCGTTCCCAAATACTTATCTAAGCCGCGATTGACATCATCTTCCATGTTGCGGAGATTCTCTAACGACGCTTGCTGTATCGACTCTTCGGTAAGAAGAGCCAATTTTTGTGCATTAGTTACACACGGTTCTATTTGATCAACCTGTGAGCTACGCCCTTCTTGCATGTGAACAATTTTTTCGTTTGCAACGGTCATCATACGATTAAGCTCAGTATCCATAGAGTCTCCAGAAGTAAAGTGCCTTTGATTCATGTGTCTCCCCCTTCTCATCTGCACCGAGCTACCGACCGATTTAGCGGACAGCTTGGACAGATCTGTATATCCCCCTACGCTTGATAACCTGGAAAGCCTTGTGCGTCGAGAGATGGTTGATTTGCCGTCATCGAGACTATCAATATCCACTTCATCACCATAAACTATGCGATCTTCCTCTTCCTTAGTTGGAAGGCACGCCAGTCCACGGATACTATCCAGTGTAGCTCTATTCAGAGCAGCGGAGTTGCTCGTGATGTTAGCATTGAAGAAGTCGAGTGCCTCCTTAGCTTCATTTTCGTCTTCCTCTAGCCCAAGCGCGAGGCCAAAACCTTTGGTATGATCACTTTCTTCATTGTCGTGAGTATTTTTTAGAGCTCTGTCTTCTTCGGTGAACTCAAATCCCTCTAGGTCTGCATTTGTGAGGGTGGATTCGTCGGGAAACAGTGACTCCACAAGGACTCTTTTGACTGCTTCACTGGCTGCAACCACGCGTGTTGTACCAATCATGTATGTTTTGCTTACAAATTCCTTTTGGTCATCCTGGGGTCTGGTCAGATCAAGAACAGTCTCGTGCTTGTTTGTATAGCTACTCCAGTTGCTTAGATCGTCTCCTCTCAGTGTCTTCTCTGCTGAGATGAGCTCTGCTGCGGTGCCTGCCTCCTTGAACGAGTCAAACTCTGTGTTCATGATTGCCTCCAGTTCTTCATCTAATTGATCCAACTCGCCTGCACTGATATCGTCTACCAGGCGCTTGCTTTGTTCATTCATCGCTTCATCACTCTCAGTGTGTTCTTCTACGGATTCAAGTAAATGCTCCACATCTTCTTCGCTCATGCACTCTTCTTCGACTATCAGTGATTCATCTTTTGGGTCAAGCTCTTTCGGTACAACGTGATGCTGATGTGTTGTGCGCTTTGACGGAGTCTTGTCCACCACAAGAATACCGTCGTAATTTATCAGCGTTTCATCTGTAGAATCTCCATCCATTAGCTCCCCAGAGTATGGCATATCATTAGATGGTACCACAGGGGCAGACTCTGCCTCTCCAAGTATGAACATGTCATTGTGCCTTCGCTCCTCAAGGCCATTTATGTACAGTTTCTCTCCGCCATGGTTGTGATTTTCTACTTCCTTGAGTGCGACCATCATTCTACCATCCTCTGAGATGATGTTCATGACATTGAAGACGCGCTTCGCCTTCTTTGACTGCATTTATTTAATCTCTTGAATTTTAGCATATCATCATACGCAGCAGTGGAGCTGGCCAGCAACGAGTACACAAGAGAATACCTGACTCCTCACTGTAAAACTTCTTTATCATTACCAGTACGATTAATAAATTGCTGGATTGCTTCGTACAGTTCGCTCATTCTTTCGTAAGTTAGCAAGCGTAAACTAGTAAATCTCGCAGCATGTCTTTCCTTCAATTAAAAATACCTGAGATTGACAAAGGGGGTTAATTATATTTTCAACGTACAACGACATGAAGCCACAAGGACCGCGACTCATGGTATAAGCAGATCTGTTAGGATGTTATTCTTAACCTTGTTGTTAATTCTTCGTTAAGCCCCTTCTCTTGAGCTCACCTTTCAACAACAGTGCAGACATTTCACGTGTTTTTGTGAAAATTTCAATTAGAAAAGCTCTTATTAGATTTAATTGCTCATGTCTGTTGATCTCCCGCAGCACGTCCTGGATGCATTAGACAAAGCTGAAAAATACCTATGTGGCATGGCGTCAACGTCTGTGGAGCGCACGGAAGGTGCTAACACCGTGTTCACCATTGCTCGAGGGCACACTATTCCTTTGGCAGAGCATACATTTGGGGCGCGGATGCTGGAGGAAGCTTTGCAAGTGGGCACACGTGATCAGATTTCTGCCGTCTTCACTGAGCTATACCCCTCTATTATGACGGTAATGCGCTCAGAGTCTGGAAGCCACGTTTGTCAAACGTTGCTGGCACTCATTTCCAGAATCTACAGAGATGATTGCAGCAGCCTTTCTATGGAATCCCTGGGCGTAGTATCTGCAATCAATAAGGCAGATGGCAGCCTAGCAGAACTCTACTCCGCACTTGTTCTCCAGAAAATAATCCCGGAAATCCCCAGCCTTATTACGCACAAGTTTACTAACCATGTTCTCCGCACACTCCTTCGTGTAGAAGGCGGTAGTCCGCCTGAGGACGAAGACCGCGGACGCCGCAAGCACGCCAATGAATCGACGTTCTGCACGATGTACGGGCCCACAGACCCTTTTGCAGGCGTCTGCAGCAACTTGTTTATACCGTTTAGCCAGGCACTTTATAAGACTCTTCAAGGTCAGAGTACAATCTATCAATCTTGCTTCGACACATATAAGTCTGTCCTTCTGCAGACCTACTGCAAAATCATCGCCCGCTGCAAGGAATCCATCGATATTCCTACAGTGCAACAGCCTCTAGGGGTTCTCCTCCAACTCCTAAATCTTCCAACAACTATTATAGATAAGGTAACGCGAAAAAAGCTTAAGGACTTTACCCTCAAGTTCAGCACTTTTAAGGATCTATGCAAGAACACTTCTGCATGCTTTGCTCTGGAGTCTGTTTTTGAGTCTGTGAGCGTTTCCCAACCTGAAGCCTGTGGCGCGTTAGCTAACTTTGTCATTTCCGGGACAACCTTGTCGCGCACTTATAACGAGTTCAAGGACCTCTCAGTAATAGCAGGATCTAAGACAGCGTCTCATGTTTTCTCTGTAATAATAGGCTTTTGCGATGATCCACGGCTCTTGACCGATCTCCTTGGCGTTTACACTGCTTCCTGTTCTGTTATCTTTGAGCACGACTACTCTAAGCTTATACAAAGCCTCTTTAGGGGTCTTTGTAGGGCAGCCACATTCGTTTCAAAAACCTTAAAAGAAAGTAGCGAAGAAGAAAATGTCGCGCAAAACGATAATCAGAATAAGAACGCTATGGATGTTATTTCACCAGAGCTTGTGGCATCGTTCGAAAAGGCACAAAGAACTTTTATCGACGCAATAATAGAGCTAACAGAAGCCGATAAGCGTTTTATTAGAGCTCTTCTCCTTCCAGGCCAACCACTAACGGGCCCCTTTTCCCTTGAGTTTTCGTTCTCCACCAACAGCAAGTACATGTTCAAGGCACTGGCCACCACCTTCGCCGACAAGTCACATGTGACACCTGAATTTAAGCAGCAGCGCCGCGAAGAGCATCAGCGCAGAGAGAAGCTTGCTAAGGAACAGTTTTTCGGGACAAAATACAAGAAGAAGGAGGCAGGCACGATCACCCATGCAGGTGTTTGGCAAACCGGGAAAGGGATAGTGATTTCCTGGTTCAATATGGGAAATCCTGACATCGTCAATATGGCCGCTGAATCCCTTATTGACTATTCGTTCCCAGACCCTGGAGATGCGTTTAAACTGATCATGCATCCAGCAGGCTGCGATGTTTATCAAGCGTGCCTAGGAAGCGTGTATGTAGCCCCTTGGTACAAGATAAAGCTCATTAATAACTTAAAGCCCGTGATTGACAAGCTGGCTCGGAATAAGCTCGGATGTTTGGTTCTCACTGCGCTGTTCGACGCAACCTTGTCTGACACCGGTGACATCCCGGCGGACGTGATAGAGGCCAGTCGAATAGTCCTTGCTAGTGAAATTGACGTTCGTGCTGCTAGTGCATCCTTCCATGGACGTCAGCTATGTGCCTATATGAAGCTGGACGAATTTCAACGTTCTGGAGAAGACTGGAGTAGAACCTTGCAGAGACGAACGGAAGTCAGGAAAGAGATCATGTCGATCTTCGATGATGCTGCAGAGCCTAGAAGGCGCAGAAAGGCCTAGGCAAACGTTGCAAAGAGGAGCTACCATCCGTCCTCGATACTATCATCAGATTCCAGATCTGAAAGATTTAACAGGCCCTTGGTGCTTCTTCGAGACGTTTTTCCTGTGGTTCTTCTACTTGGCATTCTACGGGACGCTTTGACACAAGACAGTGTAGATACGTCATCTGGAAGTAGAGAAGAGATCTGAGAATTAGGGCCAGCCCACTCCATGAGCTGGCTGGCCACAGAACGAAACTCGGCTACGATGTTAGGGCTGGCCTTGCTAATTACCTTAGAGTGTAGGTAGGTAACGCAGTACAGGATACGCTTTATGACCAGTTCATTAGTGTGATATTTGTCAGCAAAGTGTATAATATTCTTCGTAAGTGCAATTACAATACTAGCGTCCACAGCCATATCTATGAGGTACTTGATCATGAACTCGTACTCCTCCTCTGTAGCAGACTCCATGCTTGTCAATAAGGATGATATGAGTTCAGAAATGTGGCTACGGAGGGGGTTGGGCTGCTTTTTGGCGATGGTATCAAAAAGAATACCTGCTATGGAAGACACGTTATCATTATCATTGCTTAGTAACTTAAGTGCGCATAGTATGTGTGTCTCTGGTTTCAGATAATCGGCCGAAATTAGCTGCGTAAGATGTAGTAGCCCCGTGGCTTGAAATTCTGGCCAGTCGTTCTGCAGTAATGGGTAGAAGAGCTGCTCCAGTGCAAACTTTGTGGTAAAAACAGATGAGTTAGTCATCACGCATGAAATCAGAGACTTGTATGCTGCAAACTGTGCCGGATTTGACTGGTTGGTGTGCTCTCGCGGCAACTTCATAGCCTTAACAAAAAGAAGAAGCGCTGCTTCTATGAAGTACCGACGGTTTCCTGTCTTTGGATCTTTTATTTTGAAGTTTAATGGTAGCGTCGCGCAGAATTTCCCTATATTCAGTATAAGACTATAAAACACAGCTCCACTAGCCACCTCTATCTCTCCAGTGTCATAAGAGTCGCACATGGTAGATAGCGCGTTAAGAGCTACGTCAGCTGCCACATATAGCTCTGAGAACTCTTCCATGATATCGTCGCAGCTATGTGGAACGTTAGGGCCTGTCATAAATATTGACCCGCTATTGAGTAGAGTGTTCTTTGCAGTCTCGTTCCCAAGCATATGAATGTACTCATTAAAGAGAAGACCAGACAGCTCTGCGTAGAGGGACGTGTATCCAATGAGGTGGGCCACAGTGTTTGTCGCCATTAACATGCCAGAGAGATTGTCAATGTACACTTTTCCTCCAAGACCCAAGATTCCAACAAATTCCGAAAAGCATAAGAAGGGGTTGTTTCCTATATAGTTGTGCACAGATTGCAGCAGATGAAGAAACGAATTCTTCATGTTTTCTCCGTGACTCTGCACTGTCACGAGGATTGGTTCTAAAATATTGCCAGAAAAGGCCGCAGAGAGGAGAGTATAACAGAGGATGCCCATTTCCTTTAGAAATAATGTGTTTTTGGATGAAAGCAGTGCTCCGACAAAGATCGTCATTATGCGGATCACTGTCTCCGATGAAATCACTAAAAAACGGTTGTAAATTGATGTGAACATGTTCAAAAGGCGCACCGAAACATATTTAACAATGTCCACCTCGCTTAGCACCCCGGTTAGGAGCTTCTCAATCATGTTGCGCCTTGTGATTGTCACACGTGAGAAATCCAATAAGTCCTGAAGAGCTGAGGGGACAGTCAGCTTAGCTGTATTTTTGGCAATGGCACCAAGAAGCACTGTGATAGTTCGGTCGAGCTGGTCGTGTCGTAAATGAGCCTCAGCAGGGTATGTATTTGCGATAGTACTATAGAAAAAGATGATGCGGTTGACAAATTCATTGACGAATGATTGGTCGGAGCCCTCTAGAGGCTTGGTTGTATTACCCTCTATATCCTCAGACTTGTATATCCCGTTTTCAAAGAGAACTCTAAAGACAGATGTTAATACGCGGCTATCTAAGGCTTCGGTCGAGGTTCCTGACGCAGATGCTAATGCTATGAGATCACAACACGCCTCTAGAGACCCATAAACTTTGAATTCAAGACATGCTTCTATGAGTATAAAGACTTCAGAGTCAGAGAGTTGCGTAGAAACCAAATGGGATCGGATGAGGCGAAGGCACTCCTCATAGATTTGGGCGAAGCGCAGCGCAGATACAACGATATCTACTTGCTTGCGCGCGTTGTTACGATCTGTCACTTCCGTATTTTCTGATTCGTTGAGCACGCTTATTGCAAGACTGACGGCAAGATCAATCTTGTCTTCATAGGAGAAGGAGAGATGTCTATCATACTTCTTGCATACAATATTATAGAGAATCTTCAGCTCATGAGAATTAATGCTTGGACCCCAAGGATTGTGCTGTAGGAGAGACACCAGCCCCTTGCAGGCGGCCTTTCTCACTAGTGTTGTATTATCCATAAGCATGCAAGCCAGCGTTCGGGCTGCCTTGACATACCAGTTGTGTGGGGTGCGTACCTTCTTATGGCCAGAGCTTTGAAGTGCGGATACTGCTAAGGTGGAGTGCTCCGCAGTATCATCTGTAATTATCTTTAGGGCACCCAGCGTCATGCATTCACAGGCTGCCGACCTTACGCCGTTGCTGACATCACACACCCTTTCTGCAGACATGACAAGAAGAGCCACAGGAGAGAAGAACAAACCACGCAATGCACCGGCACGCACCTTGTAGGAAGCGTGGAATGTCAGTTCTGAAAGAACAGCTTCGGTGGTGGAGTTGAAGTAGCTAGCCTCTTGGCGATCGAGTGCCTCGAGTAGCGATGCCAGGCCACCTTCTAGCAGCTCGTTTTGTTGGCTACCCACGATATCAATGATCGCCTGGAGTAAGGCGTTGAATTCGGCTACAGGAAGCACGATAAGACAATCACAAACATAACTTCCACGGCTAGGCGAAAGATAAGGGCTCGCTTCTCTTGTGATGGTACTCAGAGTGGCTTCTGCGAGTAGATGGTATAACTGAGCAACATACTCGTTGGACGTGCTCCGCTGAAGAGACGTGTGTAGAGCCTCCACCACTAGATCCCCGCCTGTCTGCCGAATAAACTTATCTTGATGCTTCATGCCAGATCTGCATGCATCTGCCATTCCCATACGGAACAAGGATGCAACAAAGTTGGGTGGATAGGATAGGTGCCCATCAAATCTGTCGAGAGCCCTCAAGAGATCAAGGGCCGTCTCTGACAAGTCAAAATGATGGGCGATGGTACAACACAAACATGAGATGGTGTTGATGGTTATCGCCGTTGCCTGTTCGTGTGACAGACTGGTAGTCGTGACCATAGAGTCTACTATGTCTGCTGAAAGCAGAGCAAATACTGTAGCGAGTAGCGACTGAGCAAATGGCTGGTGAAGATGTGCAAAGCTAAGGACCATAGATGAAAAGCTTCGGTTTTCAAGGAGCAAGAATCCAAGAGGTGCTTTTTCAAGGTCATGAAGAAGTGTGGTTGCCGCATCCTCTAGCAACGTGCTCCTTCCATTATATATTACTTTACCATCCTCAATCGTGAGGACGGGTCCATTTGGCAGAAGGTCTGCGAGGCTCTGCATGACAAGTAGAAAAAAGCCTCGAAAATTTAAGCATGGAGGAAACCCTGCCTCTCACCTTCACAGTCGATGAAACGATACCGCCAGAGACGTTTCCCTTGGACGCATTCTATCGCTTTAATCACAAACTTCCATATAAATGGTTTACTTGTACCGAGCCGGAGATAGAGTCATGCAAGTACATAACAGCCCCTCCGAATTACAGACCCCAGGACACTGACGATCCCGGGTATCAGCTATATAAGCAGTATTTCAATCTGTCATTTGTTCTTCAAGAATTTCATAAGCTTGTTACCGAGGCGCGGCTGGGGAAAAGTTATCAGTATTCAGACGGCAAGCAAATGGTTCAAGCCTTCCCCAGTTCTGCTAGTATAGAGGGATATGAGCTGCTACTAGATGGTGCAACAGCTATGAATGGGAAGTTGGTGACAATTGGCGCTTGCCTCGCTAGATGTAGGCAGGCGAAGAAGGCAGTAGAAGAGCGCCAGAGACAGATTGATGCTCACGTTGACATGATAGCCAGGTATGGACGGGTGGCCCCTCTGGTTCTTGAACCGCGCTTCCTCCAACTGGCGCTATCAACAGACGAGATCTTGATGCTCTCCGAAGATCTAGGAAAGTATCTGCGTTGCAAACGCTCTGCTGTTAGGGTGTGTCTCCCCAACACAACTCTACCATTGACGAGGTTCCTGGCATGTTCAAAGTGTGGGAGCTGCGCGTCCATCAAAGCATATCTACGCTCATGTAATGTTGCGGCCACGTTCGTTTATCTGCAACGTTACTATATGCACATCAATTCCCTAGCAAATATGCTGGATTTAGGTGAGATCATAATTGGCCCTAGCCCGGGGCAAACAATATGCTGCAAAGTGAAGCTGTTCACCGAGAAAGCAAGTACAGAACATAATGAAAAGAACGATGAGAATAGGTCCAAACTGAATAGCACCGGTTACAGATACGTGCCATCAGACTTTGACCTATCCATTAGTGAAGAGAGTGACGCTACAGATGTAGCTGCTGAAGAGCATGACGTGCTGCCAGATATGACGTTCATGCAGTCAGTGGCGAGATTAGACATTTCACTTCCACTGAATACCTTAAGTCCTAGATTGATCAGTGGCGTGCTCAAGTTGGCCCACGTGAGAGAAGAAAATCCAATACACTTGGTCCAGGACCTTCTCAATGTACACACCTGTTGCGTGCAAAGGCTGAAACTAGGAGATCGAATATTGTTAGAAGCATCGTTCCCTCACCGCATGACATTAATAAATGATCATAAAACACACACTATTTCGTCTAAGGATGGAGTGCTGTGTGGACATATGTGAAGCATCATTATAGTAGTTTCACAAATTCTATGAGAAAGTATAGTCTCCCGTTACTGCCAAGGATTCCGCGACCCTTACGGGTCATCTGTTCCCTATTGGAGCACTTACTAGCATAAAAGACGTGTTTTAGTAACTTGTTCATATTACTTAATAAGCTATGCTCTTCTTCTTCGGTAATGGGTGTACTAAAGTTCTGGTCATCAAACACCAGTATCATCCTCAACTTATTATCAAACACCAAGGTATCGACATGCTCCTTTAATTTGGCCACTATGATTTTGAAGCTCTCTGTGTCGGTGCTCAACTTTGTCATCATGTCTATGGACAGCCTGTGCTCTTTGAGAATAAAAGGTTGCCTTGCCATGATCGTGTCCTTGAAGAACTGAATCCGGTAGAAGCACTGCTGCTCGACGCGCACTTGAAAGTTTGAAATGGCAAGCATCATTGAGGTTTCTGCTTTCTGTGTGTGCCTTCCTATTGATGACGGCCGTGCAGAAAGTGGGGGAGTGCTCAATTTGAGGTTGGGTGAACAAGAATCCAGTTCGATCTTGAGCTCTGCTAGTAGACGCTCCACAAGTGTGTAAATAGCGTACCGCATGACACACAAATCTAGGTCACTCAGGGCTTGTGATACACACGGATTTGGGGCTGAAGTTAGAGAAGCAATTGTAGAGGCAGCTGCACTTGAGTGGTTCGTGTTAGGACCTAGTGTGTAACCATCAAATGTACAATCCTCTGGAAGTATCCACCCGTGCATGCTGTATGCGCCTGTATGTAGTATATAGCTCAAACCCTTCAGTAGTGTTTGTGCAGCAGGGCCTTCCATGTCTACGAGCGTCTGAGAAAGACTTATCCGCTCACTGGCTTGGATATAGCTGGTTGAATTTCCCAGCTGCCGATAAATAAACTTCTTTGCTGGAGAGGCAGATTGCTTGTTCAGTGGAGGAGATAATTTTGATTTCGCTATATTGGTAGATGTCTTAGCCCTTCTCGGAGAGGGTTCGCGCAGAGTAGATGGAGGCCTTCCTGTTGGCGTCAAAGGAGAGTTTGTTAGCTGCAGAATGGACGTGAACGAGCCTGTGTTAGAAAGAGATGCTGGCTGATTGAACAAGACCACTTTCGGAGTTATAGGGAGGACTGCATCCAGCGTTCTATGTATTCTTTTATGCACTTCTTCATCTCGGTCTTTTAGAAAACTCATGGCATCATACAATTCAGAAACACAGAAACATTGGTTCTTGATGAAGTTTAGATTGTATTTAAGAGACGAAAGAGAAGTCACAGGCTCAGTGGCTTCAATACGGTCAACTGAGTAAAGAATGGGGAAGCCGGCAGTGTACAACAAGCTAGATGCCCGGGGGAAGAGCCTACAATACCAGTGCAGTGGGATGTTGACATAGTCAGAGCCATAAAACCGTGTTGCCGTGACATATTTTATTGTATCGACTACATACCAGACACCTTCAATGGCCACAAGATTGCCAATAAGTGTTTCAGAAAGCTGAATGCGAAAAGCCGGAACACCTGCCTTGTTAAGAAGAAGCTGGAAAAGGTCTGGGATGATCGATGGAGACCCTATTGTATTGGTCATTACGGAATAGATATCTTTTGGGGAGTTGGTGTAGATGGCGCGAGTGTACGATGCATTGGTGCATGAGAATATTGGAAGAAGATTACTCATCACAATTGCCAGGCTAGCGTCGCCCACCAGGATACGGCGGATTATATCAAATACTAAAAGTTCTATCACGAAGGAATAGTCTACTTTGTACCTTTTCACACTGTGGACGGCTTCTCCTGCCGACACGGTCTTCACACGCAGCTTCCGTTGATAGTCTGCGAGAAACTGCTGCATATGCTGGCACAAATGATCCTGTGTGCGTAGCTTGCGGCACCAAATCGAAGCAGGGGATGACCAGGGGCTCGGATATGCGTTGAAACAGATAGTTGTCACGACTGGATCCATACTGCGTGATGGCTCGCCAGCACCTGCCAGCCTAAGAAGCACAGGATAGAGGGTACTGTACTCTGGATAATCCCAATACAGACACGTCAAAATTAACCGAACATAAGACAGTGTGGTGATTATCTCGGGAACTAGGTTCAATAGACTGATTATAAACCTTCCTGATTGAAGAGAATATGATAGAAGCTCATAGAGAAGTAGTAGTGAGCTACTGTACCTTGGGGAGCCCTCTGCTAGCAAAAGACGAGCGTACCGGGCACGGCCATGATAGACTATAGCGGCTAATCTAGAGAGTTGATCACTGGAAAGATGTAAGTGGGCCAAGTCTGTGTTGGTGATAGAGGACGGCGCGAACTTGATCTCGCCTCCATTTGTGAGCTCAAGAAGGTCTTCAGCGTCTGGAATGGACGCTATATTATGTACCTTATGCCTTCGGGTACGCACAGGGGGCATGACTGGAGCTGTTGGAGCAGAGGGAGGGTGTGGCGGAGCCAATTTGGGTGCTATGTCAACACCGCAGGATTTGGGCCGTTTAGAGTCCCGTGATAAATGTGTGGAAGAACCAGATGTGTCCTTGTCTGGATCGCGCTGAGAGTCTGAGGCGCTTGACGTCTCTGTCACCTCTTGTGAAGTTCCCATTTGGAGCAGGCTTGTCTCGTCATCTGTAACAGCTTCCAAATGAGGGGTCACTATGGTGCTATAGCAGCCTGCACTAATCCCAGAACCCATCGCGGGAGGGATACCTCTCTGAGCCAAAATTTATGTCTGTCTCACACTTAGCCCCGGAGTCGGCCAACCCGCAATGTGTGGATGACGTGTGTCTTAATTTGGTAGCATGCAAGAGCACACCGCATGATCGTGATATTATGGAGCCGCAACTAAAGCATTTTACCGGTATCACAGACCCCTCTGCCTCACAGAAAACATTCTCGCTGTCCAAGCTTTGCGGGGAGCAGATTACAGGTACGCAAAAGGAAACTAAAGAAGATGAGGTGGCATCGACGCAGCAGACCCTGGTAATGTCCTGGAGATATGACAGCGATCCTCCGAAAATAACACGTAAGGAGATAGAGGACGCATTTAAAGCGCTCTCTATCGACACTTCTGTGACGGGGACAAGGGAATTCCAACATAAAATTTACATAGACTGCCTAACAAGGGTGACCAAGCCACAGTTTGGGCCGATATGTCGCTACTTTGAGAGTTTGCACAAAAACACCCAGTTCTTCATGAGATATGATAAAGTGAACGACGAGGAGCAGGCGACTGTGTTCTTGGGAAACGTTCTTGGCCTCACTGCAAACGATCTGGCTAAATCCATCGAGCAAAGGCTTGGATTCATCCCCAAAGCTATTCGAATACCTATTAACAAGCACACTGAAAAGCCTAAGCCAGTCGCATACGTGGTCTGTGATTCACGCGATCAAGCCAAAGAGCTGGCAGAAAACCTACGGGGCGAAAAGCTCGGTCTGTCCAGTGGCATCCGCACCGATCTGCTGGTTCACGAGGGCGAGTCCCGTGTAACTCTCAAGCCTAGGAAGCAACACAGTAAGTCTAAGACATCTTAGATTCAGATTCTAACTTGTTGCACACCTGTGCAAAAAAGTCGTCGGTGAACTGCTGACTCTGAGACATAAGCAAGCCCTCGATGGTAGGATACCCTATCTGCGTTGCATGCTCTGGGGGACTGAGCACCTTGAACCCGGCTTCAGATAAATGAATGGTGAGAAGGACCCCGTGGAGCTTCAAAGTAAATGTAGCCGCAGTGGAGCTATGATCTAAGACGTTGACAAGCTCAAAGTCTCCAGCCGCAGAGCGTGATCGTATATACTCTAATTCCTCCTTGACCATAAGCATTTTTGGTTTCTCAATTTCGACGCTTGTGCACTACTTCCGGAAGCGTTAATGTACATACTAATATGTGGGGCTATTGAAGTCTTCATTGCTTCCCAGCATCGTACTCTTGGCTCTGCTGCTCTGCTGCTTTCCCTTACGATGCTGACTCCGTATCATGAGATTCAAGGCCTTGACATCTTTATTTAACCGGACCCACAGAACGAGTGCCATAGTGTTCAGCGCCACAGCAAAGGCCGCGGCAACGGAGAAGGTGATAATGTACGTGGTGTTGTAGTCCTGGGATTGGATTGTGATGCTGGGGATGAACCCCGAGTGTATACTAGTGTTAGTGACGCCGTCTATGGTGAGGCCCACGAGGGCTGTCTTCTTTTTGTTCCACAATTCGGCAAGGACTCTCTGGCAGCTCATTCCAGCGTACTCCGTGCCAAAACCAGGCACCCAGTCTGTTTCGCATGAGAACCTGAGCACGTCTGTATCTCTGCTGAAGGTGCCTTGCTTTGCGAGCTTCCCCATTGAAAGGAGCATGGAGGAGTTGGTGTATATCTCGGCAGTGATCATATAGACGAGGGCGCCGGCCTCATTCAGACGGGTACTTGACACGTTGACAAGGTCGACTCCCTGCCAGATGGCGGCCTGCTCCAGGGTAGGGATGCTGCAATCCTTGGCCCCAGACTCTTGGAGGCGCAGGCTGAGGACTGTGGGTTCCACTATGACTACGGTTCCGTTATAGCACCCAAGGTTGTATGTTACGTAATAGAAAGTAGACCGAATCATCCCGTTTCCAGAGGTGTCCATACTATCGTAAAAGGTGATGCGCACGTACCCATTCAACTTCTTCACAGTGCTAGTTGATACATTAGCAAAGAAACTGCGGCAACTGTCGGGGTGCACTGTCTTGTGATACCCTGTTCCACACAAAAACGGGATTGAAGCTGTCGACGTATAGGAAAAAGATGGAAAGGGTCTTTCTAAGACTATGGAATCGCTCGTTCTTTCATCCCTGACAACCGCTGTTAACACAATTTGCTTAGTGGTGGGAGGAATAGAGCACAAGTGACTATTGATAGTATCATATCCTTTCATTACTGTGAAGACACTAATAGGTGAAATGACAACGCTGAACTCCTGTATGCAGTCCTCCATGTAGGTTGTTCGCAGGCTTGATAGTTCCACATCTACGTTTGCCTCCACTTCATCAATAATAAGCTGCAAAGACAATGTACCAGTCAACCAACTGACAGTAAAGTAGCTGTTGATACGACTAGCTAAGGCTGTATCGCGTTCATCGAGGGAGGCGCAATATGTTAACTTTGAACTGGATATGGCTTCCACGGGTAGAGAGTATCTGTCATCTCGAGAAGTTAGATTATCGTTAAAATGAACAATAAGGGTGGATTGCACAATCTGGTTAGTAGATAAATAGGGGCATGCTTGGTTCCATGATAACCGAGCACATAACTGCGTGGTAGTTTCTTCCAGGGATTTGATATACTGAATACTGGAACCTTTGCTTATAAAGCAAGTATCATAGTCATACTTATCAAGAAGTATGTCACTTATAATAGTTGGCATGATATGCGTCGCTGACTCTATGGAAACAGAAGCGGACGTGCTTGTTATCATCGCCAGCTTGCAGCTCTGCAAGGAGCTGGGATTACATGCGAGCCTTATCATGTTTGTATTTGAGAAACTAAAGTCGGATAGAGTCTGCACTATGGTGTCTTCGTAATCTGATAGGTTGAGTCGGACAATGGCCGTCGTGGAAAACGCTGCCCTGCACTCGGCAGTGTTTCTGGGACGCACGTTTAAAGTGAATGATAGGTTTTCATAGTTTGCTTGCAAGCTGATGTCCTCGCACCAGCATCCTTTTATCTCTGCCAAAACGGGGGCGTCCGCTCGCCGCACGCATCTGTGGGTCTCCTGGTCGCACACGCTCAGTAGCGGGCAGTCGCTGTCGATGATGCAGCCAGCTTTGCACAGGTTGCCGCCGGCACAGGTCATAGAGATCTGGTTCAGGGGAGATGTGGCTTGGGCAGCCAGCTGCTGAGTATTGTAATTGGCGTTACTCTCGAAAACACTGGGGTCCAAGGGCTTATTGTTTGTGCCTGTCCTCATTGGATCGCAGGGACTGTCGCTGTTTTTGGAGTCACATGTCAGATAGCAGAATCCGTCATCCAGGCCCTTGGTGTAACCATCTTGGCACGTCTCGGTCTTGAAGCGACACACCCCATCCAGTGCACACAGGGAAGGGTGTGGGCAGGCAACGCTCTTGCATTGGTAGTTGCAGGTTCCCTCGAAGGAGCACAGCCGGCCGCCCGTGCAATCCACGTCGCTGACGCAGACAGCCATGCAGTGGAGGCCTATGCAGGACAGTTTTGGGGTTTCTGTGCAGTCAGTATCACTACTACACTTCTTAAAGCAAGAGCCGTAGAGGCATTCTTCCTTGTCCTGGCACTTGCTGCATTGATTGCGGCAGATACCGTCAGCCCCGCAAACCTGATCTGCAGAGCAATCGGTGCTACACTTCCAGACACAGGTGCCCGTGCTTGACGAGGTGGAGATGTTGCAGGTTTGTGAGGAAGAACAGTCAGCGTCATCCTTGCACCCGTCTTTGCAGTGCCCATTAAGACACGCCTCTCCAGTGATAACGCTGCAGTCCGCATTGAAGTAGCAGACCTTTTCGCAGTCTCCTGCGAGCGAGCACATGTAGCCACTGGGGCAGTCGGTGGCCTGGGCGCACTTCTGCCTGCAGACGCCGTTCCAGCAGTGAAGCCTCCCCTCTGATAAGCACTCCTTGGATTCCGTGCATGTCCTGAAGCAAGACTCGTCTCTACAGACGGAGCCAGTGGGACAGTCGGTGTCACTAGCACATGTCTGGCGACAGATGCCGTCTATTCCGCAAGAGGTTTGGCCTGCACAAGACCCTGTGCAGCTCCAGCCACAAACTCCTTCAGCAGAACCAGAGGTGATGCAGCGCTGATTGTTTCCGCATCCCTGATCATTAGTACATCTCATGGAACAGTGCCCATTGGTGCACTTCTGGCCTGCAGGGTAAATGCACGTGCCCTGGTGAGAGCATTTTTGCTGACATTTATTACTTGAACAAGCGACTATACCTGATGGTAGTGCTAAACTGGTTGAACATTCAGCATCATTGGAACACGATATTTGCTTTATATCTTCAACAACAGAGATAGCAGTATGTAGGTCACATAGTGCTGTGGTAATTGTAGTTAATAAGACAAGCAATCCGTAGATCACTGCATGCATAGTTTCGTTATGGCAACTTGCAAAAACACTGTCTCAGTTGTTATAAGTAAAAATATACTTGTGAGAGCCAAAGCTTTCAATTTTTTGATCTCATTTCAGTCCCTAGGTCCTGCACATCATAAGGTAGCCCGTCAGGCAATTGTGGCAGTATGATTGCTTCGGCCTTCCTCCTCCTTTTCTATGCCAACACTCTTGCCCAGAATATCGGGCAAGATTTTTCTATCCTGGTAACTGCCAATACTCCCACAGATGTTTCGCTAACCTTTAAAGAGGCCCTTCCAAACCTTGTTCCTATTCACAACAGCATCAGCATCGCATCTACTGTCCCTGTATCGGTTGTAATTCTTATGCTGGATTCCAATGACGAAAGCATTTACACTAAGACTGTTGAAGGAACAGCGATCTTTGAGTACAACATTTATCTGGAGCAGACAGGTGCATACAATCTTCGGCTGACCTCAAATGTCACGACCACACTTAAGGTGCTTGTTGAGCCCTTGCATCAGGAGTACCTTGGAGCAATTAATATTAGATCAAACGAGCGTGTAGTTTACATCAAGGAGTTCTTGACGCTGGAGTCTGCAACCATCCTCTTAACGCATATACCCTCGGGGGTGACTGTGCACTACACTGTCTGCAACGGGGCTCCATCGAACCCTGTCCTGAGTCCCGGAGTGTGCAGCTCCTCTGCAAAGGTTGTTGCAAGTGACGGACAGGCGCTATTCTTCTTCCACGCAAAGACCGTGTTTCCAATCAGTGAACAGGTCGGCTCCAATATATGGTTATACACTTTCGAGTTTGATTTACCCAACCCCCTGACGGAAGCTGCTGCAGGCTCCATCACCTTCCTTAGTGTGAGAAAGCTAGACAGCGATACTGTGACCAACATCACATACCCTCTGCAGCTCGATGGTGAGTTCGTTTCCATTTCAGCCTTCGACTCCATCTCTGTTGTGTATAAAAATGATGTTCTTGTCACCCCGCAGCTTCTCCTTGAAGTATCTCTGCCATCTGAGTTTGTTATTACCAATATTTGTGTAAGCCATATCTCACCCTTTAACAACTGCGCGCCCGTGAAGACTGACTCTGCGTCTGTAAAGTTATCCATACCACTACCTGATTTTAAGCCAAGTACCCTCTACTACTTAGCCGTCTTTTGTGTGCTGACAAGTGACCAGCGCGAAAGCACCGTGGGGATCACCTCAGTGAAGCTAACAATGGCTACAGAAATAGAGCCAACGCCCATTGACTCCACATCTCCGGCTGCGTATAAGATGCTATGGTATGATGACACCGTCTATGATAAGCTTTTCTCTCCTTCACGACAAATTCACTTAAAACTCACAATCCCGAACACAGGGCTTCTTTTCGAGGGAGCTGATATCTATGTTGACTATCATCCTGCTACTCCCACAGAGATAGACGCTGACGGCCTTTGTCGGTATTCCACGAGGATAACGTCTGCTGATACTCAGACCATTTACTACTATGACATTCTTCACAATATGCACATGTATAAGGCTAGACCGGGAACATACTACATTATCCTACATCCACACCTGATGTGCCTGAATACAGGGAAGATGTCGGTTCTGGAAGCCACCGTCTTCATCAAGATGTTCTCGACTAAAACGACTTTCAATCAAACGCAGTTAATAGAACGACATCAGCTCACAGTTGGGCTACTCTTTAGCCCTGCAGCCAGGCCCCTTGACCAAGTTGCAGACCCCTTGAAACTAAACTTGTCACCGTTCCTGATACCATTCTCGGCAATAGCGGCAACAGAGGAGCTGACCCTATTCTACAACAGAGAATACGCAGATGACAACACCATTTGCTTCGAGCTGGCTCTGGGATCCCATGTCGATTTGCTTATCTCTGAAGTGACCAGGTACACTACCTTTGCTACCAACCAATCTGTGTACATTAAAAGCCTAAGCATAAAACCCAACTGTTTCAGCGTCTCAAAGAGCGCCACTAACACGCTGAGTGATAGTGCCCTGAGTACCGTTTTGAAACTCCAGATACACTCCACTAATACGCTAAGCACTACAGCGCCTAGCGCCACCCTCTTCTGTGTCTACTCCTTACCAGCTGTCATTAAGGAATATATAATAATGCCAGCTAATCCTGCCTTTAGTGTCGTTTTCCCGGATAAATCCAAAATGGTGATGAGTTTTAGAGCCCTTTCGTCGCTTGTCTCTAACGTTAAAATAAAATACAGCATATTTATCATTCCAGTGGGAAGAGAAAATATCAATCCGGTGCCAACAACCTTTTGTGGCGTTCTTACAGCCATCACGCATGCATTAAATCCGGCCTGGAGGCAGCCTATTTTCAATTTGACTAGCAGTGTTGAGAAGCAAGACTATATTATTGCAAACATTCCTCTTTCACAGTTCCCCATAGGGACAAACCCCCTTACTCAGGAGTACAACGCCTTTGTAATTGTAGAGGATGTTCTGGCAGGGACAACCGGTCTTTATATCAGCAGCAGGATCAAGTATGCTAAGATTAAGTTAACCAAACCAATTGTCATTCAGTTGGGTATATCCTGTTCTATTATTATTCTCTCTGTGATAGGAATTATTATTACGGCCATCTTTTGCGGGCGCATGCTTAACGTGCATTACAGACAAAAGCGCGTATTAGTGTGACTGGCCCAGGAGTAAATGTCTCTACATCGTATGAGTGAGTTTAAAATTTGAAATGAGCGATGAGCAGCCAGTTCAGCTCGGACAGTATGAGGTTTCGGAGCTGTTAGGGTCAGGGGCTTTTGCAAAGGTGCGCTTGGCAACCAGGAAGGATACGGGGAAGAAGTATGCAGTGAAGATCATCAAGAAAGTGGGGCTATCTCAAAGAGCTGCCGACCGCCTAAACCTTGAGATTGCTGTCACAAAGGGCATTTCACACCCAAACGTCATAAAGATGCACGAAGTCATCGGGACGTCTTCAAAGTTCTGGCTGGTGATGGACTACCATGCCAACGGGGAGCTTCTAAAACACATGAAGACAAAATTGTCAGACGATCAGGCATTTGACTACTTTATCCAGATAGCGTGCGCTCTTCGGTACTGTCACAGATTCGGGATTTGTCACCGAGACCTAAAGTTTGAAAATGTCCTGGTGGCGAATGATGGGCATCTCGTGATAACTGACTTCGGTCTGGGAGCTATTTCTTACAACCCTGACAAGACCTTTTACTCACAGGCAACCTTCTGCGGCTCAACCCATTACATTGCTCCAGAGGTATCCTCTGGAAGCAGGTACGATGGGCGCAAATCGGATATCTGGTCCTTGGGAATCATGCTCTATGCCATGCTGATCGGCAAGCTGCCTTTCCCATCAGATAACTACGAGGTCCTTGTGGAGTCCATGCTTAATCGTCGCTATGACCCTATCCCTTCCTTTGTTAACGACCAGGCCAAGAACTTGCTGGAGGCGCTGCTGGAACCAGATCCTCGGACGAGACCCGACTGGAGGGAAATATTCAATTACCCGTGGATTGCATCGCGAGTCGCACTAGTGGATGAAGCTGGGCATACGGTGGACAAGTTCCCTAGTGAGATTACTGATACGGGTGTGCTCTGCAGAGTCATGCGAAAGAAGAAGGTGCATATGGAGATACCCCTTCATCCAAACAAGAAGTCGTACTCTGTCCTCTCCAACATACATGCTGCCTTAATGCAAACAAACAGCGCCCCAAGTACGGCTCAGCCTGTTTCTGATGAGGGATTCACCTGCCCCAGCTGTGGAAACATTGTGGTACCCCCTAAAACCGCCGATATAGCCAGCTACTCTGTCAAGAAGGCCATCATGATTTCAGACATAAGCATATCAGATGCGCTGATTCTAGCTGCGTACGGTGTCAGAAAGGTGACGAAGAAACCGGTTGTGGTCTATCCTCACGAGTTTCGAGCAAGCTCGGACGTTCAGCTGATGGAAGCCCGCGTGTTCGGCACTCAGAAACTGGTCATCCTTATTGGTACTAACGACGCGGAGATGTACACGACGGTCAGTACTGTTCTGACAAACTTGGCAGCAGATAAGGCAAAGTTGTCTGCCATTACCCTAGGCCGAATTAATGACGTCTCAGTTGTTTGCGAAGATGCACGGTGACCTTTGTGCACTCATTGACCCAATCCAAACATCAGCTAGCGTTTCAATGTAAACCAATTACAAAAATACCAAAAGCTAGCTCTTTTGTTTCATGAGCAACAGCAGGGTACGTGCGTCCCAACTGGGGCATGAGCCGACATGCTTCGTCCTGGCCTTTGGTGGCGGCCCCAGCTTCGATCAGGCTGAGCTGGTCGCTAAAATCCATTCAATTGTGAGCAATGCAGTTTTCATCCGGAGCACCCCTTATGGGCCAATATTCGGCCTGGAGAATGAAGTGGACCTCCTTATACTGATCCGGTCAAGCCCCATAATCCTTCGTGACGGACGGATGATAGGCTTTTGTCCTCCCGTTGAATTTGAGGGTATAGTGCAGTATGCCACACCTTACAGACAGCTTTCGGTCTACTCCGGCACAGGAGAGGTCATCATTTACATCATCAACATAGTTATATTTGCTCTTGCCGTAGGAGCTCTGGTGAATGGGACAACCTTCGTTCGGGATCTTAGCATTTCGCTGGGATACATGCTCACTGGCCTGCTCTTCTTGTACCTCATTTTTGTTGCATTGCGGCTCATTAGCAATTGGAGATATGCACGACTGTAGCACTGGTCACTGAGCCTGCATCCATGTGAAGTTAGCTTTTCTCGGTCTGGACTACAGATCATGTTTAAACGCTTACGTCGTATAGGAAAACTAACTTATAGATGGTTGAAGACATACTAAAGCTGACACGTAGAAAGTATTATTGGCCAGCAGATGGCAAGATTGCTTTTGTGCAATTGGTTTGTTGCTTGAATTACTAATACAGACAAGCTAGTACGGGGAATTAGAATTCATTGTAAATGTGGTATAGATTGGTACTATACGGAGTCCAGTGATAGGTGCTTACTGGTGCGGGGAGCCGTGTGGTTAGGGATAGACAAAAATCTGGATGACCTCCTTAGCTGCACCACCCGACAAGCTTTCAACATATCTGTCTTTTTATCGTAGAAGAATGTTCGAGGTGAAAGCACTTATGGAGAGCTTGCAACAAACAATCGAGCAAAAGAAGCAGCGCCTAAACTTCTTGAAGTATCGTCTTCAACAACTCAAGGCTGGCCAACCGCCACTAAAGCAGCTAGAACCCATCGAGTCTATGGTTCTACACCCACGAGGCCGATCGCTGGCTTTTCTCCCGGTGCCCTGCCCTGCATCAATCAAGTGTTATTCAGTGGGGTATTTGGGTATAGCGTATAACGTGTTTAGAAAACGGTTCGAATCCCCACGTCAGCCGTTTATTGCGCACGCAGGCACTGAGCTGACCCGGATAGTCTTCACTGATCAAGGCTGGGAGAGACTTCTTCAGCTATCGGCACTGGGTGTTGGTGGCATGGAGAGGGCCCAAGGGAGTGCTGGATCCAGCACGCCAGTCTACCTGCTACTCCACACTCACTTTAATCGCAACCATACCTTCCGGTGTTATATTATGCCTCCGCGTCAGACACACAGGGTTGGACTGTTTTCGACTCGATCTCCCCATCGGATAAACCCACTGGGGCTTTCCATAGTTAAGGTAGAGTCTCTTGATAGTCAGCTGCGCTGTCTGACTGTCGTGGGAAGTGATTTGCTCAATGGCACACCGATTGTCGCCGTCCAGCTGTACAGACAGGATATTCACGATCATCCCACAGCCAGAGCAGGGTGGCTAGATACCGACACCCTGTATCCCTTGTACTACGACACCCAGACTACCGTTGGTCGCAGGGCACACGAATCGTTTGTCGCTGAATGGAAACTGACCCCAATACCTTCGGAGCTATGCAAGAAGCTGGACTTTATACAGAAGACAACGATAACGGATGTGTACTCAATGGTCTCGGCACATTGCTCGCACCGGCCAATCCTGTCTCGCACTCACAAGCAGAAGGAGGCAAATTCTGATAATGCAGTCAGCGCGGTACTGGCCATTTCATTGTACCGTGTTAGCTACGTTGTCGATGTGAGCAAACGCCTTGTGACCTTAGTCGACGTTCAGCCATCTCTCAAGCGAGAACAAGCAGAAGCGCTCAAAGAGTTTGACCCCGAGGCAGAAGAGGTCTCCTCATTCTTCAAGGAATTCCCTCCGGAGAAAAGCAAGTAATTCACTGTTACTGTCACTGTCCCAAAACCACCTTCACAATGAGCTTGGCGGCCTCGTCGATGTGAGAAGATGCATAATTGTTCAGTGCGTTGATTTCCCTTGTAACACGCTCATCCAGGTCTTTCGATATCTGTACAATCTCTGCGGCATTCTTTGTTTGCAGCTCGACAAGCTTAGCCTCTTCTTGGCGCTGAAATGCCTCTATCTCCCTGTGGGCTCTATCCTTCGCCTCCTTCACAAGCTGTGCATTTTCTTCCCTCGCCTGGGCGATACGCCTCTTCCCTTGAGTCTCTGTTTCAAGCAACTTTTTGACCAGCTCTGCGTCCCTGCTCATATTTTGTTTTAAGATTAGAAATTGGTCTTTTGTCATGACTGCGATGATATAGACTCTTTCAGCGTCACTTCATTGTTGAGAAGTAGTACTGAACACAAGGCCCTTATGCAAGACATTTTTACACGATCAATCTGTGGGGGTTTCGATAAAAATGAGCCAAGGAGAGCGTTAGTCTTGGTCAGAACGTGCCTCTCCTCCTTTTAGGCTGTTCTTCAGCGCATGAACTCAGACATGCAACTTCAGTAAACCTGGTTTTAAAATGTCTAATGACAGTGTACCCATCACGCTCCAGGTTTTCTTCAACGGGTCTCCTTATACAGTGACTGTCAATGCACAAGACAACGTATCGGCTGTATGTGCAGCGATATCTCCACTTGTAGGTATCAATCCAAATGCCCTCTGTATTTTATCGGAGACATGGGTGGGGGCTCTTCAGCATGACATACCACTCACATATTTCCATGTGCAGAACGGTACTAAGATATACTGCTTTGGGTCCAACGAGGTTGCTGCAGTAACGCGTGCTGAGGTGAACGGGACGATAGACGATTTAGATGGCGACGGTGCGCTCAAGGAAGAGATCTTGGCCTCTGGAATTGAAAATGTAGGCAACACATGCTTCTTTGGAGCAGCTCTACAGTGTCTGTTCAGGTGCACGGTTCTTCGCACGGTTCTCCTTTATATGCTTCCAGCTAGAGCGCTCGAGCACTGCGATTTGTTTGTCCGTGCACTGTCTTCCGCTTTTCAGACACTAGATAAGAAGCAAACTGCTGTCAATCCTAAGGAGCTTTTAACTCTCTTTGGCACACTACACCCGTCTCTGATTAAGCCACAGCTAAATGGATATGCTATGCAAGACGCCCAGGAGACTCTAAGCCAGGTTCTCAACGACCTTTCCCTAGCACTCCCAGTGAGCTCTCTTGGAGTTATGAACACTGCAGGATATTTAGCCAAAGACTACCTGGAGCTTCGTAACGCAATGCTGAGCTCTCTAGAGGATGGGGGCTCTGAAAATAGCGTTGTGGACTGCCTGTTCAACATGAAAGTAGAATACCACACGGATGAAATTGGACAGAAGCCTGTGTCGACTGATTCAAAGTACTTTCTAGGTATAAACCTCACTGACAAGTGCTACTCTTTGTTGGATCAGCTTGACAAGGAGATGGGGGAGGAGGAGATCATCATTAACGGAGAGCAACACAAGCGTATTTCAAGGTTCAACTTTCTGCCGCCATACCTCTTCGTCGTTATCAACCGTTTTCTTTGGGAAGAGCAGGCTCAGCGAAGACTCAAAATTAATCGGCGCTTCACCTTCCCCTTTGCCGTAGATCTTTATAGGTATTGTAGTGCAGGTCTTCAGACAAGCTTAGATAGCCTTGCTGCCGAAAGAGAAGATGCACCTGCCTCCACCGTCGGATCAGCAAACTATGTCCTGGTCTCTGTCATAGCACACCACGGACTTGGTGCAGAAAGTGGCCATTATATTACGTTCTCGCGCATAAAGGATAACTTATGGGTTAAGCTGAACGACGCTAGTGTTACCGAAGTCACTACTGAAGATATTGAAGCTCTTGCGGGAGGCTCACCAACGTTTGTAGCATACGTACTTTTGTATGAGTACACGGCTATTGGGCTCTAATTAAGATGCGAAGCTCTTACCCTTGACTACAATTGGCGCACAGTAAACATTAAAGATATCCCTGTGAGCCTCCGGAAAAAAGAAAGTCACGAGAAGGGCCCGGCATTAAGCGATGGTGGTTTTTGCGGGACCCTTATCGGACTTGACTGTTATCTTTATCTCTCTTAGCGCCGTTCTACTATTTGGAGCCACTATTTACGCCTTGTACTTTATAATCCCCATTTTGTTGGCGAAGCTTATCCAAGCCATAGCAAATGTATACTTTCGTCTTTATACAAAAGGGTATCGAAAAGCCCGTGTACATGTCTCTTATTTTCGGTTGGGTCTTTTCATGCGTCGAATACACTTGCAGAGCGTTTACTTCTCAACAGCAGAGTACACTATATTCGTGGGAGATGTGCACCTTCACTTTTCTCTTCTCCGCAGGTCTGGTTTTCTCAGCAAGGTCCTCCAGGAACACATCATCAAATCGCAGACTAAAGATGCCCACAGCTTAACATTTCCTCTTTTCCCAGCGATGGTGCACGTCACAGGGATCGATATACACCTGTACAGCCGAAAGCCCCTGCCCTATACGCCAACAGAGGAAGGTCTGCGACGATATATGGAGGAATACCAAAGCAAGCTAGCAAACGCAGCTGCACAGCGTAAGCTTCCTTTCTTCTTTAGAGTTTTTGGGCCTGTCAATTTGGATATTAGGGGTATACGTCTGGTACTGAGCAATCCATACCTTCGATGCGGTGTACGGGCTACAATTGGTTCAGCAAACGGAGTGCTTGGTGTCCACCAGGAAGCTGAGCTCTTCACATTCTATACATCTTACCTTGATCTCAAACTTCATAGCTTTAACGTTAATTTTATCGAAAATGAATTTTACAATCCAATCTTTGATCACAAGCGTCAGAACTTCTTTGAGAAAAAATCATGCCTACCACTGTACAGTGGAAAGAACTCTTTGTCAGTTTCGATTCTATCTTCTCCGGTATCTCGCTTAACAGTCACCACAACCTCTGATCTTTCAAAGGTTTCTTTTCGACCTGGCCTTCACTCTTCCCAAGATAGGTCAGAAATCTACGATAAGTCGTTTCCCGAAGGAATTGTGTCCATCCGTTTGATTGATCCAAAAATAACCTATTCACCATGGCTTGAGCGGGAGAGGAGACGAGTCTTTTTGTCATTCTTTCCTGAGACATTTTTGCCCCGTCAGGTGTGGCCTCTTCCGTCCAACGAGGAGCTATTTTTTAGACCCACGTTAAACTACAAGATTTCCGTGATATTTGATACGCCAGGCACAATTCAGTATTGGTATCGTAATACAGATCAACCGTATGATCCAGTGAAACATGACATTATACTGGCGTGGAAGAGGGCTCAGATGGAGTCGGCTAGGGTCTCTCAGCAGCTGCATGAATTCAAGGCCAACAGTACGATTAGTTGTGATAACAATACTTATACTGCTCAGTCCATTGTTGGTGATAGTGTGATAAATCAGGGTACTGTGCCAACTGGAGGTGCCACCAGCATGGACGATGGAGACTGCACGGAGTGTAGTACGGCGTATTCTATGTGCCCTATTACCACTTCTCCGATTAACTCTCCAGTAGAAGAAGCTCATGCTTTACTAAGCGGAAACTATTCAGCATCTGTGGCTCAGCTCCAGCCGGCACATAGTCGCAAAGGGTCCAATCTCTCTTCTCATGTGCGGATGACATCTTCCACCACATCCAAAGTTGTTCTAGATAGCATTGCAGGACTATCAAAGCGTCTTCGTACGAATATACAAGGGTCTCCCTTAATAGGGAGCGCTGTAGATGACTTTGAGGCTTTAGCGCACCGTAATAACCAGTTTCAAAGTGTTGCTAATCTGCAAACGGCCGTTTTCAACGACGACTTATTTGCTCAGTTTAACGTGGACTCAAGCACGCTTCAAATGGACAACTTTGAGGAACCCACGTGTAATCCTCAAAGCTCCAAGGACGAAGACCAGGCGCCTGAAGCTCAGACCCTTAGGCGGCCTCGCACACTATGGTCCAATGTGTTTGGCAATACTATTCCTTTTGTTAATAGATTTATTCGATCCTCAACCTCTAAAGGTGAGCAGGAGTTCAATATCTTTGATAGCTCTGCTGGGGACAAAGATGCTACCAGTGCAGCACCTCCGCCCACCGTAGGAGCATATACATCCCCCCACGAAGGTATCTCCTTTACTTGCTCTACTGGCACCGTTATTCTTCTAAAGATGCCCGTCTTTTCGTACTTTCCTACGCGCACTAAAAAGATCAGCGCTTTCATACCTCATGTTTCAGCCAAGACAACGGTCATTGGGCAAGAATTTTTTGTCGCAGAGAACATCTCCTTTGTCTGGGATGAGCTTACGACAGGTACAGAGTATTCCGCTCCGACTAAGTGGAATGTCGGCTTTTTTGCAGAGAATCTTCGAGCGGAGCTAACTGGGGCTATAATTTCTCAGATTACGCACTTGCTTGGAGACCTCACAGAAGATGACAAGGACCTCCTTTCCTATTATCGTAAGTCCCTTATTCCACTGATCGACAATAACACTGTTATCCTGGCACACGAGTTCCCTATAAGGGATAGGGCATATAACGTTTATTGCAATGCACCACCAAACCGTCTGCAGACCATGAGGGAGGTCCAGTATTCCAAGACAAAGCGCTTTATCCCTGTAGAGATGGACTTTACCATCCGTGTAGTCAACTATGAGATTGGTGTTGCCACAGCTGTCGACAACGTCTGCTCGTCATTACACCATCTCTCTGCGGTACAGCCTGTTCAGGATTTCCTCGTTCATAAATATTCTGTCGCGTATCACCGCTTATACTGTCAACACAAGATGTTAGCCGAGCATGACTTCAAGGAACTTCGACTGGTGTCTGCCCACCACTATGTTTACCATAATAATCCGTTTCTAAATATGTTCTGGCGCCTGCCTCTAGTTATTGGCGCCTCAAATCGTAGCATCTACTGTCTGCTCGATCTTACCATAGATGTCATCAACAATGACTATGAGCAGGTGGCCAATATGCTTCATAAGGGAGATCCCATATCGAAGGATGTCCGTCCAAACCTTGTCTGGCTCAACACGCCATACAATGTGGCAGCATCTTCGACTACTCGAAAGCGGCGATGCACATGTCTGCGGAGCAGGAAGAAAGGTCTGCGTACATTACCGCCGGTATCTGGGATAACACAGGAAACTGACAATCTTCTTCCGTTAAAAGAAGGCTACACTCATTCGCGCTATCAGAGTACACACGGTTACGAGATTCTTGAGTCTAATACTAAGTCAGGGAAGAAAGGATCTAAATCCTACGATGAACTAAGTCTCGTTCCAGCATCTGTGCATTCTGGAACAAAATTGAGCTCTCTGCATGTACTACAGTTGCCACATACTGCGTCTTGGGACACTCTAGGGACGTCCTCAACTAGTCTTCAACAGACTCCATATCCATGCACTGTTGACGAGTTTCTCAAGGCCTTTCTTTATGAAAGCCCAGATGCCATAGATCATTGTGACCATAGAATAGAGCTTTTGAGAATAGCAAACGGCAAGAAGCATGCTAATTCCAACCCACTCACATATGAAGAGTATCTGTCATTGCTAACATATTCTCCGCCAACTCATTCACGCCTCTTGTTTGCTGGTGTAGACCTGTCCTGCGGAATTGCCGTCCCACGCTTGCATAATCTCAATGCCTGTATTGATGGAGGCACGGATGCCAAGGCACAGTTATACACCGTCCTAGATGTCAAATTGATCTTGAAAATGGCGTCGATCTATGTGGCTTGCACATCCACAAGCAGGCAGAGCGCCTTTCTTAAGAGGCTATATTCAGCGAAGAAGACTACTAACAAATCATTAACATCTCCTTTTGCTTCTGGCCCGTTACCCCGTACAGAACTTCGCATAGGAATGACACGAGATCTTGTTTTAGATGCACACTTGGATACACGTGTCACAAGCTTTCTAAAAGAATCGGTACAGACACCACCATCTCAGATCATTGACTCGTCAGTTTCTCCAAGCCTATCATACCCACAGGATAATAACCTGTCTCTCCAAATCAACGTAGCTCGGCCGGAGCTTCTTGTTAGCGGTTCAGTAATAGCCATATTTATGCATTTCCTGGAGAATCTGTTTTTGGCCCAAAGGTTTCCAATCTCTGATGCAGACTATATTATTATGCCCTTTAATTTACACTTTAAGAATCAACTTGCAAGAGCCTATGAGTCATATTATCTTTACCATCGCTTGAAAGCAAGCTATGCTAACGACCTATGGCTCGACTCAATTAAGCGTGCTGTCAAAGATAGTCCAGAAGTTGATCCCGTGGAGCGCCTCACAGATAGAGACATACTGATCAGATTGTCACACGAGTTTGTGCTAAGTGATCAAATGACGTACTCGGATGTTATCTATCCTGTATCTAAGGCAGCCACTCTTTACCAACGATTCTCGCATTATATCACGTCTATGCGGCTCTTTTTAACTATCTATGCAGATAGACCCATTGTATCAGTTACTGTTCACGAGTTTGCCGAGCTGCCACGTAGATTTTCATTTGCATATAACGATTTAAACACGGATTATAACAGACTCTTTACTACGTCTCTCTCTGATCCACGGGGACTTATTACGTTCCACACACAAAAGCTGACATTTGCAATCGTCTCTTCCCGGTCTGTCACAACCCTCTCTGTCAGCACAACTCCGCTCCGAGGAGGATACCTGTCTCATGCACACTCTACTATCACTACAGGAGGCTTCGATATGCACGTCACTATGCCAAAAACACAGGACAGCATCTACCCCTTGCCCACCAGAACGGCCTACTCAATGACCTTGAGCGCCCTCAAATTGTCTGCCTATCCTGAGTTCGTTGGGGTTCTTACCATGTTGATAAGGAACTTCTGTGTAACGTTTTTGGCTCCGTCATTTAATCACCTTCCTGCGTCATTCGTTGATCATAGTGCGGTCGGCAGTGATCATGAAAGTGCAGCTGACGTAGATCATGGTAAGGTTTATGATAGAATTAGGCAGATGATAGCAGAGCGTATGCAGAAGGATTTAGAGCTTCTCACCAACAAATCGAATTTCTTGTTGCTTTGCAATTATCTCGAGGACTTGAACGACAGTGATCACACGGCGGTTTTGCACAGACTGTACACGAGGGGACCGTCAGCCACGCAAGCAAGACTAGATCAGGACTCATTTCTCTTAGATACAAGGACAGACTCATCGGGAAATCCCACTCAGAATAATAAGACAACCAACCGTCCTGATCTCACTTGCTCTGCCATATCATCCTCCTCATTACCACTAGATAGTGTCATGTATGCACGCTGTCCAGACCGACTTCGCTATCTGCTCTTCTACAATGGATCTAATTGGTGCTTGACTGCGACTCAAGTGGTCTCCTTTGACATATCTATTGGTCAATTTGATTGCTCATTGATTCACACTTTCTCGTCTAATTCTGCTTGCTCTACTCCTACGTCCCTGGTAGCCTCAGTTATCTCTAAGCGTGGGGTTGCTTGTTACATTAATAACCATGCACTAAAGGACAACACGCGGCTCCTTCTCAGATGCACTGTACCAGACATCATTTTACGATTACGCGATCCTTTTTCCCAATCCACCTCTGTAGCTCTAAAGACAGCGGTGAACATAGTGGTGCATCAGACAGGGGACAACGCTGTCGGCAAGGCTGTCCAGTTGCTCTACTATGAACACCATAAGCATCTCCTCAGCACATTACTGTCTGGCCCTCGAGCGCAGACATCGGTGACGTCCATTCCGACCATTGTAGTTTCACATGATAACGAGCTAACTTGCGCTAGTAGGCCCAAACCAATTTCGGGTTCACAAGAAGGTGTCCTGCCTGTGTTCAAGTCAACTACAAATTACTGTCACCATGCCCCTGCATGCACCGCGACAGAATTCACTAGGCCTAGCTCTTTGAAGGCTTCGCCGGCAGAACAGTATCCATTACCTGCTGAATTAGAAGATCTTCTTCGAAAGGAGAAAGGAGACAACGCGCTGAATGATACTGTCCTACGCCGTGCTATGTATTTGCAATTCGTAGCACCCGGGACGACTCATTCCCAAAAACGCTTTTCAAGACAGCGAACTTCTGTCAAAACGGCTTCTGCATCGAGCATAACGCTTTACAGTACAGAGACAGACACTTACAACGAGGGAGGCCCTGATCTGGCTCAAGGAAGCACACGTCTTTCTAGAACTATGATAGCGACCAATGTTACCGATGACTTCTCCCTGTATAGCACTGAGACAACAGTACCAAGTGTGCAAGGAAAGGCAGACAGTACAGACCAAGCTAGTTATGATGAAACTAGTGATAGCATACTTCTTCCGGATGAGTCCCCATCCAGAGCATTTGTCAATAAGACTAAAGAGTCTCTCTGGCAGCGTCAAGCACAGAAGACTGACAATACCGAGCCTTCCTGTCCCCCACCCGTTTCTGTGGATAAGCTCGCAGGAATAGAAGAGGAACCATTTCCATTTCTCATTCCAGCCCATCTATTTCATAGCATACTTGATCACCGAATGGTTGCTGTCTACACCAGTGCCTTCTCCTCCTTTTCTCAGGATAGTCATGCGCCCTCAGGACTAACTCTTCGACCAAAATCTGGCCCCTATATGAGTGTGGATAGAGGGCCCCATCAATCTAAACCTGTTTATAACCCAACAAACTTACCTGTGGACATGCATATTCCAACCTCAGGACCTGCTGCCGTTAGTGTTTCAATAACTGTTGAGGGACTGCGAACTTATATCAAGCCAGAGGGAATCTATGGTGCACTCTTGCTTGTTAGTCAGATACTCAGTCCAGACTTCACGGTAGTAGCCAATGCATATACATTTTTAACCGCAGAATCGAACAAGTGTATGCTTGACGTCAAAAACATTTACTTATGCGAAACGATGCTGCGAACCTGTTACTATGCGCATCTTAAGCAGTTTATAGCTGAGCAAAAGCCGTCCCGATTTCAATACATTTCTAATTTAATGTACTCACAAGGGCAATTGGATTTATCTCAGACAGGAAAGAAGGATGGACAGGAGATGAAAAGCAATTTAACTCCGCCAGAACACAAACAAGATAGAAAGGATAAGGAAGACAACTTAGACAGGATATGTGCTTTCATCACTCTTATAGCTTCGCAGTCACAGCTTCTTTCGTCCCTGAGCATGTCCCATTTTGGACGAGCTACCCATCATCAGCTAGAAACGACACTCATGCAGATGGATGGAACGGCAACACACTGGTATCTCCTCTTTGCGCCACAAGTAGAGCAATATAAACTTACTAGTAAGGAGATGATAACACTCGAGGTTTTCCTGAAAGATGCTGAGGTAGTTGCACTGGCAGACGGCCTCCGGACCAGCGTTACCCTGCGGATGAGTCAGCTATCTTCAGCGTTTGCGCTCAGCAATAAGATCTATTCATTTAATAACCGTGCCTACAAAATGTTTTGCCGTCTATCCGACAGATTCTGTCCACAAACCAATATGAACAAATTCCGGATACAGACAGGGGCGCTTCTATCTCTTAAAGCTAACAACCTTACTCTTGAGACCATTAGAGGAGCGCTCTGTACCATCCAGGGTGTATCTCTTAAGCTAAATTGCGGAATCTTCTTCTCCCAAGGAAATAGGGCTGCTTCTACTGGATCACGGTCGTCAAGTCTTTATTTGAACACCAAGAAAAACCCCATGAAGATTGATGTTGCAACTATGCGTACAGATAGGAGTGCCAAGATAGACACTGATAGTGTGCAAACCGCTCACCGCCTGTATTCTCATACATCCACAGAAGCTACAGAGACAACCGATAAAAGCGCCACCTCTCAGAAGGGCATGGATGCGTTCCTCAAGATGCTTCTGAATACACTCTGTGTCGAGGCAAACACCGTTACTCTCAATATTCCTATTATGCTTCTGCAGCCGCTTGTCATCTTACTTGCTCACTACGTGGGGTCTTTCCAGAGGGGGATGGAAGCTATTGTCTTATCAACTGTAATAGCACAGCTAAGCAAGTACATACTTCTCCGGACATTTGTCCCTCAGAGACACCTTGTTTGGCATGCGCTGAAGCCAACATCCGACATGACTGAGAGTAAGAGCAATCTCGCCTCCAACTTGTATCCCGAGCAATCTAACGCCCACCTAAACAGTTTGCTTGTAATTCTCAGTCAGAGGGACACAAACGCTAGCTTTGAGGCAATCAGCAAGTCCATCTTCAGCTCCTTTTGCAAGGATCTTAGTAAGGACCCTCTTGTCAGCCTTGGGTCGCGGGTTATTCGTTGGATGAAGCGCGCAGACTGCAGACATAGGGACGCCGAAGGCGGCAGTCAGTCACTGGGCTCCAAACTAGAGTTCTCCATTCAGAGCATTTGTCAGAGCCAAAAGTCGTCGTTACCTGTTTACAAGATTAAGATAGACGCTGGTCTTAAGCTGTCTCCTCTTCGTTCTGATGCTATTCTCTTTTTGGCTTTGTCCTTGAAGGAGTATAGCGATACACTTTCGTTCTCAAAGGATAGTGTGCCAAAACAGATGATCTTTTGGCAAAGCCCCCATTTTGAAGCCTTTCGTGTCCCAAAGGAGCCTGTCATACTTTATCTAAACTATATAACTAGACATCTGCTCTTCAACTTCTGGGGTGCAAAGGCACAGGCAGCATTGGCTAACTTGCAACAAGGAGCAGGTGAGCCTGTGACGGTTAAGCATATGGTGCAGTTAAGTCTTAGCTTGCACGACGAATTTGCAATTCAAGCGACTAGTTCTACACACCTTCCGTTTCTTACTGCCTCTGCTTCTAGCCCCCCATGCTTCAAAGCCAGCGTACTAAAGCCAAAGCTACAACTTAGTATCAATGAACGCCTGTCAGTCACATTAGCATACAAGTCCTTGAACGCCTCATTTAGTCTTCCACTGTTTCTTCTTGCTAATGTATGTAGGTTAAACTCCGCATTTTATGCCTACAATACGGATAGAGTTATGGACACACACCGCGAGTACACGTACCAGCAGCCGCCATCCCTTCTTATTTCGAACATCGCTGTCAACCTTTTTTCAATTAATGGAATCTATAGAATTCTGTCGAACAAAGACGCACGTCAAACACTGTCTGTGCCTACAACCACCCCTTCTGTGAAATCAGCGCCTGTACCGGCTCATCCTGTTCTATCTCATCCCTACCTAGCCGAACTCCGTGCTTTTCAGGAGTACGAGCACACCAAGGTTGTTTCACAAGACACAGATTCCCCTGCAACTTTATCTGCGTACGATGAGCTTTCCATAACAGCAACTGAAGCTAGCACTCATTCATCTGGTGGCACTCTTGTGTCAATCGAACCATCAGCTGATAACGAAGTGCCAAAGGATGATGTGTGCGCTGATCAACTGCGTGATCAAGCCACCCTGGCCCTCAACAAAGACTATCCTTCATTTGATAACCAATTTTTCGCTAAGTCGTTCACTAGTATCCAGCCTGGGGAAATAGATGCCAACGAGTTTGACACGTTAAGCGACACTCTCTTACTTACTAGAGAGCCAAAGCTATTTCTGGCTCCACTATTCGGAACAGATGCTTTACATGCCATACATTATGCTAAGCAGAACACTAATTCTATCTATTCGAATGTAGAGATTGCTGCCAATCTGATTCAGTCCAGGCCCGTGTCGTTAGACGAAGTTAACTCGCTACGTAGCAAGTGTAATATGAAAGGCCAGATCTCCATTAGGAAGTGGCTTCTGCATATCGCGAAATTTTCCCACATTAGTGCAGAGCTTGTATTTCCAGACACCACAATCAACTATGCACACGCAGCTACAGGGGTCCCCATTGTTGTAGCCTCTTTCCCCTCAACAAGACTAACTATGGACGCAATCCCACCATTACTGGACGTTTTCGCTCATCCATTTTCACACATAACATTTTTGACTGAAACCGTCTCGCTTGAGCTTTACTCCAAAGCCCATTCTGTGCAGGCCCAAAATCCGCTAAGCTTTAATATGGATGACGCTAAACGCGAATACCTTATTGCTACCAAGTCTTTCGACGTGAACTACACGCAATCTGTGGTTCGGTTTGTTTCCACTCCTGGCCCTAACAAGGCAGATTCGCCAATCCATATGTTACTGGCACACTCAGTGGAAATTGTAGCGAGATCACTTGAGATGCAGCTTTTTAATGCACATAACAGGCTATTCTCTCTTCTACGCGACGTCCTGATTGAGGCAAGGTTATATACTGGCTTTGCTGAGACGTACTCCCTTGTGCTATCTGCCTGGACAGACCATGCATTCTATCTGTTTCATGAATATACCCCTCAGTCATTTTGGGATTGCTTCTGCTGCGAGCTTCACTTCCTCAGAGACCAGAAAGCGGCTGCTTCAGCAGCTACTGTGGTCGTTGATGCCGAAATACCCTTTGTCTCTAACTCGCGATCTGCTGAGTTACAAATCATTCAACGCCGCCAGCCAAAACGAGCCCGACCAAGTCCCTTCTCTGCCGGACGGTCGCTTAAAAGACAGAACTCCTATAGACAAAACCAGGATCGCGCCGCAAGCTCTTCCAATTCCCACGAGACACCCAAGGATGGTACGTCGAGACAGAAGGACCCGCTATTAAATACGCTAAGTAATCTGTCTGGGAATCACGTTGTCTTTTTTCTTGCAGAGATTGATGAGTTTATGTTAGGAATCGATAGTCCCAGATTGGTCCAATGCAGTGCTAAGCTGTCAAAATTAACAGTTTCATTAAGCTTGCCGGGCCATCAGACCGAACCTTTGCACAAACTGAGAACAATGACTAACAAGGAGGTATTCTCCAAAATATATTGTAAAACTCCTAATTCTTCGAAGATTCAAGTAGACTCTCTCCCCCTTCTGACAATTACACCCAATAGTGCCAATTTAGGGCGCATTAAGCACAGTCTCTACGAGGATGACGACAATTCAATGGTAGCCAACGGTTCTTCTGGCGCGCAGAAGAAAGAGGAAGATGATCTACAGCTGATTTCATCGATAGCTAGCCTTTTACTCACTAACAGAAAAGACCTAGCATTAGCCTTAACCTCTACTTCCTTGCACATTATTCTCCATTCGTCGTATGTTAACCAAGACACTATTCATGCAATCAATCTTCCCACAATTAGCTCCACCCTATTATTTAAAGATTTGTCAGTTTTGACTGTACAGCTATCTGTTTCCTCATCCCAGAACTCCTTTTCTGGAGAGCTTTTTATACTACTTATCTCGTTGTTGAGGAAGCTTATCAGTGACTTCGAGCAGGTACTCAGCACCACAAGGTCTCTAGCAGATACGGAGATGTGCCAACTGCTGAGGACATCCGGGGCAGGAGATAAGCTATCTCCTTCATTGCTATCCACGTTTGATGGCAGCCTCACCAATGTTAGTGGATTTGAAGACCGTTCCCTGCAAGCACCACACAAAGCTCCACTAGTCCGGCACTGTCTAATTGAAATTATCGTATCGCTGACTACGCTCAGCATTACCAGTACTAGCCATGTAAGTGTCTTTCTTCTCAAGGAGATCACGTTCAAGATGAATTATGAATCACAACATGGAAAGAAGCCGGTACTATTTGATAAATTTGACAAACGAGGAAGCGCTTTCGGAGAGTTTGAGCTTACCTTTGACGACATTACACTGTATACGCACGTAAGCAAGAGCCCTGACGACCTGTATCTGGAGTACCATCCAGAGTACTTGATCTTCAAAACCAAGGACGTGGAGGGACTAACAAAGGTGCTGAATAGCAGTTCCCAGGCATCTACTTATGTAATTCAAAATATATCCTCGCATATCTCCATGAGCTTTCAGTTTACAGGTCAGATCTCATCCAAAACAGCATCTCGGTTGACGCTTACAGTGCAAACATTGGGCCTCTTGATCCATCCCCTTTTATATAGTCATATAGTGAGTCTTATTAATGACGTCCAGGTCTGGAGGGAGTCATATGCATTGATACAGAGTGACTATATCCCGAAGATGAGTAAGAATAGTAGCTTATCGAGCGCTACTTTTGTAGATAGGCTACCCAGCACAACTATCGAGGGATGCCCCTCCAGCTTACAGCAAGGCTCTGCAGTCCGAGAGCCTTCCAAATATATTCAATTTACTATCGAATTTAAGGATATTGACATATCCATTTACTCAGATTGCGGCCTCGAGTTCGTTCTGGCAGATTCTAAAGTGACTCTAGAAGGAACATGTGTTCGTGAGACCTTGGAGATGATTGTAGTAGAGTTGGCCATAGATGAGCTGATAGGAAATATCCAGCTATTTATAGTTCCGCCTTATGTGGCGTCCCCTCCTTGTGATAAGAATAGAGATACAGAAGGAGACCCCTGGAGCCTAGATGCAGTACTAGGATTTTTGACTTCCATCACAGCAATCCCTACCGGGAATGTCTTTGACTTTTGTCTTTCGCTGAAGCTTATTTTCCAGACGGGAATACCTGAGGCTTCTATTATGAAAAAGTTCCAGTGCAATTATCCCAAGCTGCCCTTGGAGTCAGCCACGTCACAGCCAGCTTTTAATTCCAATGAGCTTTGCAACACCATTCAGCTAGATCTCGTTGTAGAAAGATTTGTGCTGGCTCTCAACGAGACGGCTGTCCCTCTCCTAGCAGACTTCTTCTTTACTAGTATCAGGTACATCTCAGGTACCTACTCTTCTACAGCCGATCAGTCATCAACAGATGCAATAAAGGTCACTGCGATCTTGCTAGATGAAACAATCCAGGCCTTGCTAGAAAGAGTTGAAGTGATGCGCCAGAAGACTCTTTACATGAACATAAAACTTTCTGTACTAAGATTGGGACTTGAAGTCTACGAATTTAGCGATCTTAAGGAAACTATAAGACAGACATGTGAGGGATATACAAGTATCCAGCCTTCAGCCTCCACATCAGGTACCAGGGTTGGAGCAACTTTTAAGGCGGATGGCAGTTCTGTAGAGGTGGGGGCAGCATTGATGATAGATGCTCCTAGTATTTCTTTTCAGACCCAGGTAGCCAAACGAACTGTTGGTAATCCTTTCACTTATTCATCTAGTCAATATGGACAGTATGGATCGGCAACCGGAGGCTCCATAGCGAATCTGCACGGCAAGTCAATCACATCTAAAGAGATTTTCCCCCCTGTACTCTCAATTATTCTTCCACAACTGAATTTTGACTTCGAAGCATTCAGAGTCCCCAAAAACGATTTGAGCCTTTATAAAAACTTTGATGTTCTACGACCTTTTATTACTTCTGACCTTCTCAAGATGAACGAGAATACAAAACTTTATATAAAACCAGCTACAATCTCGTTTATGGCTATAAATGCTACCTTGTACAGGCGAACTCTTTTCTTTCCACCAGAAGTGTTCCGCGTCCTTGCTAATTTCATTTCAAAGTGGCTACAGGTGATTGAAAAATATTCACTGAAAACCCCCTCAGATCATCAGACGAAAAAATCTTCATATTCTCTTTCATCTGACGGTGACGGAGAGATTGGGATTGGGACTGGGACTGGTCCTGTCAGTAAAGCAGATCAGTCAGTATCCATGAGTCAGACACAAGTACCCCAGGCATCTTGCCCTAGAGACCAGCAGAAAACAAGCAGGGCAGACAAAAGCAAGCACAGGAGCATAACTAGTCATACCCCAAAACAGAGCCAAGGCAGCCTAGTCTCGGATTTGGCTGGACTCTATGAAATACTTCAAGCAGGAGCATCGAGATCATCCACCTCGAAGCTTAATTTCCTGACAAATATAGTGCCAGATACTTTCCATGCAGTCGTTGCCCTGGAAATTGAACAGCAGACATTTATTCTAGATTCCGTTGCACGCCCAATAATCGAGAACATGGCCTCGTCTATTCTCGGGGACACATACAATGCTACCACACCTAGAGCTGTAAGGCATAGCCGAGAGTCTAGCAAGCTAGACTATGCTGCAGTTTCTCCAAGCAATACTAACACTCCAGATAACAGGTACACAAAGAGCACGGTCTTCAGCAGTATGGCGCAAGAGGATCTGCAGCCAGGTTATGATGTGCTGTCCTTTGTGTCTGTTACTATTCTTCCCATTAAGTTAGAGCTGCTAGGGGAAAACGAGGTAGGCACCAGAACTATTGAAGCGTCACTGACGTTTTCAGGCCTTAATGCACGGGTTATCCCGTATGCTATTCAATTTATAGCCGCTCTTTACAAGGCATCCACCGCAGGAACCGTAGATCACGCACATCCCGTTGTATTTTCGATTAAGAATGTTCTAATGAACATTACATCCACTGTCTCCATGGGAGAAAACCAGGTATCATATAATAACGTGCAGAATGTTAAGATAAATATGGAGTCGATCTCGTTGGAGCTGGCACTGCACAGCTTTGAGCATATGAGCGCAGTGAGTGCTATTTGGATCCACAACACCGAAAAGCTGCGTGGAATGGTTGCTTTCCGAGACATCATGCATGCAACCAGTAAGAAGTGGTCGCAGGATGACGCCACAAAGGTGGATGGGCCTGCCGAGAAGTCCATTCTTGGAAAGTACTTATTAGACTTATCAATCACCTGCCAAAATTTGCATTTAACTGTTAACGATTTATCTTACTACAAACTTAACCCGATTTCTTCTGTGTTTCTTGCACAGAATCGTGCAATAAGAAATCGGCAGATGACCGAAAAGGACGCGTTGCTAACGCACGAGGATATTGTTGGCATGATCCTCGGTCATTCTGACACTGCGGAACCGGGGGCAGATAGGGATATAGACAGAACTGGTCATAGAAGAGGTCGGTCAATACTGTCATCTGAAAATAGCGCGGAGGCATGCACTGGACTAAGAAACGAATCAACAGATACAGGGATTGCAGGGGCCGTTGGCAATAAACTAAGCTCAGGACAGGAGTCTTACGAGGAACATCCCTTGCATCACGTTACGCAAATGAATCTGGAGTTCGGTGAGGTCAATACAGGGTGTAAAACCCAGCTCACGGACCAGCAGCTTGAGCTTATACTTCAAATTACCGCTTTAGAGAAGCAGCAGAAGATGCGCGTGCCAGTCCTCGTTATGGAGTTCTCTAAAGATGACACTGCAGTGATATGCAATATCCGAAAGAAGGCAGCAAAACTCCAAGCAACAGTTTCCATTAAAAGCCTTCTTTTGAAGTATGGACATACTATCGCATGTAAGCTTGTGCTTCATGGAGTACGGCTATCCATTAAGAACTTCTCATACTCTGTCACCAATGTTTCTACCTCGGATTCTGACAATTCTAAAGATCAGGACGTGCATTCCGCGATTACAGTCCCCAATATGCATTCAGAGGTTAATGACCATTCCTCTTCTGTTCTTCCAGTGCTGCTGTCTAATGAGCAGGTAATGGTAGCCATAGACGCCGCGCTGCATCTTGACCAGCTCATTGTTCATGTCTTTGAGGAGGTGGAACTAGCATATATGAATACCTCTGGATGCTTTGTCAATCTTTCAGCCTGTCACATGATCTCAGAGAAGATATTAAGGAACCAATCACAGTATAAGAAGAACAAAACTTCGATTGGATTGGGAGTTAAAAGTGTTAATGCTTACATAGGGATGCAGGTAGCCACGGCAATCTATGGATCACTGCAAAGGGTGCTTTCAGATACCACTAAGTTGTGGAAGGAAGGAAAGGTCATTGTGCAAAACCATCATACCGCTTTATCGGTAGACAACATCTTACTGAAACTGAAGCGCTACATCTCTAAGGGCGAGAGGGATAAAGAGAGGATACGGAGACAGAAGAAATTAGCGAAAAGTGACGAATTATATTTTCAAGCAGTTCTATCAACCAACCCAACTCACTCTATGTCCACATCATACACCCTTGATGCAAAGTACTTGAAGTACTTCTCCAAGACGGCAAGGGTAAAGCTCTCTCTACAGATTGATACTATTTCACTACGGTTGTTCCAGGGCACTTTGTTGGACAATTACCATTGTGCAATCGTTGTCTCCAAGCTTGACTTAGTTCTCTCCTTATTGTATAACCCTGTGGATCACTCTACAAAAACAATCCCACTAAAGCTGCAGATCACGAAGAAGGCACTGCTAGAGAAGCTAGGCCACGAGCTGGTCACAAAGGATAAGCAGAAAACCCAGGCAGAGGCAACGGATACGTCTTCTACAGGGAGCAACTACCCACCGCCCACTGCTCATCCAAGGGAAAGCGGTCGTAGAAGCCGCACTCACATAAACAATGCATGGATGATGGCATTTTCTCTTGATGACTTGCAGCTTACTGACACACTTCCAGTTGTCCCAACTACATCTATAGCTCTATCCATAGCCTTTTTTACTCTGAGCTACGGGGAACGGCTGGGCCAAGGTGCAAGCAAAATTGCCATCAACCCTATCATGTTTGACGAGTCTGTTAACGCCGAAAAGGTAAAGCAGGGACTGGGATACATCCACAAGGGCCAGTACCATGATTACATCCATGTTCTTGTCGCACGAAACGAGCTTCTAACAATCATGTCTTGTACAGAGGTCCTAAAGCTTGGCAGATCCTCATGGGATATCAATTATAGCACGGTTTGCTCAGTGCTCAAACTCCCCGAGAGCTCTGGCCCCCTTTACATGCTTCAAATGCTATCGGGATTGGCGAAGCCTAACTTAAGTAATTTGACGGCGGGATCGCAATTTATTGCTGCGGTGGGAACCATCAATTCAATCCTGTCGGATATTCTAGCATTTAAGCGATCTGTCTCAAAGGCCCCCCTCCTCGATGTTAACAGGGGCGACGCCAGGGACATAGGTGCTATGGGGAGCTCCATTTCTGCTTCCAAAGAGGCGTTCCTCCACAGTAGCGTGGAATTCTCACCGGACACTCTGTCGAGGCTACCGGCCGAGCAGTCAGTAGAGTCTAAGGAGGCAACGAAGACTATGGCGGCCAACATGATGCGCATCTACGAAAGTGAAAAGCTCTGGCTGCTAAGCCAAATGAACGTTGAAAGTGCAGACGCTCTGGTGCCGAACCTGGGATTGCTGGGGAAGGGGGGAAGTGATCTGTTGGGGTCAATAATAGGGAGTACATTGAAGAGCAATCGGTATCTCAATAAAGTCTTTACGGGAGTTACCGCGGGTCTTTACCACACAGGTGAGGAAGTTACAAATCTACTGATATCACAGGCCAAGCAGGTGTTCTACACTCGTGCTCAAAATCTTCAAAAAATAATAATTAAAGACCAAACTCAAAAAGAATAAACCGGAAATTTATAGACCCTTTTCCAGGTTGAATGGGTGGCTTTTGGCAAGGCGTCTGGAGGCGCCATTTTTATCCCCATATTGTTGATATGGATAGCGGGGTTAGCCGCATGTCGTCCTTAGATTTTCTCAGGGGGGTAGGGATTCTCGGTATGACGTTGGTCCACAGTCTTTTTAATGCAGTGCAGTTAGACTACTTGTTAACCTTTGACCGCTGGTACAAATATGTACTCGCCATCTTTGTGGGTCCGATCTTGATCTTTGCACCCTTCCGCGGAGTCTTTGCCATTATCTCTGGAACCGCCTACGCTTTCCTGACTGGTCAGACAATGGTTTCTCTTCGCGAATCCAAGAAGTCATTCGTCTCGTGGTATTTCATAGGAATTCTAAAAAGCGTCCTTTCCTTCTTCATTCTTTGGCTTCTGGCCATTATTTATCTCTATTCTATAGAACTATGGCAAATTCGTATACCCAATAAACAACCGGTAATCTATGAACCAATCTGGAGGGTCGCCACTGTTTATGCTTCTCCTTTATCATACTTTAGTATTAGTTCCATTATAGATTCTATTATTTTTCCTCCCATATTCCTCTTGTTTCTTGTAATATTTTCTAGACGCTTTCCCTCAACGACTTACAGTCCAATCTTCAAGGCACCCAGTGTTGATGACCTACATCCTAACACTTCTGCTCCTCCCTCAGCTTCACTAAAGCAAAAAGCAACGACCATGTCTCTTACAAGATTTCAACCTTCTGCTTTTACCATGGAAAAGCTCGACGCGACAGTCCCAGAGCAAACAGACATCAGTGTTAATGATTCGGAGAGTCGATCCACCGTCCCCGCCACAGCTACTCTGGATGCAGAGGCTTCCCCAGGCGAGCAGACTGCCCGCAACAGCATCGACATACCCACAGCCATCGCTCTACCCACACCTGCACCGATTTCAGCTTATTCGGCCACAGGTTACATTGCGACCTCCTTGACGACTGCTGGGGTTATTTTCCTTCTGTCTTACTGTATTATGATACCAACGCCTTATATCGTTAGCGCTCTGAGCCGCCCCCTCAATCTTGACCCCAAGCAGTTCTGCTTCCTACCTGACGGTTTTAGGGTTGACACATTGAAATCTCAGTCAGAATACATTAAGATATACTTCTTAGTCTCCTTGGGAGCTAACTACTACCCAGTTTTCCCATATTATTGTGCAACAATGATGGGTTTTGTCCTCGGCCTCTGCCTCTTGTCCGCATACTATAGCAAAAAGGAGTACAATCAATATCAGATCAATTCATTTAATAAAGAGCGGCAGAATGTTGCCCTCCTGCGGCCAGATGCCGCTACGATGCCTGCACAAGGCGATGAGCACACTCTCCACAGATCCAAGCGGTATAGCGACTTCCCTACCGCAGATCCTAAGTTTGCACGCATAATATATGGCGTCATGTGCGGCTTTGCAAGCGTCATGATCTGTTCTGGCTTTATCGGAATCGGGGTCAAGGGGACCTTCTTCGCCGGAATCAACGGAGGCCTAGACCTCTCTGGTTACTGTATGCCTCGCGAGGAAGGGATGGCTGTTTTTGGAATAGGAATGCTGCTGATAATTGCATTTGTAGCGCTCTTCGAAGGGAGCACCGTGAGAAACTGTTGCAAACACCTCCAACGAGCTTCATATATCCTTCGCTTTAGTACTGTCTCTCTGACAATATTTACCTGTCAAATATGGATTGACTTAATGGGAAAGTTCATTCTTTCGCGATACTTCCCTAAGATACTCAATAAGAGCGAGGAGAACGTGTTTGTGATCATCCTGATTATACCAGTGACAATCTTGACGTACTGGGTATTTACAACGATATCCGACTCCATTGACAATATGTGGACGCTTGACTGGATGATATCGCGCATAGGAGGGCTTGTAACTGGCCGGTACGGAAAGCAGAAGCCCCTGGTTGAATACCACAGACGCGTCCGCCCCATGTGTCTCCTTGCACGGGCTCCTCGCAAGGAAGCAGATTTTGATCTTGTTCCCGTTTACAAGGTAGCAAACTTTTGAGATTATGCGACCTCCACTTTGAGTAAATGGTTGCTCTTTTGTGGCAAGGTGACTATTAAAAATTGAATTCATGGCTGATGAATTGAAGGCCCTGGCGAACGAGGCGTTCCGTGCAGGTCACTATCCGCGCGCAGTAGAGCTATATACGCAAGCTATTGAGCAACTGGACAGTCCTCGAGCAGAGTACTTCACAAACAGAGCCTCGGCTCACTTTCAAAACGGCGACTTTGTAGCTGCTAAGGCCGATGCGGAGGCCGCGATTGATATTGACCCCAACTCTACAAAGGGCTACTGGAGGATTGCAGAGTGCGAACGGATCATGCATCAGCTAGATAAATCTATTGAGTACTATCGTCGTGCTCTGGAAACTAAGCCGAATAATCGTAAAATTGTACTTGCAATCCGAGACGTCCAACGCCTCATTGATATTGCAAAGCCTTCCCATGGTTTGACCGCCAATTCTCTTCTCCAGGCTCTACACTCTGTGCCTACCCCGACTCGATCTTCCAGCAGTGGTATTGGCATAGGTGGGTTCGGAGGATTCCCAGGTATGGGTGGCTTTGGAAGTAGCGGAGACGCTCCAGCTAAGGTGGACGAATCATCGCGCAAAGATACGCCTGAGCTTCCTACCGACCCTGGGCTGCTTTCTACCACAGAAGAAGCACAGAAGGTCTACACACGCGAATGGTATGACGCTTCCTTTGCTTACATGAAGTCTGATCTCTTCAAGAGTGATGTGATGCGTGAGCTTGTGCGCCGTGCAGGTGAGCTTATGAACAAGGAGAGCACCTGTCTCGCCCTCTCCATTGATCCTGACGAGCGTTTAGCTATAGTAGGAGACATCCACGGATCCCTGCCGGATCTTTGTGCCATCAACGAAAAACTTGTGCCTATGATGTTCTCTGAAAAGATGAAAGCAGTCTTCCTTGGTGATTATGTTGATCGTGGGCCTAAGGGGCACACAGTAGTCACGGCTTTGCTCTGCCTCAAGCTCTGCTTCCCTGATCGCGTCTTTCTACTACGTGGCAATCATGAAACGGTTTCGATGAATAGTTTCTTTGGATATCGACCCCAAGTCGACGAAGGATACGGGACAGAATCGGGTATGTTTGACACCATGACGTCGCTCTTTGCCACAATGCCGCTTTGTTGCCTAATTAACAAGGAGATTTTCTGCACACACGGCGGAGCACCTCTCCGTGCCGACGTTTGTGGCGACGAAATTAATAAGCGTATCCCCGTACGCAGGGTCGAGATGGATGATCCCCTTGTCTCAGAATTGACGTGGTCTGATCCTTCTCAGACACCAATAGACAGCTCATCCGGAGATGGTCCCGCTCACACGCGTCCGTCACATCGGGGTGTCGGGCTAGTCTATGACTATCGCGCTTTTCAGACATGGGCTAAGAAGCACGGTATCAAGAAGCTTTTCCGTGCACACGAAGCTATACAACCGATTGGTGTCCGCTTTGACTTTGAGCACAACGCAAGTGCTGATCATGAGCATTACACCGTCTTCAGTTCTTCAAACTACGTTGGGATGCCTAACAAGGGGTCCTTTGTTCTTTTTGAACAGGGGCTAAGGTCTTTCGACACGATTATGCTTATGTAGGGTTAAAACTGCGCGTAAGTAAACTAGAATGGGCAGCCGAACTACGCGGGAAAGAACGATCAGATAGAAGTAGCGGAGTTTAGTTTACTGATTTTCAACGGGAGCGCTTTAGTCCTCAGGGTATGGACGGGCGTGTAGAGCAGGAATGGTGACGCACAGACAGGTAACGGCCATACTGATAAAAAAGCAGGAGACCACAACCTGTAGAAAGAGATCGATAAGAAGTTGTCGAAAAGCAGGACTCATTCCTTGTGGCCTAGGTATCCGGGTTTTTGACTGCAAAACTAGTGGTTCTGTCTCAGTAACAGCCAGCGTTTGAGCGGTAGGCACTGGACTAGATGCAGCATCAATGGACATTAAAAAAATGCCGGCAGGCCGGTGTCCGGCTCTGTGGCTGCAGCAGCTGCTGGACCCGCGAGTAGGCGGTAAAGGGACCTCATAGTGCTCCTCGTCAGGAGGTTCTTCATGCGTTCGGTGGCCTGGTCTTGTTCGGGGCCTCCTGGGAGCCGTCAGTAGTGAAGCATTGAAAGCATGCTGACAGGCGAGGATTCCCCCAACTGTGGTGTCTGCTAGTGTGCTTAGAAATGCTTCCACACTTCTATATAAAACATGTAGTAGCTTCATGTCCTTTATCAGGTGCTCGCGTGTGCATCAGAGGTCCTCGCTCTCGCTGTGATATCGGAGCATCTCCATTATGAGCACCGACAGATGGATGCCTGTCGTCGAGGCAGTTGATGGCTAGAGGCCCTGAGGTTCCTCCGAGGGCATGGAGTCCAGGGGTAACGGGGGCCCAGGTCTTATACTTGCCTCTGCTGCATGGTAGAGACCGTCCAGTTTTCCCAGGCTTTGAACACGCCAGTGGCGGCCTAGCTGCTTTGCTCACTGATCTCCTCCAGGAGTTCTCTGAGAGCAAGAGTCAGAAGTCATATCTAAACACTTTTAACGAGCTTGGAAAGTGTCTGCCCCCGATGCCAGGCTCATTCCGAGTGTTGGCGCAGACAACAGCAAGAGTCCAGATGGAGTACCTGCACTCCGCCAAGGTTTAGCGTAGTGATCTGGGACTTCCTATCGATCTTGAAACTGCAGAAGAGGTAGCAAAGAACTGCTGCCTCCGAACCAAGCTCATGAGATCTTACATATAATGGACGCAGCAAAGGCAATCCTGGTGGGAGAGACTTCTCGAACCGTAGCATCCGAAACTGTTGCCCATAATGAGGGTCCCTAGACAAAAGATGCAGGCGTGTCTGCCACAGACCTTGGAAGTATGGACGACGTAGGTCAGAAAACGTACAGCTTTTTGACGAAGTGTACGTCCATGAGCCACTCCTTAGTTGGCGATGGGTCGGTTGGGGGAGAAACGCCACTAAGCTCGGCGGCTGCAATAGGCCATTAGCACACGCCTGTTCTCCATAGTAGAGAGATTAGCTGGAAAAAGCGCACGCGAGGGTCCCCATGCTTCCCACCACTGCGGTATTCCTCATTCTGTCAGACGCTCGCCGGGCTGCTCTGTGAGCCTTGTGGAACCCTCCCCGAGATCCCTTGACTACCCACTCGCGGGTCCAGCAGTCGCTGTAGGCACAGAGCCGGGCACCGGCCTGCCGGCCTCGCTATCGCGCTCTCTTCCCGCGCCACCCGGGCTGGTGGATTCAGGGGAGCAGGTACCTGGCGCAGCGGCTCACTCGACCGGGCGTTCGAGAACAGTCACGGAGGTAACCCCGGCAACACAGAGTAAATCCAGGTTAAATAAAAATGCACAGCAACTATCACGCTCCTGTCAAATCAACGAGCCACGATGGGATATTATGTGCTCAACAGATAAACGAAGCCGTAGTTAACACAACAATCTCACAGCTAAAGGCAAAGATGGAAGAAAGCAAAGATGGATCACTACTCCCCATTATAGATGCATTGAAGGACTGCTGGCTTCTCGAGTTGGCAAAGCAGGACAGAGTGAGCATATCCCAGGGGATACTAAAGGAGCGGATAGCACGCCATGCACAGGTTCTGCGAAAAGAGGCAGGAACAAGATCAACAGAGATGCTCGTGCCTAACGAACCAGACCGAGACCAGGATTGTCCACTGGCTGACACAAAACAGACAAGAAAACGTGGTCGGTTCAGAAGTCTCGATGGAGGTGCACCAAAGACCTATAAGCTGGAACATGAATCCGATTCTAGTGCACTTCAGCAGTTCAAAAGTCAGTTGCTGTTAAAAGACCAATGTCTTCCAGGGGACTGTCCACGGAATGTTATTTGTGGACAGTTGCAGATTAAAGAATTCAAGGAGCTAAACTCGATGCTTAGCTTGCCACCTGGTCGAAATGGGCCCTATTTTTTGAAAAATGGCTTCGCTACGCTGAACGGTAAGACGGTGTACTTTCATAAATGCATACTAACAAGGGCCGGACGCTCTTTTTCTCATGATGCTGCTGAAGAGCCAGAGCTCAAACGGGAGTAAATTCTCCTTTCTATAAATTTTACCTTCAGCTTTCATTGTTTAATGCAGCATATATATCGGCGCATAATGGGCCTGTATAAGGGTGATTGCGAGCGGCTGCGAATACTGTGCAGAGAACACCTACTGTCTTCATCTCGTTCCAAGGAGGTTGAAAGTGGCCTTCGCTGCCGCCTATTGGTCCATTTCCCGCTCTTTGTTGAGTATAGTGAGAACCGTCCTGCAATTAAGAAGCGTGCCAAAATTGAGAAAGACCAATCTATTCTCGAAAACTATGATCTCGCATTTTACAAGAAGTGCAGCGCCGCATACTCGTTTCTTACCCCCAACAAGGTCGATATATACTATGAAGAGGAATTGCGGTGCGTTATCCCCAACGATATCAGAGACTTGTTCGGGAAGTCTGCAGAATGCCAAAGGTGTGTAAAGATAGGTCCAGCAGTTCCCAACAAAATGCACCCAAAGATGCAGCAAATTGATGACAAACTCGTTGATGCAGTTATTAAGGCGGTACAAAGACTACAAAAGGATATTGCCTCTACATCGCCGCAAGGCAGAACTAAAGAGTAGGAAGCAGTTTAGACGGGGGTGATAACAAAATACCCATAGCCATCCCTCAGACGCATGATTTCCTGATAGAATAGTTTTGCTTGCCGGGTCCAGATCTCCGGTCGGGGCACAATAGTCGGGGGCACATAATAAAGGCCTCTCAGTACAGAATTATGACTCGCACTAGAAAAGCCCTCTATAACCGCCATAAAGGTCATCGTCAGAGTCAGCAGATTTGGGGAGATCAGAGCATGGTCCAGCGTGAGGGTAAGTGCCACGTAATCCTTTGGAACCTGCAAGAAGTTGGTACGTACCTCGGTAAACGATGTCCTTTTATCAACAGAAAGCGTGAGGATGTTCTTAAGAGAGTGTGTTCCCATGGCTTTGAAAACAGAATAAGAAAGAGCTGGTGCGATAGTAGTCTCAGAAATGAGTCTCCGTGTCTCGTTATCGTACGTCAACTTATCGTAGGGCGGGACGAGCTTCTTGAAGGCTAGATAAGAGGGCTTTCCAGAGGGAGAGTAAAGAACCACGGAGGAGTGGCGCTTAGAGGAGATCATGGTATACTTGTCTCCATCTATTTCGATGCCCATTGTCTCTTTAATCATAAAGTGTATCCGTTTAGAAGAATTGTTTTTAATTTCAGCACTAGCAGTTCTGCGCCGCATGCCGCTAGCGTTTAAGCGAACGAGAGATTTTATGCACACTGACCAACAGCCCGTCCTCCTGACTATCAAGAAGGCAAAGAATGGCTTAGGGGCAGGGACAACAACCAGGCACCCAACGGTGTCAGCACGACGAGAGTTCGAAGAGCTAATTAGTGCAATCCAGAAACTTCCGTTCAGCAGTCTTCTCCCAGCTCATTTCCACTTACTAGCTCGCACCATGGACGTTCGGGCCCTTGTGTCCAGCAGCTACTTCTTTCCACGTACTGTTGAAGACATCATGGAATATATGGCCAATCCTTCTGTTGTATCAGCGATAAAGAACTTACTTCACAAGCTAGGTTACACCAGTCTACGTCCTATTCAACTAGCGTGTTTTGAACCGATACTCCATCAGAGCTCGTGCATACTTGTCTCCAGAACAGCTACGGGAAAGACCTTCGCATATCTCTTCCCTCTTCTGCTTCGAGAAGGCTTTTTTAACACGACTCAAGTGACTTCTTCACAGATACTGGTAATCTGTCCAACTAGACTTTTGTGTGAGCAGGTGACCACTGTGACACGCACCTGTCTTGCGACATTGGTGGAGCTCTGTCCGTGCCTTAAGTCATTCACTGTCTGCAGCGCGTATAGCGGACAGTCCCAGTCCCTCGTCAACACCTCTCTGGAGCTGGCCAACATGTTGGTAGCAACCCCTGGGATACTGACTAGTAGACAGTACATATTCACCGGATCCACTATTGTCCTCGATGAGTACGACGATCTTTTGGGTGGATCCTTTCTAGAGGATGTGAAGCAGATACTTAGAATTACAGGCGAACTGTGCTCTGCCCCAATAAATACATTTACTACCCTGACAAAAGGAATTCGGATAATGAGCACTTCTCCAAAAGAGATTCCATCAGCACAGTTCATATGTGTTTCAGCAACTATGACCGACGAAGCATTGGCTCAAGCAGAGTTCTTGGCTTCTTCTCTTTCAGGCTCCCTTCCCAGCCTAATAATACATGGATCTATAAATAAAATACCATCCAACATACAACACACTTACCTATTATCGAATCGAGCAGATACAGGTGCAATTGCCGAGGAAAAGTCTATAAGCAAGCTCCCCAGAGTCATTTTCTCAGGTAGAATAACGAGTATCTGGCACCTAAAACAACTACTAGAAGATAGAGCAATTAAAAGTGAAGAAGAGCTCATAGACATCGTTTCCTCAGGCTCGTTTTATTCGAAATGCATAGTCTTCTTTCTTTTACGTTCACGAATAGAGGAGAATTCCAGGAAAGAGCAGCAAGGAAAAACCATATTTAGGCTTCATGGAGAGATGCAGCAGGAGGTCCGTGATGAAATACTTGCACGGTTTTCGAAGGCGCCGCCCCACTCAGGGGCCGTTCTGTTTACCACCGATTTAGGAGCTCGTGGATTAGATAGCAAGGATGTAGACCTGGTTATTAGCATAGGACTGCCCCCAACGATAATATCATTCATTCATAGAATTGGAAGAGCAGGGCGGATGGGCCAGAAAAGCCTGGCCGTAACTGTAGTTTCTAAGCGAACAGACTTCCTCAGGCAGATAGACGATTGCTTTGAGACCTCAACGTTTGAGTAATATCTCCGAATAGGACATTATTGTCAAAGAGGCGACAAGAAAGAAGCAATAAGCACAAACATACAATATCAATCCGATTCGTAGATTGAAAAATAATATAGAGTCAACAATAAAGGATGCATCAGGCCCGTACGCCGCATAAAACTCTGTGTGAATGTATTGCGCATTGAGCAGCACAGCAGCAGTCATCATCAAAAAGGAATTGGCGTGAAGGAAATGGATTTCAAAGGAAGAAGTGTTCGAGACAATCGAGAAAGCTCGTACACAGTAGCTTATAGAATGAAAGGTACAGTACACGCCGGCTATAGTGACTTTCCTGACCGAATCAAGAGACATTGTGGTGTTTAATGAGCCATCAACTATACACTTGGCTGGGACCAATAACTTCATGTGTGGATGGTTCGGATCGATATATGATGCAACTTTCTGGAAAGTGATTGGGCTGTCAATAAGGACACCACAGGTATCCAACTGAGAGGCGGCCGTAGTAGTTAGTGTGTGTATTAGATTGATAAAGGATACTCCAAGCATGTATGCATATGGAAATGAAGGGGCCGCTTCGCCTCTTCGGAAGTTATGCTCACTATGATTAGAACAGTATACTATACCAGGTCTGTCTCGCAGACGAATCAAGGTATAAGGTGTGGTAGACAGGCCCAGTAATAGGGTATCAATTAAGAGAGATACATTTTGCGATTTAAGACTTTCAATGTATGCGCCTTCGATCCTAATTATCTCAGAGGCGCATGTCTTATCAGGAGTGGCTATAAGGAAGGGACTAATGTGTCCGAACGGGTCCAATTCCAAGTACTTACTGCCAACGTTCAAAGAAGTTATCTGTGAGCTACTGAATGTGAGAATGTCATGTGGGCTCATCACGCCGGAAAAGCCATAAACGCGTCCACGTCCCTCTTCTAGTGCAGTCTCTAATGAGTCCGATGAAACACACTTGGAGATATCATAGCAATTAGTGGCAACAAGATTCAAATCGCCTATGAGGGCGCAGTCCAAGGTGAAAGATGTGTCTAAGATATCTGACGCAATATTAAGGCCTAGAAGACTGTTGGCCGGTGCATAAGGCATATAACCACCGGTGGATACAATTATACCGGCAGTGCCCTTGTTGTTCAAGATTGTGCTTATAATGTAATAAAATGGAAGAGAGTTTGCAAAGATAGGGCTAAATATTATGCTGAAACAAAAAACCGATAGAATAGTAAGAAAAATAACGATAGGATAAGGGTGTGCGCGGATATGTTGCCACACCTTAGACCAATTAGAGCGTTTGTTTCCGGAATCAGACGACAAAGTCCAGTGCCCACCTAGAATTGCTCTTAGATATCTTATTCCAAACCAGAAGGACATACATGCAAGCGTTAACGCCAAAACTAGGATCAACAGACCAAGAAGCATGCAAACAGCATTTAGTTGCACGTCTAGTTCTAGCTCTTTTACGACTATGCAATAAAAGGCAAACAGTCCAATTATGAGAAAGCATCCTAACAGCTTGGCAACAAGTATAGAAATAAGAACAAAGATATGTGGATGTTTTATGTGCGTGGCAGATCTTACAATTGGACGCAGAACCCACATAAAAGAGTTGCTGATTAGTGAAATGCAGATAATCCAAGTGTCTAATTTTTGCATCCTTTTTCCGTGACTAAAACCATAAGCATTATCTGCCCCTCTGAAACTAACCAATTTGACTGAGATCCATATGAAACTAAGAGCTAGAAGGGCTAGTGCACCAAGTGCAGACCCCGTTTTATACAGAATGTGAAACCAGAGGTACTGTCGTGATGGCCCAAAGTTGGGCATCTTTTTAAGAAGTAAATTTATTCTGCCTGTGAGCTGCCGTGGTAAGTTATGGGACCAATTTTGTGTGCGGAGTCGGTATATGGAGCCCCACCTATGCAGTAGTATAACTGATGTCTAGCTATGCTTATACTGAACGTTTTAGCTGGTCTTAAGTGTCGAACTTGATCTTCAACAATAGAGCCGAAACCCTGGTATACTTTACAGCTCAGGCCATTTATTAGAGAGTTCTGTATCATTTAAGATGCGACAGTATCATTCATTGACCCAGGTGTTTGGATCGCTACCACAACACCCACCTGCACACCTTGTTACAGAACCCCAGCAGCTGAGCGGGAATATATCTGCGAAATAGTGGACACCGAGGCACAGATGCGTGTGGATGTAGCTGATTAGGTGATGGTTAAGGCAGATCCTTGGGGAGCCAGTAATGCCTTGCTACTCGATACCTGGCCTTGCACCTTCTGCTCACCAAGCAATGCAAACAATAGCGTGCAGCTTGAGCCGCAGTGCCCTTGCATGGCTCCCCGGGTCTCACTTTCACTTAGAGGCTAGTGGTCAGCCACCGGTAAGATCTATCGACACGTTTACTACCTAAGTCTACGCCTTGCCTCGGCAGAGGAACCACCAGCAGAGGAAGCCAACGAGACCACCAACAATGATTACAGCAGCCACGGCGATGCCAGCTATGGCCCCTGTGGAAAGGCCGCTGCTCTTATTGGTATTAGAAGATATGCACTGCTTCGTGCTACCATCAAGGTCGAAGCCAGAGTTGCACTCCTCGCACTCCGCAGGATTTTGGTCGCACCGTTTGCAGTTCGGATCCGTGCACTCAGACCCTGCGCCGTAGACAGCAGAGCTATCAGCGCACACGTCGATCGGTACGTGGCCTGCTCTGCATTGGTCGGTTGCGCAATTGGAGTGCTGGCGCCCCTTGCATTGCGCAGCAAGAGCGCTCATCAAAAAGCAGAGAACTAGTAGCAACATTGAGATCCTGCTCGGATCAGTTAGTCATGGTGTACTGGCTTTAGTGACGATACCAGTAGCCAACTGATAATTGCTTCCACTGGTTTTCTGGTGTGACCCTCCAGTGCTCCCCTCGAGCCTGCCGAGCGACTCCTGCATCGCCACCTCATTATGTTGCACGCAACCAAGGCGGAAATATATTTCTATTCTATTGCTATGAGGACGAGCTCTACATCAGCTTAAGAGTTGGTCCAAAGATTGGGTCGAATACTTGAACAGCGAAATAGTACTTTCTAGTAGATCTTCCTAAGAATGGCAAGGCGGCAACAACAGATATCTATACGGTAACACCGCAAGTGGTGGCACCTCCAAGTGTGCGACAGCGGCTAAATGCCCTTCTGTCATGCTGTGGTGTGTATGTGCGGAACTAACAGTCTATAAAGGGCATTGGTGTCATTTTAAAGGCCTCCGTAATTGACAGAAATGCCGAGATTGTAGCAATTATGTAAGATTGCGTTCTTGGCTGGTAGATTCTCTAAGTTTTCCTTACTGGTTGATCTGTGGGAGCAAGTCTATCAATACTATCAAGATACTACTTGCTCTATCTCCACATAGAGATCTTACAACTTATCAATGTGCATATCCAGAAGGATAGCGCTAGCAACAATCACTATAATACCAATGAAGGTCCCGAATACTATTCCTAGTATCTCCACTACAGTGAACGATTTCTTGCAGATGTAGTTGTCACCGTACTTTGTCAGCTTATAGCCCTCTTCGCAGCTGGTACACTTGATAGTAGTATCCGGACTATATGCAGACGGAGAGCAAAGTACGCAGTGATCCCCAGCAAAACTACTGCACGGAGAACAGAAGTCTGAACGGAGAACATAGCCTTCACTGCATTCTGTGCACAATAACTGAGGATAGCTAGAATAACGCTGAGAACACTTTGCACAGTTGGGAATGCCATTGACGGTATCGTTGCACGCGGCACAGTTATCATTGACAACAGTGTATCCATCTGTACACTTAGTGCACTTGTTGGTAGAGGGGGAAGAAGGTGAGCCAGGAGTACACTGAAGGCACATTCCTAGTCCACAAGCAGCGCAGGCATTAGGTCCAAATTCATCGCTCCCAACCGCAGAGCAGGTAGTGCAGAGTTTGGGATCACTGGTGGAGCAAGCGGTGCAAAGAGGAGGAGCACCTCCAATACATTCCACTCCAAGCGACAAGTAGATGAAGTAGAAGAACAGCATGGAAGTTTTACTTTTTCGACAACAGTGGGAAAGGCATAGGAATCATAACGGACGCCCGTCACGAGTTGTCAAGGACTCAGAAAAGCGAGAAGAACAAAAGTCAAATGACACATGATCGTCTAGGCCCAAAACAATTTGCGCAGCCCGGGGGACAGAGGTGCAGGGCGCATACTCAGGGCGCATGAGGGATTTTCTTAGCTCTATCTCGATTTGTTCTGCCGTTGCAGGCCGAACCTTTCGTTCCAGATGAAGTCGGCTTTGCAGATGAGACCCAAGTGAAATGCCTTCCTGGAGTCTCTTCTGCTCCTTGGGCTCCATGTATCGCGCCTCCAGCTTCGGGGGAAGCTGCAGTGTACCCGTCGGATTGAGGTCCTTAGACAGCTGCATTTTTAACAGCCGCTCAACAGCACGGAAGCTACGACCTCCTTGCTAATTGCTAGCCCTATGTGCTTCTCTAATTGATGAGTGCGATGTGCATGCAGTAGCCAGTGCTGAAGGTAGGCCTAGTTACACTGTCCAGATAATCTGCCAGCATAAAAAAATCCAAATGGCAAAGGATCCCTTCCTCGCACGCATGCGTGCCGAGGGCATCCTCACCAGTGCCACAGAGGAAGACCTCACACAATGGTGGGTCGCAGAGAATGTCTCTCTCTTTCAGAGCACTCTTTCTCAGTATGTGGAAGCGGAAACAAGGGAGAAGCGGCTAGCTCTTTTAGACGAGGCGTGTGCTGTTATTCTCGCTGTGTTCTACTCTCTTTACAAAGAACTGCCAGCAACTACGATGACTACCAGTCTTTTAAGTTGTTCTCTTGAGACTATGCGCTGTATCTTTAATAACGGCGACCTAGTCCACGTGACAACATCAAATTTTGTACCCTCTCTCCTTCTATATCTGGCGGTTGACGGTGTCATACTATCCCTCTATAGTTCGGTGGGAGTACAGTTTATAAGCAATATATTATCCATAGCTGCAGGACTTGCAAAGCATGCCCCAGAAACGTTCTTAGATAACCACCTTGGGTGTTTCCAGTCTATTGTCCATTCACTACTCTCTACTGTTCCGGACGAAGAGCGGGCGGCACTAATAGCCTTTCTTGTACAGGCCAGCACAGCACGCCTCTCGCCATTCTACATACTAGGCGGTCGGTCTAACGCAGAATACTATGAGTTTTTAGTGAGAATTCTTTCCTCTGCTTATGGCTATCCAGATCAACTGTTACTAGCTATTAACGGGCATATAGCAGCTGGCTGCGCAGCTATTGAGGCAGCACTAGCACAGGTTGATAGGGAGGAAGGGCTGCTCTTACACGACCCCTCGGACTCCACAGATACAAAGAGAGCTCCTTGTTTTGATCCACTTCTGTTCTTGATGTTGGACGCAGGTGCCTCCTACTTTTTTAGTGTACAGTCCGACGACCTGCGTGCAACTACATTAAACACCATCAGAAGCTATACTCAGCACTTTTTTACCTTGTGGATTCCATTTCTTCTGGATTTGGAGTTACGCGATGCAGAAGTAGGCATGCTTTTCTGCTCTGTTTTCCTTGAACGATACAGGCAGATGCACTATGCTTTTTCGAGCAGTAGCTCCATAGATGAAACTATTAACATTGGGAAGAACTTTTTTGCCGTACGTCAAGTGAAGTCAAGGTTCTCTATCAATCAGAAGACCTTTCTCATTTTTAACTCTAATTACCCACATATGTATAACACGCAGATGGAAGCGCAGGATAATCAGCAACAAGACACCTATGCTGATGAGGCAGGTGCATCGAAAAGGTCTCACAAAGCAAAGAATAGAGACACGTCACAACAGCTTGTTAACACTACGACTGCAGAAGAGCATATAGATCGATTCTACAGTCCAAAGCCAATCTCTATTGTCCTACCCTGTTCCGTGACAGACATGCCTTCATTGGGTATCCTTGGCAGCGTACTGTACTCTGCTATCTTAATAGGATTGACGTCTCATACTTCAGAATTGAGGAGGAGGGCTCTAGATGCAGCAGAGAATCTTCTGTGGTCCGTCAATTATACGTTTGTTTCTTGCCAATCTAATAAGAGCGGGAAGCTCCCGAGCATGAAAGCATATGCAGGGGAAATTAATAATATTATGATCCCCCTTGTGAAGGACCGGTTTCTAGATTCCTGTGAATATGTTCGTGAGGCGGCAATCAGTATCTTCGCCAATTATTATAGGGTTCTCCTTGAATACCTGGACTATGCGACAACACTCGACACCAGCACAATATCAGAAGAAGACAGCATGTTTGTTGTTCTGCTGGAGCGTCTTGACAAATTGGTGGAGCCACACGTATATGTGAGACCACTGAAGATCCAACTGCCGCCCATAGAAAGTGACCTGGCCGTAGCAACAAATGAGGAACTGATTTCGCTATCCCTTGCGGAGCGACTCAATGACAAGAATACTCGTGTCCGCAGCGCTGCCACCATTGCTCTTCAGTCTTTGTATATGACTGGGTATCATCGCTTGGCGACTCCGCTAATTCACTATGCCCACAAGTTTGGGCTGGAGGGAGAAATAGAGCTCTTTAAGTGCTTCCACGCTAACACGCATCTTTCTATTTACTCTGTGATGCACAGGATATTGACCTTCTTTGATGGTGTAGATGCTATGGATTTCTTCGTATTCATTCGAGTGCTTTCCCGCCAGAAGTTGCTCAGGAAGATCGTGGAGAATACTTTCACTGTTCTTGTAGCCAAGAGGCATGGCGCTACTTTCATAAAGAAGCAGTGGGACGAGTCCATAGCCGGTATATATGGCGAGGACCAGGATGCGGGCACGCAGACGTACTTCAACAGCTTTTATGATTACATGGTAGAGTCTGCACGTGTGAAGTCACTCGCTGACTTCATGAACGAGGGCGAAGCACTCCTAGATACAATCTACAATAAGATCACCAAGAAATCTACTGGATCCGATGGTGCCTTACACTTATCCAGGATAGAGGATGCTACCGAGTACATTACAGTTGCACAAAGAATCAAGAACAAGTGGCTTTTCCTCCATATTTTCTCTTTTCCTTTCTGCCACGAGAAGTTTCTACACAAAATCGTGAAATTGACCTCTGTAAGCTACTTTTATTCGTACCTTGAAAAGCAGAAGGACGCAGAGGTCTTTCAGACATCACCGCTGACATGCGCGTTGCTTCTGCGCAGTGTTCTTGTCGTGAATTCGCAGCTCTTTGTTCACTGGAAGCACCTTAGTGTCAGGTTCTTCTTCAATGTCTTTGAAGAGACAAAGGCTTCGGGCGCGTTCGCCTCCATAAGTCCTGCGGATCAGCACGGCGCTTTAGACTCCTCGTCTTCTCAAAAGGAAAGGGGGTGGAGAACCAGAGGCACCGCAGCGTCCAAGTTTATAGAGTTCTCAGAAAGCCTTGGATTGGGAATAGTGTCCAGCAAAACGTCCGACCCTAAGACCACTTCATTAAATACTCTGCCCCTTTACCAAAGTGACCTGGCAACGCCATCGAGCGAGCCAGATATGACACCTGTAAGCATAGAAACGACTCCCACTAACTCTAAGAAAGCCTCCGACAACACTCTGGACATAACTCAACAATCGCAGGATGTAAGCAATCGCATTGACCAGGTGTCTCTTGCAATCATCGGTGTACACGTGGCCATCCTTCTAGGAGGGTATGTGTACATCTCTGAGTCCCAATTGATGGCCCTTTTCAGCATAGACAATGAACTTAAAGAGATCTGCGGAGCCACCCTAATAGATCTGGCCAGCACCGCATTCAACTTGGCATCGGTTGATAGGTACGCTTGCCTAGTAACACGCAACATGCTATTCAAGCACGTAACGTGTTGCCCATGGACTATTCTCGCTCTGTATAGTTCTTTTCATGAATGGGACGTGGTTCCTTCGTGCAATATCAACTATCGACACGCAATTTACTACAATCTTTTGCGAAGGTTGTGCAGTACATGTACCATAGTCCCAGATGAGCTTTGGGGAAAGAGCTGGTCTACTATGATGGCGTCAATAGCACACTCAAACAATACTATGACCGACGAAGCAAAGGGCAGAGCAGAAAATAATATCAAAGTGGATGTCACTCAAAATCCGCTACTGATAGAGATTTACAACACACTGATAGAGGAGGCCAACAGCAGCTATCAAAAGTTCAATAGGCGATCTTCGCAATCAATAGACATAGGCTTGGTTATGGAGAAAGCCCAGTCTCTTATGGCTGTGTTCCCAGAGTTTGTTAAGCGCATTGAAGGCGATCATATTTCGTCTCTATCAGAGTGCTTATTTACCGACATCGACGCAGGGACTGAACTCTTGATCCAGACGCCCTACCTGAAGCGCTTCCCCAGAGAGACTGATCGGATAATCGCTATCCTTCCCGTGCTGGGATACGGGTCGCATCTCTACGCATTATCAAAGGATAGCACACGAACCTCTAAGCTGATATCCTATTACAATGTCCTCATTGAGACCATTCTCTTTCCCTTCACTATTAAGGTAGACGACACGCAGACCCCGGTCAAAATGGTTCAGCAGGTATCTCCCATCATTATCTATGATATCCTACCAGTGTCAACGCGTGCGACAGTCATGCCTGCGTTCAAGTTGCTGGAAGCTGTGCATACTCTTCTGCTATTTCAGCTACGTACTGATCAACGTGCACTGCAGCTCCAGACAAGCTACAGTTTGTTCATGATGATTACTGCTGCTCACTATGGGCTGGTCTTTGCATACTCTTCAGAAGAAGCCCAGTCAGAGTCAAGAAAGACTATCACTGCTACAACTCTATTCGGAAGTAGAACCATGCAGAAGGCCATTCTACACGGTATTTCCTCAACTGCTTTGCGAACGCTCCTCACATGCGTTGAGTTTGGCAACATGCCATGTCGCTTGATTGGAATCTTGGTTGCCGGGTTTGCAGCGTATATCGTTGGATATTGTGAAATAGACTTTACCTTTGTCTTTAATAATGATGAAGAAGCCACACTTCCGAATTCTGTCAATGACGAGAGCGGAGTCGTAATATCTATAAGTAAGTACTATTTGCTGCAGAAAAATATGAAGTCTAACATCCCAGATGTTCCTGGAAAGGGTCTCACTGCCTCTATGATGTCTAGTAGCGCGGTTTTGGCAGACGTGCTGCCGTCACCTACAGTGGTGAGGCAGTCTCTAACGCAAGAATCCATAGACTTCATGCACAAATTTGTTACTAAGTTAATCAATATATCGCTTCAAGCCATGGAGCAGTTTCCGATGTCGTTTATGCTTAGGCAGGAGGCTGGCTCAAGTCCACAGATAGCTCTGCTTTCAGGACGACCTGAGTACTCCGTCTTTATCTTAGTTTATGTTGTTCATAATTACGTCTTTCAGATAGCTTGCTCCATGGCCAATCAACACCGCATCACGATCCTGCACGCAGCTAAGTATCTCGTCTCTAGGAAGACGGGGATAACGCTATTTATTGATACGGCAATCCTCCTTCTGCTAGAAATACTGATGCACTCAGCTACAAATGTTATGCAATCTGCCGATGAGTGTAGCGGCTCTTTGTCCGCAGGGGCTCTCTCCGGGATCTCAGCTCCTCAATTCACGATTTCAATTCTACAGCTCTGCATTGCTAAGGCCTCGCGTTACTCTACAAAGACGGCGGGTGGCGCAACATCTGTTTCGGAGGAAGCCAGGTCATTCCTTTACAAGACTGTGCTCAGCATATTTGCTCACCGCATAAAGACCTTTACAGACTACGAACGTGGGTTGCCACTAGATGTTTTGCTGCAAATACCGAGCGCACTGTTTGTCAAGGCTTCGGTTGACTCTGCTGCGGGCTCTGGTGAAACAGTATCGCGCAATACCCGCGATACAGTGCGGCAAAGTATCCTTGGGGCCACTCCTGTATATGTTAAAGAGCGTACGGTTATGTTTGCACAGAACTCTGAACTGTTAGATAGTTTGGCTAAGATCTCCCTGACCCCGAAAAATAAGGTTTCCAGCCCGTATTTAAGTTCTAGTCTGCGAGAAACCCCCAAGCGGAGAGTAAGGCCATAACTGTACAAAATAATTTGAAAATAAAATCAACTCAGGATGCTCGATCGCCCGCCGTGCGTTGGCTTTGGAACATACCTTGTGGAGGACCCAGAGGCCATCAGAAGTGCAGTGAAGCTGGGATACAGACACTTCGATTGTGCCTACAGATATGGGAATGAACGCATGATCGGGGAAGTTTTCAAAGAAATCTTCAACGATGACTCTTATGGCGTGAAGCGCGAGGATCTTTGGATTGTCTCTAAACTGTGGCCCAACTTTCACGAGCCAGAGAAGGTTGCTTATCAGATCTCTGAGACCCTTAGGGATCTTCAGCTGGAGTACCTGGATGTCTTTCTCATGCACTGGCCTCTTGCTATTAAGCACCTGGCTGACAGAGATTATGCTTCTTCAGATGGAAAGGGAGGGACTCTTCTAGGGACTACGCCAATTCGCAAAACATGGGAGGCAATGGAGGCTTGCGTGGACAAGAAGCAAACGCGCTTTATCGGAGTCTCAAATATGGGCACGGCTATGTTGGTGGACTTGCTCTCATACTGCAGAATTAAGCCCTTCACCAACCAGTTTGAGTCTCAGCCGTACTTTCCCAACGATAGGTTAATCGAGTTCTGCAACAGCAACGGAATATATGTGACTGCATACAGGCCTCTGGGTGGGCGCTGCAGGGTTGATGCAAAAGCTCCTCTAACCGATCCGGCTCTTGAGGAATTAGCAAAGAAGGCCAATCTGACGGTCAGTGAGCTTATTTTGGCATGGCACTGGACACGCTGGGGTACGAGTGGAACGTATTCTGTCATCCCGAAGTCTAGTGATCGAGAGAGACAAAAGCAGAACCTAGAGTCTGTTAAGCTAAGGTTGACACCTGACCAGATGGACGCTTTTGCTAGACTTGGGTGTGTTCATCAGCGTACATGCTTTACGTCATTTGCCTCAGTTCCTCTTTTTGATTGACTCTTTAGTGTGAATCTTTACATGGGTGCGGGAGCCAGTTCTGTATCCGGGGCGCCGAGCGTTTCTCCTTGTGCCGTTACTGCTGCAGCTGTTCTGCAGCGTTTGGAGGGTGTCTCGATGGGTAAAGTCATCGAGGGCTGCGAACGAGGATGGCTAGCAAAAGCTCTGATGGGTGCACACCTATTGACTCCAGACTGCGTAGACATCTTTGAGAGGCCTCCGCCTATTCGAGGAGTCTACGAGACCACGGCACTGATACAAGCAGTTAAAGAAAACGATGAGACCTTGTTTGACCAATATCTTACACAGCTCTCCTTCCGAACAAACAGCGGCCGCACTGCACTAATGTATGCTGCAGAACTAGGGCGCCAGCAGATGGCTGAGCGGTTGCTCGACGAGGCGGAGGTCGTTGATCTTTCCGGGAAAACTGCACTTATATATGCACTCGAGGCAGGACACTACGACATAGCTGATATGTTAATCCCTTATGAAGTCGGGAAGGCTGGAGTTACAGATCTCATGTTTTATGCTCAAACAGGCAATCTAGATGCGTTACTAGCGGAACAAGATGATGCCCGCGCGCAGGATCTATCAGGTCATACTGCATTAATGGTTGCTGTTATACACAAAAATGTGAAGGTCGCAGAGCTGCTTCTTGAAGAAATGGCGTTAACGACCACAAAGGGGGTCACTGCACTGATGCTCGCAGCTCAGCGAGGCTATGGAGAGCTTGTGTATTTGCTAGCAACGTCTACATCGACGATAGAGCAGCCTACGGGGAAGTTCAGCAAGCGAACAGGACAGCAACGAATGCGGCCGGTCAAACTGAGAGAACTTAGTAATCAAACAAGAGACACGGGAGACTCTGCACTGATGTTCGCTGTTAAACGTGGAGACATTTTGGCAGCCTGTTGCCTTACAGAAGAATTGTATCTGCAAGATTGTACTGGAAAGACAGCTCTGATGCATGCTGCAGAACGCGGAGACGCCGAAATGGTTAAGTTTCTATGCAGTTTGATGAAGAAAGGAGACCGTGTGCAAGTTGATAAGAAGGGCCGCACAGCTCTCATGTATGCAGCAGCGCAGAATTACAGAGCCGCAGCTGAGCAGCTTTTTCTCCGGGAACAACGGTTTCAAGATAAATCCGGGCGCACAGCGCTCAGTTACGCACTTGAACATATGGCAGTCGATACAATATCTCTTCTTTCTCCAGCAAGCGTCGAAGGCCGCTTCTCTAAGATAACTCAACTGATGATTGATGCTGCTTGTGGAAAGATATCAGAACCATTGACTCCTGCACAGCTCGTAGAGGTTCGCCAGCAGGATACGTCGGGTCGCACAGCCCTTATGTACGCGGTTCTTGCAGGTCACACTAAAGCCATTGAGCACCTTTGCATAGAGGTGGAGGACTTTGCACATGGTCATGAGTCTGTCCTTCAAATGTGCATTGAAGCACAGAAATTGAATTGTCTTCAAGTTCTCCTTCTACATGTGTATGAGGAAAACGTCCAGATCAACATCCCTAAGCTCAGTTTATCTATCGTCGATTACGAGACAGACCTTTTGGCAGCAGCAGAGAAAAATGACTCCTTTGGGGCGCGTACTCACATTGACCAGGCTGGAAAACTTTGTAACGGCTGGACAGCTTTAATGACAGCTGCGTACAGGGGGCACATCGATATTGTAAAGCTTCTCCTTTGTGAGGTAAAGCTCCAGAACGAGAAGGGCTGGACAGCATTGATGCTTGCTGTTCAGACAGCGCAATCAGAGGTTGTTCGGCTTCTTGCACGTTACGAGCTAGGGCTCAAGGATAATGAAGGAGAGACGGCTCTTGTGAAGGCTATTCGCTGGAATGCAATTGATATGATTGAAGTACTACTGCGTGAGAAGCACGTTCTCACGAACAATCGGCAAACAGCTCTTTCGGTTGCAATGGAAATGGGAAATGAGGAGTGTCTTAAGCTTTTAAAGGCCCCGAAGCTCTGAGTGCACGGTCGTTGCGCTGTCGTTCTTCCAATTCAGTCTTTATCAAGTTTGCCTTGTCAATCTCATCAGCCATGAACGTAGTAATATCTTCTCGCACACAGCCGTCCATAGGGAGACGTTTTTTCGAGAAAGTAGAATAAATATTGGTTTCGCTTGTGACTATATCGTAGCGAACGTTGCCAATTGTGAGACTGTCTGTCCATGACCCTGAAACAAAGGATTTTTGGAGATTGTTTTTATCCATAATGCTTCCATCTACATTATTAAGATTGTTCCGCCGCTGAAATCTGACCACGCACTCGAAAGCTGTATTAGTGTCTTCTCTATGATGCTCCGTGCTCTTCTGTAGAACAGGAATACGCGGGCACATCTCACTAAGTGAGGCATTCTCTTCGTAGTCGTATCCGCGTATTATAAGTTCTCCAGAGAAGAATCCCCATCGAACTCCCCATAACAGTCCCACAAGGTGGAAGGTCGGAAATTCAAAGGTTATCCGTCTAGGGTTACCTGTCGCGAAGCAGATGCTATTGATTCCTTTTCGAACCACTTTCACTTTGTTCAGCCCTATGGACACGACAAGCTCGGCGCCACCAACGATTCTATAACCTGCATCGTCTTCGTATAGCGTATATAGACAGGTAGGCGGATGATTAGCAATCTGCTCTCCTGTTACGTCAACCTTTGCTTGATCCTCTCCCTGCTTGACGAGCAAGCAGTCTTCATAACATTCGCCTATGATAGGATTGAACGCTTTGTGCTGGTCTACAACAGTTGGGTATAGACAGCCGATCACATATGCCACACACAGCTCAAAACGCTCCAAACCAGATACAAGGCTTGCTCGTTGCAAAAACGACAGATTGCTGAGTAACTGTTGGGTGAGCTGTTGGATCTGAGACATAGGCACCCAAACGAGTTTCTTGATTGGAATGGACCGCCTCATGATGTTTTCACCTCCAAAAAGACTCTTCCCGAAGTTTGCAATGCACTCTCTGGTAAGTGCCCGCTGGGCCTTGGTTAGCTCTGTGTCAGTGATCATGAAGCCTCCTTTGCTTGTCAATGAGGCGGCTATAGACACGGGGCGACTGCCTGAGATAGAGGGAGTGCTTGTTGTTGACTGATCTTCTACACTCATTAAAAATTTCCAGTTAGGGCCCTTCCTCAGCATCCTTCATATACCTCATAGAGTTGGCAACGAGCGTCGCATGCTTGGGTAGGATTTTTAATTTTTAAAATCATTGTCAATAGTCTATGGCTTTTGAATTAGATTGTTTAAAAGTCAATGAACTTTAGACACATTGATGCGTTAATGTGGCCATCATCCAGCGAGCACTCACCTTTGTGGATTGCGGCTGTGCTGTAGAATCATCACGATGCTAAACCAAGCTATCAGACAGACCTGATTCATGCACCTAAGGTCTTGCCCCCGAAATAAAAAATGTCAGAGTCGAGCTTCGCTAACGTGCTGGTTCGCCGCTTCTTCGTGGTTCCCGCTTTTGAGATATATGGCGGGGTAGCAGGCCTGTATGATCTTGGACCCTCTACGACGGAGTTGCGCAACAATTTCCTGAGCATGTGGCGCCAACACTTTGTCGTCGCTGAAGATATGCTCGAGATAATGTGCACCAATATTGTTCCAGATAAGGTACTACAAGCATCAGGGCACGTCGCCCGCTTTGCCGATGTGATGGTGAAGGATACTAAAAACGGAGAGTGCTTCAGAGCAGATAAGCTTATAGAGAGTTATCTAGAGAAGAAGTTGGCGGCAGAAGGCAAGTCACTTGATGAAGACCAACAGAAAGCCCTCAATTCTCTTTTGAACTCCGTTGACGGGGCATCTCCCGAGGTAATCAAGGAGCTTATTCAATCCATGCATGTCCTTTCTCCATCAGGAAATCCGCTCAGTGACCCCTTCCCCTTCAATCTTATGTTTCAGACCAACATAGGGCCATCTGCTGGGTCGACCGTCTATCTAAGGCCTGAGACTGCACAAGGCATATTCATGAACTTTAAGCGCGGCTTAGAACAGGCCAAGCAGCTTCCATTTGCCATGGCGCAGGTTGGAACAGTTTTTCGCAATGAGATAAGTCCACGGAACTCACTACTGAGAGTTCGTGAATTCGAACAGTGTGAGATTGAGCATTTCATAGATGGCACACCAGACAGTTTCCGCCATCCAAAGATTAGTACAGTCGCCTGGTGCTACGTAGAGCTCTTTACGGCGGATGACCAGCTAGCAGGCCTGCCCTGCGGTAAGAAAATGTCGATCCAGAACGCCCTCGACAACAAGGTTCTGGCGCACGAAACCATGGCATACTTTATCGGTCGCACATACCTCTTTCTACTGAAGTTGGGGCTCGATCCTGCTCGCCTAAGGTTCAGACAACACCTTCCAAAGCAGCTTGCACACTATGCAAGAGACTGCTGGGACTGTGACTGCCTCCTCTCGTGTGGATGGACGGAGATTGTCGGAATCGCAGACCGTTCAGCCTATGACCTCCAGGTTCACAGTAAGGCCTCAGGGGTTGACCTGACATGTTTTCTCAAATATCCCGAGCCGCGTGAGGTAAGCTACAATATTTGCACATTGAAGATGAAGGAGTGCGCAAAAGTATTCAAGCAGGACGTTAACCTTATTCGCTCCACAATTGAGGCCATTCAGGGCGAGGACTTGGAGGTTTTGAAAGCAGAACTGCAAAGTACAGGCTCGTATACACTTCGTATTCCGGGAAAGGACGGAGAAGCTGAGAAGGACTTTGAAATTCTTCCCAATTATGTGCAGTTCAACTGCGACACTAAGATGTTGCATGGCGAGTCTATTGTGCCCCACGTTATCGAGCCTTCCTTCGGGGTTGGCAGGATCCTTTATTCGATTCTAGAGCATTCCTTCTATACACGCAATATAGACGAGCAGCGCACCGTCTTCCGTTTCAAACCCTATTTAGTGGGGTGCAAAGCCATTGTTTTACCTCTTCAGAGGAATGATGATCTCCTGTCAACAAGTTCTCACGTGCTGGAGAGGCTGAGGCGTAGTGGAATAGCAGCAAAGCAAGATGCAACAGGGGCGCCCATTGGTAGGCGCTACGCGCGTGCCGATGAGATCGGGATACCTTTCGCCGTGACCATCGATTTTCAAACTTTAGAGGATGGTAGTGTAACGATAAGGGAGCGCGATAGTATGGACCAAATTCGTGTGGGCTCAAAGCAACTCTCACAAGTGATAGCTAATCTCTCATCAGGAAAGGTCCAATGGAGCACTGTGTATAAACATTTCCCACGTTGCGAAGCAACCAACGCCGAGTAAAGTCGCCAGTTTACCTGCGTCTGCCCGGTTTCTGGGAGATTTTGTTCTAAAAATTTGAAAAACAGAATGCAGCACGCACCATTTCGACAGAGATACGAAACCCTGGAGCATATAGGCACAGGGCAGTATAGCAAGGTATTCAAAGTGAGGGAAAAATCGACAGGAGCTCTGTTGGCCTGCAAGGAAATAGATTACGGATCCTTACCTCCTGAAACAAGTGCAGCTCTAACAAAAGCAATCGAAGATACGGCTGTCACGTTGAAGAGTATCCTGCATAAGCATATCATCCGCTACCATGAAGTCCTTCATGATAAGGCAGGGAAAACATATAGAATAATTATGCCGTATTATGAGCTTCAAGACCTACAAACATATGCTGAAATGCTCCGAGAAGATGGAGAGGTTATTCTGGAGCAAGGACTCTGGGTGATACTGAGCCAGTTAATAAGCGTGCTCGACTATCTCCACTCGGACAGAGACTGTGACGGTGGTATGGTTCATTTGAACATAAATCCGTCTAATATTTTGCTCACAGACGACTTCAATGTGATTTTGACAGGGTTCACCAACTCTGTGTCTCTAAGTAGGATGCACTCAGCCCGTGTTCTGACAGGAAAGCTTTCTTACTGCGCTCCTGAGGTGCTTCAAGGTCAGGATTATGGGCCTGCAGTAGATATCTGGGCACTTGGATGTACAATTTACGAGCTAGCTACATCTTCGTCCCTCTTTTTAGGAGTAACACCATCTGCATTGTTGCAGGCCATCAATGAATGTGACATTAGCACACTTTCACTTAAGAACTACTCTGTTGAACTCTCTAGTGTCTTAAAATCGATGATTAGTTACAACGCTCAACAGCGGATCACTGCTGCACAGCTGTGTACTCATCCAAAGATAGTCTTCTACCTCACACACAATATCCAACTTCAAGGGATATCTGTTGCACATCCTGAGTTAGCCAATGCGTCAACAGCCCCTCAGTCTCAGTATCGCTCAAACCTGATCCAACTAAATCAAGACCCCATTCCAGCTGCTCCACCTTTTACACTTAATAAGGCAGATTTCATCGCAAAGCCTCCGCCAGACTCGCTGCTTCTTGCAGACCAAACTATTGGTGAACAGAGTTACCTCAGCTATGCCCCGGCAAAGGCTAGCTCACGCATCCGAAGTACGTCCACGGGCCGTAGAACTGACAAAGGGAATGATAAGCCTGGCGATAGCATTATATCTATGTTAACTAGTGGACGAAGAGCCTCGTCCAGAGGCGTTCACCAAGCGCCAGAGCCTTTATCTGCATATTCGACCATGGCTGAGTCCACTATAGGGCAAGAAGGACCTACACGCGCTGGATCGGGGCTTGCTGGGCGCTCTCGTGCCCCAAGCACTCACCATCACGACACAATTCTGGAAAGATCCATCGATGCGCCCCTCACTGCGTCTCAGGCCATAGTATCGCGCATAAAAGCTTATCAGCACAATGGAACAGAGCCTAACACCATGCTTAGTGAGGTGCCGAGCCCAGAGATAATCAAGGAACAAAAGATTCGCCGAGTATCGCAGTCCCTAGTTCAAGATGAGCTGGCCTATGGCGTGACCCCCTCTAGGCAGCTCTTGCAGACTCGTTGTAATCCAGAAGGAGAAGTCATGAGTGCTTTTGCTGATGATCCTACAGAGCTTATTGCAAGCCACCTGAGCCCCCATGTTGTTCGAATAAGGGCTGCCAGAGATGGCGGAACAGAGGTGGTGCAAACGACAAATAGTGCGGGAGAGGCCGTGCCTCGTTACCAGGTGCACAGCAGTAGCAGAGAATCCCCAAAGACCTCTGTACAAAGTAGAAGATCTTCCCCTACTGCCACCGGAATCCCAAGTAGTTCTCACCTAAGGAAAACATCCCCCAGTGGGACTCCCCAGCTGACCATGTCTACCAGAAAGCAGGTGGCTGACAATCAAGAGATGCTGCGATGTTATCCAATTGATTACGTCAATTCTGTTAACTTGGCCAATCAGCGGAGGACACCAACATCTGGTAATCAACTTGCGTATTCAGCGCACGTGGAGCCAATGAGCGGCCATGTTCCGTATCCTCTGCCCCAGGGCAATGACATTTATGGGCCCTATTCCACAGGACCTGCACAGTATTACAACGTTCCTCTCAACTCGGGACTTCAAGGTACAGGACAGCTTTATGTGCCAAACGACCTGCAAGCGTTCAAGCAGGCCGAACTCAATTTCTCAGAGAGCAACACCGGAAGTGATGTCACAAAGACTATCCAGTTCATAGACGCACAGGCTTACACAGCAGATGCGCTACCATATACAGATCTGATGAAGGCAGTGATTAAAAACGACATCAAGGGTGTTAAGACTGCCATCTCAGCAGATGCCGGGAAGAGTCTCCCAGGTGGAATCACAGCGCTCATGATTGCTGCCAACATGGGCCATGTCGAGTGCGTTAAGATGTTAGTGGCCAAGGAGGGAGGAATGCGGCAAAAGGATGGGACGACAGCTCTAATGGAGGCCGTTCAGAAGAAGCATGCAGAAGTGATCAAGCATTTGATGAAGAAAGAGGCTGGAATGCGGCGTAGCGACGGGTGGACATCACTAATGTACTGTGCGCAGCATGATCTGGTAACAATAGGGAAGCAGCTGATGGCAAAAGAGGCAGGTCTCCAGACTATCTCAGGGGTTACAGCGCTAATGATCGCCTGCGAACACGATAACCTAGAGCTGGCCGCTGTGCTCCTAAAGGAGGCTGGGAAACACGCCGTTAATGGCTGGACGGCTCTCATGAGCGCTTGTGAGCACAATCATACAGACCTCGCTTTGAAGCTTGCCCCAAAGGAGGCGGGAAAGGTCAAGGTGGATGGGTGGACAGCTCTGATGAGCGCAGCTAGAAACGGAAACATCAAGGTTGCTAAGGCCCTGAAGAAGAAGGAGGTGAAGTGCATGAAGAACGACGGCTCCTCAGCGCTAATGTGGGCGGCAAGTGTAGGGAACGTGGAAATGGTGAAGCTTTTGATGAACGAGGAACGGCACATTCGAACCGTAACTGGTAAAACAGCATTCGACTTTGCTGAGGAGGCAGATAATCGCGAGGTGATGAAGCTTCTTCGTCCAGATCTATTTGACAAATCTGGGGCATATATAAAAGGAGCAAGTAGCCAGACCGCAAGCACAGTGCAAACGACAAAGAGCACCAAGAAAGGGAAGAGATAGCAATTTACTCCCAAAACGTTGAATACCGAAGTAAACTAAAAACCGAAATATTATAAATCAACCGAATACATTAATGCGTCAGCACGCAGTTTGAAACTGAAATCCCGGGGGGCATCTGTTTTTGAAGTCCTTGCTCGAAACTTGGACGTCCCAGCCCAGGTGGTCAAGAAAACTGTTTTTCAGGGTTCTAATAGTGGCGTCCGTGACTCCACTGACAAATATATTTACCCAAAGATGTACATCGTACGGCTCGTCATCCAAAAATTCAGATGAAACGATGACAGCTGTTTGGAAAAGGAGATTGATGGTGGACCCAGTAAGTTTATAACCGAGGCGCGCAAGCTTATCCAAAAGACAAAGAGCATACAAAATCATTACCGTCACATCTCTACCGTTGTACTCTGTATTTTCAATCATATTGGCAACCAGGGTGGTGACCATAGTGTGAGTCCCGCGGGGAAGGTGGTCGGAGGTCAGCTCCCCAAGACAATTGATAATATGCTTGAAGAAGGACTTACCTATGGCACTAGACATTTTTGGATAGTTTTATTTTGATGAAGGCGTTTCTCAGTGATTTACAGTTTAGTAGCTTAACGAGGGAGGAGCCTTCAGTCATCCAAGCTTCAGTCATAGACAAGATCGTCAATGCATACTACAGCAAGGAGACTCAGCCATCGGCGGGGCCGACCGATTTGGTAACGCAGTTGATGCAAAACGATGCTAAGCTCATGGCAGAGATAGAGAGCCTCCAGTCCACCCTCAGCGTTGCTCTAGCGCGAATGCGTGAGCTAGAACTGCAGAACTCAGAACTCATGAAGCGTGTCTTGCAATTGCAAGCATCTCCTGATAGGGTGGCCGGAAAGACGCGGTCAGCACAAGACAGCTACGTCTTGACAGATGACTTAACAGTTCACAGCCTGCACATGTCTCCTCTTGTATGATTTGCTTGTTTACTCTGCTTCACAAAGTGGCTCGCCAGCCAGTGGCCGAGTAAACCACTAGTCGCCCTCGATCCTCATAGCTCCATGTCCAGCCAGCGGCACGCACGGGCCTTCTATTCACGCAGTAGTGAATCAAGCACGCTCGACATCGTGCCTGTGGCTACCTGGTCAACAGAAGTCTGAGCAACGTTGGCTTCAGGCAACCCTCTTTATTGTCAGTTGTATGAGGCGTGGAAGATATACTCTGTCCTCGTTATCATAGGTGCACAACAAGAAGGCAGATGCAAGGCCCGCTGTTTCCAAATCTATGAGCCTTGTCACCTGAGGAGCACCGTATCCAAAACCCAGCACATAGATAGTTACTAAGTGCATGATTTATCAATCCTACTGCTCACTACTTAACTGCGTGCTTACGCCTTCCCCCTGCAAAGAAAGCCCACGAGGCCGGCCACAACGGAGATCCCCGCGATGGCACCAGTGGAGAGCCCGCCCCTGTTGGTACTCATAGACACACAGGAGGTCCCAGCATCATCAGGACTGTACCCATCGTTGCACACACAGACAGAGTTATCATCAGTGGAGTTGCTGGGACAGCCATCCACGCATGACTTCCTTCCTGGGCTCACCTTCTTCCCAGTACTACACTTAGTGCACGTAACAAGGACCCCTTCAACTTGACCTTCGATCAGTGCGCATTCCAAGCAGTGCTCTATACCACCGCTAGCATTCTCACCACAAGGAAGACACTTCTTCTTATTCTCTGCATTGTCGTTGGGGAAGTGCGTTCCGGTGCATGCGTTCCTGAGAATACAGCTAGTGGGATCGCCGCCTTTCAGGTACTTGCCTTCTTGGCACTCAGTGCATGTGGCAGGGGTGTTTGCATTTCCTGGTGTAGTGCACTTCAGGCACCCATCAACGCCCCTCCATGTACTGCCAGATGTATCTCCGCACAATATACACTTGCCCGCTTGCCCAGAAGCTGCCCCAAGGAAGTGTGTTTCCTCTGTACACGACTTGCACTTAGTATCTCCTGTGGCCTCACACGTTTTACAACTACCATCACAGGCAGTGCACCCTTTACTGCTATCTACAAAGAACCCGTCCTCACAGGCCGTGCACGTGGCAGCCTTGGGAGTAGTAGTATCACTTGCTTCTGTGGGCTCCTCACACCGAGTGCAGTGCAGCACGCCCTTGTACTTGTGGCTGTTTCCAGCCAACACTTCTTCAACATCTCCACATGGTATAACAGATTGGTGTGCATTATCTCTATCAGCATCGGGTGGTAGGAAGTATCCTTGCACGGCTTGTATGCACTTACCAGCCTCTGCTGTTTCACACATTGTGTTGCCAGGTGCCTGGCTATCCTTGTAGCATTCGCCCTTGTACATGAAGGATTCATAAGCGCACTGTGTGCACTTCCCATCTTGTTTTTGGTTGCATTCGTTGTTGTCTGCTGAGCACACTCCGTCCGTCGGGGCAGATTGAGACCCACCGCCGTTACACTGCGAGCAGTACTTCTTGCCGTTGATGATGACGCTACAGGTCTTGCACGTATTAGAGTCACCACCAGAGACGGGCGTGCAGTCGCCTTCTGCATACGCTAATTGAAGAACAAGGCCTATCAGCAGGACCTACCGAACACAGAGGACCCGACTACCGAATGGCTTGCGTGATAGTAGTGTTTGCCAGTGCCCGGGAAATCCATGGACGGACCACGAGAATATATTAATGTAACAGTTACATGAACCTTAAGAATAGGATAAATTTAGGATTAGCGTCACTAGAGTTTTCACATTAGCACGCTAGAGTTCCGTTAATGCTTCCGCTATCGGAGCGATATACGTCCGGCGGGAAACACATTGCTCAGTGCCCGCTATCGCTCAGAACTGCGCTACCACCCCATACACTATGGCCCAAGCATTTTCTGCTAACCCTCAGTAGAGGCGTTTTGACCCTTCTATCCCAATCAGCTTGATAGCTTCTGCTGCGTTCCTATGTGCAGAGACGGAGGATCACACTAGCTACTGACAAGGGCATTCTGCCGGCCGTACATCCCCTGATGCTACGTAGGAGATACATTGCAGTTCATAGCAAACAAACGTCTAAGTAAAGACTGGCGTGCACCTGAGAGTGATGAATAGTTCATTCGGCTAAGATTGGCATATCCCACTGAAAGGAATTAGTGTCCAAGTAAATTGCTCAGTGGACATGAAGCAAACTGGCCAATACCTTACGCTCTATCTTGATGGTATAGTGATTATATACTGATCAATTAAAGAGTTAGAGAGACTAAATGGAAGGCGCAGATTCATGGTTTCGCGCCGTACTAGCTCAGGACTCACGTCAAGTAATGTCTCTTATTGATAAGTGGGCCAGGAGTCGGACTGCAGAAGGTGAGACGGCTTTGATGCTCGCAGTCCGCAGTCGAAGCCAAGACATGGTGCGCATCTTAGTTCCCCATGAGGCAGGCCTTCTAACACCAAGTGGCGAGACTTCTCTGGCGATCGCAGTTCAGATAGACGCACCAGAGCTCTGTAAGTTACTTGCTCGAGAAGAGGGTGGGATCGCTCTTCCCGACGGCTCAACCCCGCTCCGCTTAGCCATGGACTTGAACCATATCGACTGTGTGAAAGCTCTTTCCATTTACTATGATGCTAGGCGAGACGAGCATGGCCTCACACACCTGGATTACGCCGTACTTGATAAAAACATTGCTATCGTGGAAATCCTTTGCACCACAGGATACTATAGTGCCGAGGCAATAGCCGAAGCGCTTGATTTTGCTAGAAAAGATAATGCTCCAGATGTGGCAGAAGGATTGGAGCGGTGGCTGAGTGCCAATTCACATCTGCTGACCCCTAAAAGTGGCCTTCCGTTCAGCTCCCGCTTATCACCATGTCCAGATATGAGCAGTACTTCATACAGCACCGCACCAACCAGTGTATTTATCGCTAGCCCCACTGCCCTGCAAACAAAGCCCGCCACAAAGCGCACTACACAGGAAACGGTATCGAAGCCAGTGCGCACACGTCCTGGTAGTGCCTCTGCTTCACAAGGTGTCCGCTCAACCACCCTTGCACCTTCTTCTCTTGCACAGGTACTAGCGCAGTCCCGCGCAATGAGCTACGGTTACAAGGAACAGATCCATAAGTTAGAAGAGCACACAGCACAATTAACCAAGAGGGTTGCTGAGAGTGAAGAACGTAACGCTTTTCTCGAGTTATTTTGCATCAAGCAACAAAAGTACATAACGGCCTTGTCGAAGGAGTTGCATATCTTCCGAGAAGCAGTGTATAACATCACGTCAGAGAGAATAGAATACCTACATGAGCACCCAGCACATAGAACCAGAGACAGAGAGTACGTGTTGGGTCCAAGGAAAGGATTACGCAGCTTGAATAGCGATGAAGCTCCTGGTGCAAAGCTTAGTCAGGGAAATATTACATCTTCTACCATTCGCCGCCTTCTATCCACCACTGATGAATCAGTGAGGACGGAGACGCCACAGCAGCTTTCTATAGACCTCAAAAGGCTACATAACCACATCAGTAAGACAATGTGCTATGATAACGACGTGTTAAGCGAGCTATCTGCAGATATGAGCACCTATATAAAGAAATTCAACACTCCCAGAAATGATCTTCGAACAGCATTTCTCGACGCATCATATGGCACACCCAGGAAATCCAAGAGTTGCACTAGGGAGCATCAACTGCAGAGTTTTGCCATCAAAAGCGCAGTTAACAAAGATACAGTGGCTCAAGTGAAAAGCCCCACGAATCGGAGCACAGTACGAGGAAGAGAGCTGAAGGGGCTTCCTATCAATTACGAAAAATATAGATTGTATAGTGACGCAACTTACAGGCAAATAGGTAGTGGGCCATTCAGCATCCCAGAATCTCCACCCATTAAGGGGTCTGAAGTGCGGTGCACCAGTCTCCCCACGTCCCTAGTGAGGAGGCCTGTCGTCACAGATGATGAGCTTTTCTATATGTATACATCCAGACACTTTGAAGTGCCACCTGAGCCCAGTAGATCCCAGGAGCACGACACGCATTATTCGAATAGTTTGAATAAGGATGAATCTATACCTCTCCTTTTAACGCCAGGAGAGTCGGCGTCCTCATTGTCTCAACCTTCCATTTCGCCATCAGTGGATATTACAAATACCATGACAGCGTCTACCATTGCACAGCTGGATGTGATAGCTTACTACATAGTTGACCATATTCCCACACCAGAACAGTACCTTTTAGCAAAGGACGACGCAGAATCAGAGCTTATGCTAGCAGCCTACGAAAACGATCTCCAAGGATGTCTGAAACATTTTAGAGACCAGTCTGGAAGATGCACGCTCAAAGGAGTGACCGCTCTCATGATAGCTGCAGAACGCGGATATGCAGACTGTGTCCGAGTCCTGAGAAGAACGGAAGCAGGACATCAGATATCTGATCCTCATTACGCCACTGCTCCAAGCACAGCTCTGATGTTTGCAGCACTTAACGGACACTTGGATTGCGCAAGACTTCTTCTGGAGACAGATGAAAAGACTGCAGACGATCGAGGATGGACTGCACTGATGTGTGCAACATGCTCCGGCAACAAGTCAATGATAGCTCTTCTTTTGCCAAGCCAGGCAGGACGTGTTACAACGGATCACTTTGCATTCGGGGAGGGGTTTGGAGCTCTTAGTATCGCAATACTGCTGGATAACATCGATACAGTTACTGTATTAATGCAAAGTGAAAGAGAGCGAGAGTCATTGAATTTGTGTCAATACCGTGCGATTGACTTGGCGAGAAGCAAGGCCATGAGAACCCATCTCCAAAGCTTCCCTTGAAGCCCATTAGAGATATGACATAGGTGACAAGCACATAGGACAGAGCCAGTACACTGTGCCCAGTTCAATAAAGAGAGTTATTATAGAGTCTCTGTCCATTTGCCAGTCAGGTGACCCGCGTACTTGTTGTACAAGACTTACTATTGTATCAGAGAAGACGACCTCGCAACGGCTGCAGAACGGAAGGCTCAGGTCGCTGCATAATTCGCCCGTGAATACACATAAGCTATAAGCCACTCCACTAAAGGCGCTATCCGTGACGTTCTCAATACTAGCAGTCTCAAGGAGGGCGCTGGGATTTATATTGCGTTTATATTTGGATGATTGTAACGCTAGCAAGAATGCGTCTCGACAATGCTGGGGAGTGAGTGTACCGGCTGCGCGGAGAGACTGGATGGTGAGGTCCTTCGGTAATAGGAGCTGTGGGGTCGCATCCTTTGTGATTTCTTGCTGTAAAAACAGGCACCGACTAGTGGAACACCTCTGCACCAAACATTGTGTGCCGTAAGGAAAAGGAAGACGATGAGCAGTAGTGCGCAATAGGCGTTGCTGTGTGGTGCCTGAGATTGGCTTGTGCAAGCAAAAAGCAGATACCGATAGCGGAACAAACGAAGATACGATCATCCGGAGAGGGATTATATGCACTCTCCGTATTGGAAGAAGCTGGGTCACAGATGAGGGGTCTGCAGAACAGGGACCTGCAATCAGCGACAGAGTAGCATCCGAAAAATGTGCAAGTAGAAGCTGTGTTGAAGTAGTATGAATAGAAGAACTGCCTCCATCCTGGTTAAAGTCTAAAAATATTACGGCCCCATTCATGGTCAAAATTCCAACCAAGGACGGCAAAATAGCGACCATATCGGATATATAGTGCAAGCACCCTTCGGGTTCAGATGGAATGGCAATCGAGAGATGAGGATCTGAAAGTTGGTAGCTGGCAGTACCCCATGTAACCAGGCCTCCATTTTCTGCCAAGCCTTCCAGACTGTGGATGATGGGGGATGGAACAACGCTCCGCAACTTGTCATTTGTAGTAGTTGCGCTTTTTAGGCCATCTATCGGGCTCCACGCCCCGTGCAGCCTAACTGACACTATGTCAAAAGGACCATTGAGATGATGCACAAAGGCAACAGTGAAGATACGAAGAGTAGAATCAACACAGAACGCATAAACTCTCATATCATGATTGCATGAGATCGGGATCATGGTGATCTTCTGCATCCTTGTAACGTCAGTACCCAAAACAACTGACTGCTGCACAATGATACTATCGTTGATCCGGAAATTAATAAAGATGCAGCAAAGATCACAGAGTATGGCAGCAGCTCCTATGAGCGGCTCATAAGAGACAGATATGATGTGCGATACAGACGAAAACACATGTAGACGCTTGATTTCAAGCGATGACTCGTCAATGACCCCGTCTGCGTAGGCTTCTGGAGCAATGGTCACCTGTAAAATGGTAATTGTCACGCTATCCTTGGTTTCGCCTATAGTGGATATTGCGATGTATGCAAGCTGGTCTGTGAGCGCGATGACATGTGACGTGTAAAGATTTGGCACCATGCGCCGGACATAATGTGCAGGAAGATAAGAGGTGATGGTTTTTCCAAGGAAAAAAGTATATAGATATATGTCACCTAGAAAAGTAACCACGCACAGTCGTGGGCAAAGGGCTCTATACATCTTTGTTTCTGCCAAGCCCCAGATGAGCTGCTGTGGAACGCTCGGTGAGCTATCGCTTATGCGCCAGAGACAGCGCGAGCCAGAAATGCTGTTCAGGGGATCATCCTCTAAGGTATCTGTCGGGGATGGAATGGGGATTGTCAGATCCAGGGTGGTGCTGTTGGCAAGCGCAATGCAGACGTTTTCACTACAAAAAGCTACATCTCCAAAACAGCTGACTGTAAAGAGGCCTTCTTCGGGGGTTAGGGGGCCGAATGCATAGGCATGTCGGAGGCCCGCGCCGAGGTATGCCGGGTTAATAGACATGGAATGTTACAATAGACGCACATTTTAGCGAAATATTTCATTAAAAATTACACAAGCGGTGGAATAATAAAGGACTTCATGATATCGGCTCTGTTGCTTCTTCTCCTTGTAGCGGCCAGCGCCGCGTATACAGAGGAGCAACTCAGCTGTCTGTATCGCTTGTACGATGAGACAGGTGGCGAGAATTGGCACGTTAAGACACATTGGCCACCTCCGGAGTTGCGCGTCTTTCCTCACGACCCGTGCACCTTTGCCGGCATCACCTGTTCCAAGAAGAAAGACATAGAGATGATCATTCTCTCTGGGAATAACCTGGTCGGCAGCCTCCCCGGATGTTTGCATGTGTTTGACGTGACAGACATGGAATTCTCAACGAATCAGCTTTATGGAGAGTTTCCTCGAGTCAACTGCAGCAGGCTCGACACTCTGTACTACAAGTTCAATAAGTTCACCAGCCTTCCCGAAAACATTTGTGATTGTCATTCTCTTCAGTACTTACACGTTGAGTACAATGACATGAGCGGACATGTCTTCCCAAGTTGCCTGCTAGAGAGGTCTGAGCAATTTGGGATTTTCTACGCCGTCAATAACAATTTGTATCTAGACAGCAAAGCCAAATATACACCGGCTTCTACAAATTTCATCGCAGGAGGCAACGACCTTCATCTGGACTTCTCCACGGCATCTCTTGCAAAGTCTCCCGATACAACAATGCTAGACATTTCTGCAACCAAATCTAAGGGTCACATAAGCTTCCCAGAGCTTTTCAACAAGTATTCTTCCGTCAAAGAGCTCAATCTTCAGGGTAACCTCTTCACTGGTGACCCTTTTACGACAGAAACTCTAAAGCCGAACCATCTGCTTCAAGTCTTGGACTTGGATAACAACAGTTTTGCCAGCGTCATCACATCTAGCGCTCTCCTCCAATACTTCAACCAGTATCCCGCGAAAATGATATCCTTTAGGGTAAGCAACAACCACATCACTGGACTACCGCCTACCACTAAAATGCTGGGAGTGATTCGTGCAAGGTTACCGAATCTTCAGGCTTTCGATCTTGGCTCCAATCCGTTTCTGTGCCCGCCGGACTATTCTGCTTATGAATATTCCTTAGGCTGCACACATATTTTGATAGAGAAGATTAGTGTTGCTAATAATGCAGGTGTCCAAATCACCACATATCTGTCCACTGATATTGCATTTAAGCATCTTCCCGTTGACCTCATTGTTCCTCACTTATCTGTTAACCTTATGAACACGACGGCTGGAGTAGATGCGGATGAATGGTTTCTGGTTCCATCTATAGACCTCATGACTCTTGTGGATGCTAACACTAATAAGTACAAGGCTACATTCTCGATAACCGAAGCAGATGCTGTCTCTCTCTTCGGAGACAGCTTCCAGAGCATTACCCCTGACAAAGTTCGCATCTTGTTTGATGGCAAGTGCGTCTCCATACATGAGAGCCGCAAGAAAGATGCTGCTGTTGATAGCCGTTTCAATGATGCTGTCTTGCGAGAATCAGAGGAGAGGTATCGCCGTACATCTCAAGGTGCTGATGACTTGAAGATTCTCGTGGAGTTCTACGGCATTTCCAAATGTCCGGGATACATATCCACAGTCAATGAGCTGATCAATCCATTCATACGTCAATACCCAGAGCTGCTCCAAATAGTGGACATCAGATTTGTGTCGCAGGCCGATGCAGAATCGAGGTACTCTGCCCATGGAATCACTATGCACGGGCAAGGAGAGGTGTTTGGAGATAGGTTTTTGATGTGTTTGCAAGAATATGCCGATTACTTCATCTTCAACGATGTCACCTCCTGTTTATACGAGGACGGAACAAGCTCCTCCATCCCATACGCTATTGAAGACTGTTTAGATCAAGTGATTTCCGATAAGGCGCTGCAAAAGAAAATCATGGACTGCAAAGATGGCGAGATGGCAACGTCCCTTTTTGTAGAATCTAAAAAGAGGTGCCGTCAGTTGGGTGCTGCGTTTTCATGTACTATCTTTGCTGACTCTCAGCTTGTATGTCCATATGGTGATGCCACTTGCCCATTCGATCCTTTCGATATAGAATCCTTTGCCGTGTACCTTTGTAACTTGTATAGAGCCAAAAACTCATACATTCATAAGATGTGTGAGAACATTCTGAAGTAAGTAATGGAAATTACATGCAGTAAACAGGCTTGGCACCTAACTCCGTGTGTGGACCTTTGGCTTTCCTCCAGATGTTATCTTCGGCTTTGATGAAACTAGCTTGAAAAAGACCATTGCTGCAGGGTAGTTTCCTTGTGGAACCATGATTGCAGAAGGTGAAATGTACTTGTTCAACTGCTGAGTCTCCTCCAGAACTGTATTAACAAGTGTCCAGAGACGAGGGTCCTTAAGCATGTTTCGTATAGTGATGGTGTGAATGCCAAAAGGGTCCTGACTTCCTGTGCGAATGAGGACTTCAATAAACTGTTTTCCCTTGGAAATGGCCATCAGTAGAAGCTTACACAGCCCAGCTACGGATTCGTTGGGGATCATAAGTTCGCTAGCAGTAGCGGTGCTGGTATTTTTGGTGCTCTTTTCAAGTGAAGTCCTATGGCTGTCGAAAGGAATCGTCCAAACGAATCCGGTCAAAAAGTAATAGTTATGCCTTAACCGGACGTCTAAGGGCATGTTTGGTGGATTAGAGGGAAGAGGAAAGGGATGGTCTTCTACGTGCAAGATGTCATATAAGTCCTTGGAAATATTGATGAAGTAATTGGGAAACACGACTTTTCCGGTGTCTGGATGCCTCAGCCCGACTACCGAGCACCAGGTAATATCTGTGTAGTACCAGACCCCTTCTATCTGAACCATGTTCCAGCAATGTCCGCGTTCGCCCTGAGACGAAGAAGATGAGCCGCCAGATGAATCAAAAGGAACCAGCGGTCCATTACTTCGCCCTGTGACGAAAATACACGGAATTCCAAGACGGTTACAAAGGAAAAGAAAGGACCTGGCATAGCCCTCACATGCACAGTGTTTGTTGAAGAAGAATCCGGTTATGTTCGAGCGATTGGGGCCTTTTGCATCGTACTTGCAGTGAGACTTCATCCATGAAATAGTGGTCATCTCACGGACATAGTCAGTTTGATTAGGGCTTTCACTTATTTTCTTGTTTAGTGTGGATACTAATAACCGATCAATTTTATTCAGAACGTCATTTATCAGGTGAAAAGATGGATCATAGACAATCTTAATGGAGTGCAATCGTTTTTGTATCCGCACAGTCTTAGTTATCTGGACTCCATAGAGTTCGGGAAAGTCGTAATTTATGGCTGTCCTAATCTTTTCGACCTCTGCATCAGTGATACCAGAGCAATCTTCTGGAATGTGGATGGTCGGTGAGCGAATAGATACCACCATATGGAGAATGTAATCGTAACACTTTTTGAGGGGTCCTGTGAAAGTGGAGCGATGATACCTGTACTTCATTGACACTCCAAACACCTTCTCTAAATCTGTGTAACCAACAAAGCTAGTAGCGGTAGTTTGCGCCACGCCTGCGCCGAGCTGATTGACAGATCGCGACTCTCTTGAAGACGGGCCGCCAGAGCGAATGTTGGATTGAGCTTCAGCTGATCCAGTGGACGGAGGACAGTCCGATGGTTTGGAAGAGGTGTTCGCTACGCTGGTGATATGCTTTCCACTCATGTGGTGTTGATAATTTTAGGTATATTAGATATGGAGTAAATCCAGGTGATGAAGGGTATTAGGCTTCATCGAGATTTTATTTCTGGAAGACGCTTTGCAAGCTTCCCTGACCAGATGCGAACCTCTTCCCTGTTCCAAAAAACTCCCGGAAAAACTAAAAAATTGGGAGGTCCGATGTCATCCTTCAACCTTGAGGAGATCTTCCGTCAAGAGGAGAAGGTTCTTTGTCGTGCACTTCGAGATTCAAACATTCCGAAGATCGTTGCCGAGGATACAGAGATCTTCCTTGGACTTATTGGAGACCTGTTTCCCTCGGTCGACGTCCCCCGGCTCCAGGATAAGAATTTCGAGGCTCTCATCAAGAAGTCCCTCCTTGCCCAGCGCCTTCAAGCAGAGGACAGCTTCATTCTTAAGATCGTTCAGTTTGAGGAGCTCCTTCAAATTCGTCACTCTGTCTTTATCCTCGGATCCTGCGCTGTTGGCAAAACAAAGTGTTGGACGACCCTTGCCGAGACGTATAAGCTCCAGAACAAGAAGATACAGTATCAAGTCATCTCGCCGAAATCTATCACAACCCGTGAGCTTTACGGCTACATACACCCTGCATCCCGCGAATGGAAAGATGGAATTTTCTCCACCATTATGCGTGACCTGGTTGCTATACCGAATACTGAACCCAAGTGGATTGTTCTAGATGGTGATATTGACGCCCTTTGGGTCGAGAGTCTCAACACGGTTATGGATGACAACAAGATTCTGACGCTCGCTAGTAATGAGCGCATTCCCTTGATGCCGTACATGCGCCTCGTTTTCGAAATCGGCGACCTCAAATACGCATCTCCTGCCACCGTTAGTCGCGCAGGGATTATTTACATTAATGAAACAGATGTCGGTTGGCTCGCATATTCTGCTAGCTGGGTGGAGCTCCGCGAGTCCAGTCTGGAAAGAAGCACTCTTACAGTTCTTTTTGAGAAGTATGTTCCCCCGGTTCTCGAGGCCATGCGAAAGCAACTCAAGACGGTCACTCCTGTCGCAGACATGTCAGTTGTCCAGACAATCTGCAGACTCCTCGATGCCTTGTTGTCTGAATATTATACATCGCCGGGATGCAAGGTCAATACAGCAAATGCTGCCCTTATACAGCAGCAGGGGTCTTCGGGAGGAGCTCAAGGCGAGGGTGGAAAGATAGTTGATTACTTTAAAGACATATTGGAATACTTTTTCATATTTGCAACTATTTGGGCCAGTGGGGGCACGATGTTTAAGGATCAGCTGACAGATCACCGCAAACAGTTTACAAAGTTCTGGAAGACGGAGTTCAGTAAGGGAATAACATTTCCAGCTATCGGAGAGGTCTTCGATTACTACGTTGCCATCAACGACGAGACAGGCGAGCCGCGCTGGCAAACATGGGACGACAGGCTTACTCCCTACGTCCACGATGACGAGGCGCTGCCGAGCCAGGTTCATGTGGAGACCATCGAGACTTATCGCCTTCACTACATGCTTGAACGCCTTGTTAAAAATGGCCATCCTGTTCTCTTCTGTGGACCAGCGGGCTCTGGTAAGACGAGCCTCCTTAAGAGCATGGTCGGGTCACTCAATGACCAAGAGTATGGTAGCGCCAGTATAGCCCTAAACTACTACACTACATCCATGCTTCTTCAGACAATTATGGAAAGCTACCTAGAAAAGAAGGTTGGTCGCCGCTACGGCCCTGTTGGGAACCGGAAGCTGATCTACATCATAGACGATCTAAACATGCCGCAGGTTGATACCTACGGAACACAACAGCCTCTAACTCTTATTCGTCTTCACCGCGACTATCTTTTCTGGTTTGACCGCGAAAAACTCACAATCAAGGAGATCACCAACTGTCAGTATCTCGCGTCTATGAATCCATATTCAGGGTCTTTCTCTGTTGATCCTCGCCTGCAGTGGCACTTTTCCACCTTCTCAGTTGACTTCCCCTCTGACGAGAACCTGAAGCAAATTTATGGGTCTCTTTTGCGCGGGCATTTTACGCGAGAAGAGGCTGGCTTCCCGCATGGCGTCTCAAAGGCGTGGGAGGCAATCACCAATGCATTACTTAAGATCCATAGCAAGGTATCCAGTTCGTTCCTCCCTACAGCCATCAAGTTCCACTACATGTTCAATCTGAGGGATCTCACGAATATCACCGAGGGCCTCATGCGTGCAACCCGGGACACGATTAAGACAACCCCGCAGCTGATTCAGCTCCTTGTTCACGAGTGTGCACGTGTGTACTGCGACAGAATGGTTACCATGGAAGACAAGGAAGCATACTCGAAGTTAGTGGAGGAAGTTGTCATGGCAGATCTCCAGAACATCAATCCTCCAAAGGATCCGAATGAAGAAGCGGCTGCAAAGGGTAGGCCGAAGTCACAGCCTGGGGGTGTAATGGCGTCTCAGCCCATTGCTGTTGACATGAAAGACGTGTTCCAGAAAGACGAGGAAAACAATGCCCTTCCAATTATCTTTAGCAATTTCGCGCTTGGGGTTGGAGACGGACGTTATGGGCAGATACCCGATTATGATAAGCTCTACCCGCTCCTCAGAGATGCCTTGGAACAGCACAACGAGGTCAATGCTGTTATGGACCTTGTTCTCTTCCGTGATGCCATGGAACATGTTTGCAGGATATCTCGTATAATTACCACCGGAGACGCCCTCCTTGTCGGCGTCGGTGGTTCTGGAAAGCAAAGCCTGGCGAAGCTCGCTGCTTACATTAACTCTTATGAGGTATTCCAGATCACTATCTCCTCAACATATGATATACCAGACTTTCGAGCAGATCTCCAGCAGCTATATATAAAGACGGGGCTTAAGGGAATCCCCACAATGTTCCTATTTACAGACACTCAGATTGTCAACGAAGAGTTCTGTGTTTATATTAACGATCTTCTCAGCTCGGGGAACATTTGTGGTCTGTTTCCTCCCGAGGAGGAGGAAAATATAATCAACGGCGTCCGCAGTGAGGCAAAGTCTGCAGGTATCCCTGAGACTCGTGAGAACCTTTACAACTACTTCATCTCTAAGGTCAAGCAGAACCTTCATGTTGTGTTAGGATTCTCCCCGATTGGAGAAGCATTTCGAGTACGTGCACGCAAGTTCCCCGCCTTGGTTACATGCACCACTATTGACTGGTTCCAAGCATGGCCCCATGAGGCCCTTGTTTCCGTTGGAAAGCGTTTCCTTGGAGAGCTGGAAATGTCGCCGGAGCTTAAGGATAGTGTTGCACTCTTCATGGCCGATGCCAACGGGCTGGTTAACCAAATGTCCATTGCGTATGACCAGGTCGAAAGACGGAAGGCGTACACTACACCAAAGTCATTCCTCGAGCTCATCAGTCTTTATATAAAGCTTCTCCATGGACGTAGACGTGAAATTTATGACCAGATAGAGAGGCTAGAGCAAGGAAACACGAAGCTGGAAAAGACCGAGGAAGATGTGTCAGAGCTGAAGAAGGCCCTTGTTGAGCAGCAGAAGATTGTTGATGAACGTAAAAAGGCAGCCGACGAGCTCCTTGAGGTTGTAGAGAAGGATGCTGCATTTGTTGGCGAACGGCAGCAGGAGGCAATGGTGGAGGCTGAGAAGACAGCGGAGGTCGAGAGAGAGGTCACGGCCAAAGAGGAGGTCGCACGACTCGAGCTAGGAAAGGCAGAGCCAGCCATAGAAGCTGCACAGGCTGCCTTAAACACGCTCAACAAGAACAACCTTGTTGAGCTGCGTTCCTTCGCATCTCCGTCTGCTGAGATCGTCAATGTCATGGGTGCTGTCATGTGTCTTCTTGACACACCTGGAAAGCTCCCAAAGGACAGAAGCTGGAAAGCAGCCAAAAACGTTATGGGTTCCATTGACACGTTCCTGAACAGGCTCCAAAATTATGATAAGGATAATATTCACGAGGTCAACTTTGCAGCAGCAAAGAAGTACACGTCTGATCCCAATTTCACAGGCGAATTCATCCGCTCCAAATCAGTCGCTGCTGCCGGTATCTGTGAGTGGGCACGGAACATCGTCTCCTACAACGAAATCTATAAGATTGTTTTGCCGCTACGTGAGGCCGCCGCAGAGGCCGCGATGCAGCTCGAAGCTGCCCGTAAGAAATACAAAGCTGTCATGGACAACGTTGCAAAGCTGAACAAAAAGCTCCAAACTCTCAAGGATCAATTTGACAAGGGTATGTTACTGGGTGAAACGCTACTTATGTATGTATGCTTATATGTCTTCGCGCTCAGGCGCTCCTTTACTCAATTATCAGCAAATTCGTTTACAGGCCGCCGAGAAGTCAGACCACCGATAGCGTGGAACTCAGGCAGCCGTTATCTTTGTAACCCCGTAGTTTGCCTCTAGGAATTGCAGAATCTCGTCTGTGAGGAAGAGAGGAAGAGAGGGGCCCAACTTGATATTTTTAACACCAAGGTGCAAAAACGTGAGAAATTGAACAATTGCCTTCTGCTCAAACCAGGAAACATAGATCTGGAGAGGGAGCTCATTCAGGCTACATCCCAGGGCTTTTGAGAGGTCAATCAGAATCTGTGCCAGAGAATAGAAATCGTTGCACTGGCCTGTATCAAGTAAGCGCGGAATGCCATTGATCTCTCCATAGTCTTGAAGGCGGTTGAGGCGGAAGCGGCCACACGAGTTGGTGAGGATGAGCGTCTTTTGATCCGCCTGAAGAGCCTTCTTCGAAAAAACACTACGATCTTTCGAGGCCCCATCACATCCACCGTTGAACTGTATACACGTAATTTGTCCTGTTTTGATCAAATTGACCACGTTGGTAAGGATGTCAGGCTGCTTTAGAACTCTGTGGTTGAACCCAGCACCACGTATCTCGCTTGCACGGAAGCCCTCTGCCTCTAGACCCGTCGTGGTGATCATCTCTTCCACAGATCTGCAGTGTTTTTCATTCTCAAAGCCTGTATTGTTCAATGCGCAGTCTATCACTTCACTGAAATCAAGGTTGTTGACAGTCTTGACACCATCAAAGCCTACGCAATCCATGACAAACACGCGGTCACGATAACTTGGGAGAGGTGGCTTGAGGCAGTTCGATGTAAAAACGATTGGGCCCGGGAAGAGCGGAAACTCCTTCTGCTGATTCTGCCAGGCAGTGCCAAAGTGACCTTTAAAGCAAGAGAAACTACGAAGGCGAGGATATGTGTATGCTGGGAACATCTCCCCGTGCGTGTAGACATTGACTCCTTTCTCTTGAGCCGCAGTAAGGAGAAGAAGCATGTCTACCATGTCATGCCCTGTGATGAGGACACACTTGCCTGGGCACATGCGCACTGGGACCGAGCAGAGGGTAGGCACGCCCAGCGTATCTGCGTGGAGTCTGTCCAAAAGGGCAGTGACAGAGAGATTGGCCTTTCCGATCCCAAGGGCATGCGACAGAAGGTCCTGGGTGGTAAGATCGTCGTCCAAAAGCGCCCCATGGAGGTCGGTAAGTGCAGACCTCATTGCATCGTGAAGCTCCGTAAGAGGGGCTTTGTTGAAGGAAAGGAGCTTGTAGCAATGCTCAGCATAGGCGCAAAGCCCTTTCATCCCTAGAAGAGTGAGATAACGAAGCCCGGCAGATGTAGGGCCATACTTACGAGTGAGAAAATCCGGAGCCAGAGTAGAGCGGCAGGCCTTGATCCAGCTGTCCGTAGACTCTGTAAGGATACGCTTGGCAAGTGCTAGATAATCCAGCATAGCCTGAGAAGGACTCTCCTTGGAAAGAGCTTCCAAACGGGACACGGTAGGGCCAAGGAATCGCGTACGAAGGTCCACTGCGCTAAAGTTGACATTAGTAAGAGTAGCAAATATGCTCTGCAGAATAAGAACGTGGTCCTCCTCAAGCTGAAAGCCACCCAACAGCGTAGCACCGTAAATCATGGCGTCCTGGATGGCAGCCACTTCTGGACTCTTAGAACAGACACCTGCACGTACACAACCACCCGGATGAAGCGTTTGCTCGCACTGAGCGCAGTACATCCTAGATAACTCCTCAAGGTCGCCCGTACTGATCATTATTAAAACAATTTACCCCCTATTTACTGTTCACCTGTAAACATTTTTGTAGAACGGTAGTATGTTTAACACGACGTTAGTATGTTTAACACAATCGTAAACCGTTACTTCACCTAAATTCTATACCTGATCCCAGATTTAAAAAATAAAAACTAATTTAAATTTATTTCACTGGGTTCAATAAAACAGGCCTCGACATGTCCAAGGTTTCTGGCAGCGACATTAAGAGGGCCCTCGCCGTACCCGAGAACAAGAGCCGCAGCAAGTGCGACTTCGACCTGACTCCGTTCGTCAGGTGGCCTCGCCAGGTCCGCATCCAGAGACAGAAGGCAGTCCTCCAGAGGCGCCTCAAGGTTCCCCCAACTGTCAATCAGTTCATGAATCCGATCTCGAGGAACCTCACAAACGAGATTTTCAACCTTGCTCGCAAGTACTCCCCCGAATCGAAGGAGGAGCACAAGGCGCGCCTGCTCCAGATCGCCGACGCAAAGGCCAACGGGAAGCCCCTTCCGGAGAAGTCTGACAAGCTTGTCATCGCGTCTGGTATCAGACGCATAACATCCCTCGTCGAGAGCAAGCGCGCGAAGCTTGTCCTGATTGCAAATGATGTCGACCCCCTTGAAGTATGTTCTTATGCGCGAGGAGCCGTCCGCTGACCGCACACACCTCTGATTGCGGGTTGTGTGTTGTCAGCGGGTGGACTTCGCTGTTCACCTGACAACTGACCCACAGCTCGTACTTTGGCTTCCCACACTCTGTCACAAGATGGGCGTCCCGTACGCCATCGTTCGCACTAAGGGCGATCTGGGCAAGCTCGTCCATCTGAAGAAGACGACCAGCGTCTGCTTCACCGACGTGAACCCAGAGGACAAGCCCACCTTTGATAAGATCCTCGCGGCCGTGGCCCATGAAGTTGATTATGCAAAGGCCATGAAGACGTACGGAGGCGGCGTTCGCCGCGAGGATGAGGCCCAGCAGATGTAAATGCCTTACATTTCTTTAGTGCATGTCCTTTGCTGCTTGGTCCTTTGTGCTCGGGCTGTGCACCTTGGTAGGCCTGGTCTTGTTTCGCCGTCCGCAGCGCAAGCCCAGTGACACGACGCCGTGCAAGCTATCTCCCGTTCAGCGCCACAACCTGGAGCTGCTTCAGGCACTCGCAAGGACTCCATACGACCCCCAGAATACAAGCCACTGTGATAAGCTGCGCCGAGTAGAAGAGAACTTTTCAGCTGTGTTGCGCAAGTCGACGTTTGAGCCCGACTGGCGGCGATTAGGATTTCAACGCTCTGAGTCTCCTATCACCGACTTTCGGGCTTTAGGCATCCTGGTCCTCGACATGCTTCTCAATTCTAAGGTTTTCCCAGAGATTCAGGAGATGGTTGAGGCCGGCGGATTTCCGTACGCCTTGGTACTGATTACTCTCACTTTTGACTTTCTGGATCTCGCTTCAAGGGATATGGCTACCGGATTTACCTTTCCAGATCGCGAAGTTGAGCTGACTGACCTCCTCGGTGAAGTCGCAGCCTTTGTAGACAGTTTGATACTTGATTTAGCAACTCGACTGAAGCGTGCCGGGGGTCAGCCTCTTCTGGAGTTTCCCTCGGTCTACAAAGAGTTCAAGCATACTCGTGGGTGGTGTTAGGGGTGTTTGGTTGGCTATGTAGCCTGAGGCATTGGCGCACTGTAGTCATAAGTCGCATAAACTCAACGTAGTTCATCTCTCCGCTGCATATTCGGCCCATAAGCTGTTCGACCCTTCTCTGTGAGCAGTCAATCCCTATTTTTGTTAATATGCTGTGTAGCTCGTTAGTGCCTATGGACCCGGACCGGTCGAGATCGGTAGCATAGAAAAGGACGGACTCGTCACAGGCTAGGTCTGCGTGTTGCAAGATGTACATCAGCTGTTCAAATTCACAGAGCTGAACCTTACCGTCATTGTTGGCGTCAATAATGGAGAGAAGAGACTCTGCTCTATCCATGGTCACGTCGCATCCGATTGACTCGAGCGCCTCGCAGAGCTCCTGCAGGGTGAGGTACCCACTCCCGTCCTTGTCGAATGCACAAAAGGCCTCTGCCGCCATTTTGTTCACGGTTGCTGTAAATCCATGATAGAATACAAATATAATTTATAAATCATTAAAAGCACATAACTGAAAGTGGATTAATAGACTAAACCTGCCTACCATGATCAATTTAAGTTCTTCGCCTAGAACAATCTGTTAAAATTGCAAAATTAGCTCATTATTTTCCGGCGCTTTTAGCCTTCTTTTCTAGCCTTGCGGCTTCCTTAGGATTGATCGCCTTCACCAGATTGCTGTGCCCGTTCTCAATAGCGAAGTCAATGGAACTCTTGCCCGCCAGTGTCACCAGGTCGCCCTCTGCCTTGGAAAGAAGCTTGCAGATAGCTTCGTTGCCCTTGCTTGCAGCCCACATGAGCGCACACGTTCCGTCACTCTTCGTAAACCCGGCCTCTTTAATAAACATCTTTGCTATGGCGAGGTTGTCGGTCGCACACGCGCTCATCAGACACGTCCAGCCGTCATCCTTAGTGAACCCGGCCTCTTTAGATGCAACTTTCTTGAGCAGGTCCACCCTACCCTTGGCAGCGAGGCTCATGGAGCAGGTCCAGCCGTTATTTGCCCTCATGCCCGCCTCCTTTCCAGAAAGGAGGATCACCATATCGTCGGCGTCGTTTTCAGCCGCAATCATGAGGGCAGTAACGCCCAGGTCTGTCTGGAGCCGTGCTTCGATGGGCAACAGCTTGCGGCCTATCTCTACGTAATTGTACTGTGCGCAAATCATCAGGGAGCTGAATCCATCGTCTCTACGTATCCCGCCCTCTGACTTGATGAGTAGGGAGACGATGTTAGAGTGTCCCTTCATCACCGCTTCCATGAGAGCTGTCGTCCCATCGTTCTGCCGCATGCCTGCTTCTTTTTGTAACAAAAGTTTTACGCAGTCGATGTGGCCCAGGTGGGCGGCGATCATCAGAGCAGTGACACCGTTTTCAATGCAGAGCCCTGCTTCCGTTTTGAGAAGCTCCTTGACCTGGGGAACATCGTTACGTACAACTGCTTTCATGAGAGGCGTGAGGTTGCGCTCGTCAACGCTGTGTAAGAGGTCGACTATTTGGGCCGAAAACAGCGGATCCACGTTCGATTCGAGCACCTGAGTCTTAAAGGTCTGCGTAGGGAGGGCATTCGCCACTGTGCTGACAGGCAGAAACTCTTGCCGCACTTGTGTCTTCTGTCCGTAGGCCACGGGCATGACATGCACGATCCCAGTTCCAGGGCTTATGTAAGTAGGACGAGGCAGCGAATTGGACACAACGAACGATCCCGTGCCCACATCATCCCCGGTGTAAGGGACCTGAGCCACAGCATGGGGAGACTTGGAGTAAGTCATGTGCTCTGAGGGATATGCCACAACAGGTGACGAGTTAGTGTAGTGGTGGCTTGGTGCTTGAGTGTGGGACATGACCACGGGTGTGTTGTTTGAATGAACATGGGAGGGCATAGCCAAGGAATTGTAACTCGGAGAGCGTTGCATCTTTTTTGATTTTTTGGGTCATTGAAGTTTTTTGGGCTCTGGAAGGCGATCACCAAAAATAGTTCGTCCAGACTCTTCGACTTTTAGTGGTAACTTGATAGAGCCGTCGCGGCATAAGCGCCAGGTGAGTGCCAAGCGTACAGTGAACATAACTTCAAGAAAGGTTCATAAAAATCATGGCTTTCTTCAAACACGACTTTCACTATGACGAGGGAGAGCACAAGCAGGAGGTCGAAAGAATAAGGCATCAGCAGTCTATCCAGAAGGAATGGCTGGATCAGCAAATAGCTGAGAAGGCGCGGCTCAACCAGGAGGGCAGACGTGATGGGCGCATAAATCACGAGGAGTATGAGCACTTCGAGGAAAGAAGGATTGCGAGGTTCAAGTACAATCTTATCCGAAGAATCGTGGAGAACTGGTCATCTGTCACCAGTTTTGATTGGGCAGAGGCCAACCAGCTGGCACAAGTCGATTCCAAATTTAAGGAAGCCTTGGAGGCGGCTAAGGCAAATCACGAAGCCAAGGAGCGTAGCAAAGCACAGAGACAGGAAGAGTTGCAAAAGATGCAATTGGAAAGGCTTGAGAAAGAGAAGGAAAGCGCGCGAAATCGCAACGCAAACCTAGGGTTTGACATTGACGACCCATACTCCAAGCTCATCAACGCTAGCAGACCTACTCAGGCTGCTCTGTCTAGGCCGCATGGCGATGCTAATGAGGGTATGCAAGCACAAGTGCGAGCACAAGAGCAGGAACAGATGACTGTTCGTTCGGGATATGATTCGGCAAAGTCTAACAACTCTAAGGCTGTGGTACTTCCACCACTAAAGACCGCGCAAGCACGAGCAGCAACTCCAGCCTCGGGCTCGACTTCACTGCAGTCGGAGCAACAAATTCAGGGTCTCGGTGTAAACGCCGAACAGTATTCACCGGCCTACAATGCACCGATAGGAATAGGGTATCCTGCGCTTCCCCAGCCTATCTATCTCCCCCAGCCGCCTCAGCCTGTTCAAATTATAGCTCCGCCACAGTCCAATCACTCCGAGATGAAAGCCCTGTTGGAGATTCTTCAAGAGCAGAAGAAGGGCATTCTTCAGAATGACGCAGACGTACATGTGGAGAAGATGTTCGAGTACTTTCAATGCAAACTCCAAGAAATAATTGCATCTAATGAAAAAAACATAGAGGCTGCCGTCTGTGATGGTGTACGAAAAGAGTTAGAGGAAAAGCTGTCAGATCTACGACTTCTCATGAGCAATATAGAGCAGAAGAGACTAGAATCAAAGGAGAAGAAGACAAGGACCGCTTGTGCTATAGAAAGACCACAAGAGCAGGTGGACGCAGAAACTTCTATGTCCCCTAAAGAGCATGGCCCTACTAAGCCATCAATTGCTATCAGCCAGGCACCAATTCCACGCAGCCCGGAGGCAGACACGCGTCAGAGTTATGGCAATGGCCACTATAAGTATCAGCAGCTGTCCCTTGATGACCCTGTCGATAAGATAGTCACAGTCTTGAAAGAACGGAACGCAAATAGGAAGGTGGCATTAAAACTGAGAAAGATAGACGGTGAACCGCCACAAGAGCCACCAGACAAAGCCAAGTCTACGCCCCTATCTGCACTTGCTGCAGACGGCGATGCAGTTAACATAGCCAATCAACCGACCGTCAATCCCAAGTTAAAGTCTATTCTCAATCACTTAACTGAACTGGAACAGGGGGAATCAGGTTCTCTAGGGCAGAAGGCAGATTGTAGTGGCCTGCTGTCTGCCACAGAGTTTATAAACAGAGTCCTGCAGGATTTAAAAGACTCTGGCAATCCAGCCTCTCCGTGATAACGTAGTGCCACTGTGCTTCTACTTCTACGTCCGAGGCTGCTGCTCAAATAAGTTCTTAATAAACAGAGCCAATAGTAGCTGTCGCCTCAAATGAACGTCTGCAGAGGAGAGTATCTCCGAAACAGGTAGTATTTGCATGCAGAGATCGAGCATCTCATTCATCTTTTTCATCAAGGAGGAAGATGGCATGCTCCTGTTTTCAATATAGGTTCTGCGCAGCTCAAACGCATAGTAATATGCTTGACTAAGGAAGAACGCAGCGCAATCTTTACCCACTCTAACGATCATATGGTAGTCAATATCGTTCTTTTTGGTCTGCACGACCTGCTCGAACTTTTTACAAAAGGCCTGTAGTACAGAGAAAGCATTGTCTTCTAAGGCACCTAGAATTCCGGACCACTTACTAGTTATATGATTAATCCTAGTTATCAAGATATTGCGTTGTATCATCAGCTCGTCTTCACGCAGAGGCTGCTCACGGATGAGACTCATGTATCCCAGGGCGTATTGCCAACTATCTTCGGTAAGGGGTTTTTCAAAGAACAGATTGTCTTGGGAGTAAAGACCTGCTATATGTTCAAACAAAGCCCGCTCCGAGCCTTCTAAGTTATTCTTTTTGTTGACTACGCTGGGAAACAATTTGTTGAGAAGCTTAAGGATCACAGATAACGTTTCTTTATATGAGGAGACAGACAATTCATCTCCAGAGGACTTGGTTGGCATTGCAGCAGCATTGCTCGAGTATCCGATTGATTCCCATCCTGCTCCAAAGGGCGATGCATTGGAGTGCAGCTGTGAGTAACTTCTTTGGGGAGTAATTCCAAAGTGAGACGGGGGTTGAGCCTGATAATACGGCATATTGAGATAAGGCGATGAGCTCTGGTATCCCAGATGGTCCTGGTTGAGAGTGTGGTACTGCCCAGGACGCAGTTGAGATTCTGGAGCGCTTGCAGCCCGTGCTCCTGCTAGAGGGTATTGCTGAGTAAGTAGTCGCTGGTGCATGAGGGATCCCTGTTCCGCTTGATATGACATGCTTGCCGGTCCATAGCCATTGGAGTGGGGATACGCACCGGTTCTCATTGTAAAAGGATCATACCGGGTAGGCGGCGGATACGTCTGGGAGTGTACCCCCGGATAACGTGGTGCTGGAAGCATGTCAGTTCTTTGGTAGGGCTCCATTCCTCTGCCCTGTCTGCCATAGTATCTGTTGCCTCCCACCGCCCCATACGGAGCTCTTGGTCCCCCCGGTGCCCCCTGCGGATACTGAAGCTTTTCTTGGGGATAAGCCGTTGCATCGTGGTACTCTCCTGGTTGTCTATGAGACTGTGGGGCGCTACTAGGTCCGAATTGACCGATTCTTGGACCCATCTGGTAAGGAGGAGTAGGGCCAGAGGTCCCCGGCGTGTGCGTGTACCCAGTGGGCGTAGGCATGGCTCCAAAAGCGGTTGGTTGCGTGCATGTAGTCTGTATAGAGGGAGAATAGGGTGGTACGTCTACGCTGAATATTTCGTTGAGACGGTTTTCTGGATGTGCTTTCAAAGCTATAAGCCGTACATGGCTCCTAGAAGCCTGCATAATATTGCGGGATATGTCTATTACACTGTTCAAGTCGTGATTGTAATACTGCTCGTTGAGATTGCTTAGTAGTATGCGCTCCGTGGCAAGACCATAGATCAAGAGCCGATGCCTCTCTTTAATAAACTCTGCTGTTACAGGGACGCGAATAGCCTGCAGGATTGATGGCCACCTATCCTTGATAAGAGCCGAAAACTGCTTGATGGCAAATGTGATCTGTTCTGAACTGGGTACTCGTCTGAGACGCTGCAGTAGATCGAAGTTGAAGAGAAACTCATCTGAAAATAGTGGCACCACAGCCTGCCATGGTATAGCATGCACATAGTACGCGTTCCATCGCTCCTTCAAGACAGGATGGAGCTTGACATCACATCGTTGAGTGAGAGTATGGGTGGGGAACAAGAGATTGCACGTGTCGGTGTTGGTACACGCATTGGGGAACTTATTATAGGCTTTTTCGAGCATGAGCGTAAGTTGCTGGAATATGGGGAGGAGGATCTTGGCTAGCTGGATAGGATTTGTGGTGTGCGAACAGTTGTACTCCTTCTTATCCATCAGAAGCTGCTGATACTTACCCCGGTATCGAACGTACGCATGTAGGACCTTCAAATCAGACAATTTTGACCACGCGGAGTGAATCAGCTCCGCCACTGTCATCACAATCTTTATATCTTCCTCTGCTACCTGCGGAGCGGGGCTAGCCTTGAGAGCGGCGATATCGTGCAAGTTGAGTCCAAATTTTTCGAGAAACTCAATCTTGCAATAGGTAAGGTACAACCAACAATTCTTAAGGTCTGTAAGCCCGTATTCCTGGACGGTGAAGAGCGACCTCATTGTCAAGGGCGTTGAATAGTAGCGGCTGGCATAGGTAGGATCCATCATGCAGTCGTACATATAATCGACATACTCTATCATTAGGTCAATTGCGCAGGCGCTTGGATGAATTCTAAGAACATATTGCTTGATGGTACTGAAGCTTTGCTGTAACGTCCCCTGTTGTCCGTAGTATTGAGAGCTACGAGATGGTAGCATCCTCGGGTTTATCAAAGAACTTGCCTGAGTATGCGAGTTAGTGGTGTAGTAAAATGGGGGTAAGTAGTAAGAGATGTTCCATAGTAGTCTATATGCTAAGGCGGCAGGTGAGCATGCGACGTCATTGATGGCCGCAGTCTCTGGAGAAACAGGTTCCTGTAGGCCTTCATTGGAGGTGTTGGCAGTGTCGGCCTCTGGATTGCTTGCTGCCCTTGGGGTGGTGAGATTTTGAAGAGAGAAGTCTTCAATGTACTGATTGCAGCATTGAAGCCAGTAATTCTCTACCACAGGGACTTGCTGGATGCCACGGGAAAAGACAGTGGCATACTTTGATCCCGTGTTACACAGACACCAATCGAATGAAAATAATAGATAGTTATACCGCACAGAAAGTTCTTTCAGCTTTCCTTGCAAAATTCGAAGCAGGTAAAGATCGTGTGTGGCCTTACTTATGTCTGTGTTCTGAACATATGGCCGTAACTCATCTGGTAGCTTGCGGCACTTCTTGACCATAAGCCAGAGTATCTGTAGGAAAGTAACGGAGGCCCGTAGGATAGTGCTAACGGGAAGAGAACGATCCTTAGTTGTCATAAGGAGATATGTGCGAATAATATTCTCATACATCTCCAAGGGCGTTGTCCCAAGTCCCACACCAATGGACATTATAATCTCGATCAGAAGCTGCCTGTTGTGTTCTGGAATCAGAGTCTCAAAGTCACTGACAAGGGACTCGATCTTCTGTTGCTCTACGCTATCGGTGACTAGCCCCGACACCATAAAGTTACTCGACATCAGGGCAGACAGTATAGTATGCTCCTTCATGCTTATGCCGGACACCGGATCCTGAAGAAATACCGCAAGTAGATCCTGTTGGCCAGCCTCTCTCTGAGGGATATACATGTAATTGACTAAGTACCTTAGAAAGAAGGAATCTAAATCTGTGTGGTCATCGGGGAAACGATAAGGCTCATAAATATAATCGAACAGTCCCCCGTGTAGATATGTTCCGCCAACTACAAGAAACCTCTCGGCCATGTGGAGACGGGCTCGTTGTTTTGGAGTACTGTCGCTTTGTTCGCCTAAGCTAAGGTAGCTCCCATCAATCGGCGTTGATTGGTCACGCGACGCAGTGGAAGGTAACTCGCTAGAAGATCCTTGGGGCAATGGTACAAAGTCCCCCAGTGCAACTGAGAGAGTGTTTTGCACTTTGGAGAAGGCTATCTGGGGGTAGAAGATGCTGTTCTGGTTGTCCATGGGATAGGCCCGCATGAGCAGCATCCTAATGGTTCTAAGCACCACATGTAGGAGAACTTTCGTAGGAATTGGAGCAAGCCCTTGGAGCGTCGCTTGAGGTAGCAACGCGGGAGTGCTTGTAGTTTTAGAATAGATAGCATTATCCTTAAATAAGTCCAACTGGATCTTGCTTGTGGCAGGAGTTAGAACCATACGGTTATAGGTTTCTGCGATCATATGCGCTGATAATACAGAATTAAGTGCAGGAGACGTGCTGGCACCGTTGTCCACTACCGACGGCTGCACCAGAGAATTGCTTTTATCCTGGTGTCCTGTGCGCTCTACCAGTCCCGGATGAGTAGAACTAATAGAAGACAGATCCAGTGAGTTCATTAGTGGCGAGTCATAGATATGAAGATTGGCCGTCGAGAACCGCTCCACATAGAGATTCTCAGTTGCCGGAAGCTGCTTGAGGGAGTCCTGTTCTAACCCGTTGTTTGTAATGCTTACTGATGACGTATATCGGAGACTGCATTCCGCAGCTGGAGCCTCATCTGTGGCTTCAAGCTGGGGCTTCATTATAGAATGAGGATAGGGATGGACATTGGCAATCCCATAGCGGCGTTGTTCGAAGGGTCGCGGCCTATTGCTTGTTGCACTAGCAGATGGTGAACACAACTTTTGCATAAAGGTCTCAGATATACTATTGCACAAGACTTTGGGCGCGCCATCTTCTGAGGCAGACTGTATTAACGCGAGATAGTCCTGATTTGCTGATATTTCATAATGATAGACACCAAAAGCTAATCGGTAAATCCATGAATAGTCACAGGAAAAGAGCGTGGTGAAAGAATCCACTGTGAGAAGGCCATCTTGGGCATACGCGTGAACGTACTGATTCAGTAGTGTAGTGTCCACCAGCGCTAGAGGCGAGCTCATTGAGATGGTACGGATCTTTGCGCGAACCAGTCTGTGGATGTAGACGAGCTGAGGAGTAAATTGTATGGTACCTAAGTCGGTCAAGGCATGAGCAACGCTGAACTCCAACGTGCTGAAAGTCCTGAAAAGCTCTTGGCAAAGATCTGGTCCTTGCGTCCAACGCAGAGGTAAAGCTACGGAGTCTTCGTTCTCTAGGTAAAGCGAGATAAGCTGAGGAACATTAGTGAAAAAGTGGTAAATGAGCAGGTTATCAGCAATGACGTTTGTAGAGCTATATAAGCTTCCCTTGAAAAGATACTCGTTGGACCTACATAATTCGCTAGTATGTAAGAGCTTGCACGGGTGAACTCCATTATACGCTAGAATTATGCTACTAAATTGTAATAGAAGATGTAAATAACAAGGCGATTCAGGACCCAAGACTAAAGAGTGGCCATAGAGGAAGGTGTGCTTAAGCATAAACGCCAAAAAAGAAGCGTCGTCCTTCAGCGTAGATGCAGTATATGAGTACTCATGTCCTCTGGGCCCCCTGGGATCAAGCAGAAAGGCGGGAATGTCGGCAAGAAGCAGACGAAGGATGACGTAGTATTTAAAGAATATAGAGTTATATCCTAGGGAAGCGAACACGAGGTTGCTGTCGATTGTCTTCAGAAGTGTGTGAAGCACTGTGCCTGTAATGTCGTACATCTTCAGCCAGTTCTCTGAAAAGACTTTCTTGCATAGGTTGCAGTGACGAAGAAGCCCTCGTAAGGACGAGTAAATGGGGTATAACGTGTACGGAATGGCAAAGTCCATGGCTGCACATATTGTTTTGTGCCTAAACAGCGCATATGTCTTGGCTAATGCCCGAGAGTACTCTGTCACCGTGGACTGCAGTGTATTCTTTTTGATATGCGCAGAAAAGAAGCTTGTCAAGATGTGCAGTACAGCCCTGTTTCCTATGCGATCAAAGGGGTGGCTTGTCTGGCAAGAGGTGCTCAGCTTTCGTTGTAAAGACATGAACTGTATGTGGATGCTCTCTTGACCGTCTAAAGATGCGACTGTTGTATATAACAGATGGTTCAATAGCTCACAAACCGCCCGGCCGTAAAGAATATACTCATACCTATATACTAGATGCCCGTACTCATTGGCGATGTCGCTTCTTGTCGTTTTAGCAAAGTAGAGACAGGGGACCTGAAGCTCTGAGACACAGCCGACACACTTCTTTGAAAGAATATAGGAGTACGCAGCACTCACGTATGCAAGGGCGTACTCCTCCAGAACAAAAGCTGGTGTGCCGTGATGTAGCATATTCCTCTTCAGAAGCCCGTCTATCGTGAGGTATACATTAGATGCTAAAGTTTGTGGGAGCCCAGCCTCTTCTATACACTGTAGACAAAGACTCTCATGCTCATTAGCGCCGCAGTACGACAGACACGTTAAGTTCGATTGGTAAACACCATCCGATAGTATCGTGCTTTGGCTTTCAAGAGACGATTCCTGATAGAGCTTACACTGTCTAAAAACAGTTTGAGAGTTAGGTGTGATAATGTGCTGCGGGTTGACTGACGGTTTGTTGTCGAGCTGGCATGCTTGAACGAGGACCTTGACATCCTTCGTGTTTAGATTTGGAGTGGCAAGAAGCCCTGGATCAAACAGCTTCTGACAAATGAAGCAATAATACAGTAGTGAGTTGTCTAAACTGGGATAGCTTAAATCTTTGTTACTTCTAGGGAGAGAAAACATAGCAGATGAATCGGCGGCGACGGGTTGCACTCCGTACTGCTTTAGCAGCTTACGCTTCTCAGCAGACAAGTCCGCATCCAGCTCTCGAGTGCAGATGTTGTGGCATTCTTGGCATACTGGAAAGGACTTATCTAGGGTATATAGAGGTGTTAAAACGGATGAGTAACCATTGATGTAGTGCTGGACACTACTAGACTCTTTGAAAGTGTCTACAAAGCCCGCGGATGCTGGCAACATCCGAGGAATGGTGTGCGAAGAAGGATTCATGGAATAGAAGTCCAGTTTTGGCGGTATCGGCGGTTGGATGCTGAGGTTGAAAATATTCTGCATCGATGCAACCGTCACTTGCATGTCTGTTTGACCCTGGGAGTGCTCAACAGACCCGTCGAAATACGTGTAGAGAAACTCCGTAGGCGTCAACGTGGGGCCTTCAGGCTTTCGAAATAGTCTACCCATCTTGCTAAATAGGGGCGCGTTGATTGACGAGGTCCCAACTACGTTGCCAGAAATAACAGAAAACGCGGGTGATCCACGAAAGACATCTGGAGCTGCAGGCTCCTCCGCCCCGTCGTCAACAGAGCCTAGTTCTACTGAAGCTCCTGCGCTGCTCGGCGCTGGTCGAGTCCGCAGCTTCGATGGTCCTGCTACGTCTTTTGCTCTCACTGACGTGTTCAGAGAGTCCACCGGGCTGCTTACATCGTTGGAAAACGAAGAATCTCTATGAGATATAGTAGCAACGGTAGGGGACCCGGCATAATATATGTAAAACGGTGTTGGGTCAAAGACTATTTTCAGAGACTCATAACTCATGCCAGCCGATTGTGGTCCACGGTCTTTTCTTTTGAGTATTTTGGGACTCTGATGATGCTCTCTATATACGGCTTTTGTCTGCGTGACAGAGGTCAGAGAATGCGATCGTAGAAGGCTCTCGTCAGTCTTACTCTTGCATGCTTGTACCATGTCTCTGAGTGTCGCTTTCACATTCATGAACAAGTACTGAATGGCCCCCTGTAAGAGCAAATCACAATCAAGCCAGGCACTGACCGTTCGTCGGACTAGCGGATCTATAAGATAAAGGCTCTGGGGCTTCAGATTTAAGCATGTATCAGTGAGCTTGGACATCTGGTTGCCAATGTTCGCCTGGTGTTGCTGGAAGGAGGTACAGCTTGCATGCACACAGACTCGTACAAGCTCATGCGTGGAAAACTTAAGAAGACTCTCCTGTAAAGATCTATTGCTGAGATCTGCTTTCCGTGTGCCTTGCTTTAAGTCTATGGCTGCACATGTATCAGCAATATAGTCTCTCAATACTATAGATAGGGAATGAACCTCTCCATATAGTACGTGGGTTGATTGAAACTGAATCGAGAATAGCGAATCCTCGAGCGAATGCTGGCAAAGATTCTGAAGGATGTATGGTGGCGACACAGAGTGTGGGGAGCTTTTTGATAATACCTGGTAGTCGTAGCAGAGCTTAGTGAATAGGTGGGCCATAGGCCTGGTACTAACAAATGGCATAGCAGCCAATAGGCTGGTGAAATCATAACCAGCAGGCACTGGTTTGTTCTTACCCCTTATTACCGGGGGCGTAGTCTGTGAACAGGCCTCGCTGAAAGCAAGTAGCATGAGCAGCAGCGTCTCTGGAACGACAGACACAACAAGGTCACTGGTTAAATTATCTGAAGCAGTTGTGCCTGCATTGCCTACTGCGTCCCTTATGTGTTGATAGTATGCCGGATAGGGAGCACCACTGCCAGTATCACCATTGCTGTTGGAGCAGTTAGCTTGTAGTTCTACTGCCTCTAAATCTGGTACGAAGATAGAGTCGAAAAACACCGAAAGAAGCAAACGATTGAGTGCGTAAGTAGCAAGCTTGCGCATACTAAACGTGTCGTCGTCTGCATTTGATATCGATGCCAAAAGGCGTTCAGAGACAGTCTTTTCGATAGTAGCAGATGTAAGCATGGTCAACACGTCCACCACAGTAATCCTTCCCGAATAGACATACCGGAGAAACACAAGGGTAGGCTTCACCATAATATCAGGAACAAGGTACACCAGTGCAGTCTTTGTCCGGATAAAGATGGCCTGCGAAATAGCGTTAGAAAGCCCGGCTGCCTTTGCAAGCTTTACAGAGTGATCTGAGAAAAGCACACCCTGACACATAAACGCACTTGTCAATGCAGAGATCTGAAGAGCTCTTGACTGGGCGAGGTGCAAAGAATACACTACGAGGGAGTCAAAAAAAGCGTGCTCATTAATGTCAGCAAAGCCCGACGGATCCAGTTTAAAGTGCTTATTATATTCCTCACCGAGGCTTAGGCACGCATCTGTCCAGAGATAAATTAATAGCTGGAAGACGGCGTAACGAGCAACGGTGATGTATAATGGGTAGGATATTTTTGCCAGCGTATTCGGAACTTCTATCTCAAGATACCGCTTAAGCAGGGCTGGGCGAGAGTCATCGAAAATCACACGCCTAACGTTGGCGTCAATATCGAGGAATGTTCGCTGCAGAATGATTTGATCGAAGGTCTGCTGCATAATAAATACAAAAGATGGCTGAATAGAAGGCCTAGATGACAGAAACTCCTGCAGTTCAGCACACATCTCGGTGCTGAACTTGGATACTGAAAGAAAGTCCAATTGAAGCGCCGACAGTCTACTTGCACCAGAGGACTCAGAAGATACCGATACACTGCTTGAAGATGTGTCTTTGGCTGTTAAGGCTTGAAGCTCACTCAGCTCTTGCTGCTGAATGTAATCGGGGTTGTGAGCAATTAAGCCGCAGCCACATACAAGTCCGCTGGAGCACCGCACAGTGTTTAAGACGCTGCTTGATGATACCGATTCAATACTTCTCCTCAGCACCGTAGATCCAAATGGGGTTAAGGCAACGTTAAGCTGTCTGAGAAGACTGGCTGGAATATGAAGCCTAGCTACTTCATCGTCCAAGTTGTACGCTTGTATGTGAAGAAACAGGACAGAAAAAATTCTGTACGGGGTGTGTCTAGAGACGGCGTCGGTTGCCTTCTGCTTGATGTCATTGTAAAACTCGGTGCACTTGCGCCTATACTCCTCTATAGTGGATATCTTCACTTGGTCACGTGGATAGCCTGCGAAATATATGCTCATGTTGCTAAGATGGCGCGACAGGTCAGTCGCCGTGTCAGCTGGCCTATTCTTCTCCCGTATATTTGTGAACACAGCCAGCTCTGCAGCGACTATCTGCGAGTGAACAGCCTCTGGCAGATAACCAGCGTCCAGAAAGTCTAGTAGTGCAAATGTGAGCATGATCTGAACAGGCTTTATAGCAGCGCTACTATCCATACCGAACATGGAACTTAAGGCCTCTGAAATCAACTGAAACGTCGACAGCAACGTGTTTTTGGGAATGTGAATTAAAAATGACAGAATGGTTAAGCCCGCATGGAACACATCCGCATCCATGGAGCTGAGCGACAGCAAAGCCTCTCTCAAAAGATCTATGGGGGCTTTCTCAGAGAGGCTAATGTTTGCTACTTTGGTAAGGGGCTCTGTAGTAAAGAGAGGGAACTCTTTACGCCCGGCAAAAAACCTGTATTTCGATGTAATGTTGTAACAACAATCAAGGTAATTGTACTGCTGCGGCGTCATCTCCAAAGCTTCCTCTACAAAGATGCTTTCAAAGGGGATTTGGGAGAACACGTCTAAAAGTCTCATTGCCGCCTGAAAAGAGGCCACAATAATATAAGCAGGGAGTTGCTGGCAGATACGTTTTATAGATAAGACCTGTTTGCCATTTCGTTGAAAGAGTACAGTATCCGATGGATTCATCTTCAGGTGTGGCTCCACAAAGGTCTGTGAGAGAGGCTCTTTGACTACCTCGAACTCATTAGATGTACCATCACTCTTGCAGGGCTTGATGTAATAGTTGTGACAATCTTCTAAGTAACCATCTAAATCTATTGCCTCTTGCAATCCGAGCTTTAAGGTAGCCGACGGTGAATTTGCTGATTGCTGAATATCATGAATTGCCTGCTCTTCCGGGAGCTTAGCATGTGCAACCCTTAATTTGAAATTGCACACATTACACCACACCCCCATAATAATAGAACACGCACACTTAGATATGGTCAAGACAGGCGAGCATGCGCTCCATCGTAATTGGTACCCTGTTTCGTTGAGGAGTTGCAGTCTCCGGGTAAAGTTTCCACTATTCTTTTGTGGCCACGTGGCACAGAGATGGTTGCCCTTTGCAGCATTCTTAAGGATGGCACGCTCGAGGGCGGTGTACTGTCGCAGATCTGAAGTGTTGCCACCGGTCTCTGGTCGTGCCTTAATAGTCTTGGTCTGAGATTTTCTAACAGCTGTGACAGCGCTCAGAGGTTGTTGCTTTAATACCCGAGGATCAGAGGGTTTCGAGGCCCGCTTTAATGCTTGCGATTTAAAGTTTGCACCAAAACCGCAAGAAAGAAGGGATTTAGCATCTAATGCACACAATTCGGGTGACGTCCTCGCCGCGGGAGCGCATCTATCCGCACTATCTTGATATAGAACTGAGGATATGATTTCTGCCGTAGAAACTCCTTGCGGAACCAAAACGTCTGCAACGCTGTCAGTCTGCCTAAGTGACCTAATAAACGAAGACAGAGAGTCTGAAACATTAGAAGACAAAACGGGGGACTGAAGCAGGTCAGACTCCTTCTTGATACGCGGGGGCCTGCCACGAGTAGGCGCGCTTTCTGTTACGACCAACTCCTCTGATAACTGATGCTGACACGGACAGTTATTAAGCTCACAGGTATCACACTCACTGGTCGTTCTTTTAGGTAGATCTGAAGATGTGGTAAAGATATATCGACGTATAAAATCTATGGATGCAGAATCACTCGAGCAGTAGAGAGCATATTGATTCAGCTGTATATTGGTGAGCTCGTTGCTCCAGTTAATAAGACGCTCATCAGTGCTAACAACGATCAAAATTGGTCGTTCTAAAGGTAAGAATGATGTGTATTCGTGGCTATCATCGCCACACCCCTCTTTATTATTGCTAGCCAGGATCTTCTGGACATTTGTTACAAATTCCGCCGGCGTAGAATTCATCGTCTCATGGATTGCAGGGTCCATTGGCTGAAATGATAGCTTTTCGCCCTTTTCGTGGTAGGGAACATTGTATTGGTATATCTTTGGAAACTTTCTTGTGCTACATCCATCTTGCTGTTGCTTTTCTTTCTCTAAGCTCTTGACAGACATGAAGTACGCAGCGTATGGAACTCGCCCAGAGGGTAGATTAGAGTCCCAGAAAGGGGTTGAATATGCCTTGCTGATAGTCGCATACTCGTTAAACTTAAGGAAAGTGCAGAACAGCTTTGTTGTGAGCGGATATGGTCCTCTCTTTGAACCGGTGGCGGCATCTGCACGTGACTCAATAACGCTGAACCACGAACTGCCCAGACAGTTATGGATCGCTCTTCCAAAGAACGGTCGAAACAGTCGGTAGATAGCTATGTTGGAGAGGATCTCGGATACGTTGGATGTTGATCTAAGAAAGAGAGAGTAGGGTATGTGTATTTTATACAACTGTTGGCTATCTATGAGAGGGATAATGCTCTGTGCCTTGTTGCGAATAGCAAAGAGTTCGAATAGTGTAGCGAAACTTGTACTGAAGATCTTACGGGCCAGGAAGAACGAGTTCCTGTAGCAACGGCAGGCCTTGGAAATGAGAAGGCAATTCTCTGTGTATATGTAGAAGTACAAAGCGTGTAAGCCATACGGAACAAAGAGGATGCGCTCCCAGAAACGTTCGCTGACCGACAGATTCTTCCAAGTTACAAGTCCATAGACATTAATAATTTCTTCTAACGTTGGTATGATTATTCCACGATGTGATTTCTCTCTAAGTGCATTGAAGCAACAGGAGTACTTCTGGATATTATAAATATATATCGGAGACGAACTAGACAAAGATGGGAGTATCGAGAAGGGCCAGGGATCGCTTGAGTTTGTAATGGTGCCAGCACTAGAAGTGGTGTGTTCAGGAGAGCTAAGAGCCTGATCAAAGTATATCGAGGAGACCTGTCCAAAGAAGCGCTGTTCTACGACGTCCAAGCTCAGCCCAGGACCGGATCCTTGCTTAGTGACAGGGTTGTACCACATATGAATCTTTTCAACCAAATAGATAAAGTTGGAGACGAATTTTACGTCGCCTTGAGTCAGCTCTTGCTGTGTGCTAGGGTCCAACTGGATGATTGGAGGCCGATAGTTTCTTTGCTCAATAGTAGACGGTGCACCAGCACCTCTTGGTGGGCTCATATTCATACCGGTAGAAAGCCTAGTTTCAATCTGCAAAATATAGTCCTTGAGGGCTCCCCCGAGAGCTGGGTATGTAAACCAACAGAAGTGCATGCTTGATAGGCCTGCTATCCCACAAAGATACTTGTGGTGCTCCAAAGACCCCTTTTCATCTTGAGTCGTCGACCCAACTGAAACCGCAGGGGACTTGGCCATAAGATGGCTGGCGTACTTCCCGATGGCCTCATTCACAAGCGGTTTGCTTTTTATAACGTACTTTATGTAGCTTTCAATGAGCTGGTTGGCACTAAGGGCCTCCCGTGGCATTTTTTAAAATGCCAAACCTGCCCGTTCCTCGCATCATCTGTCTGGGAGATTCGATTTCCCAGTACGGGTGGAACATTGCCGAGGGAGGGTTTGTCGGTCTCCTAGCAGAGGCCTACTCTCCTAAGGCTGACGTTATATGCAGGGGTCTTAGCGGGTTTACGTCTGAAATGCTTCTCCACTACATGTCCAACAGCAATCTTTTGGACTCCTTAGACTGCAAGGGCCAAAGTACTTCCATCCTATATGTAACGGTGTGCATTGGTGCCAACGATGCATCGTCGTCTGCGCAGAATCCCATTCAAAGCGTACACATTTCCAAATACAGGAAGAACCTCGTCGATATTCTCAGGTTTATACACGCAGCAGGAGTTCCATACGATCGCATCATTGTTCTGGCTCCTCCTCCGATTGCAGACCCTGCCCAACACCCATGCCTCCATGAGAAAGGCAAGTCGCCGCACCTTACAGAGGAATATGCACAAGCATGCCTGGAAATTGCTAAGGAAGTCGGGGCCCGTCCTGCAGATGTACGGCTCCTCTGGGATAAAGCAAGCTCTATCTGGACAGATGGGCTCCACATGAATCGGAGCGGAAACAGGCTGCTTTTCCAGGCCATAATGGATGCGTGTGGCACTGATCTGCGCCCGGAGAGTATTCCGTTCCCGTGGACACACTGGAGCCAGTATAAGACCGCCACTATGGAACAGAAGACTGACACTAATCATACTAAACGCCTCAAGTAAAAATAATGCGCTCTTGCTCTATCGAGGACGAGTATACAGTGATTACGGACCTTTCTAGTGACTTGCGCTTAAAGACACACTTGGTGAGATCTAAAGAGACCCAGGAAACGCGCATGTGCCGCGGAATAGAATATCTATATCACACCAAATCCGCGCGCGCAGACCTTGAGGATGCGCTTTACGATATGCTGCGGGTGCGCTGTCCATACATTATCCACTATACTGATGTATATAACGAGGAAGGCAGCAAACGCTATATGGCTCTTTTGAGCTACAACTACAAGTGCACCCTCGAAGACTATTTACGCGAGCAGCAAGCCAAGGGGGAGACAATCTCTGAGTCTATGCTCTGGGCGATCCTTGTGAGAATCGTCAAGGCCTTGCGCTACCTTCATGACCCTGCTAAACATGGCGGGCGAGTCATCGTTCACCGTGATGTCCGTCCGAGCAATATGTATATGGCGGACGACTCGACGGTGTACCTGGGTGACTCAATCTTCTGTAGCTCATACACGTACCCGGGTAGCCATGTGGTTGGCAGCGCTCTCACTAACATGGCCTATGCACCCCCTGAGATGATGACCAGTGATGTGTATACGACGGCGTATGACATATGGTCCCTTGGATGCTCTCTGTACGAACTGGCTACGGGCGCTAAATATTCGGAGATCGTTAAGACAGCCTTCCCGGGGCTAAGCTACCTGCAAGCTCTTGAAAGGTTACAGATGCAGGCCCTGGTGATTCCAGGTTATTCAGAAAGCTTCTGCGTCAACTTACAAAGAATGCTGCACGTCGATCCGACTGAAAGGCCGACAGCTGCAGGCCTGCTAAGCCTTAGCGGGTCTAACACATCCAGTTTAGCAAACAGTCTATCGAATTGCCCGGATTTGTGCTAAAATGTGAACTACTCTCGCCCCTTTGATTTCCTTGTCAGCCACTATTTAATTTCCTGGAATGACGAAAGAGGGCCCTGCAACCCCGAGCCAGCTTCCCCAGTCCCGCAGGTGGGTCGTCCACCTGAAGGCCTTTATGGAGACAATATTCATAGCCATTATAATGGTTCCGAACACAATGTACTATGGCTCTGTGAACGCCCTATCACAACTCTTGCTTAAGACTTACGGCGATAGCAACATCATTACAAACTCCTCACTCATGCACTCTGTGCCGTCGATCTTTTCTGCATTCAGCGTATCCTTCTTCACGGACGTCTTAGGGGTTGAGTTTATGCTTCTGCCCCTACAGACCCTTATCCTGATTGGCTGCATCTGCTCAGCGCTAGCAAAGAGCTCAGGAGTCTTCCTCATCGGAAGATTCTGTTACGGGCTTTGTGGAGAAGGCCTTATTATGGTCCAATCAAAGCTGATTTCCAACCGGATTCCCCGCCAGTGGCACCCCTTTGCCTTTGCACTCATATTCTGTGGATTTATGCTTGGAGAGTCCATCTCTAGTATATTCATTGGAAAAATGGACTCCGTTCCATCTGCATATTTCATAATAGCAGCATGCATGTTGATTAGTCTGCTCATTGAGGTGACATATACAGTTCTTGAAGTATTTAGACGCAGAAAAGAAAAGACCACCGATGTCCAAGGATTGGCGTTATCCGAGACACTTAGTGATAGCATAGCAATGAACCCACAGACACAGACACAAATGCAAGCACAGCCTAGATCATCATTGCAGCACAGATGCAAAGATATGTTCACTGCAGTAACCGATTGTATTAAGACAGCGCGGCCGTTGCTCTGGATGATGGTTGTAAGCCGTCTTTTGTTCATGGGGACCCGTATGGGATACGATTCTACCTCTGTCCTGTTTCTAACGGACATCCTTGGCCTAGATAACGACACTATTGTTTCTGCTGTGGGTGTTTCTCAAATATCATCAGCGGTTTCCTTCTTGTTGATGGGCTTTCTTGTCAGCTTTTGGCAGCTTGGCCCAATACTAATTATTATCTGTGGATACATCTCTCTACTGGGTGCAGTGATGACACTCTACTTCTTTAGGAGCTCAGACCCTCAGCAGACTGTCCGATCATGCTATCTAATTTGCATTTTTGTTGGCATCAGCTTTGGATTCTTTGCCAGCAATAGCTCGGCCGTTATAGTGTCTCTTTCAAAGAAGGCCATGGCTGCATCTGGTTTGGGGCTTGTCTTTTCAATGCAGTTTCTCATCATGAGCATCATTGTGCCCCTTGCCATGTATGTTGCAAGGACCAACTCGTACCGGACGGCATGCTGGGTATACATCGGAGTCCTACTATGTGCAGCACCCTTTTTACTCACAGTGTTTACAAAGCTAGCAATCAACTACTCACAAACTAGGAAAAAAAGAAAAGCTGTCAAAATCTGCGATGATGGAGAGATACAACCATCTACTAGTGTGTCTTCTGTTATTAACCTGGATAGTGCCCCAGCAAGTACTATAGAATCAAAAGCCTAGCCCTCCGTACTGCATCCCGGACGAGCTGGCCCTGTTGCGCGTGATGGCCGCAGACGCATCAGCTAAGGCACTATTTTTTTCTCCAAGTACTGTGTTCATATCCATGTGGCTTTTAAGAATTGAAAGCTTGAGGCTCTTGCCTGCTTTGTAATCACTTACAAGAGACGGGCCTGCGCCGGGAGCAATACCCCCGGAAGACGATGACAATGATCCTACAGTGGAGCGCTTGCTGGGTGCTCTGTCAAAAAGGGCTGGTCTGGACTCCTGCTCTAACTCTCTGTGTAAATAATGCTTAAGAGCGTTGCTACTAGCAGCCTTCCCGCTTCCTGGACGAGAGCTGACAGTTCCGGCGCTCCCCATGAGGCTACCAGTAGACCCTCTTGTTAGGAGTTCCTGAATATATTTGTCGGAAAGGGCCTTCTCTGCCTTCAAGGAAGCAAGTTGCTCTTGCATGGTTTGCATGGCGGCACGAGTGTTCGAGAGCTCTGTCGCTAGATCGCCTGTTGTAGCGCTCGCTTTGACGGCACGGAAGTAGGCTAACTCTGTGCGCAAGGAGTCGTTTTCATCCTCGAGAGACTTCAGCCTAGCTAATTGCTGCTCTGCTTGAGGCTTAGCCTCATCTGACAGGCTTCCACGATTCAGCGTTTTGCTCATAATGGAGACACGCTCACGCAACTCTTTTGCCTCGCTCTTGTATCGGAGCGCCTCATCCTGCGCGGCTTCTATCTCGCGCCTAATCTGTACGGCCTCCTCGCGCATCTTAATCTTGTCTGCTCTAAGCCGCGCCTCATATTCTTTCAGCTCCATCATCTTGCCCTGGATCTTTTCCAGCTCCTCTGCGGTCCTCTCAGACACCTTATCTCCTGCCCCATGCTTAGGATCAATTTTGCTGGGAGTCGTGGGAATAGTCGGAGGAGTCCCTGCAGGCTGCGGATTTGTATCGTTAGTCACCGGGGATAGCTCTGCATCGCTGACAGGTGCAATCACAGGCTTTCGCGTGGGACTCAGGGTACCTGCTGCATCCAATTTGCGGACGTTTTGACGTAGTTGCAGCAGCTCTTTTTCGTCAAGGGCAAGTTTTTCCTGGAGATGACGCTTCTCCGCGTCGGTTTCGTCTAAAATTGTTCTTATGCTGTCTTTCTCTGCTTTCAACTCACTAATAGTTGATTGGAGGATCGCGTTCTCCTGTGTGGTCTCTTTGACTTTGTCCTCGGCCTTGAGGAGGCGAGACTGACATTCCCTAAAGCGATCCTGAAGATCCTTATAGTCGGCCTCACGTGCGTTAAGTGCCTTCTTGAGGAGAGATTCCACCTCAACACTCGCCGTGTTCGTGCCTTCTAGCTTCAATTTCGTCGATTGAAGCTGCGCAAGTTCTGCCTCTTGGGCACGGGCCACCTTTGTCATGTCTCTTACTTGGTTTTGAAGTTGAACAAGGCTATTCTGCATTTTGTACACAAAATCGATAAGATCCCTTCCCACCTCATTGGACTGGTAGCCGATGGCGCTCTTCATGTCACGGAGAATAGCCAAAAGGTCGTTGTGCCGCATGTTTAATGATTTGTAGTCTGCAACAATTTTCTTGTACTCATCTGCAAACGATCCCAGGCTCCTCATAGTGTTGTCTAGCCATGAGTCCAGCCTAGCAGAGGCCTTGTGCGGCTGAAATGTCTCTGATTTGGAAAGAGCAGCGTAGCCCTCTTCACTGGGGGCTACGAAGTCGAGGTGCTCGTCTTCGGACTTCATGGCATCGAGACCGTTAAAATCTGGCTGCTTCAGGCTATCCTGCAATTCAGAGGAGAAGGCGGGATTGAGGGGGGAGTGGTGAGGGGGGAGATCGTCAACAGAACCTCGCTGTCCAGACGGACGGCCACTGGACGGACGGCTTTTAAGCGAAACCTTAGCATTGTTGGAAAGATACTGTTGCAATATAGCAAGGACTTCTGTGCAGCTTTTAGAGTTAGCAACAGATATCTCTGCTTCTATGTCCTCTGAGGTATACTTTAAGGTGTCCAATAGAAGACTAGTGGCCTCAGCATTTCCTGCGGACACGGCATAGCTTAAGGCCGTCCTCCCATCCTTATCTGTCTCGCGCCCAAAGAAGGGCGCCAGTGCCCTGACAACGGCCAGGTTCTCGCGTCCTAGGGCGATCATAATGGCAGTCTGACCTTCGGGGGTGATGATTGTGTGCTCTCGAGGAGCTAAAATCTTGCATATATCTGGGAGACCGTATTCGGTAGCAACGAGAAGCGCTGTTCGACCGTCACGACCTGTAAGCCCTGCTTCTGCCTCGGCCAAAATCGCCACTATGTCGACATAGTTGGATCGCGTGGCCAGGATCAGGCCAGTATCTCCATCTTCGGTCCGGGAGCACTTGTAGCGCTCACAATACTCCTCCACGAACTCAATATTGTTCGTTCGAATAGCCTGGAACCATATCGTCTGATCCATGTTATTTTTAGGGATTCTGTATTTTGTCAGGCAATTTTTTGAGCCGAGAACTAAGTTGAGTCGGAAAGTAAGGCGCATTGGACTATGAATATCCTCTCTTCCATTGCGCAAGGCCTAAACCTGTGCATTTGGCTTGTGTCCCTGTGAATTGCACAACCTCTGGAAAGCTTATGGAGTCTTCTATTAAGCCTAGTAGCCGGTCAGTAAAGTCTGACAGGCGCTGTCTCTGCATAGAGTATGACCCGCACGTATCTGTCGAAAAGCTAAACAGCTGGGACAAGAGACTTGTAAACAGATCGACATGCCTCCAGTACCGTTTGCTGGGCAAGGATACCTCCACGGTCCTTTCACCGTCCACTCGATGTACACTGAGATCGGAAGCCTTCACAGAGGTTCCAATTATCATGTACCATATGCACGACGCTATTCCCGAGTAGTCCGGCTCATATAGCCAGTGCTTTTCTACTATTGGACACGGCGTCACAACAGACATGCTTGTATAGTGAAACTGAACTGGAACGTCGTTAAGTGTGAAGAGGGATGCATCAATAGCTTTGCCAAAGTCGCATGCCACGGGTACCAGGAATCCACTTTCGTCAGCAAAGCCAAAGTCAGCTTCTAACTTTGGAGTGACGTGCTTTTCTGTCTTAGAGGAGCAGCTCTGTGTTTCGTGCTTGACGGTAGGACACGCTGCAACACGCTGATCCACATTTGTCTTTCCCTTTTCTTCCTTGCCCTTTAGAAAGCTCAAGAGTGTGGGATCTGTAGAGATTGTGATTAGCCAGTTATCTACTTTAATGTCTGTATGCACAATATTCGCTTCGTGGAACGTCTTTACTGTCTTGATCATCAAGTATGAAATCCATAAAATAACATTTTCAGGAAGACAAGTCAAGCCTCGCTCAACCCTGTCATAGCACTGTTTGCATAGCTCGAACAGAGTTACGCCAGGGATGTACTCCATAACAAAGGCCCCCAGGCCTTGGTTATTGACTATTGACGCGATAAATCGCGTATAGAGGCAGTCACTCAGAGAGTCTGCCAGCCGTAGGGTGAGCGCAGATAAGCTGTATATTTCACGTAGGAAGGACGTGCTTATTGCACAAACCGCGTGCTCGCCTATTTCAACAGAGATAGAGTCTTTTTTCCTGGTAAAGAACTTCACAGCTACTTTTACCAAATGGCCAGGCCGTGCAGAGTGCAATGCATCAGCTGCAAAGACCTTTCCAAATGCACCGGCGCCTAGAAGCTCTGTTAGTGTCAGAAGTATCTTGCAGTCTGGTCTGCTACATGAGCTTTCCTCTTCTCGCGTCAGATTCCTTTGAAGATCTTCAAATGTGGTTTCAGTGCTACCTCCTGTAGTACTATCTCCTTTAGTGTTCTGGTCTGTGTCTTCTTCATGTCCATTCTCGTCCCAGCAAGGATCTAGCTTGGGGTACACGACTGGGCATGTAGCATCCATAATTCTAGATACCCGATAAGGGCAGATCATAAGGGTAGTTCCACTCTCAGGATTAGTAGGGAACACATCCACCTCTTCCACAAATGTCAGCACAATTCGGTTTCTTTGAAGAGATGGAGCCATGTCAACAAGGGCAAAGTAGAACGCTCGCGGAATGTGATACGGCTCTATTATGTTGCTGATGACTAGGTCATTTTGGGTTGGGCCTTGACGAGATGTATACAGGAGAATCTGGCACCGCGGCGAAAGAGTATAGACCATGCGGGATATTATGTGGGGGTCATTCGCCAGTTGGGAGTAGGGATTCAGATTCTCCAGCTGTTTTCGTGCAATTAGGCGGCCTATAAAGCACATGTGTAGATCCAGGAGATGCTGCTCCTCGGGAGAGATAAAACTATTTGCCGTTTCACTATATGTTAGGATAAATATGGGCAGGGTCTTACAATGGATCTTTGGATGACTTGATCCTTGCCCACTTGGCTCTGACGGAGAGCTGTACGACTCGTGGTCTACATATAGCTCTGCTGGGATATTCGTTATGGAGAGGTTCTGGGGAGATGTCTCGGCTGTCCATACAAAGAATCTAGAGCCGTTGCTGGTGCTGGTGATCGCCTTGAGGCGCCGGATAGACGCCTGGAACGCCTTCTTTGCTCGAGCACTAGTGCAGTTGTTATAGCCAAGAATATAGTAGTGCATCGCTCGGCTTTTGTCACGGACCTGGAACTCATAGTAGACCCCTGCCTGACAATACAGTTCAGGAGCTTTGCGGCCGATGTTGTGCGCATCATAGTATGCAATGATGCCATCCTGGTTGGAGAATAGGCATTGGTAAGCTAGGGCGAGCACCACAACTCGTCTATCGTTTAACAGCTCCGGGTGTTTCTGGGCATAGCTTATGGTCAATCTACACAGGTCCTGGAGAAGCAGTTGGAGCGGTCTCGTGGGTCGAAGCTGGAATAGTTTCTGGATCTCAAAGAACAGCGATATCCGCTCCTGCATAGATGCCTCCACTTTTTGAGGATTGTCTAGTGTTTGACCTGACTGTAGTCTCATGATGCGCGCCACTCCCTCCCTCAGCATCGTTATTTTTCCATCAGCAAGGCCCCGTTTCAGCTCTGGCTCTCCACTCGACGGAGCTGACTCACAGCCCAAAGCTGTCTCCATTGCTATTATACAACCCAGGCTACAGTTTATGCTTCATCAGCATACATGCAGTAGAGTCTATGCCTTGTGCATTACTGTCTGTAGCGCCTACTGGAACCTTTATTTCGAGAAATTCACTTTACTGGAATAGGTAAGTGGATGCGTGACCTATAGTATAGTTGTTGATGTGAGAATGCTGCTCTGGTACTGTATCATGTTGTTAGATGACATCTCGCTTACCAGAGAACACTCCTGCTTCTTCTTCGTTATGATGCAATAACAGTGATGGCGACAGCAGCTATTACAATCAGTATAATTGGCACAGAGACTACCGCTGTCGTGGCGCTTTTCAACCTCTTTTCCAGTTTCTTCGATGCACTGCAGATACCATGTTCGTCTAAGCTGTACCCATCAAAGCATTTAACACATTTATCATCTTTGCATTCTCTGCAACTTATTTCATACTCATACATGCACGTACCGTAGCTTGTTAAACAATAACATTCTTCACACTGTAAGCACCTACCGCTTCCAGAGAGAATTCTGCGCCGTTCACAAGCCTCTAAACTACAGCTCCTCACATCACTAAGGCGCGTACCTGGATTACGCTTTGTACACTATCCATTTTGACAACATTCACAATTATAATTTAGATAGCAGTCGCTGTAACCATGCGTAGGATAAGTTATCATACAAACTCCAGGAAGACACGTAGTGCATCCAACACCATCTGCGTAAGACGCACATCTCAGAGGTGTTAGTGATATACAACCAAAAAAGGTAAAAAAACACAATTTGCCGTGCATTTAGTACACTTCCTTCCACTGGAGCACTCAGCGCATCCTAGTGTCTCTTTACGCTCACATATTCCATAGGCAGCAAGGCAATACTCTACTTCACACTGTGCGCAAGTTCTTTGGTCGGCGCACAACATGCAATGCAGATTTTCTTTTCCAGTACAGGCTAAAGTTCGTAGGTCAAAACAATAACCCTCATCACACTCGGTACAATACCCTTCTCCTGCACAAAATGCACAGTGAATAGGAATGTTGACAAGTTATACACATGTTGCTCCATAAGTTGAGTTTTCTAAATAGTAACTATCATTATATTGAATACATCTCATTTCACTCCATTGGTAGGTACAATGAGCACAAGCATCGGGACACTTAGTGCATACACCATCAGAATTTAAGCCATAGCCTGTCACGCACTCCGCACATCATGCATCCCGGACAAGATAAGCAATTCAGAGATTCCTTTAATACGTATTTTTGCTGCTGTTAAGGCAATATCTATCCTGACATTGGGTGCATATTCCGCTATTAGGACAACGCCTACAGGATATCTTGCTTAAACGCTTACAAGTGTTGTCACTGATGAGACAGTATCCACTTATACATTTGTACACACAATGTTTCCAGGGCAAACTTCACAGTTAAAGGATTCCCTCGCAATACCTTTTCCAGCACTGCTTTTGCATCTGTTCTCTGGACAAGGATCCAAGGCAGAGAGTATTGACTCTCCTACTCTGAACGACAGATCTTCTTTGCAGACTCCTTGATTCATCCTGCATCCTTCCCTACATGCCATGCATCTACTTCTGGCCTACACACCGCAATGTGGTCCACACAAAGTATCGTTTTCACTATTCTCCAAAACCTATGTGCACACCCAGATACCCTCATCGTTCATCATGGGTGTCCCCTTTGGACGTTTCTGAACACACTCTGAGTTACCAAGGAGGTCGAGAAAATAGCCATCGATACATCTAAGGCAGACAGTTCCCAAAGGATTGCAGAGCTCACAATGCGAGATATCTAGACATAGAGTCGACCTTCCAGCTGATTCGGACAGACATCAGTAACATAGTACGTGAGCAACATCAATCCAATGGAGAACATGGTCTTTTTAATTTTGATTATACTTATTAAGAATCCAAATCAAATTAGCAAGGGCTCCGGTCAAACGTTGACACTAAAATCAATGCTCAAGCTTGTGGCCTCTCTCAGAGACTTGTGCCGGATCTGCTTCCTCCGCGGGTATAGGATCAGATATCTAGATATCCTATGTTCGTCTGCCCTATAATGCCTGTAGTGTTATAATTTATTACCGATCTACTTTGTCTGCTTGTCTAGCTGTGCTTCACAAATAGACACGGCGTTCGATAGGGATTTTTTTAACAGCGTGTCATAATAGTCGCTACTGATTGCAATCCTACACTGTGGTGATTGTGCTTCCTTTGGTCAAATACCGTGTGTAAGAATTCTGCATTAAGGCTAAAACTATATAGTAGAGATTTCTATAAGGTTGTCTTGTACAATCCACACTCAAAGAATGAGATAGTATCAGCTTCACTTTATATCATATCCGTAGGTGTATCTGGCACCTAAGGGCTTTGAAAGACTCTTTGATTGTCAAAAATAATCATCTGACAATCACTTGACTATTGGAGCATGTAATTAGTGTAAATAGTGTATATTTCATTTTCATGATTTGAAAGGTATTTAGAATACGTTTTAAAGCAGCAACTCTTTTAAATTAGAAAGATATTTTGCTGATTTTGGTTTGACGTATATCACGACAGTCACTCTGCTGTGCGCACTGTGAATTGCAAACCCCACAGCCTCGAAGCGTTCTGGAGACCAAAGCAGAATTACTCTCGCATTGGTAATAGGGGACCTTGGAGTCCCTATAGTAGTAAGCTTTCCTTTCAGAAGCCATCCCTTATGTTAATTAACTGTAATCAGCTACACTATGCATGTTTCAATACTCAACTGAGTCTTCATGTATGATCAGGTCAATCTCTGCAGTTAGATAGGCATTTAATAGCACCTGGTGTACTCTCAAGCTTTACACAATCTAATAGTTAATACCACAACATTTGTCAAGCCTGTGAAAACATTGAAGAACCCACTTTTCATAGACGCTTTTCTACAACCGTTAATGATTTGATCAATACTCACTATAACGTCCCTCTACTACTGTACACCTGCTGTAATATAAATTTAGTATGACAAAAGCTACCGATGAATGTTGTATATGAGTAGACATCCTCACTCCTTCACCACATCTTTTTTATTGGCAGAGGCTCGGTCCTTAAGTGAGAGTACTAGTCTATTTCATCCTTGTTATAGAGAAAGTGTAAGCATTATTGCAAACCCAGAGATTGTAATTGACAGGCATATACTACCTCCATGTCTGCACTCTGGATGCAACAACCACAGCGCAGCTGCATCTCCGATCATTCTGTGCACGCCTTCTGGCACGGGCAGGTGCGCCGGAGGGGGTGTACTGCCCACCGCCGAGAAATGGATGAGCTCCTGGTCGGCCCGCCCCGCCTGGAACTTAGAGACCGCCATTCACGGCCGTGAAGAGAGTTCTCGCAAGTAAATCTCTCGGGTTGATTCACACGGCGGGTAACCATCCGGTAGAATTCCGTATTGAATTAACTCGCTTAATTAAAAAGTTAGTATCCACGACAATATGGTGAGGCCCTGCCTGACCGTGGAAAATCAGTCAAAGGTGCTGCGCTGGCTTGCCACAGAGATCATAAACGCAATCCATCCAGAGGAGACGGTGGAGGACCTTCTTGCAAACCCGTGTCTGCTCCACTCGTACATGCTCAAAACATCCGTGGACTGGCATTGGATCTCTAACGAGGTTGGCGTGGACGAGAAGAAGGTTTCTCGTTGGTACTATGAAACGCACCTGCGCCACATCCTAACTATAAAGATGACTAACGAAGACCGTGGAGAGATTCGCAAGATTATCATCAATTGGATCCGCTGCCAGCAAGTTCCAGACGAGCGGCTTTACCAAGCAATTCATGAGAAGTTTGGAAAGAAGTACTCGCGTCAAGAGCTACGGATGACGTACTACAATATGCTTAACAGTCGTTGCATACGGGCCGTCCTTACTGAGTGCAATATTCAGCGTCCGACAAGGCGGAGAAGGCCTCCTGAAACAGAGCGTGCAGGGCTATCTTCCTCGACCGTCCTTCACATACCCGGGTATGCTTCCGGTCCTCAACCAGCCCCCTTAGACCATAGAAAGTTGTCCCAGTCAAGTACTCACAAGTATTCTCCAGAAGCAGCCTCTTTCTCTCAGATTGACGTCAAGGCAGAAAGTGGACTGAATAACGATATTCCAGATGAACCCGTTACCTTTAGTCCTCTTGCATTCCAGAGCATTGCCCAACAGCAACCGTACATTAAGCTACTCAATCTACAGTCAGTCCCGCTCTCCCTCGATATTAACGGCCAATTAGCATGCATCCCCCTAATCATAGTTGAGCCAGGAGCCAACATCTGGTCCATTACTCCCAATGAGGAGCCAGTGGGAGGCGCTGGACAGTAGCGTTCTTTGGTATTGCTCTTCTAACTCATGATAAAGGATTTGCCGCCTTTTATCTTGCAGAAGACTAGACTTATCTGTACCCCACACTTGATTGCAGATGCAGCAGGACCATGTGCAGGCCATGAAGGTCACGCATTGACAAAGCAAACTGGAATTATTCACAGAGGTGGTTTTTGGCAAACTTGTAATCTAGTGGCACGTCATCTTTGGGCTAAGTTGCCTAACTTCTAATCGTATATCTACGGCTTCCCTATTTACGCGGTTCTTTGCAGGAGCTAGACCTACTGAAGCATACTTAGCACATAATTCCGCAGATGAGGATACGCGATAATATTATCAGCATCCCAATCTCATTCTTGTCAATAACGAATGTATCGATCCACAGATGCTAGTTTCTATCAGCCGAATTAGACTCGCTTAGCAGCCCGTAGAGATGATGTAGCTCACCACCGAAGTACTTCCACATCTGCTTTTTTCCGTTTTAGACATAAAGTTGGAACTCATTATTTACCCCGTCAATGATTTTCTGCGTTCACTGATGGGTGTATATTATTCTATATTGTCAGTTATCTAGGGACCTCTTTCATAGGAGCGCCACATCAACCCCCTTTATGTTCCTCTTACATTTTATTATGTGCTTTACATCTTCTTGTCTATCAATATTCACACCCCCATGGATATGCCAGATACATATCTGTATCATATGCTACTGTGATCATAGGTTTGTTGTAAATAAGGGTGTGATCGGTACCACCACAGAACTCGTTAAACCCTGTCTGCCTTGAGAGTACGCTAATGGGACTACATGCTCAATCTGAGCAGATGTCTGTGGGCTTGTGTGCTAGCTGGAATAAGATAGGTGACTACTCTGTATGATCATCCTGTTATCATGATTAGGTAGCCGCGAAAGATTAGACGTCATTGCAGGAGCAGACAAGGCACTAGGACAGCGATTTGCTTTCCAAGGATGACGTGGATTAATAGGTTAGTAGGCAGTTCTTGGATGCAGGAGTATTAGTGGATTTGTAGACTCGCGTAGTTATGCATACAGGTCATGGTAGGGGCTCTGGTAATTCTCTGATGGTGGCCCACTTTGGCAAGAGCTCAGCTGGGAAAGGCAAGGCGCTGGACGAGGACGCGGAGAAAGTTCGGCACCCCGTGTTCCCACGACGTCTCCGATCGCAGTACTGGCGGGGCCTGACGGCGCTTCTCTTCTTAATTCGGAACGAGTTAAGGAGTTTCCGCCGTAGGATGGCCGAACTGGCGGCTGAGGGAGCTGTGCGATGTGTCAGAGATTGTTAGAGATTCATACTGTATATTGTGCAATGGCTAACGTGTATGGGTGTCCCACCGAAGACCCGGTGAAGGATGGCACCGGAGATGAGACAGGATGACCCCTGGTGGAGGAGACCACGGTGCGGGCTTGCCTGCAGATGCCGTGGCTAAAATCTCAGCCCGTCCAGGAATCTAACAGAGATTATGCAGCCGGACACTGGGACCTACCGGAGAGCCGCATCGCCCCTGCACGAGCCAGCAAGCACTGCCTTCGACCCGACCACAGTTGGGAACGCTCATGTCCGTGGATGCCGTCGGTCAGGTCCCTGAAGACCACCCTGCTCACAGCCCCAGGGATCCCTCTGCAGACTCTGATTTCTATATCCCTGGGGTAGATGTTTGCGGATAGCGGCACAGGGCTCAGCAGAACCGCCAGAAGATCCGCAGCACACTGTCATTAACTATAAACGTCTTGCGGTATTCATTCCATGGCTAAGCCACCAATAATGGCACTGGAACTGGAGTAAGACACTTCTAGGGTGCGACTACAGGACCGTGGAGGAGCTTCCTTCCCACGAAGGAGACCCTGCAGCTAGGGCGTGGTCCATCAACGCTTAGAACTGCACACCTTGGTAGAAGCAGAGCCAAGCCCACACTTAGAAATCGATGGCTGCCCTCTTGGACCCCGCACATGGTAATAGCTATAGAAAAGAGCTTGGGCAAGGAGATCACGCGGACCAGGTGTACCCGGACTGAGAAGCGTCTACTTCATCAAGTAACGGTAACCGGTCTATGCACACAGACCATGTTTGGCGGCAAGCTCCCCTGTAGCTCATGTATACACTGCGAACCGCTGCCTAGAGGCTTGCGTTGGAGATGCTGCAAGACACTAATGGTTGAAAGGTGTGACTAGCCGTTCTTCTAGATATCGTCTCTTTGGATGCGCCGGGTACCTAAGGCGATAGTCCAGCGCTGCACGCCTTGACTGCCACGGGCCTTGTGCATAGCCGACCAGGTGCCCGACACACGCCGCTTGGGAGTGCCCAGACCACACGGTGCCGTAATCGGGCTGCTAAGGTGCGAGAGATGGTGCACAGAGGCGCATATCAGAGCCAAGAGTCTGTGTGTCGCCTGCCTCTGGGTGGAATAGTTGTACAATAGTAGGGGGTGCTCATTGCCATACAGAAGCGGGCACGGCAAAACATGGAGGCGCGGTCCTACCGCAGGATTCGACGGATGCTCGGAGACAGGTGGTCCAACGGTTTTATGGAATGACGGCGCAACGGCCATGGAGTGGGCAGGTGCAATAGGCGATGCGTTTACTACCTAAGTACACAGCTAAGTCTACGCCTTCCCCCTGCACAGGAACCACCAGCAGAGGAAGCCGACGAGCACAGTGACAGCAATGTACAGGAATGCATCCCGAACAATCATTCCACAAGAGAGGTGCGGTCTGAGTCTAGCCTCAACTGGTCCTATTTCTATGGAAGTCAGGAGGAACTGCACTGTCAGCTGGCCTCCGGTGGGCGTACTCCTATCTCGTCCTTCTCCAGTCCAACTGATCAAGGAGAGTAAGAGCGGCTGTCTCTTACTGCTCGCGGTAACACATCAGCCTGACGGAAGAGCAGTGGCATACGAACCCGGCTAATGTTGGTAGGATTTCTCTTAGTTTTTGTGGTAACACAGGCCAACTGCGCACAAGAGCTGACCCAGGCAGGCTGCAAGACGTGTGTCGGGGCAGACGCCGCCCAGACGTGTACGGAGTGCACAACTTCTGGACACAAGGTACAGCTCGATAAAAGAAGCTGCGGCCCCACCTGCCCGGCGCACTCCACGGCCAGCTCGAACGTCTGCGAGTGCGACCAGGGATACACGCCCAACGCCGGGAAGACCGCGTGCGAGCCCAATCCCAGCGCGGGATGCGCACAAGAGCTGACCCAGGCAGGCTGCAAGACGTGTGTCGGGGCAGACGCCGCCCAGACGTGTACGGAGTGCACAACTTCTGGACACAAGGTACAGCTCGATAAAAGAAGCTGCGGCCCCACCTGCCCGGCGCACTCCACGGCCAGCTCGAACGTCTGCGAGTGCGACCAGGGATACACGCCCAACGCCGGGAAGACCGCGTGCGAGCCCAATCCCAGCGCGGGATGCGCACAAGAGCTGACCCAGGCAGGCTGCAAGACGTGTGTCGGGGCAGACGCCGCCCAGACGTGTACGGAGTGCACAACTTCTGGACACAAGGTACAGCTCGATAAAAGAAGCTGCGGCCCCACCTGCCCGGCGCACTCCACGGCCAGCTCGAACGTCTGCGAGTGCGACCAGGGATACACGCCCAACGCCGGGAAGACCGCGTGCGAGCCCAATCCCAGCGCGGGATGCGCACAAGAGCTGACCCAGGCAGGCTGCAAGACGTGTGTCGGGGCAGACGCCGCCCAGACGTGTACGGAGTGCACAACTTCTGGACACAAGGTACAGCTCGATAAAAGAAGCTGCGGCCCCACCTGCCCGGCGCACTCCACGGCCAGCTCGAACGTCTGCGAGTGCGACCAGGGATACACGCCCAACGCCGGGAAGACCGCGTGCGAGCCCAATCCCAGCGCGGGATGCGCACAAGAGCTGACCCAGGCAGGCTGCAAGACGTGTGTCGGGGCAGACGCCGCCCAGACGTGTACGGAGTGCACAACTTCTGGACACAAGGTACAGCTCGATAAAAGAAGCTGCGGCCCCACCTGCCCGGCGCACTCCACGGCCAGCTCGAACGTCTGCGAGTGCGACCAGGGATACACGCCCAACGCCGGGAAGACCGCGTGCGAGCCCAATCCCAGCGCGGGATGCGCACAAGAGCTGACCCAGGCAGGCTGCAAGACGTGTGTCGGGGCAGACGCCGCCCAGACGTGTACGGAGTGCACAACTTCTGGACACAAGGTACAGCTCGATAAAAGAAGCTGCGGCCCCACCTGCCCGGCGCACTCCACGGCCAGCTCGAACGTCTGCGAGTGCGACCAGGGATACACGCCCAACGCCGGGAAGACCGCGTGCGAGCCCAATCCCAGCGCGGGATGCGCACAAGAGCTGACCCAGGCAGGCTGCAAGACGTGTGTCGGGGCAGACGCCGCCCAGACGTGTACGGAGTGCACAACTTCTGGACACAAGGTACAGCTCGATAAAAGAAGCTGCGGCCCCACCTGCCCGGCGCACTCCACGGCCAGCTCGAACGTCTGCGAGTGCGACCAGGGATACACGCCCAACGCCGGGAAGACCGCGTGCGAGCCCAATCCCAGCGCGGGATGCGCACAAGAGCTGACCCAGGCAGGCTGCAAGACGTGTGTCGGGGCAGACGCCGCCCAGACGTGTACGGAGTGCACAACTTCTGGACACAAGGTACAGCTCGATAAAAGAAGCTGCGGCCCCACCTGCCCGGCGCACTCCACGGCCAGCTCGAACGTCTGCGAGTGCGACCAGGGATACACGCCCAACGCCGGGAAGACCGCGTGCGAGGTGGCCTCTAACACGCAGTGTAATACTCCCAACTGCAAGATCTGTGATAACCCCAAAACAGACAATGAAATCTGCACTGAATGTAATGACGGCGACTACCTCACTCCAACAAAGCAGTGTACGCAAAGCTGCGGAGCAATAGGAAGCTACTACAACGGAGACAAAGTGTGCGAGCCCTGTAATCCTAGCTGTGCTGCGTGCACCACAAAGGGACCAGCGAAGTGCACGCTGTGTCCTCCCGGGAAGAGGCTCCAGTACACAGATGAGAACAGTCCATCAAGCGGTACTTGCGTAGATGAGTGCAAGCCCCAGAGTGGAGCTAGCGGATGCGAGACCTGCGGAGCCACCATCGGAGGGACAAAGTATTGCTCGAAGTGCAGCACATCCACGGAGGTCCCCGTCAACGGAGTCTGTACAGCAGACAATGCCCGCGCGCCCGTATGCTCGAAAAAGGACAATCAGGGAGGGTGCACTACGTGTGCCAGTGGGTACTTCCGCCAGGACAACGGCTGCTATAAGACTGACAGACAGCCAGGCAAACAGATATGTACACTAGCTGATAGCAATGGTGGATGTCAGGCGTGTGCCAATGGTCTTCCTCCTAGTTCTTCTGACGTATGCCCCTCGTGTCATTTCACCTGCAAGACATGCTCGACCGCAGACACTGCAAATACTTGTACAACGTGTGCAACTGGGTACTATATGGTCGGATCAGCAGCTGGACCATGCACTTCGTGTGACAGCAACAGTGGAAGTGTCAAGGGAGTTGCTGGCTGCATGAGCTGCGCTCCTCCATCTAATAATCAAGGCTCCGTCCTTTGCTACCTCATAAAGGATACCGGTAGCACCAACAGGAGCGGCCTCTCCACGGGGGCCATCGTGGGGATCTTCGTCGCAGTCATCGTTGTTGTGGGGGGCCTTGTGGGCTTCCTCTGCTGGTGGTTCCTGTGCAGGGGGAAGGCGTAGACTTAGCTGTGTACTTAGGTAGTAAACGCATCGCCTATTGCACCTGCCCACTCCATGGCCGTTGCGCCGTCATTCCATAAAACCGTTGGACCACCTGTCTCCGAGCATCCGTCGAATCCTGCGGTAGGACCGCGCCTCCATGTTTTGCCGTGCCCGCTTCTGTATGGCAATGAGCACCCCCTACTATTGTACAACTATTCCACCCAGAGGCAGGCGACACACAGACTCTTGGCTCTGATATGCGCCTCTGTGCACCATCTCTCGCACCTTAGCAGCCCGATTACGGCACCGTGTGGTCTGGGCACTCCCAAGCGGCGTGTGTCGGGCACCTGGTCGGCTATGCACAAGGCCCGTGGCAGTCAAGGCGTGCAGCGCTGGACTATCGCCTTAGGTACCCGGCGCATCCAAAGAGACGATATCTAGAAGAACGGCTAGTCACACCTTTCAACCATTAGTGTCTTGCAGCATCTCCAACGCAAGCCTCTAGGCAGCGGTTCGCAGTGTATACATGAGCTACAGGGGAGCTTGCCGCCAAACATGGTCTGTGTGCATAGACCGGTTACCGTTACTTGATGAAGTAGACGCTTCTCAGTCCGGGTACACCTGGTCCGCGTGATCTCCTTGCCCAAGCTCTTTTCTATAGCTATTACCATGTGCGGGGTCCAAGAGGGCAGCCATCGATTTCTAAGTGTGGGCTTGGCTCTGCTTCTACCAAGGTGTGCAGTTCTAAGCGTTGATGGACCACGCCCTAGCTGCAGGATCTCCTTCGTGGGAAGGAAGCTCCTCCACGGTCCTGTAGTCGCACCCTAGAAGTGTCTTACTCCAGTTCCAGTGCCATTATTGGTGGCTTAGCCATGGAATGAATACCGCAAGACGTTTATAGTTAATGACAGTGTGCTGCGGATCTTCTGGCGGTTCTGCTGAGCCCTGTGCCGCTATCCGCAAACATCTACCCCAGGGATATAGAAATCAGAGTCTGCAGAGGGATCCCTGGGGCTGTGAGCAGGGTGGTCTTCAGGGACCTGACCGACGGCATCCACGGACATGAGCGTTCCCAACTGTGGTCGGGTCGAAGGCAGTGCTTGCTGGCTCGTGCAGGGGCGATGCGGCTCTCCGGTAGGTCCCAGTGTCCGGCTGCATAATCTCTGTTAGATTCCTGGACGGGCTGAGATTTTAGCCACGGCATCTGCAGGCAAGCCCGCACCGTGGTCTCCTCCACCAGGGGTCATCCTGTCTCATCTCCGGTGCCATCCTTCACCGGGTCTTCGGTGGGACACCCATACACGTTAGCCATTGCACAATATACAGTATGAATCTCTAACAATCTCTGACACATCGCACAGCTCCCTCAGCCGCCAGTTCGGCCATCCTACGGCGGAAACTCCTTAACTCGTTCCGAATTAAGAAGAGAAGCGCCGTCAGGCCCCGCCAGTACTGCGATCGGAGACGTCGTGGGAACACGGGGTGCCGAACTTTCTCCGCGTCCTCGTCCAGCGCCTTGCCTTTCCCAGCTGAGCTCTTGCCAAAGTGGGCCACCATCAGAGAATTACCAGAGCCCCTACCATGACCTGTATGCATAACTACGCGAGTCTACAAATCCACTAATACTCCTGCATCCAAGAACTGCCTACTAACCTATTAATCCACGTCATCCTTGGAAAGCAAATCGCTGTCCTAGTGCCTTGTCTGCTCCTGCAATGACGTCTAATCTTTCGCGGCTACCTAATCATGATAACAGGATGATCATACAGAGTAGTCACCTATCTTATTCCAGCTAGCACACAAGCCCACAGACATCTGCTCAGATTGAGCATGTAGTCCCATTAGCGTACTCTCAAGGCAGACAGGGTTTAACGAGTTCTGTGGTGGTACCGATCACACCCTTATTTACAACAAACCTATGATCACAGTAGCATATGATACAGATATGTATCTGGCATATCCATGGGGGTGTGAATATTGATAGACAAGAAGATGTAAAGCACATAATAAAATGTAAGAGGAACATAAAGGGGGTTGATGTGGCGCTCCTATGAAAGAGGTCCCTAGATAACTGACAATATAGAATAATATACACCCATCAGTGAACGCAGAAAATCATTGACGGGGTAAATAATGAGTTCCAACTTTATGTCTAAAACGGAAAAAAGCAGATGTGGAAGTACTTCGGTGGTGAGCTACATCATCTCTACGGGCTGCTAAGCGAGTCTAATTCGGCTGATAGAAACTAGCATCTGTGGATCGATACATTCGTTATTGACAAGAATGAGATTGGGATGCTGATAATATTATCGCGTATCCTCATCTGCGGAATTATGTGCTAAGTATGCTTCAGTAGGTCTAGCTCCTGCAAAGAACCGCGTAAATAGGGAAGCCGTAGATATACGATTAGAAGTTAGGCAACTTAGCCCAAAGATGACGTGCCACTAGATTACAAGTTTGCCAAAAACCACCTCTGTGAATAATTCCAGTTTGCTTTGTCAATGCGTGACCTTCATGGCCTGCACATGGTCCTGCTGCATCTGCAATCAAGTGTGGGGTACAGATAAGTCTAGTCTTCTGCAAGATAAAAGGCGGCAAATCCTTTATCATGAGTTAGAAGAGCAATACCAAAGAACGCTACTGTCCAGCGCCTCCCACTGGCTCCTCATTGGGAGTAATGGACCAGATGTTGGCTCCTGGCTCAACTATGATTAGGGGGATGCATGCTAATTGGCCGTTAATATCGAGGGAGAGCGGGACTGACTGTAGATTGAGTAGCTTAATGTACGGTTGCTGTTGGGCAATGCTCTGGAATGCAAGAGGACTAAAGGTAACGGGTTCATCTGGAATATCGTTATTCAGTCCACTTTCTGCCTTGACGTCAATCTGAGAGAAAGAGGCTGCTTCTGGAGAATACTTGTGAGTACTTGACTGGGACAACTTTCTATGGTCTAAGGGGGCTGGTTGAGGACCGGAAGCATACCCGGGTATGTGAAGGACGGTCGAGGAAGATAGCCCTGCACGCTCTGTTTCAGGAGGCCTTCTCCGCCTTGTCGGACGCTGAATATTGCACTCAGTAAGGACGGCCCGTATGCAACGACTGTTAAGCATATTGTAGTACGTCATCCGTAGCTCTTGACGCGAGTACTTCTTTCCAAACTTCTCATGAATTGCTTGGTAAAGCCGCTCGTCTGGAACTTGCTGGCAGCGGATCCAATTGATGATAATCTTGCGAATCTCTCCACGGTCTTCGTTAGTCATCTTTATAGTTAGGATGTGGCGCAGGTGCGTTTCATAGTACCAACGAGAAACCTTCTTCTCGTCCACGCCAACCTCGTTAGAGATCCAATGCCAGTCCACGGATGTTTTGAGCATGTACGAGTGGAGCAGACACGGGTTTGCAAGAAGGTCCTCCACCGTCTCCTCTGGATGGATTGCGTTTATGATCTCTGTGGCAAGCCAGCGCAGCACCTTTGACTGATTTTCCACGGTCAGGCAGGGCCTCACCATATTGTCGTGGATACTAACTTTTTAATTAAGCGAGTTAATTCAATACGGAATTCTACCGGATGGTTACCCGCCGTGTGAATCAACCCGAGAGATTTACTTGCGAGAACTCTCTTCACGGCCGTGAATGGCGGTCTCTAAGTTCCAGGCGGGGCGGGCCGACCAGGAGCTCATCCATTTCTCGGCGGTGGGCAGTACACCCCCTCCGGCGCACCTGCCCGTGCCAGAAGGCGTGCACAGAATGATCGGAGATGCAGCTGCGCTGTGGTTGTTGCATCCAGAGTGCAGACATGGAGGTAGTATATGCCTGCCAAGACAGCACACGACTTCCCTACAGCTCCTTGGCGTGTCGGCGCGTGAAGACAGAGGGCCAGCCAGGGTGAATGTCGTGGCCGGCCAGCTGCACATCAGCTTTAGCTCACGGCCCAGAGAGCATTCAGTCGCCTGTTACCGGACGGGCCTGTCTGGTAGATCGTTGGCCCAGACCGCGGTGTTCGAGTCGTCTGGGCACATGGGAGAGCCCTGCCTTCGTCTGCTGTGTGTGGTCTCTTCAACGATGCGCAGAATGTGGGTTGCGCGACATCCAGACCGTCGCAGCCTGCGTCTGGTGGGCCCTGCGCTGTGCCGTGGTTGAGCATGCTACACGCTCTAGACATGACGGTCTCGTCACTGACCAGGCTCCGGCCATTAGCTGCTCCTACCGACCACTCTTCGCCAACCACCAAGCAAGCCGGGGTCTCCAGTCCTCAACCCTTACTGGGGCTCGCATCAGCGCACCCAGGCACGCCTCCGTAGCCCGCAGGGGGGAAGCATGGCACGCATGCGAATGCAACGGGCGACCCGAGGAGACCCTGGCCCGTCTGGAGCGGGAGGACGCCAGGCCCAGGAACGACCCCGGGCGGGAGGGCGAGGACGAGGCACCCCGGCGCGTGCGGGGGCAGAAGCGCAGAGACCGCGCCCGGGGCCACAAAGACCGGCCCCCCGACGGGCGGCACCAGCGGAGGCGCGGCGCAACCAAGAACGCAGGGGGGCGGGGGAGAGGCCGCCACAGGAGATGCCCCCTCCTCCTGCTTGGCCGCCCTCGGGCCGTATGTGCGGCGCGGCAGCACCACCCCGTGCTCCTCCAGGGCGGCGCGGACGTCCTGGGTGCGGAGCGCGTTGTTGTACGTCATCCGCAGCTCCTGGCGCGGATACTTCGCCCCGAAGCGCTCGTGGACCCTGCGGTAGAAGTCCGGGCCCAGGATGCTCCGGTCCCTGACCCCGGCGATGATCATCGCCTTGATGGCCCTGCGGTCCTCGCCAGTCATCTTCACGTTGAGGATGCTCCGCGAGTGCGTCTCGCGGTACCAGTGGTAGATCCTGCTCCGGTCCTCGGACAGGGCGCGGGCGATCTTCTTCCAGTCGATGGCCGTCCGGAGCACGTGCCGGTGGAGGAGCAGCGGCCGCCGCGCGAGGCTCTCGGCCGTCTCCCCCAGCCGCCGGGCAGCGACGACCTGCTTCGCGAGCTCGAGCAGAACGGAGGCGCGCGTCTCCGCCGTCATTGCCCCAGAGCCCATCCGATAGAAGCAGCGATAAAACTAAAAACAGACCAACGAATAATGTGAAATTAAATATGTACAGGCCTTGCACAAAAGTTTTAGCGGGTGTTTGTTGCCTGCCTGCCCCGGTCCGTCGGGCGAGCAGGGCGCCCTCACCCGGGCCATCGCCGCAGTACGAGCTGGCTTAGGCCGCCACACAGAACAGACCGCTTTGCACACGGCGGCGTCGGGGTTGATGTATTGATCGGAGTTTTTTGGTATTGCCGGGAACCCCCGCCCTCGGCCACCAGGGAGAGCCGCACTCTGCGCAGCCCCGGTTTGTCTGCATATGCCCAGAGCTCTGCGGAGGCGGGCAGGCTGGGACCGTCCTCCTCGTTCGGGGCATCGCCGACGACGAGCTGTTGCCTGCGGCCCGCGGGGTCTTCCGCTCTGAGAGGGGCCACCGAGTGTCGTGGGCCGCAGCGCTCTGCAAGGCCTGCACACGACCAGAGGCTGCCAAGTTTTTTGAGCAACTGGCTCTGGCGCGGATTCTGCGGACACCTGCTGCCGGCCCAGTCTACAGGGGCGCCCGCGTGTCTACTGTGGCCTGGCGTGCGTTTCTGCGCGTCCTCCTGCGGCGGCTCCCCTCGTGGCGCAGGAAGCCCTGCCTGTCCTCTCCCACCGGGTTCTCCCGACGTGCTCTCCACCGCACCCAGCCGAGGTTCCAGCGGACAAAGGAGCGGCATGACCCAATCAGTCGCCAGATTACATTGTGCTCTGGAGCTGCGAATCTTGCTGGCATCTCATGCGACAGTGGCTCTGGGTGTGCCCGCTCAGCAGCAGCTACCTCATCCACAGAGTGCTGATGCAGATATTATGCGCTACGTATCAGTGACCACAAGGGCACCGATAGACAGGGTCTCAGCCTCAGTGCACAGCCAAGGTTGCCAAGCATAGCGAGGCTTACATACTGAGCATGGGTCCGTGCCCCGCGTGGTCTTCTTAAGAACTAGTGCATGAGTGCTCGTGAGACGACGCCCCATATGAGGCGGGCTATCCGTTGTACGCGAAGCACAGCACAGCAGAAGTGGGTGATGCAGGGACCAGAGGGGGTGCTTCAGCACATCAGTCGTCGGCCCCTCTGCCTTCTGTCGCGCCTGATGGACTCTCCTCTATTATCGCAACTCGGTCGCGGTTGTCTGAGGAGAGGACTAGGTACTCAGCAGACAATGGAATCGCGTGGCCTGGACGCGATTTCGTGATGGCCAACATGGGTTATCAGGCTGGCTGTGGTCTGGATATGTGGTACAGCTTCCTTCACTCAAGCAGGTACGTAGCATTTTCACTGGTGTATATTGCACAGCCCCTTGGCACCTGTACCCGAGGCCAACACCGCACCAGCTTTCTGATCGCTAGGACTGCCCGGGTGCGGACAAGGTGCTTCGTTCACTTAGAAGTATATCTCGGCACGACGCCTGCGCTGTCTTATTGCATTGAGGTGATGGCGGCCGCCGTATTGTGTCTGTAGAAGTAGACGCCTGCGCGCATTGCTATCGTCTATCTTCTGCAGCAGCGATGCGTCGAAGCTCCCGGTAATGTTCTCTGGCTTGGACACCATCTTGGCGACGCTCTTGACATCCTCTTCTGTTAGGTAGTTGAACCTCCGAGGCTTCTTGTCTGGGCTGTCAGACTCAGCCACCGGCTTCTGGGTCTTCTCCACCCCATTGATGAAGCCGCTGCCACGCAAAAGAGTCACGGGATAGACAAGGCCGCGCAGTATCTCAAAGACCGTCCCGGCGCCCAGCGTGTTTATGGCTGTCTGGAGCAGGCGGAGGCAGCGCAGGAGCATCACGTTATTTTCGTAGAAGGAGCAGCCGCCGCGAACCCTATCGACATTCTCAGTGGACCCGGTCTGCAGGATATTGATCAGCTCTATGACGACGGCCTCCAGGATGCGGCCCTTGATGTTGCTGATGCCCTCAATGCACTCCTCATAAAGGCCCGAAAGGACCCCAGGCATCGCCACAAAGCGGCGCATCACCTGCTCCAGGATGGTCTGGATGTACTTGCAGGTCTGGGGGTAGCGCTGCGACGTCCTGCCGGGGTCAGCAAGAGATCGGTGCGTGGCGCTTTTATTAAGACCGGAGATGGCAGACGTAGAGCGGGTGTCTTTGAAATAACAAATCACGTTGTAATTCTCCAGGATGATGGGCTACGTGCAGACAGGAGTCTATAGTAATTGTGCTAGGTCTATGTATTATGTACTTCACACTGATTGATAACAAAGATAACGAGGAGAATTTTGATTGAAACCAGAAACTGGCTGCAATGATAGCAGTGCCCATTTTTCATCGGTAAAGGTCTAAAAGTCTTTGCTTCACCTCTATTTTACTTAAGCGGATAATAAAAATGATATTCAACAATTATTTTGAAAATAAAGTTGCTAGTGTAGAAAAGATACATGCGTCTCTGGTTAAGACTGAAAATGTGTATGCGTGAGGTTGTTGTGCTAAGAGGAACTTTTTTGCGTTCTAAATGCTGGGACAAGTAGCTACCGACACAATATTTTTATACTCGTTAAGCATAGTATTGCAAGTGCCAGCGACTCATCTGTTATAATAGTGCTATTTGAACAAGAATGCTAGCAAGATAATGCACACACTGCGGTATCTAAATAGTGTCCTAGTCTCTACACAGGTATGCCTGACGTTAAAAGTATGAAGATTGGAGGCGTATCTACGACAGTAAGAGTAAATGACATGGTAGGGCTCAACTATACAATGAGAAAGATCATCTACGGTGTTGAGCCATGAGGCCAAACTCAGAACACGGAAATAAGTCCGTGTAGTAATTTGAATAGTTTCAAAATTCAAAACTCAGTTCTTGATAATCTCCAGTCAATGAGCTCTAAAACAGAGATCCCAATAATTACCGACGAGGGGGACTTTAGCGCTGAGTATGAAACGTTTTGTCAGGCAATGAACGGAGTTGCCGATGGAACATTCATCTGTGTGAGCGTTTTTGGACCACAGTCTTCCGGAAAGTCAACCCTTCTCAATGACCTTTTTGGGACTAGCTTCAAGACAATGGACTTATCAGCGGGGCGAACTCAAACCACGAAAGGAATCATGGCACGTGCAGTAGACTTCCAAACGAAAGTCGCCCCTCGGGTTCTTATTCTAGATTGTGAAGGCTCAGATAGCCGCGAACGTAACCAGCAAGAGGCACAGAACATTGAAAGACACATAGGATGCTTTGCAGCTGCAGTGAGTGATCTGCTGATAATAAATGTGTGGAACCACGATATAGGGCGCCACTCCGCTGCAAATTATAACATACTCTCTACCATCTTTGACATCTACTTTAGGTCCTTGCTTAAGGCACGTAGAAAATCAGGCAATCATAGGCCCTTAATTTTACTAATTGCAATCCGAGACGCCGAAGAGGACGGGGCAGAACTGACGCAAAGGACATTCGAGTCTGATGTTCACCATATCTATGAGCAATCCGTTCCTAAGCAGTACCATGGCTCTTTCAGAGACTACTTCTGCCTGCGATTTTGGTTTATTCCTCACCGAAGATATATGAAATCGTTGTACGATGAAAAGATTACGCAGCTAAAAACAGATATCAAGGAAATCTTCGATTCCTTACTCGGTGCTGAGACAGCAACCACTCTAATACCCCTTACGGATTCGTCTATATACTATAACAACATCTGGGACATCGTTCGGACTGACAAAGACTTGGATATCCCAAGTCAGAGGGAGATAGTATCTAACATAAGATGCGAAGAATTCTATTTGGAGGCTATAGAGCAGTTTTCCTCGCAAGTCGGCAAAGTATTTGCAGATGTCACGGCAGCAATTCAGGTTTCCTTGGGTCAGCAAAGCTCAACCTTTTTGGAGCAGAGCCCGGACGCCGTTAAAGATTATCCTATAACAAAACTACATAACGCTTGCAATTCTTTCAAGCTAACAAAGGTTCTGATGGATCTTTCACAAGAATGTGTCGCCTTGTATCGCAGAAAGACACGGCACTACATTCCCAAGGTGGTTACTCAATGGGCTACTAAGCTCAATGACGATGTTTTGGCCGGATTGAAGAAAGTGGCTCACAGCTTTGCAAAGGGCATCCGAGAGTCTACCTGCCAGGCACTAGGTGCTGTCACGGCTCCGTTTCGGGTACAGATTACACAGTGGCTCGAGCGACACGAGTATAGCGATGACTACGCGTCCAATACTAATACGGTAGATATACTTGTACCAGATCTTATAAGCGACTTGACATTCCCACAGAAGCGACTCACCGATCTTATGGGTTTGCTTGGTGCTGCGACAAGGGTGTTTCATAAGTGCATTTCTGTCAATTGGGCCCATGAGTATTCAGGTCTTTGTGATACCGGAATCCTCGTTAACCTACCACCAAATGATGTAGGGCCTAATTCTAATGTACGCATCGGTGACAACGCTATAGAAACGAATGCAGGCTCATCTGTCAGGTTGTCTGTCGGTTATGAGGCATCAGAGCCCATGGTGGACGCCCATATCGATGATTCTGGAGCCTTTTTCTCAGATATTAGGCAAACTGGAGTGTATTCGCCTCATCTTTATGCATTTCTGGAGAGTCTTTCGCTATCTACCTACGGGAAGGCGTTGTCGCTGCAGAAGTTGCCTGCCGCTCCTCCTGATGTTGCCAACGCTTATGATGCTGTTTGCCTACTCCATACCATTATACTACTGTGGTACTGTGAAACAATGATGCCACTGAGTCTTATATATGACATCACACCAGAGATAGACCACGTTATCCCAGAGTCCAATGCTCTCTTCTGCGAGACAATGGGCAGCATTTTGGCCGCCGTTGCGGAGGCTGTTTCCAGCCAGACACGTACCATTACGGCGTCGATGACTCAAGCGACTGCACGCCTAATGGATGACAAACTCTACGTGACACTCGGATCTCTCCGAGGTGTTATTTATGAGTCAGCAAGAAAAACCCTTGAGCGCTCTTTCTTTTCGCTGCTCTCATCCGCCTTTGTCGCCCCCGATCACCAAGGACTGCTCTACTTGCAAACACGCCTCTCCAGCCCCTCAATTTACTTTGATCTTCACTTTGATTCCAGCTCCAGATCCAGCCCTACAGACTCTATTCTACCAGATACACAGAATCCTGTATATAAGCAGTATACAGATATATATTTATTTTCGACGTTACCAGCTCTTCTCTCGCCGCTTCCACGAGCGTATAATACAGTAGGAACTCGTCTCTCGTCAGGGTCTAGCTCAATCCAGTCGCTACTTCCTCGCTACAGAGCTGTCCCCATTGTAGCTGCTCTTGATATGTCTGCCTTTTACATTCCACAAGCAGCTTTGTCCTCGTTCATGGATAGAGTTGACGCAGAGATAATAGAGTTAATTAATAAAAGTCTCGGGGAATTCTTCTCTAAGAGTTTTCCTCTAGTCCTGCAAAACAAGATACATACTAAGCTAGTATATGACGATCAAGGAGCACAGCGTTCTTACATTTCGGAGAATTCTATATTGACAGAGTTTCTTTCAGAGAAGAAAGGTCTCATATCTATGGCGCAGTTGTTTGAGGGAGGGACTCTTATAACAGAGAACCTGCATTCTGTGACAATAAAACCTACTTCGCAAGAAAAGATTGATGCTATGCTTCGGTGTGCTGAAGCAGAGTGGGATAAGACGTATCAAGAAGCCTTGGAAATATATCGTACCAACAAGCACAAGGATAAATATAAGTGGGTATGGTTAGGCCTGTGCGTTTTCCTTATGCTTACTCGCAAGTGGGTATATGCAGTTTTGCTAAGCAAGTACTGTCTCTGCATCACAATATTACTTCTTTCTGTTGGTCTTTTCGTTTATCAGCGAACGACTCCTGACGAGCGCAACGCGTCTTTTTCCATTGTAGCCACTAGCATTAGAGAGAGAGACGTTGGACAGTTTTGGGACGCTACTAAACGTTTGGCTCAAAAGGTCATCCATTGAGCCATTGATTAATTGCCTTCTATAAATGACTGTAGTGTTCTTCTTATCTCTTCATCGATAAGTATATAGAGGCATGCTCTCTGACGTTCGAGGTTACCGTGCTTCCGCTCGACGAAGGTTTGGGCATCGCGACCTTGTCCTAAGATATCAATTGCATTTTGTGATGCGCTGGAGTATACCTGCCACACGGATGGATCCAAATATTGCTGTAGAAGCAGCCCATTCGGAGAATTGGGAGCCTGCACGTCAAGGCTTTCATATGTCTCAAAAAGCTCCTTCATTGCCAGAACAGTCTTAGCCCATTGCTTCATATCCCCTTGCTCAATCGATACCCCATCATCATAAATCGATAGGCGCGCAGCGGCGCCTTCTATTGTTTCCTCCGGGGGGCATTCTCCTTGGCTCCATGGGTGGTACTTTGCAATAAACAACTTTAGAGTAGAGTGTACAACGTCAGTAATTTTCCTGTCATAGTATTTGCAAGAGAAGAATGAAAGAATATCCAGGACCGACGTGGGCGGTGCGGCTTCGGCAAAATCTTGGGAAATTTGTGCAAATAGACTTACAGATACATCAAGCAATTTGACAAGGGCTTTATTTTTCTTTAGGCTGATCAAGATTTTTTGATCATATAGCCCCCCAGAGCGAACTAAAGAAAGCATATCAGCAAAGGATGCTTTGAAATTAGGATCCTCTGTTCTACATTGAAGCAAGTATAAGATATGGGGAGGTGGAAGAGCAGAGCAAGAAAGGAGCAAATAGCGTAACGTATTGCAAATGATAGCCTTTTTAGAGCGCAAATATTCTGCATCGAGCTCAAACAGAGCCTCTGCAAATGATAGGCCCCCAATCAGGAGAAGGAGATCTTCTTGGGTGATAGCTGCTTGCTGGGCACGGAAGAGAAATGCATCGAAGCAGTTATGGAGAATGGTACGGGAAGCATCGTGTCCATTCCTGAACAGGGACAACCAATCTATATCGGCTGCCTGCAGACGTGTGTGTCCGTTCTCATCGACAAAGAGTGTCGAGGCTTTTATACACAAGGAGAGCAAGAGGTTGTATGTCTGGTCTTCTGCTCGTGGCTCATTGCTCTTGTAACCACGTGGCATCATAGCGTTGTGATAAGGGTCTATACGATATGCTAGCTTGTACGGAAGGGGGATTTGGGAGAGTGAAAAGAGCTGTAGGGCTGCCTTTATCTGTACATGAACCGTGCCAAACAGAGCAACCAACACTGCAGTGGCAGTATCCTGACTGTCTGAGGTGTCATTCAAGCCTCGTATAAGGATAGGAAGGATCAGTGCAAGAGAGTCTCCAAAGGAGGATAGCGCAGACAGGTAGTGTGCAGAGAACTTGGCCCCAGGCTTACTCCAATCACTTATCAAAAGTGCGTGACCAAAGGGTGTAAGAAGAGCAACATTCTCCCCGTCATTATATCTATTAAATCCCTCTTCAGTCAAGTCTTGCGGATAGTACATGGAAGAGAGCTCCTGACATAAGTCCAGGTTGGGATACTCCTGTAGCTGAGTATTCACAATCAGAATGATAGGATCCACAATTCGTCTGTGATATTCAACGATAGCCAAAAGTGATACATACAAACAGAAATTTGTCTGATTGAAGACTGAGCCTTCAATGGCTACAATCTTATTCCATCTACCTATAAGTGTGTCACGAACCCCCACAATAAGGGACAATGACGATATGGGTGCGTAATGCAGAGCTATTGTGAAAATAACCAAAAGAGACTTAATGGACAAATTTAGAGCATCCGTAGACAAATGGAAAGCCTCAAAAAACGCCATGCTAACATACTCAATAGCTGCTGCAGAGTAGTCTTCCATGCTTTTACCGTATTGATGTTTCTTCGAGACAGAATGGCTATAGAATGTACACATTATCAATAATAAAGCCTTATCAGTTGATATTTCACTTGGATTTAACAGACTAGAAATCCATTCTATAATGCTATCTGCTAGTTCAACAAGAAATGGAACGGGATGGCAGTGGATGATGATATTAAAGCTATCTAGAAGTTCTTTAACAAGAGCTTCATGATCGGTGTAGTAAGTGTTGGAAATGAGTACGTTACCCAGAAAGATAGCTCGACTGAAAGTATCCTTGGCTGTTGCCTCAATAATTTGGGAAAACATGTGTATTGGCAGTGCTTTAGCTACAATCCGTATTATGTCTGCTAGCTGTGGTCGAATGGACCTAGTATCTGGACAGTGAGTGCATGCATGACACCCATGCATCAATGAATTATGTTCATACCAATATGGGTGAGCAATCACCTCTTCACAACTTAAGGTGCTGAGCTTGCTTGCAAGCCAGAGATAGACATCGCTTGTATAGAAGATGTTGGAGTAGACGTCTGTTTGCGCTAAAAGCTTAAAATATAGTAGAGCGAGAGTGATGGTATTAGGCTCACTCATCTCGTTAAGATTGAGCATAGCAAGTAGTGAATCAAGAAGGTAGTTTGTTAGTGGTTCCCGCAATACATTTGTGGGCACTTGCAAGTAGGTAAGCAAGGCATCAAAGTTCTCTCTTTTTAGCTCTAGCGTTTCCTGAGGTCTAGTAAGGGCTTTATCAGATGTTTCAATATTTAGAGTGGTTGTATTGTCCAACGCCTTTACAGTGGGTTGTACCAATCCATCAATCAGCATTCCAAAAAGATCGCAGAGACCAGGGTTTCCAGTGTCATAGAGAAGCTCGCCGAGGCAAAGGATCGTGTGTGCTGAGACTGACGGAGAGGAGAACACATGCTTCATCACCTGTGACAAGGCAGCATCCAGCTCTTTTTCTTTGAAGCATGGACGGGCCATAATAAGTACTCTAATCATAAGTTCTATGTTGATTTGCTTGGAAAAAATAGCCGAAAAGACGCTACGGTCTGAAGGTTCTTGGGTAAGTAAAGTACAATACAATTCAACAAGAAGTGTGTGCTCCTCGGAAGCATTAGAGTTGGTTGTCGTAGAATTGAGAATAAAATATTCCAATCTATCAGCTACAGATTGCAGTACTTGGGAAGGCATATAATTGGGTGAGAAGATTAGTCTACATGATAGCAAGGCCTGTAATAGTTCTTGACAATCTGGTGGCGCATTTGCTTTATCAGTTGGTGGTAGCTTAGTGAAAAGTTTGACAAATATGTCCGCGCACTCTTGAACTCTCAACTCAGATGAATCGTTATCTAGAAGCTGCCCTAACCCCGCTAGCCCAAACGATATGACCACCTGCTTAGTAGCCAGGTTTCTAGTAACACTGAGGAGCCTGTCACATAAGTCCAATACGTGTAAAGCGCCAATTTCAGTTCTATGGGCTGTTATCAAAGACAATAATGATTCCAGGGCATCGCGAAGACCCTGCCACTGCTCCTTCACCGAAGCCTCATCTATAAGAGCGGGCTGGTTCTCTATAACCACGATCCTTCTACAAGCGCAGACTGCACGCTGAGTAGACTCTACAATGAATGCCATTGCGAAAATCACACAAATGCGTAGCTAAACGACGCGTTAAGGGTTATTTATTACAAGGAAGAACAATTCCTGCGTCAGTAAGGGCCGTGAGAGCCCACTGGGGGACGCTATCAAGTGTCCCGTGCATCCTTAAGAGAAAGTTCAAGACGTAGGTATCCAGTGTCTCATTAAGAATACTCTCTCGAAGCCCTCGCATAAGCCGCAGAAGATACTGAACGTTATGGTCTGAAAGAAGTTGCCCGCAGACAGGACTCTTGGCCACATACAGAGCGTGCAGATACGCTTTAGAGTACTTGCATGCCTGACAAGGGCAGGTGCTGCTAATTGGAGAAAGATCGTCCTTGCACGTAGCACGATCTAGCCGGAGAACACCACCGTCAAAGAATGCGCCGCCCATACGAGCCACGCGCGTAGCGTAAACGCAATCAAACATGTCCACGCCAAGGCAGGTACACACAACTAAATCTAGAGGAAAGCCGACACCCATAAGGTATCTGGGTTTATCCTTGGGGAGCTTCTCACAACAATATGCAACAACCCTGCAGAAATCCTCTTTTGCCTCACCGCCAGAGAGCCCTCCGATAGCAATCCCACCCATCTGATCCTTGCGTGCGATAATGGCCTCGATGCACTGATCTCTAAACCCTCCAGGAGAGAGATCAAGATGGCCCTGGCATATTCCAAAGAGGGTTTGCGTGGGCGACGTATGTGCAGCAATGCATCTGTCCAGCCAGCGTGTCGTGCGCTCAGTGGCCAGCTTGATCCGCTCATACTCCGTGCGGGGGTCCAGCAAAACATGAATAACGTCGTCCAGGGCCATCATAATATCGGAGCCTATGGCCTGTTGTGTGCGGATAGACTCTTCGGGTGTAAGAAGCACCCTCTTGGAGTCTACTGGAGAAATAAAACTCACTCCATCTTCTGTGACTTCTGACAAGTCCAAGAGAGAGACCATCTGATAGCCTCCTGAGTCTGTGAGGATGTTGTTGGGCCAGCCCATCAGCTTATGCAGTCCTCCCAATTCGTTAAGCTTCTGGATTCCGGGGCGGAGGTTGAGGAAGTATGTGTTAGACAGCATAATTTGAGCACCTGTCCGCTCTATTTGCTCAGTCGCAAAGCCCTTGAGTGTGCCCTGGGTCCCCACAGGCATATAGACAGGAGTAAGTATAGGGCCGTGTAGGAGGGTAACTGTTGCTGCTCTAGCACGTCTATACGTGCGCTGAATAGTGAACTTGAGCGGCCCGACACCCATTTTTTATTAGAACGGGTATGGCTTCCAGATCCATGCAAAACAAGACACCAGCCAGCAGTACTACAGACAATTTAATGCTCTAGTGATGCTAGATATTATTGGAAACTAGGGGGTGCGGAATACAGAGCGTTGTTAAGAATGTATTGCTGCACAGAGTCTACACACATGGTCCCGGACCTTCGCCGAAGGGCCTCCTTAGCTGCAGTACTAGAGATTTCTGAGACGGACTTGTTCAAAATCAAGATTCGTCCATTACGGTACGGTTCATCAAGGTAGGAGAGTTGTTTAACTTTGTCAATAACCTTCTTCTGAGACACTCCTCCTGCACCACCATCCCGAGGTACGATTACCGCAGACACCAATGAGTAGAGCCTTTTAACATTGGCGGGATTCCACGTCCTTTCATCGCATTGAGAATACAGCAGATCCATTCCTGCTACGATATAAATCTGAGCTCCATCGTAACGTTGCTTCAAATTTTCGACTATGGCATAGGTCGGTTGGTACCCTTGTGTGCACTCTGCTTCCCCTGTATCGACATCCATTATATGCGAGAGCTTGGACTCTGCAATAGCCAATCGTAACATCGCAACGCGATGAATACTTGGGGCCAGACGCTTATAGGGGTAGTTGTCGTGCGCAGGGCTGAACAAAATACGTGTAATACTCCGCTTCTCATGCGCTAACCAGTCATGTGCATATTCCACGAGTAGAATGTGCGCACGGGTTACGGGGTCAAAACATCCCATACACACTAGAACGACCGGCGGACAGGGCATCGCAGGTTTTTCTTTTCTGTTGTCGCGGAGACGAAAGTAAATGTCGCAAGTGTTTGGAATTACCTGCAAATCTGTTTACATTATAGGCGGAGAAGAAGAGGGGCTCCGCTGCAAATATCGGTGGATATCTCCTCAACTCCATATGCATCACAGAGGGGACAGCTGCTGGCCAGCTTTCCTATCAACTTGTCAATAAGCCCAGTTGGCTTCATAGCTTCGGTATGCAGTGCAGCATCACACTCCCTGACTAGTTTATTTATCCGACTACTGAGAGGGGATAGGTAGAATGCAAGGCATGATGTGTGGAATACATGTCCACAAAAGAATACCGTATGGTTATGCGCTAAGAAACTGCAGCTATTCACTGCTAGTTCACGGATTCCAAGCCCACTTGCAAGACAGTGGCTGTTATCCAAATATTCTAAGCACACCCCGCATACTTTCTGGCCCTCATGAGCAACTGTGCGTTGGCGAGCTTCTTCCAAGTCGCACTTCTTCGCCATGATTTGGCTGACACACTTCTCAAGACTCTGCTTAACATCCACGCTTCGGTTCTGGTAATGCTTGAAAGCAAGATGTAGGCTGTCCGCAATGACGTTATATGGTGCTCCAGCAGATAATATCAAGTCCATGACCTCTGTGAGGGACACGAATGGAAAGTCGAACATGAGCTCTGTGGCCCGCAACAAAACCAATTGTCTAAACACTGCTTCAACAATGGCATATACCTGCGTTTTCGACAAGGATGGATTGAGAGTCAGCCATCCTCTATCAGATAAGGAGTCTGTAGGATCGTGCAGCTCTATGCTGATAAGCCAAGTAACTAGTGTCTTTAAAAGCTGTCTCTTCTGTTCTACACGATGAGACTTATCAATCAAGTCTGCGGCGTCTAAAATAAGCACCTCGCTATCATTCGGAAGAGAGACCTGTAGTGACGAGACAGAATCGCAAGTATCCTCAGAACACATTCCGGCACTGGTAGAAAGAGATCTGGATAATAAGGCACCCTGAAGGTCTCCGTTCTTTATCATGTTCACAATGCAGGCTTCCTTTCGCCCGAAATCAAGTTCAGCCAGAGGTATCTTCGTATGGAGAGACAGCGAAAGCGATAACGCATCAAGTTGGTTCCCTGTCTTGGTAAGGCATTTGGCCTCACAATCCCTGAAGCCATAGCTTCTGCAAACGCTGGTAATGTCAGGGAGATTGAACTTCTTAACCGAGACATCGACAGAAAAATCCACTGGAATAATATCAATTGCCAGGCTCAACAGCTCCTCCTCACCGGCTTTAGCGAGAAACTCAAAAGCAAAGGTGTTGACAGACGGCTCAATGCTTCCCTCTTCGTCTAAAAGGAGCCATCGGAAGAAAGACACTAGCTCACGCATAACTTCTGGGTCTCCTTTATTGAGAGCCTCCACAAAGCACTTTGTTAGTTTGCTCAGTGCAAAAACCTGATCTTTGACGTCACTGGGCTTTGCCCCATTAGCTTCTGCGGCTAACACAGCTACATGCTTGGTTTTCTTCTTCACAACATTTAGATAGTCGCGCGGAATGTGAGACAACAAAGTATTTGAGTAATAATAGAATAAATCCAAATCTTGGTCGGCCAAAATATGCAGGGCGTCTTTGTACTTGTGGGTCAATAAGTAGCTGGTGAATAGTGTCCTGTTGTCCTTTTTATATTTAGAAAACTCTACCAAAATGTCGTCAAGTCCATGGTCAAGGAGGGATGACCGTAAGACGGATAGGTCCAGGGCAGATACATAGTCTGGGTTGGTAAGGAACGTCTTCAACTTAATCTTGTATACATCCACTTGGTCCTCGGCTTGGAGCACCGCTAAGTAAGCGCCTTCTTCGTTTTTCTCCAGCAGCACCTTGTATGTTTCCACGGCACGCCTCCGTGCATCTATCTCTAAGATCATGGCCTCAATCAACATGTGGATCACGAGCTTTCGGGCCACACAGTAGTTAGCTTGGTCTGCTTGCTCTTTAGTCACACCAAGACATCCCAGAAGAGCCCCTGTCCCGCCCTTTTCTGTCAAGCTGTCAAGGTCAGCTACACGTATGGTGTTGGCTGCCCTGGCCAATGCAGCATTATGAGCAGGCATCTTTTGGAGCTTTTCTTGCAGATATAAGACAGCTGCTTCATATTTATGGATACCGATGAGGTCACGGTAGACATCAAGGAGCGGAAGGTCAGTCTGGGACAACAAACGGGCACCCTGGAGAACCTTGTTGTTTGCAAGACATTGTTTTGCATACTCTTCCCGGATGACTTTCCGAGTGCTTTCTACGGGGCAGTACTGAAGAGCTTTGTCGTACTCATGGAGGGCGTAGTAGATAAACCACATGCTGCCGGCTTCATCTTGAACGTTCAGACTCACCGACCCGATAGACGACGGGGTAGTGCCCGTCCTTGACAGTTTCCCATAGGACAGGAGGATGTAGAAGTGCAAGACAGTCGAAAGGTCCACAACGCCGGTATCAGTGATGGTGGGAAACGTCTGTCTTAGTTCTGCGCCAGAGTAAATGAATTGACTCTGGAGAAGCATGTGTAGCTTAGATAGATGAGTGGCATCAAGACCTTGCAGGTTGAGAAGCACATCATTGTAGGCAACAGGATTGGGAAGCATCGTTACCTGTGACCGCGAGATGGAATTGAACACAGAGAGTCTATTAGCCAATACGATAACACTATGATAATTATAAGTGGCTGCTCCTAACAGCGCGCCAGGTGAAGTAGTTTGCTTGCTACTAGTATTACCGTTATCAGTATCATCCAAGCAAACTAGGACAGGGTCGCGAGGGTCGAAGCCTTGAATTCGGGTCACATCAATGGCAAAATTGACAAACGAAGATGCATCACACCTCTTTAGTAATGCCTTTAGTTCTGCATACCCTGCTCCAGCATCAGAATCTTGGTCTTGGTAATCGATCTTAAGTAGTGCAGAAATCCTAGTGCGCAGAACAGATTCGAAGATTTTGCGGAAAGAGATGCTGTACTGATATACAAGGAGATTGGATGACCCAATGGACTGAGAGATAATCTGATATGTCAGTCCCGACCCCGTTGCAGAGTAGAAAAAGTCAGCAACAGTATTGAGGATTGGACCCCTTTGTAGAACCTCTGCATCTGTCAAATCAAAGCGGGCCAGTTCTGCCCTAGAAGAGAAGACTATGTCGAATAGGGAGTGCACAGTATGAAGATAGGCCTTAATCAGTCCGCGAGAGCAAACTAGAGTCAGCATAACACTAAGTGCTTTATATGCGGGAAGATCAGACACAGCCGACGACATATCTGCGCTCGGTGCGCTGTATTGATCATAGTTCTGCATACCTACTTTCCGAGCAGCGTCAATCGTAGCGTGATTAATGGGAATGGTATGCAATTGAAGCACAGCACCTTTGGACAGTGAGACGACCTTTGTTTTGCGCACAACCTTGGCCTCATTCTTCACGATCTGCCCTACGTTCAAACAGTTGTCCGACGTCGCAAACAGAAACTCTGGACTGTGAACACCCTCAATATCCTCATTAGCAAGCGATGCTGTTGTGCTAGGTTCATCGAGAACGCTCGGAAGCTTCCAAATTGGATGATGTGGACAAACAAAGGTCAAAGCAGTTATCGGGATTTCAATCCCGCGGATTTTGAAAACGCGTAACTTCTGCTTCTTAGAGACAACACCAACAGCGTATATCTCCGCTGTAAGCTGCCGCTCATCACACAGAGACACCACAGCATAATTCCCACTAGGAGAACACCATACATTTGCATTTGTGTGGATTGTTGTAATGATAGCAGAGCCCTTCTTCTCCGCTGTCACTGATGGCTCTGCAGGGGCTTTTAGAGTGTATGCAAGAACGGTTACTTCCTGTCCCCCCGACTTGGAAACGACATAAAGGGATGAGCCACATTGCCGCAGTGCAAGAATGCTCGCGGGTTGGACCCCTTTGAGGAAAGAGGACGCAAGTGAAGATGTGCTAAAAGGAGAGGCGTACATGCTGTTTTTTATGGTTTCGTGTTAAGGCTTTTTGACCACCACCTCAGTGGCCTTGCACCAGTTGCTAGGGAATCTTATTTGCCACACATGTAGAAAGCTTAGTCTTCATTAAATTTACAAGCCCTGGAACCGTCTAGGAAAATTGAAGAAAAGGAGCTTGGAGGTTTGTAGAGAATTGGTAGTAAGCATGGAGGCCTCAGCTTTAGAAGGAATTTTGTGAAAGGTTCCATTGAATCCATTATTGCGTGCTCCTACATATGCTTTAATCCGTAGATTAGGGGAAGATATGTATCTATCGAATGATCTGAACCAGTATCGGCAGCCGCCAAATCATCAGTACATCCATCCTGCTCGGGTGCTAACATATGAGCAATATCCAGCTGTCCACACCGAAGAGCATATTGCAGTCCAACACCCGGCTCAGCACCAACCCCTAGGTCTCGGAATAGCTGGATAGCATAGATGTTTCCGTTTGCTATAGCACTTGTGTATGGTGTATCCCCTTCATTGTTAGCCTCCAGCTCTTCAGTGTGGATCGCTAGCTTGTTTGCAATAACATCAAAGTCGGGATAAGTAGGAAAGAGCACAAGGTAGTTCAGGGCAGTCATGCCACTAAGGTCTCTATAACCGTACTCCAGTCCAGCTAGGTACTGGCTAGCCTCTTTGGAGTGGTTGAGTATTGAATACATGAGTGCCGTCTGCCCCGAGGCATCCTGAACTCCTAACTCGTACTCCCCCGTGGCTAGAATCTTTACACACTCAACATGGTTCTGGGTGGCCGCTATCATCATGGCAGTCTTTCCATTGGGAAGGACGATTCTCCGCTCGCTATCACGCAGAAGCAGCACGGCCTCTGACTGATTATACACGCATCCAAGCATCATAGCACTGAAGCCAGAAGGTGTGACAAGTGTTGCCTCAGTAGGTGCAAGCTCTTTTACCAGATCGATCCAGCCGTAGGTCACGGCCAGCATCAACCCTGTGTAGCCATTTCTATCACGAACGTTGCGCATCTCTTCTTTGTGGTTTCGCACGTATAGTAGGTCACCGGTCTTAATGGCGCTAAGATACCGTCGCTCTTCCTGTGTGTCACAGCACATGTACGCTGCCTTAGGGAATGCTCCCAGCAGCAGTGTTTCTAATATCTCTTTTAGACCTGCAGAATAATAGTCTGGAAACGTACCTATTCTTCTGTCACCATCATTGCTCCGTAAAGAGCAGAATGGAAGGCTTACTAGTTGATACTTGTAAATGGAATAGTGTGCAATTGATCCAATATTCCACGCCAGCATGGAGTTGCTTAGTATTATGTTGTCTGTGGCCACTGAGCCGTTGTCTGACTGCTCAATTTTATTTAGATAATTTAGTGGCATATAACAGCATTGTAAGGGAGTTACTAGATCTAAACAGCGGAACCCAGACAGGAGGCCAAGGTAATCCATCACCAGATGCACAGAAAAGCTATCTGAATCTAGCTCACCGTCTATGAAGATATTCTGCGGGGTGAAAAAGAGGGGGCAGCAGTTGTTTGCCTTTTCAGTGTATTCGTTGGAGATGGTAATTAGTGTTTTCACCAGCCGCTTGATAAAAGGCTCTGGAAGAGGCTTCATCGAGAACGTACTTGCTGTAACTATCGAGTAGAGAGAAGATCCCGCGGGCATACGAAAGACAAAAAAAGCATGATTCGCTGAATGGCACTCGAGGCACTCCATAAATCCAGTAGCCTCTGCAACAGCAGGCGATCGGAAGACATTGAAGAGGTCCTCCAAGGACTCTGCATTGTCCGCCATGACTAGTCGCGCACACCGATACAACCCACCTTCCTTCTTCTCCTCTATGATGTAGTATGATAGAGACGGGGCTTCTGAGATAGTTTCTCGCACGGCGTACTTGTCCTGGAAGAACGGCATAGGAATCTGCAAAATCAAAATTTTAGAACTCTACTGAAGCCATTTACCAGAAGAACTACCATAGAGCCTCATATATAAGAGAATATTATCTCTGTAATGTCCCTACTTCCCGTCTGTTTTGCTATATCTAGGACGGTCCTATCATCGTACATGTTGAGGTCATACTCATCCTTCACAAGCTCCTGGACGGCCTCAGGCCTGCTCCACCTGATGGCACGGATAAGGGCAGTCTCTCCATCGAGCTTCTGCATGCGTTTCTCGGATGGAAGCAACAAGCGCACTGCCTCGATGCAATTGCTTTGAGCGGCGCACATCAACGCTGTAGTACCATCAGTGCGCTTCATCCGTCCCTCTTTAGGAAGAAGTAGTGATACTAGTGGGAGATGACCGGCCTCTGCAGCACACATTAGTGCAGTCTTACCGTCATAACGGGTCTGGCACGCTTCCACGGGAAGGAGGATTCGCGCCACATTCACTGCTCCTGACTTTGCAGCCTTCATGAGAGCAGTCTCGTCATACTTATCTCGCATGTTCGCTTCATGATTAACTAAGATCCTTGCTGCTTCCACATTTGAGTTGGTGGCACATGACATAAGCGCAGTCCAGCCGGCCGATGTTGCGACTCCCGCCTCCGAGTTGGCCAAGAGTGCAGCTATTTTAGAATTATTACATTGAATGGCAATCATCAAGGCGGTGTAGCCATCTTTGTTCTGTAGTTTAGACTCAAACCCTAGCAGCTCCTTCACTATATCAACATGCCCTAGCTTTGCGGCTCGCATCATAGCGGTTTCACGAGAAGCAGAGAATTTCTTACTTTCGTATGTCTTCAGAAAATTAACAATGTCGACATTGCCAAATTCTGCTGCAATCATAAGGGCAGTCAGTCCTGCGCTATTGACCTTATTGTGTTCTGCTTCTACAAGCTCCTTCACTGCCTCCAATTTTCCAAAGTGAGCTGCGTACATGAGCGCTGTCATGCCGTCCTTGTCCTGCATTCGGCCTTCCTTTGGTATTAAGAGCTTTACAGACCGCACATGGCCAGCAGATGCAGCCATCATCAGCGCGGTGATGCCCTTTGTTGTAGTTTCGCCACCATGCATTGGCAAAAGAAACCTGACCTGGTCCACATTATCTGCCGAAGCCGCAACCATGAGGGGAGTGCTATCGTTTGCAACCATGTCGTTGTGCGTCTTGATCGTCATCTCAATGTCACTTTCTATTCTCTCCTGATTACGGAGCTCCTCCTCTGCTCGCATTTGCTCGTCATCCAGAATACGTATCTCCTCTAGCTTGTCTCCTTCTGCATTAGGGCGAGTTATTATGGTGTTTCCGAGGGCGCTAACAGTGCCATTAATAATCTGAGATGCCCGTGGGTCTGCATATGCATTATGGATCTCCAACTCTTCTTCGTTATATTCATTATCCTGCAGCCTAGCGTTGCAGCAAGCAGCCGATTTTTGCCTGGACTTAGCACGGCCACGGGGCTGTTTGGTCTTTCCAGAAGACTTCGAGCGCTTCCGGTTTGAGTTCGCTGCCACATTAGACGCAGTTTCAAGACAGCTCTGAACGTCGTTCTCGATTGTGCGAAGCGTGTGGTCACCTGTAAGATGAGGCTCATATGACTCCTTCTCACGTGACTGCTTATAGCGATCTCTGGCCCGTGACTCAGAGGAATTGCTGAGCCGATAGGCATACGGCTCGAGCCTCTCATCGAGCTCTTTTTTCATCATTAATAAGTCCACTATATCGTTTGGAGAGTGGCGTCTTATGTCTCGTTGGACATCTGGGGCTTCTGGATCCAGATCGGCCTTATCGGCATTCACTATCTTGCCAGGAACAACATTGAAAATTCTATCGACTAGATGCTCCTTATCTACCTGGACCCCGTAGCGCATAGTAAGAAAATCAGACATGATCTCGTTGACAACAATAGGCGCAACCTCCTCCATGTCTGTCGTCTTCTTTGTGTACTTTTGTGTAGCAAGCCTGTCGTTAATGGGCTCAGTTATGCGTCTGCTCTGCAGTATCTGAGTCGCAACATCATCTTTCATAACCGCAGAGTCCCCTCCCATCTTCGCGGCATTGGCTACAATCGCAGAATAATCTGCTACGTTTAGTTGGCTGGCGGTCATGCCTGTCATACCGTGGGAGCCTGCAAAGCTCTTGGTTATTGGATCGGGACCTTGATTAGCTGGAATCATTCCCGGAGAGTTCACGGCCGATGCTGTCATAGAATTTCCTAACTGTCCAGAGCGCATCAGCGCGCTTTTCCATGAGATATTTGGGACAGCATGATGAAACTCCTGACCACCAACAGCTGAAGACAAAGGCCGTGTGGTCGGGTCTCCAATAAATCTGTCCCGGGCATCCTGGATCTCCTTGCTCATCGTCTGTCTCGATGACTGTGTTGCAGATGTCTTGCCATACGTGGCATTGAGTCTGTTCAAAAGGTCTGTGGTACTTTGACGGAGATCATCTCCTGACTCTACGTTTCCTCGGATCGTTGCCATGAGCTGGGAGTTCGTGCGGGCAGGAATACCAGACACAAGTGTGGCCACTGTTTGCATTTCTGGCCACAAGAGAATTTCGTGCGATGAGATGCGCTCTTTCTCATTGAAGGTAAGCATCTTGTTAACAAGCGCTTCGAGAGAAGTAGAGTAGTTCGGCAAGCTGATATGCTTTCCAGAGCCGTCAAGAGACTGTCTGATGACCTCTGATGACGGGATTTTAGTGAATAGGGTCAGCGTGCATAGCTCATAGGCGACACATCCCAGAGACCAAACGTCCGCCTTATCAGTGTACTTCTCTCGGCGTAGAATCTCAGGCGCCATATAGACTAGATGAGAAGCAGGGGACTCTGAAATGCTACGAATATCAAGCAGGGTGAAGAGATCTGGGAAGCGGAGCTTAGTAAGCATGGATGTATTCTCTCCTATCAAAATCGAGAAGCTACTGACGTGTCTGTGTACCAATTTGGGGACCTTGGGACAATTGTGCTTGCTGTTGGAGTGGCAGTATGAAAGCCCGGCGCACACACTATAGAGGATTGCCCATATTTGCTCCTCGGGAATTAGCGTGCCCGATGACTTATAATTTGTGATTAAATCTGCTAGCTCATGTGAAGGAGATCGCTCGGTTATGACTACTACCTTACGGGCTGGTTTGTTGTGGTAAACATCCAAGATGTTTAGAAGACATGGATGCCTCAGCTGCATATACCTCTCAAGCGCTATAAAATCTGGCTCTTGTGGATGAACAAGGAGCTTTTCATAGCAGATGTTGTGATAATCAACCAGCTCTCCCGTCTCCTTATTCTTTGCAAGGCTCACTTGAATGTGCGGCTCCACGGAGTATGGCTCAAGAATGTGGTACCGAGAGGAGATATGGTGTGCAGACATCTTCCAAGGCAATTTTATTTAAGGCGGTATCGCGCAACACCCTTCGTGAAAAGTAATTGGAATTAAAGTGCACCCCCAACAAGCATTTACTTACAGAAAAGACGTGCCCTGCCTTATATACGCAGAGTATAAACTATTTCATTAGACGCAATCTTTTGTTTCTGTTGTCGACAGCTATGTACTTTCCCCACGCTCTAAATGTTAAGCTCGGAACTGGCTAACCGCTGGAAATTTGGGGGAAGCGAAGAAAGCGCCCAGGAAAGCTGATCATCATTGATCGTGCCAGTATTTTCGTAAAGCTTGCTTGCTGTGCTAAGGCCGAGAGACTTCATGCTAGAGAGGCTGCCTGATGGGAGGACAGCTGATGTAGAGGTAGGCCCCATAAGCCCCTTACACATCTGCACCAAGCCGTCTGTCTCCTTTATCTGGACCTTTATCAGGTTTAGTTGTTTCCTCAACTCGTGCTTCTTAGCTCGCAACTTCTGGAATTTCCGCTGTGCAGAAAAGTGGAAATGGGTCTCGTGCTCAATCTTAAGAAGGCTGCGAATTTGCTCGCGGTACATTAGTTCCAATTTCACAAGAATATCTAGCGACGCTGTGAGGTCATCATGCGCGCATTGGAGCTTTCTATTCTTAAAATGGTGCTTGCCGAGAAAGAAGCGGCAGGCTCCTATTTCTGCACACACAGGGTTTCGAACACGCAAGTATAGACCCATGGCAATCGTTAACCAGTCTTCAACCTCAGGGCGTCCGTATATCAACGCTGTCTCGCCCATGCTCTGGTAAATCTCTGCTTCTGTTAAAAGCGTGTTGGCAGAGCTCCGTATCGATGGCGGGGATACGTTGATGCACTCGAGCGCACGAGTAAACTTCTCCAGGATTATGTCGAAGGGTGTACGGAGAGTCTTCGTTGCAGTGGTTGCCTTAGCATCAGCACTGTCTACTGACTCTGACCCGGAGCTTTTGTCCAAATCTGTATTTGTGCTATGGGACTGAGAACGCGCGTCTTCTGAGGCGCTAGCCAGGGTCTCTTCTGAATCTGAGCCTGGAATAGGGTTCTGAGAGATACGGAGGAGGGCGCGCCCGAGTTTGCAGTAGAAGATGGCAAGCTTGTAGTGGACGGGGGAGCCGTACGCATCGGCCAGCATGTCGATGCAGCGGTCGAGGTGCCGCACGGCGCGCCGGTAGTCTCCGCGGAGGGCGGCTGTGTGAGCGCGGTCGTAGTGCTCGCGGACGCTTCTCCAGAGGGCCATTTCTTTTTCCGCGTCTCCTGCACAAAGCGGTTTCGCGCATCTTGTGGCTCGAGCGGTCCGTGCGACAGTTTGGCCGAGTGGTTAAGGCGCTTGCCTGCTAAGCAAGTGTGCTCCGCACGCGTGGGTTCGAATCCCACAGCTGTCGGTTTACTCGCCGCTCCCCCTCGTCTCTCCGTCCTCCTTCGTCTCCTCACTCCTCGCCTTTGCCTCCTCCCGCGCCTTCCTGAGCTGGAGCATGGCGGTGCGGCCGTGCTCCTTGACCCGCGACCCGCGCCGCGCGACAAAGAAGACAAAGAAGTTCCCCTGCGTGATACGAAAGACCTCGTGCTTTCCGAGCTTCCGAAAGAGGTACCCGCAATTGTAGTTCCGCGGAAGCTTGAGGACTGCGAGCTTCATCGATAAGTGGGCCTCGAACGCCCTGTTAACGACATCCTCGACCGCGAGAGAACCCAGCGTGAGCTGTATGTCTGTCTGGGACCGGTAGTCGACTCCGCCCCACGGGGGATCGAGGTAGAGCGAGAACGTCGCAACAGCTCCAATTAACGTCCAGAACTGCGGGATGAGCGCGGCGGTGTCTCCAGAGATCGTCTTCGCGTCAACCCCCCAAGTGGTCAGATTATCCTGGAGAAGCGCATACGTCTCGGGATCCCTCTCAATGGCGACAGTCATATCAAAGTGCTTAGCCAACAGCCTGGTGTCTCCGCCTACACAGGCGGTTCCATCAATCACTGCGTAGGGCGGCTTGCCCAGCAAAGCAAGCACAGTGCGCATCATTCTAGCGACTTCATCTGCGTACACCGCCGGAGTGACCGAGAAAAAAGCGACCTCGTTCATCTTAATCATGACGCGCTTCTCTTCCGGCAAGTCGCTGAAAAGCCACTTCATCCGCTCGACACATTTGCTGTCGAGTAGCCATGTGGACATATCGAAGAACTCAACCTCATGTGCAAAATAATAACCTCGGTAAATAATTTACAAGGTATAAAATTATACAAGCTAAGCATCCGCACTCACAAGGTGACTGTTGTAGAACGTCACTAGTTCAAGCCGCTTCGCCTCGTCAAGCTTCAGCCACTCGGCAGCCCAGGCGTCCCGCTCGGCAGCAGACAGACTGTCGTATCGATCGGAGAGAACCTTACGGACCCGCTTGTCATTCGGGATCGGCCGACCGTTGTGGCGCTCTGCATACTTCAGAACATAGCCCACAATAAAGAAGATCCTCAGGTTATTGGGCGCGTCTGCACCTAGGTTTGGGCCCTGGTCCTGCGAAGGAGACGCGTCTTCATTGTCAACAGCAGCCGTAGGCTTCTTACGGCGTTCTCTTGTATCTACGTCACGTTTCGCAGGCTTTTCCTTAGCTGCACCCGGCCGATCCTCTGGATGCTCCTCCAGCCACTTCTTCATGGCCTCCTTGTATAGGCGCGTCTGTTCTTCGTAGCTATCTGTGTATTGTTTGCGGGTCTTCTCATCGAGCTCCTTCCACCGCCGGCCAAGTACTTTAGTCCTCTCTTTGGGCACCACGTCCCTGTACTCGTCAAGATGATCGTGCATAAATGCAAAGTAAGGTGTAAAGGGCTTTGTTGGCTTTGTTTGGGGCGCGTCCTCCTCCATCGTAAATGTAAAGGCAAACAAAAGTGTACTGATTTCTTTAAACGTTCACAAAATCTGAATTTGTACATAATCAAAAATCTAAAATTCAAAGGACTACCCCTGAGTCATGCTCCCGCAGAAGCTTCCTGAGCTTTTCCAGGATTCCACGGCGACATGCCCACAGTCTACAGACGGTCCTGAAATTACATTTACGACGATGCGAACCATCGGATCGGGCTCCTTCGGGGTTGTCTTCATTGCAAAGACAAGCACGGGCGAGCTCATTGCAATCAAGAAGGTCTTCCAGGATCGGAAGTATCGCAACCGCGAGCTCTCCATCATGCAGGAGCTAGGTCAGCATCCGTGCATTATACGTCTTATCAACTCCTACATCTCCGTGGCAACAAACCAAACGAATGGGGATTTCTTGAATATTCTAATGGACTACTACCAGGAAAATGGGTATCAAATCTATAAGAGTTACATCAGGGCTGGGATAAAGATGCCCATGTTTCACATAAAGTTATATACGTTCCAGTTTCTGCGCGGCTTGGCATACATGCATTCCTTTAATATCGCAAACCGCGACCTTAAGCCCCAGAATACCCTCGTGAACCGCGAGTCTGGTCGTGCGGTTCTCTGCGATCTGGGGTCTGCGAAGAAGTTGAATCCTGCAGAGCCCAACATAGCGTACATCTGCAGTCGCTACTATCGCGCCCCCGAGCTCATCTTCGGTTCGCGCTACTACACCACAGTCATCGATATTTGGTCTTTTGGTTGCGTTGTCGCTGAGATGATAATCGGTAAGCCGATCTACGCTGGGTCTTCGCCACTGGATCAGATTATCGAGATTATCAAAATACTCGGACCACCAAGCCTCAAGGAGCTTAAGGAGATGAACCCAACTTTAAAGGAATACGCCTTCCCAACGATAAGGACCACACCAATGTCAGATGTTCTTGGAACAAAGGACCCCGTAGTCTTAGACTTCTTTGCCCGCTGCTTTAAGTACTCTCCCAACGAGCGCATAACGGCCTATGAGGCCCTTGCCCACCCATTCTATGACGACCTGCGTGCTCGCGACGCTCCAATATCCAAAGACCTGAAGTTGTTTGAGTTTAGTGAATACGAGCGCAAGGCCATGTCCCCCGAGCTTCTCTCTAAGATCCGTCCCCAGTAGTTAGTAAACGGTAAGTGTGTGCTCATTCGCGCTGAGTCAGTAAGTACTCAATACAGCTAGATAGGTTGGGAATGAGTCTCTCCATTTCGTAGTTTTCATTGTCGTACTCATTGACACTCGGACCCTCCCTTGATGACATCTCAACCAGCTCAGAGAGGTGTGCAGACAGTTCTCCGACCAGATTGAAATTGTTTCTTATTAGGACAGGGTATTCGCGCAAATAAAGGAGCTTTACGCATTCAAGGTGCCCTTGGATCCCTGCTAGAAAGAGCGCGGTGACTCCATCATTGGCCAATAACCCACCTTCATGTTCCAGAAGGATGCGGACAGCCTCCAGCCTTCCATTGCTTGCTGCATACATGAGGGCAGTAGACCCCCGTGCATCGCGCATCCCGGCTTCTGCTGGTATCAGCTTCTTAATGCACTCTGTCGCGTCCGTCGCTGCTGCAAACATAAGTGCCGTCATGCCCTTGTCTGTTGTTTTTCTCAAGTCGTTTGTTTTAAGCATTAATATCTCCACGCATTCAGGTCTGTTAGCGTCTGCTGCCTTCATCAGGGCTGTTTCCCAATTCACATCTATAGAGTCAGTGAAGAGGCCAGCCTCCACCATTCTCGAAACAAATAACGTAGAACCACCCGCAGCTGCAGCCATAAGCGGTGTCTGCTGCTTATTATCGCAAATCTTGTGCTCCTTAGGATAGAGGATTTCTGCACATGCATCGTATCCATTGAGCAGCGCCCAAAAAAGAGCTGTGCGGCCCGTTGTGGTAGCGCAACCAGCCTCTGTTTCTGCAAGAAGTTTGACGCAGTCTGTGTGTCCATTACGGGCGGCATAAATAAGGGCTGTATAGTCAAACCCTGCCCGTCGACCTGCCTCATCGAGGTAGTTCTTAACCTGCTCGATGTCTCCAACTGCAGCATAAATCATCAGCCACGTCATGCCAGAGATCTCCTTCTCAAAGATGAAGTATCTAATTACGTCCCAATTGGCCAACAGGCATGCGTCTTGCAAGGCAGTGAAGTTGTCCATGGAATGTATTCCCATGTTACATAACAGATACTTGTATAGATCAGTTGCCACCACGTTGGCGTTGGCAGCCATGAGGGCGCTCCTACACCCTGTTTCAGAGTTCCAGAGAATATTAAAGCTATTGTATGGATGGTTCTGAGAGACATCGGTGGTCCTTAGCTCGAGCACCTTTTCTTTATCTCTCTTGGTGACTGCATTTATAAACTGGGTCTTAGTCGAGCTGGTGAAGCCCTCGCGAGATTTGACGCTGGAACGAATGTTATGCTTTAATAGATAATCGCATATTATCTGCATCGAATTATGGGCCAAATATGAAATCCCATGATTAAGTAGAGCAGAGCCGCAATCCACCGACAACAGATCTGGCAATAAAGCTAGAATTGCAGATAGCCCCACAGCATTGTCAACCTCTATGGCTGCCATGAGCACTGATCGTCCAAAGTGATCTGTTACTGCTGTAATCGAAAGGTTAGTGTCCCTCTTACACATTTCTTTTAAAACTTTGCACGCAAGGTCTGTGATGTGTCTAGACAACGCCCCAAAGAGAATAGCTATTTGCTGCTCGTGTGAGTAATCATCTAACTTAAACTGTGGAGACGGCGACTTTTGCTGATCTGCTGTGGCTGCCAATTCCAGGAACTTAAGTACAGCAATAGCGCTCTTTATGTGCTTTGAAGAGAAATAAGTAAAAAGCTCTGAATCTAATGGTGGAATAATGCCGTGATCAATGATGGAAAATAGTAGTTTGGCAGCGCCATTGACTCTAGAAGAAAACAGTTGCAAAAGAAGTAGTGGATAGCAAAGGCTACGCCGTTTCAGCGAAAGCAGAAATACCTTGTCAAAGGAGATCCGACCTAAAAGGTCACGCTCTTTGCAGAATGCATAAACAAACTCAATGATCTTCTTGCTGCATGACATCACTGCAATTTCGAACACAGAGTCCCCAGATAACGAGTGGTACTCCCACTCGTGTTGAAGAAGCAGCTGCACTGCTTTAAAGTGGTTAAGAAACAGCGCTATGATAAGCGCCGTGTTTCCGTGACGGTCATACATCCCCAGCTCCGACTTATTTGGACAATGATTGCTCGAAAGGTCAAGTATTTCTTCCAAAATGTCGTATTGCTGCGCGCTGACGGCATGCATCGTTGCCGTCCAGAGATTGCTATCTACCATCTGTGCCTCTAGAGGAAAAAGTGAAGAAATATACTTACCTTTCCCATTTATTACTGCATGCATGAGCGCAGTGTTATTACCGCTATCTTGCAAGCATGCCTCACTAAGCAGTGGCTGTAGGCTTTTGAGCTGGCCCGAGATAACCGCTCGAATCAGCGCAGTTTGGCCTGTTTTTGGTTTGATACCTTTTTCGTAGTTTATAAGTGCCATGATGATATCTGTATAGCCGCCTTGGGCAGCATACATCAATGCAGTCATACCAGTACTGCTAATCATAGTGGACTCAGAAGGAGCCAGAGCCACCACCACATCCAGATGATTTGTTTGCGCAGCCAGCATCAAGGCCGTTTGGCCTGCGCTATTGGTCATCTTCGCCTCCTTATCCTTCAGTAGCTCAACCACGTTAACAAAGCCTCGAGACGCGGCCGTCATTAATGCAGTTACCCCAGTTCCATCTTGGAGCCCTGCTAGTATCATTAGAGGCTGTGCTGTCTCAAGCTGACCTGAGAGGGCGGCTGACATCAAGGGGGTTGTTTTGACGTACTTGTAGAACCCTATTTCAAGCAATAACTGGTCTAGGTACTCGGAAATGCCCGTCATCGCCGCTATGTTGATACTCATGGTATTGAGGTACTTTATTCCGATGTCGTCTGCATTCTCCTTTATATAGTTCACGATTGGCTCGGACAAAAGGTTAGTATGTGGGACCTTCAGCAGGCAAGTCATAAGATTGGTTGCAAGGTTCGTCTCTTGGGGATGTACGGGGTACGATGGTGGCGGGTGTCCAAGCTCTGTCATATGCCTGATGATGGTTCTTCCAAGGTCGATGTTTCGAGCCTTATATGCCATAAACATAGCATAATTGGCAATGGAATAATCTCCCAACCAAGAGATATAGCCTTGAAACGCTTCGTTGCGATGTTGAAGAATGCATGCAATCATACTATCTAACTGTAGGTTCAATGTCGTTTTAACAATAGCAGGTAGTGGTGCATTGCCTATACCAGGAGCAGTGACTCGAGGCTGCAGGAGCTCTACATCATTGAGCTCTGGTGTCTCCACCGTCAACGAATGCTGCTTGCTGAATGCCAATAGGCCAAGTATCCCTATGTCTGGGCGCTTAGTTGGATCGCACGTTAAGCACAATTTAATGAGGCTATTGAGATAGGAGGAGTAGGTGTGAGAGCAGATGAGCTCTGGATTGATAAAAGAATGCTGCTGTGCAAATGAAGTAAGATTATCCAGAATATCTTTTGGCTCCTTTAGCAAGCACAGAGACGACAGGAAAAGGCCAAGACACCAGGTTAAGTCCGAACTGGAAAAGGTTTCCTCTGAGAGAGTAAAATCGAGCAACTCTTGCTTAACAGTATGACGAAATGCTAGGTATGCAGAGGGAGGTCCATAAGTATCAAACCAGGGGAGCCCATCTACCATGCAAAGGCTTTGAACATGAACCCATAGAGACAGATTTTTCCTATGGGCGTGAAAACTGAGCCAGTTTATGGCCCTAATGAATTGCCGAGCAGCACCCCATATGTGAGACTCGTCGATGGTTGTGTTGTGTGCTCTGCAATCTTTGATGTAAGCCGCAAGCGTTTTGCCTTTCTTTGCCCCAGCTAGCGTAAAAACATTGATTGAACCACCAGAGCGCCTTCTCTTTCTAAGAGAAATACCTTGCGGCGGAGTTAGCCCAGGAATAATGTCTGTAAGCAAAACCGAGTTAGAGAGGAGGGAGCTAGACATTTAAAAATGGAGAATATTGATGGTTTACTCTACCGCAAGGAAACAGCCAAAGCCTTGCTTGAACGCCTTGCTTCTATGCCTCTGGATAATGTCAATCCCAATGAAGTCATCTCTGCCACATTTTTCGCCTATTTATTCGATGAAGACTTCAGCCATGCCCAGGCGGTGTTTACCGGGCTGAAGCCGGCAGACTTGGTTTCTAAGCCGGGATTAGCTGCAGCAGGTATTTTACTGCTCGTGGTTCTGGCTGAGTCAGCCACCACGAGCTGGGATAGTACAAAGCTTTTGTGTGAGGCAACAGCCTATGCTACCGAGCTCTACGTGCGTGATTCAAGTTGCAGTACGTTTGAACATCTTCATGACTCTATGGTCTTATTCGGTTCGGGAGCTATTTCCCTGTTTATAGCTGAGCTCGACAAACTGTCTGAGGCTCACTCAGTGGAGCTAGCACCGCTCCTTCCTGCTCTTCAGGAATGCACTAATGATAGAGGTAGACGAGCGCTGAGCCTCCTGCGCTCTGCAAAGGGTCAGGTTGAGGAGCCATTTATGCGAAAGCTTGCCGAATTGAGGGGGCTGGATGCATCCCATGGGAAAATAGTGTAAACAATTATAGAGTGCCCTCCTTTATTATCGAGTTAATTTCTGCTAGAAGCTCCTGGGGGGAACTTGGATTGAAAAGCTCAAATGTTGCAAGAAAGTTGGATATGACGTCTGCGCGTTTCTGAATCACATTTTGCAGAGCTGTACGTGCTGTACGTGCTGAGCGTTGAGTATTTGGGTGAGAAAGGATGCACATAGCTTTGGTTTCTAGTGCACACGTATATCCAATGAGGACAGGGTTTCGCTGAGCTGCTGGTACCGTGCGGATGCTTTGTGCTAAAGAAATAGATTCAGTTGGGGCCGAAGCAAGAAGTGCTCGAGCTAAGTGATAGGCTACCTTTACGTATATGTCTGGATATCGAACAGAAAGCTTCAGCAGATTCCGCAGCCCCTCAACGCTTGTGGTGTTCCCTAAAGATAATAGTGCACAGTGCTGTATTAATTGTGCAATCAAGCTAATGCGTGGATTTAAGGTGCTGCGTCTTTTCAGAAGTACATTACAACGTTGGATAGCAATGCCTGGCCTCTGGGCTTCAACGGCCTTCATAATGTCACGTAGATCATGAGGAATGGAGTTCTGCAGTCGTGCTGACCCACTCCGGGATAGTGGTGAGAGGGGCTGACTCACCGTTCGCATGCTGGCCGCCTTAGGAGCACTAATAGACCGGGGATTTTTCGCTGCCCAAAAGGTATCTCTCTGCGTTGCGAATTCTAAGCCGCTAGATACCAGATCTCGAACACAGTTGACGTCACTCAAAGATTCGAAGAAAGCTATATCGCTGGAGATGAAGCTCTTGCTTACAGGAGTGTAACGAGTCTTCAGTGTAGCTGGTTCAGGATTAGGAGAACTTACTGACAAGGCCGGGGAGTCATCCTCGACGGATGGGGTTTCTCTAACAGAAGGAATCTGCCACAAACGAAACTGAGGAGTAGACAAGTCCATTGGATCAGCATGATCCGCAATTGTACTAGCATCAATTATGATACCGCGTTCCAAAAGGTCTAAGAGAAGATTCATGTCATGTGTGTTAAACCTGCAACTGTCACGGAGAGCCTCCTCGGAGCGCTTGATGCCATACAGATAGGATTTGATATCTGGACGCAGCTCGATACAGCGATAAAGACTAACGCAAGATTGCTCAAACTCTGCAGCTTGGAATAGGGCCTCCGAGAGACAAAAATGAGCACGATGGTTGAAAGGCTCAGCTTGTAGTACACAACGTGTGTCTTCGATAGACTCAGGTATGCGGCCTGCAAGCATGTTACAACGCGCCCGTAAAAGTCTCACATTAACATTATCCGCATCCAGCTCCAAGGCATGTTTGCAAGCAGCGATCGCTTTAGGATAATCATGCAGCGCGCAGCAGCGTTGCGCCTCAGATACAAAAGTCCCCATCTGTGGGTGCTGTAACGGGTCCTTGGCAATCATGAAAGTGCAATTAATATTTGGAGAATGCCTGGCATTGTTCGTATCTTGGCCATCCCCCATTGTGCCACCCCGGCAGCCATACGGCAGCTATTATCGCACCACGGGACCATAGATAGAATATACCTCAAGCCCGAGAACAACGCTAATGCAGTGGCCCGAGCCGCAGGAGCGAACGAACCTGTTCACACAAGGTACATAGATGGGTACGTGGAGTTTGCAGATGCATCCCAAGCTAAATTCGTCTGTCAAATACTTAACGGAAGGTCAATGTCTTACGGACTTGCACGCGAAAAGAAATCCCGCTTTTCAAGATATGTTTGGCGGCTGGCACACATGCCAAACATGGAATGGACAGACATTAACTATGAGCATTCGTGTTTGTCACGGTCACGGGAGGCCATAATAAAGGCAGAGCTGGCCACCAGATCAAAGAATCTCGGAGATTATTTGTTACGCTTGCAGCGGACTCGAGCCAGGAGAAATATGAGCAGTAGTGAAGAAGAGAGCTCAAGCAGTACTGAGGAAGACGGGCCAGGTTATCGCAGGCACCCTGTCATCCGCCAACGGGGGATTCGAAGTGAAAAAGGGCGAATTGATTGTCTACTTGGATTGCTGTGAGTAGGGTTACTAGTAAACAGTAAGCGTATTCTCGGTTGCAAGCCCAGAGTCACGGAATGTCACGGAGGCTTTTAGAAATATGCAATCGAGTTTTCTAGGTCCAGATGAAAGCGCGGACATAGCAGGTTCCAGGCTTTGCGCGGCACGGAATGGATACTACTACATACACCTTTCCAAGCCATACTCTGGTGCCTCGATGGAGCTGTGGTACATCTTGGCAACAATGAAGGAGTTGGAAATCTTCAAGAGACCAGTGTTTGGGGTTGAGCTGCGATCTATCGATCCCCACGGGATACGCCTTACAGAGATGCATGGGAGCTTGGTACTATCCCTATTATCTAGAGACACAGACTCTCTACAGTTCTACTTTTTGGACATAGACAGTGCCACTGCCTTACCCGTCATGCTTAGAGGTTCTAAGATTTCTCACCGCATCAATTACAGCATGATTCACATCGCCTGCCAGCGCATCCTTCTGGTAGGCGGATCTTCTCCAACAGGGGTCTATTACTCAAGCCTTTTTGTCCTCGATTTTGCAACGGGAGAGTCACGAAAGATGCGTCCTTTGACACACGGTCTCGACGGGTTCACCCTTACTCATTTGGGGCCCGGTCGTGTAGGCCTTTTCGGAGGCTACTCTAAAATATCCTGTGAAAACATGATTTACCTTGTCAACAAAGACCAGTGGAGCGCAGTTTGTCCAAATGATGAAGTTGATGAGCTAGTTGCGAAGCGGTGGAAACCCTGTCTTCATAAGCTTACGGACACCCTTATCTTGATATTTGGGGGGTACAATGGCCGCGTGCTTAATGATCTTTATGTATACAGCACGTCATCCAATGCATATGCAACGATATATCCTAGAGGCACAAGTCCCCTTGCACCGCGAGAAGACGGCGCGTACATTCTAACAAAAGATAAAGCCAATCTTGTCCTCATCGGGGGTGGAACCAAGCGCTGTGATGTGCTAGACATAGAAACACTTCGAACCAGCGCTATGGCAATCCTCGCAGACGCCCTTCTGAAGCGCGATCTTACTGGTCAACAATTAGGTGCCCCGCAATTAGTTTCGTCGGAACATCACACTGCTGAAGAGAAGGACTCCGTAGGGTCCCGGATAGTGGATGAGATAAAGGCCAAGGTCGCTGCCAGCGGACAGACTACAGAGCTACTCGACATTGTTTGGCCTAAGAAACGTTAACACCCACCTATTCACTCGAGGGCTTACCATCAGTTGGTCACGGCAGGAGAGCTGGATCCAGGAGGCACAGCGATGCGATTAGTTCTTAGGATAGCCCCTGGAGACGTCCCAGACGGTAAATGAGCAGACGGTCCTCCCGACTTGGGTTGTTCTGACCCACCCACCTGGCGTGCATGTGGAGACGCAACCGTTTGAGAGGGTGGAGAGGACCTGACCTGCGGTTGAGACGCCTCACGCGAGCGTGAGGAGCGATCCTGTCTGTCAGCCTTGGGTGATGTTGCCGACTCGACTGGGCCAGTGGGAATCGGTGGTGCAATGATTGGTGCAGGTGTGGGCACAGCCTTTTTTAGCCCGTCTACCCCCTTAACAACGTGTGCCATGACGTGGTTTGACCCTCGTCTGACAGTTCCTATGGTATTGACAGGATGCTCTGTCGAGCTAACTAGGAACGACCCGAAGATGACGACGATGTCGTCTCCAGAGGCTGCAATGCCGTTCTTGATAACGTACTCATCGCATACCTTTGTCGCATCCTCAATGTCAGTGAACCTGTGACACACGTTGACTGTGACGCCCCAGAGCAAATTCATCCACCTCGCAGTGGACTCTGCAGCGGTCATAACTACAACCGGTACTGTGGGCCGCTGCCTCATCAAGCGAATCAGCCCGCCCCCATGGATGGAGAAGATGCAAATGCACTTTGCATCAAGAATGGAGGCAAGGCTGATAGCAGAGACACTGATACTGTCAGGAAGTCGGTGCTGTGAATCCGTCTTGAGCGGTTGCTTGCGCGTTGTGCCACTAAACAGAACCTTCGATCTGTAAGAGACGTCAAGAGGATCATTCTCGACTGCAACAATGATTTCCACGAGGTACTTAACAGTGGCAACCGAGTGGTGCCCCGTGGACGTCTCAGCACAAAGAACAAACCCATCACACCCATCTCCGAGACAGTTAGTAACGTCGGAGACCTCGGCACGTGTCGGTATCACATTTTCAGACATGGACTCACACACATTCGTTGCTATATAGCACATCTTACCGGAGTCACGAGCAATCTGAATGATGGACTTCTGAATGGACGGAAGGTAGCTGAAGTCCATCTCATCTCCGAGTGCCCCGCGCGCTATCATGATCCCATCAACGTGAGTTACTATCTGCTTAAGGTTGAGCACCGCCAGAGGGGTCTCCACCTTCGTCATTAGCATCGGTCTGAAGTCAGGGTACTTTTTGCTTAAGAAGTCGGTGTAATTCTCTATGTGCTTAATGTCTGACTCTGTGTTGATATGGGAGTAACAGATCCAGTCAACCGGCATCTTTTCGGCGAGGAGATGTAAATGCTCATATTCCAAGGATGTGAGGGGTGCTATGGACGACAGCTTAGATGGAATGCGCAGAGAGCTTCCACCGTAGAGTTTTGTAGAGCCACGAGTGGTCACCACAGCTTTGACGTTTGTCTTGTCCGGACTAACACTTGTAACCTTTGCAATAAGCGGTCCATTCTTGAAAACTACCTCGTCACCGACCTCGATGACCGTGAATATTTCTGACTCGTTAACAAAAACTGTATTGGGTGCGTCGCATTCCATTGCCTTGTTGAACATGATATTGAGCTCGGAGCCCTCTTGAAGGGTGATGGAATTCGTCGTATTCCTGAACCGCGTGACACGGAACTTCGGTCCCTGAAGCGAGGCGATAATGCTGATGTGCTTTTTCTGGTCTGCTGCACACTTGCGGACCAAATTGTAAAGCCTGATGTTCTCCTCGTTGCTTGCCTTGGCCATAACGATGCGGAACGCATCTGCTCCGTGACGGATCATCTGAGCAATGGATCCCTCTGTATTGCAGCTGGGCCCAAGGGATGCAATAACCTTGGCACGGCGGTAGCGCGAGTCTCCTGGTTTGGGTGTCATTGGTGAGCGTATAAGGTCGTCAGCGACCAGATTCGCAACGATTCCGCTGGCTTGTCTACGCTGCACGGCGTCAGAGAACATTCCTGTCTCCCCGAAATGGAAAATTTACAAAAGCCATTTTAAATTCCTCGGTTTTTAAAGCCAGTTGTAGTAGGGCGAGTTGCCCGGTGCACGCATCAGAGCGAATGACGTGACCGCGGCGGACGTTGCAAGGACACCCACACATGTCGACACTCCCCCATTAGCGACGTCACTCCGCTACTACTGTGCGGACAAAAGGCTCGGTCTGGCGCAGAGGTAGCACGGACCTGGGGGCAACAAGAGGTTTACTGACTGGATCGGCAGACCACTTCACTTTTTCAGTCAACTCCAGTAGAACCAGCTTTCGATCACCAGGACAAGCATACATACTGTAAAACCGACAACATTACGGTTCAAACCGTTCAAGGAGCTGCACACAGGCTGCGTGTCCCTTACTCAGAGCAATAATTCGCGCCGTTACCCCATCGTTTCGTCGCGCTCCAGCTTCATGAGGGGCAAGCAGTTCAACAATCGTGTGATGCCCTGCACGGGCTGCCATCATGAGCGCGGTTGTGCCGTCCTGCGTGCGTAGACATTGCTCCTTTTTGAGCAAGAGGGAGCAAACCTCTATAGCACCGGCTTGAGCTGCTAACATCAAGGCGCTGTGCCCCACCCCTGACTGCCTACCAGCTTCAGAGTTCAAAAGGAGAGAGGCTATCTCTGTATTGCCAGCCCTTGCTGCAAACATAAGGGCGGTAGAGCCGTTGTTTGTCATGATTCCCCGTTCACATGGCTCCAGCATTTGACAGATAGCGACAGATCCATTTTCAGAAGCCATCATGAGTGCGGTCGCTCCCTGGCAATTTGTCATCGCTGCCTCTGTGCTCAGCAGCAATTTTACTGCCGCTAGTCGCTTGTTTTGTGCAGCCAACATGAGCGCCGTTGAGCCATTGACGTTTTGCATTTTTCCTTCATAGCTCTTGAGGAGTTCCACTGCGTCGAGGAAGCCATTTTGGGCTGCCATCATCAGCGCAGTCCACCCGTTATCTAGACGCCTTCCAGCTTCATAGTCAGCCAAGATACGTACGCAGCTGGTGTGCCTATTCTGTATCGCATACATCAAGGCAGTTGCCCCGTTGCTGCGCGTGTAGTTGGCCTCGTGTGGCGCTAAAATCTCAACAATTTCTGTATACCCGCGCTTTGCAGCAAGCATGAGGGCCGTGTAGTAGTTTGCATTCCTCAAGCCAGCTTCCAGGGGGGCCAGCCGAGAGACGACCTCTATGTGACCTAGTTCCGTTGCAATCATTAGCGCAGACATTGATCTGTGATTGAGCAATCCAGCCTCCTTTTTCATCAAAATAGAAACACAATCTACATGGTTGTGTACTGCAGCCCGCATGAGTGCAGTCCAACCAGAGGTGGTGGCCTGACCTGCCTCACGGGGCTCCAGCAGGCGAACAATCTCTGTATTGCCCCTATCAGCAGCCACTATGAGTGCAGTTTTCTTGGACTTACCGAACTGAGCACCGGAATAGTTAAGATTTCTTGCCGAGGCGGCTACATCATTCGTCAAGACCGCAGAGAGCAGAGGATTGCAACCAGGTTTATCCACGGGGATCATCTTTGCCTGTTGCGCATCGGCTGTCTTCTGGATAGCAAACTCCTCACAGGATAAGTCGGCCATATCCATTCCGGGGCTCTGAACCCTTGTTGCGTCCGGAAAATCGCTTGATACGGAGTCCATTTCCAGCGACAGCGTTGTAAAGTCAATGGTTGTTGCCCCCCATGGGTTAGCTGTCGGGACAGGTTTTGTAGGAACGGCTGAGATGGGCCGTTTCGGTAGTCTGGCACTACTTCGTCGAGCCTCCGGCTCATATCCATCATACCTCTTGTCCATTTCAATAGTACGTCGAAGCGAATTAAAGGATTTGTTACCCGTAGATCCATTGGAAAGAACGCTTGTATTTGCAGATCTAGCAGTTGGTGGCGACCGTATTGGTTTCAGAAGCTCTGTGGATGATGAGAAAGAACATATAGTACCTGCATGAGTAGCGGTCCTTTCCATCGAAACTAGTGCTTGTGGTGTTGCTGTGACCATATGTGATAAGTGCTCATTTCTAGGGGAAAGAGTATGTGGTTGGCTTTCTTCTTTAATGACACCAATTGAAAGTCTGTCCTCCCCAGAATTTTGATAGCCCGTTATCAAAACACTGCTTCGATGTATTTGGTCTGTGTCGGCTGCTTGGGTTTTGTTGAGTGATTGTGACTCCTTTGTGAATAGATCTATTTCGGCTCCCTCATCTAATAGCTTAATAACCTCTATTTCGTTGAGCCTACGCGCATAGTCAACTGCTTTCTGGTTAGTTTCATCGACTAGGTGGCCCTCTTCTAATAAGAACGGAATAACCTGCTTGTTTCCTACGAGCACAGCGATCATAAGAGCGGTGAGGCTGCTTTTAGTCTGCCTGCTAACATCACGAAACAGGCATTTCCTTGCTATTGTCATGTTGAAAGACGCTACTGCAATCATAAGCTCAGTGAATCCATCGTTGTAAAGAAGCTCCAGTTCGTGTGGGACAAGAAGCTCCAGTAGGGCCCGATTTCCTTGCAGGATTGCTTGTCTTGATGCATAATTGCCGGAAAGATCGGTATACTTTGTCTCTAGCGGAATAAGCAGCTTGGCGATCGCTGGAAGCTCGTATCTGAGTGCTTTGATGAGCGCTGTTTCGCCAGATGAGTCTCGTGCCCCCGCTTCCATGGTTGCTAGCATTGCAGCGGCTGTAATATTTCCGGATTCTATTGCGTGCATGAGAGCTGTCTTTCCCTCGTTATCAGCTTTTCGGGCTTGAGATTGTAATAAGGGTATAGCCTGTGAAAAGCCCTCAAGTGCAGCACGCATCAAGGCTGTTTTGCCGGAGGCATCTGCCAGTGTCCCCTCAAACTTTGCCAAGAGCCGCACTGCAGGCTCCTTTCTAGCACGAATGGCGTGCATGAGAGCTGTATCGCCTTTCTCATCTCTAATTCCTGCTTCATGCTTGACCAATTCATGCAGTATATCGAGGTTTTCTGAGCAGTGCACCGCTACCATCATGGCAGTCAGGCCCCTCTTTGTACGCATTGCTTTGTAGCGTTGCAATTGAGATGAAATAGACGCCTTGCCATCCAACGCTGCAGAAATCATCAACGGTGTGAAGCCGTCTCCTTTCAAAAGACCCGACTCCTTAATGTAAAGCGCCTTAAACACAACAGGATTGTTGTGCAAGATAGAAAAGAGTGTTGCATACACTCCACTACTATCAACTAGACCGTGCTCAGAGCGAGCAAGGAGACACGCCACCTCCGAGTGTCCATGTTCAATTGCATGCATAAGAGCAGTCTTTCCTTGTGCGTCCTGGAAGCGTGCATAAAAAGGGATCAAAGAGTATACACCAATCAAGTCATTAGCCATTGCTGCGCTAATAAGTGGTGTGCGATCGTCGCCGTAGATAAACGCACGCTCTTGATTACGTACAACTGACTCAGAGAAGGTGTCGTCATTGACTGCAACTCCCTCTATATTCAACAACATATCTGCAATCTGATAATTCCTATGCAGCAATGCATAGTAGAGGGCAGTTTCCCCTGTTTTCAGTGCACAGCCTGCTTCATCATTAATAGAAAGCCTAGCAAGATCCTCGTCACCGGCAATGGCTGCTTTCATGAGCGTCGTAGGGGTGTCAACAATCTGATATGACGGTTTCTTAATGAACGGATAATTTGCAAGGTACTCGAACTGCCGATGTTCCCTCTTGGGGTGCGGTGGAGAAGAAGCAGATCTCTTAGATTCGTCTAGGTATTGGCGAGGAAGGATGGGAGTTAGTTGACCCGTGTCCACAAGGATCCGTGACGGACTTGCGGGCCGTGCTGATTTTGGTGCCAAGGTAGATACCGGTTCTGGGGTAGATTTGGCGTTCCTATTTACTGAAAGCGATTCAATAGGAGCCGTAAAGATATTATGGAGATCCACGCTTCCCCTATCAATGCCTTGCGGAGTGGTGTCCTCGGCAGCAAGGGAGCAATCCGAAGCATTATGCTTTAGAGCAGAGAGATACGAGGGCCCACGTGTTAGAAAACTCTCACAATCAGTGTTATATCGAGAGCTGATCAGCTCAGTCTGCTGATTAAGGGACTCTGCAACCTCAGCGGCAAAAGTTGGATGAACGTCGCGAATTTGGGGCATGTCGATTAAATCAGAGAGTCCCAAGCGTGGCTTCTTGGTTATGTCAAGCAAGCTTTTACATAGCGTGCACAGTTCGCGGGTATGTAGAGGAAAAAAGACCTGCTCTGCAGGACAGGATGGCCATGGGCCAATAGGCGAATAATAGTTGTATGGAGTAAGAAGACACAGTTCATATATAAGGAGACCGATTAGATAGAGATTACGCTGTTCTATGGTACTAAATGATGCCCCTGGGACATAGCAGTCGTAGAGTGAGGTCTTTTCCACTATCTGTTCTGGCCCATCATTCCGAGCATACGTAAAGGATCTGACGTATAGCTTTTTGCTCTTGTCCACCATTATTTCTCGTGGATCTAGAGAAATAAAGTCAATGTGCTCATCATCCGCAAAGTATTGCTTGTGCGGCAAAAGGATGAACTGCAACAGATCTAAAAGGTCAGCTATAAAGCCCCAGATAGTCTTTTCCTCAATATGTGTACCCCGTTCACGTGCATCGCTGATAAGACAGGCGAGTGTTTCCGATTGTACATAAGCTGTAATAACATACATAATTTTCGAATCGTTGGAGAAGCGGATCTCCTTGTAGGCAGGAACATTAGGGTGCGAGATTTTCTGCAAGATAGAGATCTCGTTGTCCACTGCGAGGCGCTCTGTGGGCCCCAACAGGAAGAGCAGGAATTTACGGGCTGCAACAGTCTTGCCGTCGCTTTTCCGACGCGCGGTGTAGGTGGTGGACACGTCATCACGAAAAACTAGGTGCCGCACATCGTAGTTGTTTTCAAAGGAGGTCCAAGTGTTCATTGCTTCCTAAAGCAAGTTGAGTTTTTTAAAGTTCCGCGAGGGGAGGCAGGAGGAATGGAAACCAGAAAGGAATATGGCACCCGTTCAGAGAGGAGTCCTTAAGCACCAGTGCAAACAAGACTCTAGAGGCGTCCTGCCAGAAAACCACAAGACTATATTTAATGCTCGAAAAGTTTATAAACAAGCTTGCGCACCCGTCCTCAATCCTCCCTCCCAGTGTCTGCTCGGTCGTCATCATTGTTGTTATAACGTCTGAAAGGCAGCAATAAAAGTCTTTGCTCAGAATATCTGGGTCACTGCAAAGTCCCATCTCCAAATAAGCTTTGATAACGCGGTAGGAGTAATTGTTTGGCTGCCTAGTGTTGGCTTCTGCGTATGCCTGTGCTGTGGATGCAGTGCTTTTTCTTACTACTTTGCTTCTTCTTGGAGTCTTCTGGATTGAGTACCGATAGCCAGGGCTCTCTCTAGTTAATATTGGAGTGTTGAAATACACTATATTTGTGCTCTTTTGTTCTATCGGGGGGACTTCTCCTCGTGGAGTAGCCTTGGCCAATGTTGCAGGCTCTTGAGCCACTAGTTCCGTTTGACAGAAATAAGGCTCGTTGGAACTGGGCATAGTATCCTTATGAGTATGACACTTTAGTACAAGCAGCTGTGCAGTCCCTGTGGGACACATTACAAGCATTATGCTACGGAGAATATACTGACCAAACCAATCTGCTAGTATGCTAGGTAAAACTGATTCAAATCTCATGAAGCGGGACTTTATGTTAGTGCTGCATTTCTGGAGCGTCTTGTCAAAAGCCGTAGTGAAGCCAGTTCCCAGGCGCCGTACAAGGGCTAGGGCATGAAAAACGTAGTCATCTGCGTGTTCCACTAATCGGTAATCATCAACAGCACTCTCTATCCTAGATGTACCATTGATGCTGGACTCGTCAAGTGTGTCGTTGGCATCAGTGGCGTATATCGACGTTTGAAAGAGTGCATCTACATCCTTGCTGTCGCTCAATTCGTCTTTATGAAGACATCCAACAACTAACGAGAGGTGGGCCATAGGAACCCCAAACACACCGACCGCTAGAATGGAGTGTGGACAATAAGCAAAGACAACAAGCGCATCATTGGTCACATAGTAGGTGTCTTCGTAGACGTCGGCATCCATCATATTCAGGTATAGTGACCAGTAGAGCTGTGGGGCAGACACGTTGCCAAGGAGTGCATTATGATTCCTCAACGGCGAGAATGTAAATGCTCTTGCAGGGGTCAGCACAGGCTCTAACGCTTCTTCATTCTGAGGGTGATCATCGGAAAATTCCTTTGCGAAGAGAAGAGTGCCTGAAATACGGCTTATGATGTAGAAGGCCTGCATGGGCCTTAAGTGAAGGAAAAATTAAAAGGGTACGGTAGCAGGTCTGAGAGCACTGCCCCGTGACCAGTGCCAGCGCGGTATGCGCAGCACCAGCCTGGCCCGAACACTGGCTCGTCGCCACCCTTGAGGTAAGTTAAAATTACCTTCAATTTTTGACCTGCTCAATTTCGTCCCAAAAATTGCGCAGGAGAGTCCTTCAGAAGAAGGTGCAGCCAAATGGCGTGGCAAATACCCGGAACTACTATGCGCTACAACCCATCGTGGGTTCAGAAGATTACCCGAGAACTTGATGAGGTATCAGATGGAGCCTTTTCTGCTTTAACCAGCCATGTTAAGGAGCAGTTGGTATTCGAAAGGTTTCTGCTTTCATCTACTGCACATTCCATTAGCCCCGATGCGTGGCAGCACATTTCCAAGAAGCTGGGAGAGGGTGGCTGTCTGCAACTATTAGGAAACAAAAGCAATGTAGTGGACCTGCTCTCGCTGGAGGAAGGATGTGACACCATTAAGAAGACATTTGCATCGGTCGCGTACACCACACCAATAATTGTCGAAGTAGCGTCATGCGTGCCATATTATCTCTTAGGGACCACTCTACAGACGATTGACGACCCTAACATATTCGTCTACATTGGCGGTATACGTACTAGAATGCTGCTCAGGTTGCAAAGGGCCGCACATAATGGGAGGTTTAATGCGGCGTTTCTGGCTGTGGGCGCGAAGATCTGTGTTAAGAGGTATCAAGTTAACTCGTTCCAGACGCAAAGTCTCTTCTGCCGTCGCCCGGATTGTTCTTGGATAGATGCACATTTGACTGATTGTATTTTAATGGGCGGATATGATCGCTGGAAGGTCACATCATTGCTTAAAAATAAGGACGTTCTTTCCTTCTTAGTAGATGAGCACTTGCTTCAGATTAATCGGCTCGTTAAGAGATGTAAGAGGGCTTTGAAGAAGGGGCATGCGGGCTCTATTGCAACATATCAAATGATCAAGAACATTGCCTTCCAGGATACCATCTCCTTTCACCCTGTTCACATTACTTTGGAAGAGTTTCAAGCACGGCTACTTTCTAACGCCGACGAATCACCCGACAAAGGGACACCCACCCCCAGCACCTATACAGATAGCAGCACCTGTACAGTCGATTAGAGACACCTGCCATCACGTTTACATATTCTTAGGCCTATATCGCCCCGAGGCATTCATAGGAAGACCGTGTGAGCTGCTCACCTGCAGTTCTGACCCATATACACTTCCAGACGGAGACATGTAATATGAGCTGAACGAGGGAATGTGCTGCGATTGTGGTTGTGCGTGTACATAACTCACAGGATGCGGGCATCCTGATTGAAGGACAACAGGCTGGTACTGGCAGACCGGTTGCGGTTGCTGCACATACATTTGCTGGGGCGTGTTGGTTGCTGGATAGAACACTTGCCGAGGGGTGGAGTTGTATATAGAATTCTGTAAGAGAGAGGTATTGTGGGAAGATTGATTGTCGAGTGGAGGCGTTACATAGCTGCTCTGCTGAAATCCGGAGACATTGAGACTTGAGTTGAAAGCAGGCCTATCAATCGGGGCCTTCAGAGTAGGGGTTGCAGTTTTCCGAGGCATGTCTCCATATTGCAGCGCCCGTAGACGTATGTCTTGGACTCCTGGGGATAGCACTCTGATTTCACTTTCTGTTGGCTGATAGTTATATGCGGGCTGGGGATAGTGCACGGATTGTTCCTGAAGAGATGAGTTCTGCGTCGGTGTATTGGTCATGGGTGTTCCGATGTCCCTTCCGTGTCCTTTGATCATCCCCTCACGAAAAGAACTCTGTGCATTGTGCTGATAATTTTCTCCTGCTAGTACGCCCTGAGCATTAGCGCTAGTTTTTATGTTTGTTGTTAATGTGCTGGTTGGCGGAGGAACCGATCCGTCAACAGTAAATTCTTGTAAGTTGCCGGTTGGATGCAAGTAGCCAGTAGGTAGGCGATTGCCTGGCAGAAGGTTACCCTCGTTCAACGTGGCTCCTTGTGTGGTAACAATGCCTTCGTATGTTGGCTTTGTCACTGTAGTGACTTCCTGTCTCAAAACACTGGGCGCATCTAAGACACAAGACTCATCGACAAAGACATCAGATGTTTGATTAGGCCTCCGTCCGCAGCACCCACCAACTGCTGTATTGCTTCGCGAGCGTGCACTGCGGCTAGCAGCCTTAGTGGATCCTTTAGATGTGGCACGTGATGTACTCCGGGAGTTAGCTCGGGACCTCTTTTTGCGAGAAGAGGCTCTACTGTCCTCGGTGTCAGTATCTTCGGCGCCAAAGATTGTTGGATTCTTCCCTGACTTTGTCTTAGACTTGGGGGCCTTTTTGGCCGACTTCATGGATTTTCTAGATTTGCTAGTAGACGCGGTTAGCGTGCTCTCCACATCCTCTGGATCTTTCAGCTCATCTCCGGGCTCAACCTTGCTGACCTCCATGAGGACATCTAATTGGTTGAGGACTGTGGGGACAATCCCCGTCCCTCCGCATTGCTGGCAGTCGCAACCAGTCCCATTGCATGCTGGACAAGGTGCGCTGCCAGCTATCTGTTGCTGAGTTTCAGTTGCACAGTTGAAGTGAAGGGTCCCGGCGTTCTCTGTGGCTTCCTTGGTGTCGACATTGACGCCAACGTCGAGGTAACCTCTATACATCTGCCACATTCGTTCAACAGTTGGATGCTGTAAAATCTGAAGTGCAGAGGGGCGCCTGTCTGGAGAGTACTCAAGCATAGCAGAGACTATCTTACCCAGCTCCTCTGTATATCCTGGAAGCATGTAAGGACCAATATTTGTCCGTAGTTCTCGCAGAACCTCTGGAGCGTCTACTCCTTTGAATAGAGGCTCTCCAACACATACTTCGTAGATGGTGCACCCAAGGGCCCAGATATCAGCTTTTTCGTCGTATGCACGATTAGAGAGCATCTCGGGAGACATGTAGTTGGCCACTCCAATGCGTGTTGCTGCTACAGCCTTCCTTCCGAGAGGTTCGGCCATGCTGAATCCCCCTAAGACTACAGTGCCATCGTCTTTCAAGTAAACGGAGTCTGGATTGACATTTCGATGTAGGACGACTCCCAATTCCGGAAAGTAGGACTTGTCAGGTGTGTGACAGAAGGAGAGCACATCTGCTAGCTGCGCAATGATCATCCAGACGCTATCCTCGTCCATCCTCATGCCCTTCTCGCGCCTGGCTTTGCAATAAGCAGAAAGATTGCTGTGCTTAAAGTAGTCCGCTACTACGTACAGTATTTGAGACGCCTCATCATGTAGAATTTCATAGTATTTGATAATGTTTGGATGCTCTAACTGGCGCGTAAGTTGAACCTCCCGTTCCACGATGGGCTGGATCTCAACAGCGACGTTGCCATAATCAATCTTCTTGCACGCAAAAAGGCCATTTGTGTTTAGATCCCTCGCCAGATACACACGGCTGTGAGATCCAACGCCTATCTGCTCTGTTAACTCATAGCGATCCGAAAGAACAATCCTGCTCATATCCTTGTCTCGCTCAAATTTTGGCAGGACTTTTTGAACAATATTCTAGTACAAAAATCACTAAATCGCCGCAATGTGAAATTCTTCCACTACTATTTTTCCACTACTTGTGTATCGCCTTCGCCTTGGGTCCTCGTACGGCCTTTTGTCTTTATGAGAGGCCAGCCCTCATTGCCTTCTCAGCAGCACCATGAGCCTTCTGGAGGTCTTGTGGCTAGCGGGACGCAAGTCTCCGAAGAGGTAGCTAAGCAAGTCGGCCCATCGGTAGACATAGCTATGTTATTCCGCAGCAATCCGACAGACGTCGATGCTCTCCTGGCGCGTGTCATCCAGCTTATGAATGCAAACGAAATGCTAACACTATTTTCTCTCCTGAAGTACTACATATCCCTTGTTGAGAATCGAACCGAGATTCCTCTATTGGCCGTCCTCAGCCTGGCCCGAGCTTATTCAAGCATCGACGAACACAAGCTAGCGGTTGAAATCCTTCAGCTCTATCTCGAAGACGACGCCTACGTTACGGCACGCGCTAAAATCGAGGGCTATGAGACCCCCTTCTCATGTAAAATGGTTCTTCTCCTGCCATTTGTAATCGAAACGCACCTCCTCTATAGCATGAGTTCTCCTCTCGTCTATGCAAGCTCGATCTTTGAAGCCAACGATCGGGTTTATATGGAGAAATTCTCGATTTTGTTTCTATGCATTACAGACATCTTCAAGTTATACGCGGATGCAGACACGCTGCTGGAAACAGACACCCTTTTTGCGCGAGTTGTTACTGACGTAGCAACTGTTCACAACGTTTTGACAATCAAAATATCTGCTACTCTGGGTCAATCTGAACCCACCAAAGATCCGGATTGTCTTCGCCAAAAAATATATGTGCTCAGGAAACACCTTGGTATTCTTATCCCTATGATAAATGCGTCCGCCTTCAGCTCTATCTCTCTAATCGCTAAGTGCATTCTCTGCTTTATTGAGCTTATCGGAGACTATCGTCTTATTTTAAGGGAAGGTTTGGCAGAGTTGATCTTCGGTAAGGGAACCTCTCAGAAGGTGCAGGAAGAGCTTACTCAACTTATCAAGAAGTCCCACATATTGGTACTCAAATCGATGACCCTATATGCTGAGCAGCAAGTAACTACTGCAGTTATAGCATCTGATCCTGCGGAATCGGCGCATGATGCCTCCTTTTCAGCAACAGACGCCAGGGAGACCATCGTGGTTACTACCCCGCGTGTGTGCATGCAGGATGATAGTACCACGTCTTCCTGCACTCCCACTCGTTCTATAGACGGTGTCTCCAAAATCAAGGAGCTTCTGTCTGGTCCTTCACGGCCCCTTTCCTCTGTGCAGACTCTTGGCCCGAGCGGTACCAACGGCTTTACAGAATTCAGCAAGCCCCGTGTGCTTCCAACCGTGAACCCACACATACAGTTGCGTTCATTCTTTATCGGGCATGAGGTACTTGACATTCACACTCCTAGGATAAAGGAAAGCAACGATAAACTTACTACCGCTAAAGGAAGAGACTCTACTTGGACCGCAAGCACCTGTACCAGTGGCATTGATGAGTTATCAGGTTCTCATGCAGAGCCGAGCACACAGATGAAAGCCCAGCGTGCGCTGGACATCTGGTATGAGAAGACACTTCAGTCTAGGATCACCTTCCAGATGTTGCTGAACCTAGCAAACGTCCTTAAAATAAGCCAGTTTAACACAATATCAGAGTACGACGAGATCGTCTATTTTATGTCTGTTATCCTCAGCGACTTTGAAAGTCACATCACTAGTACTCGAAAGCTTGCTGATTTCCTTGTTCTTGTCTTTGAAATAATTCGGATGCTGATAGGAATAAGCGATCAGTTGGTCCGAAAGTATAGCACTGTGGCCTACATTCTCTACTCTTATGCCATTAAGGTCTCCACCGTGTACTGTGACATTGAGCGAAAGGTAGCTCTTCGATTTAATATGGATGAGCAATACAAGGCTTACACAGGACCCTTGCAGGAAATTCTAAGGGAGCTTTCCATCATATTACCCTCTCAGAAGCTTAAGGCGCGTTATAGTATAGACATTGCTTATGAAAACGGGGACATGTTCTTCCTTGAGATTCTAGATGGTAACTTGACCCGAGCATTATGTTTTGAGCATGACTATTCCATTTCGGAGCTGTCCCGTTTGGCAGCGCGTCGTATAGCCATCATCGAGTTCACATTGAGCCTAGCGTTGTTTAATGCAAGGCTCTATCTGGATGCCGCCCTCTGGCTCGAGCGCGCAACCTTGCACTGCAATCAGCTAGAGGAAGCGTGGATCTTGCTTGCTCGAACATACCTGAATATAGGAGAGCGGGAAAAGAGTATTCAGGCTGCGTCCGTGTGCTATCGTCTCAACCCATCTAATTCGCAGGCAAAACGATATTGCGAGAGCGCGCTTCCAGAAATAGGGATTCATATAGAGCTAGCGGTCTCCTCCTCTTGTGAACCAGGGGTCCACATAAAGGATGTTAGTTGAGAAGTGAGCGACACTATTTCAACCAACAATTCAAAAATGAATTCAAGTGTGTATTTATTGGGTTTCTTGGAATTAAGTTTCGGACTCCATGGCGCCCTACAATGTCTTTGACCTTACCACAATTTCTCAGGCCGTCCTCCAGGCAGAGTACGCGGTTCGTGGGACGGTCCCTCTGCGTGCGATAGAGATAGAGGACGAGCTGAAGACCCCCGACGGAGCCAAAAAGTACCCCTTTAACCGTATCATCTACAGCAACATCGGGAACCCGATGGTTATGGGGCTTAAGTATTCCACATTTCTCCGAAATCTGCTCGCCTTGGTGACGGCCCCGCATGTCCTCTCAAAGCCAGACACCGAAATTTGCGCCCTGTTGAACTGCAACCAAGAGTGTGTGGATCGCGCCAGAGCGTTCGTGAAGGAGAATCCGTCTGGTGTTGGGGCATACACCCACTCACAAGGGTACTTGTCTGTCCGCAAGGAGGTTGCGGCGTTTATCCAGCAGCGGGACGGCTTCCCGTCTGATCCCTCAAACATTTATCTCTCCGACGGGGCGTCTGTTAGCGTGAAGACTATCCTGCAGCTTCTGGCTGGTCCCAACCCCGGAGATGGTGCCTTTCTTCTTCCAATCCCGCAGTACCCCCTGTACAGTGCCGCCATCGCCCTTAATAATGCAGTCGCCGTGAAATACTACCTCTTGGAAGACGACGGTTGGTCCATTGATCTCAAGAGTCTTCGAGAGGCCATCGAGACACATAGGAAGACGGCCAAGTCGACAATCAGGGCACTTATTCTGGTGAACCCTGGTAACCCTTCCGGGTCTGTTTTCTCGAGAGAGACGCTACGGGCTGCGATCGATATCTGCGACGAATATGGGATTTCCATAATGAGCGACGAGGTCTATCAGCTCAACACCTATGCAGAGGCGCCAGGGAAGCAGAGGCCTGTCTTCCACTCGATGAAAAAGGTGCTCTGCGAGTGGGAAAAGGATAAAGGAAGAAAGGGACCTGCTCTCTTCAGCTTCCATTCGGTCTCAAAGGGACTCCTTGGTGAGTGTGGGCTTCGAGGAGGGTACCTGGAGTGCTACAATGTTCCGAAAGAGATCACAGCGCAAATCTATAAGTGCTTTAGCGTGTGTCTCTGCAGCAACACAATAGGCCAGGTTGTTGTCTCCTATATGGTCAATCCTCCAAAGAGCGACGACGAGGACAAGAAACACTTGAAGACAGTTTTCGAGTCCATGGAGCGCAAGGCACAGATACTCACAGAGGGTCTGAACAAGGTACCGTATATGACATGCGAGGTGGTTTCCGGGGCCATGTATGCATTCCCTAGACTTTACCTCCCCAAGAGGTTTGTAGAGGAGGCAGAAGCAGGGAAGATGGCAGCGGACACTCTCTACTGTCTCAAACTCCTTGAAACGACGGGTGTGTGCGGAGTCCCTGGAAACGGGTTCCAGCAACGTGAGAACACATTCCACATGCGCATCACAATCTTGGAGGATGAGAAGTTCTTCCACGAGTTTGTGGAGAAGATATCGACGTTCCATAAAGATCTTTGGAAGAAGTATGGGTCAGACAGTGAACGTGCAGCCTACCGCAAAGAGATAGAGGAGCGCTTTGCTACTATGAGGAAGGCCTGTCATGCGGAGTGGTAGGCGAGGATAATCGGTATACTGAGTGGAGTGAATGCTTTGGATTTACTAGTCACTAAATCATCCTGTTGTCTGCTGGTAGCGATCGAGGATGTGGCGTGAGACAGTATAATACGCCTCTATCAAGCGTGCGCAATTCTCTGTGCAGACAACACTCAGATTGAAATAGAGCTCCTGTCCTTGTGGCATGGAAAAGTAGAGCGATAAATAATCTGAGTAATAGAAAAGTCGCCGCAGGCTTGGCACAGGGATAGATTCAATAATCTGCATGCTATCCCTACTGGCCAAACAGATGTACTCCCGAGTCAATAATAGATAACAATAGATAGACTTTGCTGTATCCGGCCTGTCCACCATCTTAACTGTCTGGCCTCCACCTTTATTAATCAAATCACCAATCCAGACGGCCGGAATTGATAGCGAATCATAGAGCGCCAACTTCGAGAAACAGTACAGAAAGTCTGATAATATTGCCTCCTGCGATGAATACTTGAGAAGAGACCTAGCATCCCTATAAATTTCTTGCATTGCAGACTCAGTAAGAGCCTCGGGGTCCCAGGCAGTCTGCTCCAAAGCCTGGGATACTTCGAGGGGGATTATATGCTGATTCAGCTCAAGTATTAGTGCACCATACTTGACTGCGATAAAGTAGCAGCAAAGATCAGAGGTGTTCTCAAGAAGACGGTCGCTGTGAGCAAGAACATGGCCCCGATGAATCTTGTCCAATGCGTGGTGAATGAGCATTCCCTTGTATACGGCAGAACACTCCGAATAATAGTCTGGGATGCTGCACTTTGCCCTCAGCTTGGAGTCCTCTACTACAGCACGAACACCACTCACATCTGGGACGATAAGGGTAAATAGAAGACACTTAATGAGTTTGTTTCTTGGAGAGTAGATATCCACAAGCATAGTGTCTTCACTTACGAAGATGTCAAGACCCTGTGCGCTAATCTGAAAGAATCCGCAGGTAGCTGCCTCCAGAGGCCGCAAGCAGAGGCGGGCAACCACAGCTGCTTTGAGATCTCTGACTAGCATACTTTGCGTTGCTGGGACAGTCAAGTGGCTCCCATCGAGCATATGGACAGTGACAGCGACATCCATGCATGGGAGTCCGAGCTTATGCTTTTTATTAAACGTACAGATATCGACCTCTGCTCCTCTTTCCAGTACTCTATGCAGCTAGTTTTCATTGTCTACATAGTCATTGCTTTATATATGATTTCACAGAACAATTTACCGGATATTCGGGACACAAGTCGATGGATCGGATACAGGCCAAATAGGATTCATTCACCTTTGGAACGTGCTTCTAGATCACTTAACCTTTTTTCTAGCCTGGCTCTTTCTTCGGCAGAGATACGGTTTTCCTCTTTTAAGAAAGCCACTTCCTCTCGAAGAGCGTGGAGCTCTTGTTTAAAAGAGGCCAAGATAGAGTCGATTCCATCATACGATGGTGAAAGACATGAATTATCCAACAATGCTAGAAACTGTTTCGCCGTTGGTCTTTTTGCTGGATCTTTGTCAAGAAGGGACTCAATGAGGGTCATGAGTCTTTGGTTGCAGAGATTCGATAGATCGCTGATGTTGTATGACTCTTTATGGAACAACTTCCCAGTTAGTAGCTCATATGCAATGACCCCTAGGCTCCACATATCTGAAGAAAAGGTGTACGCTTCACCACCACTGTCCATATCCACCTCTGGAGCCACGTACTGTGATTCCTTAGTACTGCTAATAGCAGCGGTTTTCCAGTACCTGCAATGAATCCCAAAGTCAGTGACGATCACTTGCTCTTTTGAAGAATTAAACATGATATTGCTCGGCTTTAGGTTATAATGGGGAGTAGGAGAGCCTCCATTATTTAAGGTATGAAGGTGCTCTAATGCTTTACCGACTTGCCGAAGTATGCCCAATGCCTCTTGTAAGGGAAGTTCTCGTTTATCTCTCTGGCGCTTGCGCATCTCATTGTGAAGTGAATTGGTATACGCTGGTATTTTGATGAGGAGAAGCTTTGAATTTGTGCCGAACATTATAATCCTCGCTAAATTAGGATGATTTATCCTTTTAAGCTCATCTAGCTTATCAAGTAGCTTATCAAGTTGATCAGATGTCAGCAAATCAACAGTCATTTCCTTTGCAACTTCCTTCTCAGTGCTCAGCAATCTGTAAACATTTCCGTGTGGCCCAAATATTCTGTCCACATTCTTATCAGGGTTATTGTCTATATCATCTCTAATATAAGAGAAATCCTCTTGTAATAAACTCGTTCGTTCTTTTCTGAGTGAAAACATACGCTTGACAACCAGTCTTTTTCATTTTAGCAAATAATCAGCAGGGATTACGATCTTTCGCCTCTCCTCTGTGACCCTGACCCACTTGTTGAGGGTCCGGCGATTCAGGAACTACCGAGCCTGACTGATCATGTGTTCTAACATGCTTCTTTCTGCAATTAATGGATCTGCAGCCACTGTCGTGACCACAACACCAGCAGGCCCCGTCCTCTGCACCAGGGGCTTGCGGGCCCCTCAGGCGCGCCCCTGTGCGGAGAGTTTGAAGCCAACGCAGTGGGTTTGGAGCCCACCTGCTGGCTCGACCGATGCCCGGCCTGCCTGGCCAGCAGGACGCTCTCCAGACCGGGCCTTGCCCTCCCATGCTTTAAACCCTGAAGGCTTTACTCGCAGACAGCTAGGCGCCGTCTCGCTTTTCTGACGGCCTTTTACATAGCTAATAGAGTTGATGCGTGGAACGGTCTTGCGCTAGCGGAGAGCTTGTACTGCTCTTGACAGCGTGCAGAAGAGCCTCTCTGCTATTTTGTTAAGACGTACTTGCAATAAAGCACCTCCTACTTCTCTCTATTTTAGACCGCACTACTCTTTCTGAGGTTGGGACACAGCCCGCCACGCTCTTTGATGCAAGCCCACTGCAATGTCAACCCTACTCCACGTATCCTGAACACCTGATCGAGTCTGTCCTATACTGTGCGTACCAGGCTTCCAAGGCACTAGGCACATAACCACCACTCACCTTAAGGCTAATTCCATAAAGTGTGGCAGAGCTTTTGCCCATGCCTTCGTCGCAAGACAAGCAGACAGCCGTTCGGCTCTACTCTTAAGCTCTGATCTGATGCACACAAGGGGCCATACACTCTGTGCTGCACATCTTGTTGCTACCGGGAGGCAAACTGTTTGCATTAGTCCCTTGCGTAAAAGGTGAAGAGAGGGAACATCACTTCTGCAGAGCAACTTTACAATCCATGGCTGCGTTTCTATAATCGACATTCTATCGAAAGAATTGCTGTGAGCATGCTCATGAAGCCATAGAAGGTTGTTGGAATAGGACTTCTAGCGATAATACTCATGATGTCCCTGTGAACATTCCTATCTGCTGCACTGTCATTGCCATGGTATATTTGCGGATAGATAAGCAATTGTGGCAGCCCTAATTTGTTGTTGAGCTACCTCAGTCGCAACTCAAACGTAAAGCAATAGCACGCATCAGCATCTTGCTCGGCGATACCGATCGAAGATTGTGCACACAGCCCTTATCTAGTCATTATGCTTAGCTTCTCGATCTTATGAGCTTTCTAATGCACTCTGATTTCTTCTGCCAACTGTCTCGACTTCATCATCTGATCTTCTTTGGCTTTATTCATAGAGTTGTCTATTTGTGATGGATATTCATGCAGGATATATCAGCGTACTGCTGCACTCAACAAGAATGCAGGGGTGTCACTTTTAAAGCAGCCAGCCTCAAGGAGTTTAATGGCAGTCTCTGTTGAAGACATCCAGTATGTGTGCACTACTGGGAGTGATGTATCTCATCACTAAGGACTTTAGAAGTCATCTACACATTAATGAATAAGCCCCGAAAGAGCGTAGCCTGTAGCTATCTGCAGCCAAATATAGGGCATGTTGATCGCATACACACATCCTTCTCAGCATATCTCACACACAGCCCTTACTTGCATCCAGCCTGATCTTGTCAGTAGGCTGTGCTCTCCTTAACTATAATGAGGCAGCTATACAAACTATCTCGATAGCGCCTCATAGAAACTATGCTTTGACGGTATATTCCTCTCTGCGAGTAGGATGTTCTGGATTGTCTGGACTGATGAGGATCGTATTAAGGTGCAAAGAAGTACAACGATGTGGCTGATTATGTAGAGAAGGTCGAGAGCGATTAGGTGGGTAGCCACTAGGAGAAGCCGGCGACAAGCGAGGCACCCTTATATGAGCCGGAGCATTGCAGATTCAGATGTCCATTGTCTGTTCAGATATTGGTGCGCGACTCGCATGGAGCAGACAACATGCCCGCGATGGAGTAGTAGGAGACGCGTTTACAGCTAAGCGTGAGTCTACGCCTTTTCCAGCAGAGGAAGCCAATAACGTCAGTAGGAGGGGCAGAAAAGATATGACCACAGGCATACTATGAGCTCCTCGTACTATGTGTAATGTTTGAGTCTAACTTTGTATTAACTAGCCTTACTCTTATTTAAATCAAGAGATAAATCTATGATATTGGTCGCTTCCCAGTAGCAATACGCCCCCGATTCTAAGCTTCTTTAATTAACTAAGTTACAGAAAGACGCTGCCAATTTAAGCTCTTCTCATTCATGGACCAATCTATACATCTGAGTGAAGAAAGTACCAATTAATTACAGATCCTAACTCCAATGTTACTAGTACTTCTCGCAAGTTGTATAGCTGTACAAGCCGCGGTGTGTGCGCCCGCGCTGATCGGCGCCGGGTGTGCGACATGCACAGGAGAGAACGACGGACAGACGTGCCTTACGTGTAATCCCCAAGAGAACAAGGTGCAGCCTGGCGGAAAGAAATGCGGAGTCGGCTGCCCGGCGAACTCCACCCCTAAGGAGAGCGTGTGCGAGTGCAACGGAGGATACAGGCCGAACGCCCAGGGCCAGTGCGAGCAAGACCCCGCCGCGGTGTGTGCGCCCGCGCTGATCGGCGCCGGGTGTGCGACATGCACAGGAGAGAACGACGGACAGACGTGCCTTACGTGTAATCCCCAAGAGAACAAGGTGCAGCCTGGCGGAAAGAAATGCGGAGTCGGCTGCCCGGCGAACTCCACCCCTAAGGAGAGCGTGTGCGAGTGCAACGGAGGATACAGGCCGAACGCCCAGGGCCAGTGCGAGCAAGACCCCGCCGCGGTGTGTGCGCCCGCGCTGATCGGCGCCGGGTGTGCGACATGCACAGGAGAGAACGACGGACAGACGTGCCTTACGTGTAATCCCCAAGAGAACAAGGTGCAGCCTGGCGGAAAGAAATGCGGAGTCGGCTGCCCGGCGAACTCCACCCCTAAGGAGAGCGTGTGCGAGTGCAACGGAGGATACAGGCCGAACGCCCAGGGCCAGTGCGAGCAAGACCCCGCCGCGGTGTGTGCGCCCGCGCTGATCGGCGCCGGGTGTGCGACATGCACAGGAGAGAACGACGGACAGACGTGCCTTACGTGTAATCCCCAAGAGAACAAGGTGCAGCCTGGCGGAAAGAAATGCGGAGTCGGCTGCCCGGCGAACTCCACCCCTAAGGAGAGCGTGTGCGAGTGCAACGGAGGATACAGGCCGAACGCCCAGGGCCAGTGCGAGCAAGACCCCGCCGCGGTGTGTGCGCCCGCGCTGATCGGCGCCGGGTGTGCGACATGCACAGGAGAGAACGACGGACAGACGTGCCTTACGTGTAATCCCCAAGAGAACAAGGTGCAGCCTGGCGGAAAGAAATGCGGAGTCGGCTGCCCGGCGAACTCCACCCCTAAGGAGAGCGTGTGCGAGTGCAACGGAGGATACAGGCCGAACGCCCAGGGCCAGTGCGAGCAAGACCCCGCCGCGGTGTGTGCGCCCGCGCTGATCGGCGCCGGGTGTGCGACATGCACAGGAGAGAACGACGGACAGACGTGCCTTACGTGTAATCCCCAAGAGAACAAGGTGCAGCCTGGCGGAAAGAAATGCGGAGTCGGCTGCCCGGCGAACTCCACCCCTAAGGAGAGCGTGTGCGAGTGCAACGGAGGATACAGGCCGAACGCCCAGGGCCAGTGCGAGCAAGACCCCGCCGCGGTGTGTGCGCCCGCGCTGATCGGCGCCGGGTGTGCGACATGCACAGGAGAGAACGACGGACAGACGTGCCTTACGTGTAATCCCCAAGAGAACAAGGTGCAGCCTGGCGGAAAGAAATGCGGAGTCGGCTGCCCGGCGAACTCCACCCCTAAGGAGAGCGTGTGCGAGTGCAACGGAGGATACAGGCCGAACGCCCAGGGCCAGTGCGAGCAAGACCCCGCCGCGGTGTGTGCGCCCGCGCTGATCGGCGCCGGGTGTGCGACATGCACAGGAGAGAACGACGGACAGACGTGCCTTACGTGTAATCCCCAAGAGAACAAGGTGCAGCCTGGCGGAAAGAAATGCGGAGTCGGCTGCCCGGCGAACTCCACCCCTAAGGAGAGCGTGTGCGAGTGCAACGGAGGATACAGGCCGAACGCCCAGGGCCAGTGCGAGCAAGACCCCGCCGCGGTGTGTGCGCCCGCGCTGATCGGCGCCGGGTGTGCGACATGCACAGGAGAGAACGACGGACAGACGTGCCTTACGTGTAATCCCCAAGAGAACAAGGTGCAGCCTGGCGGAAAGAAATGCGGAGTCGGCTGCCCGGCGAACTCCACCCCTAAGGAGAGCGTGTGCGAGTGCAACGGAGGATACAGGCCGAACGCCCAGGGCCAGTGCGAGCAAGACCCCGCCGCGGTGTGTGCGCCCGCGCTGATCGGCGCCGGGTGTGCGACATGCACAGGAGAGAACGACGGACAGACGTGCCTTACGTGTAATCCCCAAGAGAACAAGGTGCAGCCTGGCGGAAAGAAATGCGGAGTCGGCTGCCCGGCGAACTCCACCCCTAAGGAGAGCGTGTGCGAGTGCAACGGAGGATACAGGCCGAACGCCCAGGGCCAGTGCGAGCAAGACCCCGCCGCGGTGTGTGCGCCCGCGCTGATCGGCGCCGGGTGTGCGACATGCACAGGAGAGAACGACGGACAGACGTGCCTTACGTGTAATCCCCAAGAGAACAAGGTGCAGCCTGGCGGAAAGAAATGCGGAGTCGGCTGCCCGGCGAACTCCACCCCTAAGGAGAGCGTGTGCGAGTGCAACGGAGGATACAGGCCGAACGCCCAGGGCCAGTGCGAGCAAGACCCCGCCGCGGTGTGTGCGCCCGCGCTGATCGGCGCCGGGTGTGCGACATGCACAGGAGAGAACGACGGACAGACGTGCCTTACGTGTAATCCCCAAGAGAACAAGGTGCAGCCTGGCGGAAAGAAATGCGGAGTCGGCTGCCCGGCGAACTCCACCCCTAAGGAGAGCGTGTGCGAGTGCAACGGAGGATACAGGCCGAACGCCCAGGGCCAGTGCGAGCAAGACCCCGCCGCGGTGTGTGCGCCCGCGCTGATCGGCGCCGGGTGTGCGACATGCACAGGAGAGAACGACGGACAGACGTGCCTTACGTGTAATCCCCAAGAGAACAAGGTGCAGCCTGGCGGAAAGAAATGCGGAGTCGGCTGCCCGGCGAACTCCACCCCTAAGGAGAGCGTGTGCGAGTGCAACGGAGGATACAGGCCGAACGCCCAGGGCCAGTGCGAGCAAGACCCCGCCGCGGTGTGTGCGCCCGCGCTGATCGGCGCCGGGTGTGCGACATGCACAGGAGAGAACGACGGACAGACGTGCCTTACGTGTAATCCCCAAGAGAACAAGGTGCAGCCTGGCGGAAAGAAATGCGGAGTCGGCTGCCCGGCGAACTCCACCCCTAAGGAGAGCGTGTGCGAGTGCAACGGAGGATACAGGCCGAACGCCCAGGGCCAGTGCGAGCAAGACCCCGCCGCGGTGTGTGCGCCCGCGCTGATCGGCGCCGGGTGTGCGACATGCACAGGAGAGAACGACGGACAGACGTGCCTTACGTGTAATCCCCAAGAGAACAAGGTGCAGCCTGGCGGAAAGAAATGCGGAGTCGGCTGCCCGGCGAACTCCACCCCTAAGGAGAGCGTGTGCGAGTGCAACGGAGGATACAGGCCGAACGCCCAGGGCCAGTGCGAGCAAGACCCCGCCGCGGTGTGTGCGCCCGCGCTGATCGGCGCCGGGTGTGCGACATGCACAGGAGAGAACGACGGACAGACGTGCCTTACGTGTAATCCCCAAGAGAACAAGGTGCAGCCTGGCGGAAAGAAATGCGGAGTCGGCTGCCCGGCGAACTCCACCCCTAAGGAGAGCGTGTGCGAGTGCAACGGAGGATACAGGCCGAACGCCCAGGGCCAGTGCGAGCAAGACCCCGCCGCGGTGTGTGCGCCCGCGCTGATCGGCGCCGGGTGTGCGACATGCACAGGAGAGAACGACGGACAGACGTGCCTTACGTGTAATCCCCAAGAGAACAAGGTGCAGCCTGGCGGAAAGAAATGCGGAGTCGGCTGCCCGGCGAACTCCACCCCTAAGGAGAGCGTGTGCGAGTGCAACGGAGGATACAGGCCGAACGCCCAGGGCCAGTGCGAGCAAGACCCCGCCGCGGTGTGTGCGCCCGCGCTGATCGGCGCCGGGTGTGCGACATGCACAGGAGAGAACGACGGACAGACGTGCCTTACGTGTAATCCCCAAGAGAACAAGGTGCAGCCTGGCGGAAAGAAATGCGGAGTCGGCTGCCCGGCGAACTCCACCCCTAAGGAGAGCGTGTGCGAGTGCAACGGAGGATACAGGCCGAACGCCCAGGGCCAGTGCGAGCAAGACCCCGCCGCGGTGTGTGCGCCCGCGCTGATCGGCGCCGGGTGTGCGACATGCACAGGAGAGAACGACGGACAGACGTGCCTTACGTGTAATCCCCAAGAGAACAAGGTGCAGCCTGGCGGAAAGAAATGCGGAGTCGGCTGCCCGGCGAACTCCACCCCTAAGGAGAGCGTGTGCGAGTGCAACGGAGGATACAGGCCGAACGCCCAGGGCCAGTGCGAGCAAGACCCCGCCGCGGTGTGTGCGCCCGCGCTGATCGGCGCCGGGTGTGCGACATGCACAGGAGAGAACGACGGACAGACGTGCCTTACGTGTAATCCCCAAGAGAACAAGGTGCAGCCTGGCGGAAAGAAATGCGGAGTCGGCTGCCCGGCGAACTCCACCCCTAAGGAGAGCGTGTGCGAGTGCAACGGAGGATACAGGCCGAACGCCCAGGGCCAGTGCGAGCAAGACCCCGCCGCGGTGTGTGCGCCCGCGCTGATCGGCGCCGGGTGTGCGACATGCACAGGAGAGAACGACGGACAGACGTGCCTTACGTGTAATCCCCAAGAGAACAAGGTGCAGCCTGGCGGAAAGAAATGCGGAGTCGGCTGCCCGGCGAACTCCACCCCTAAGGAGAGCGTGTGCGAGTGCAACGGAGGATACAGGCCGAACGCCCAGGGCCAGTGCGAGCAAGACCCCGCCGCGGTGTGTGCGCCCGCGCTGATCGGCGCCGGGTGTGCGACATGCACAGGAGAGAACGACGGACAGACGTGCCTTACGTGTAATCCCCAAGAGAACAAGGTGCAGCCTGGCGGAAAGAAATGCGGAGTCGGCTGCCCGGCGAACTCCACCCCTAAGGAGAGCGTGTGCGAGTGCAACGGAGGATACAGGCCGAACGCCCAGGGCCAGTGCGAGCAAGACCCCGCCGCGGTGTGTGCGCCCGCGCTGATCGGCGCCGGGTGTGCGACATGCACAGGAGAGAACGACGGACAGACGTGCCTTACGTGTAATCCCCAAGAGAACAAGGTGCAGCCTGGCGGAAAGAAATGCGGAGTCGGCTGCCCGGCGAACTCCACCCCTAAGGAGAGCGTGTGCGAGTGCAACGGAGGATACAGGCCGAACGCCCAGGGCCAGTGCGAGCAAGACCCCGCCGCGGTGTGTGCGCCCGCGCTGATCGGCGCCGGGTGTGCGACATGCACAGGAGAGAACGACGGACAGACGTGCCTTACGTGTAATCCCCAAGAGAACAAGGTGCAGCCTGGCGGAAAGAAATGCGGAGTCGGCTGCCCGGCGAACTCCACCCCTAAGGAGAGCGTGTGCGAGTGCAACGGAGGATACAGGCCGAACGCCCAGGGCCAGTGCGAGCAAGACCCCGCCGCGGTGTGTGCGCCCGCGCTGATCGGCGCCGGGTGTGCGACATGCACAGGAGAGAACGACGGACAGACGTGCCTTACGTGTAATCCCCAAGAGAACAAGGTGCAGCCTGGCGGAAAGAAATGCGGAGTCGGCTGCCCGGCGAACTCCACCCCTAAGGAGAGCGTGTGCGAGTGCAACGGAGGATACAGGCCGAACGCCCAGGGCCAGTGCGAGCAAGACCCCGCCGCGGTGTGTGCGCCCGCGCTGATCGGCGCCGGGTGTGCGACATGCACAGGAGAGAACGACGGACAGACGTGCCTTACGTGTAATCCCCAAGAGAACAAGGTGCAGCCTGGCGGAAAGAAATGCGGAGTCGGCTGCCCGGCGAACTCCACCCCTAAGGAGAGCGTGTGCGAGTGCAACGGAGGATACAGGCCGAACGCCCAGGGCCAGTGCGAGCAAGACCCCGCCGCGGTGTGTGCGCCCGCGCTGATCGGCGCCGGGTGTGCGACATGCACAGGAGAGAACGACGGACAGACGTGCCTTACGTGTAATCCCCAAGAGAACAAGGTGCAGCCTGGCGGAAAGAAATGCGGAGTCGGCTGCCCGGCGAACTCCACCCCTAAGGAGAGCGTGTGCGAGTGCAACGGAGGATACAGGCCGAACGCCCAGGGCCAGTGCGAGCAAGACCCCGCCGCGGTGTGTGCGCCCGCGCTGATCGGCGCCGGGTGTGCGACATGCACAGGAGAGAACGACGGACAGACGTGCCTTACGTGTAATCCCCAAGAGAACAAGGTGCAGCCTGGCGGAAAGAAATGCGGAGTCGGCTGCCCGGCGAACTCCACCCCTAAGGAGAGCGTGTGCGAGTGCAACGGAGGATACAGGCCGAACGCCCAGGGCCAGTGCGAGCCTTCTAATACTAATAAGAGTAGCGGTCTTTCTACCGGCGCCATAGCAGGCATCGCTGTGGCTGCTGTCATCGTTGTAGGAGGGCTCGTCGGCTTCCTTTGCTGGTGGTTCATATGTAGGGGGAAAGCGTAGATGTACTTAGGTAGTAAACGCGTCACTGTATATGGCTCATATAAATGTGCTGCTGGGCTCACTTGAGGACCTGGTCCAGAGATCGTGCGGGTAATCATCGCTCCTTCCTGGCCAGTTCAGAGACGAGGGTTGGCTGTGGATGATATAATAGGGATCTCCCTTCACTTGTATACCAGGAGTCTTTTGCGTCCCTCAGTTGTTCCGCAGAGGTGTGCTCAGTCTGAGTATGCACGTCGGTCCTTTAGGGGTTCAGGCCTTCTTGCAGACTCTCTGCTCTACCGGTGGCGCCTCTCCTTAGTCTTTCTTCGTGGTGGGTGAAGCTCCGGTCACCATCCTTTTTTAGATGCCCCGTCTGCCAGGGGCTGCCATCGGGCTCTCCGCTGGCTGGGCCCCTCGGTGTCCGGGCAGCTGTGGTTCTGGGTCAGTGCTCTACAGTCGCGGTCACTAGGTCCCAGTGGGTTCGGATGGTGGGTGAGGAGGGGTTGCTGAGGCGGTGAGGCTGGTGGGACCGGGGGGTGTTCGCATGTGCCTCTGGGGTCAGTGGGTCAGTGAGGTGGTGGCTGTGGTGACTGGGGGCTATCCATCTATGATTCACCCCTCTGTGGACTCGTGGTCTGTGAGTGCCTCCACCCAGACAGCACCCCAGGAGCCGGAGAGTGGTGCCAGCCTAGCTGCCCTCCCTCCTCGGTGCCTCCCAGTGCAGACTCACCGGAGGCCACTACCCTGTCAGCCACCCAAAGGAGCCGTGCACACCGGGACAGAGAGGATGACCAAGGGGGTCAAGCAGCCCTGCCACGAGGGTGCACAGCAACCAGCATGAGATGTAGGGTCTGCTCGAGCGATGTAGTGGCAGACGACTCCCTCTGACAGCGACCCTGGTGACTGCACTGGTCTGCTCTCGAGGCTGAGTGACAGTGTGCACAGATGGACATGAGTGCAGGAGGACCGTCCACACACGGACAGACTGTGTGGACCCAGAGAGGACTGGAGTCTGCTCGGGACACGCTGACTGTGTGCCCATACGAGAGTGCCAGGCAACTACTCAAGCACCGAGAGGCAGGTACAGACACGGGCACTAGAGATCCCCAGCCAGACACATTGCTATGCTCATCCACAGGGGCATCAGAGGGCCAGGTGGAGTCACCCTCACAGTTAGGGCCTGATAGGAAGCCAGAGGACTCAAACACTACAGCAGGCCCAAGGGAGGCACACTCCAGGCAGGTGAGCAGTGGCAGAGCCTTGATAGCTGCCATCCACCCCCATGACACCCAGGCAGGCACCAGACTCCGAAGACTCGCTGGCCTCGACTGATGACCCGAGGGGGCAGCAGCCAGAGGAGTGAGGAGGCCTTCGGACACCACAAGAGGCCGGCTGTCCAGCAGGCTATGAGGCAGACAGGTGGCCTCTGAGCACCATAAGGCACAGGAGCCGACCATCATGAGTGATGCCCGATCACAGAGATGACCACGAGCGCCCTCCACCGCACTCTGGGGGGCTGTCGATCATCCCACTGCCTCTCATAGCAGACCTCCTTGGGGGCAGTGCAGTGGGTCCCAGCTCATACAGGAGGGTGTGTGCCCCCCTCAGTATAGGATGCCCCGACTCTTCCCGAGGGGTCATCAGAGCCACGAGGAGGGGTCAAGGTCCTGGTGGATCACACCGGGAACCCCTCGAATGGGCACAGCAGGTGATGTTGGGTGACCCTCAGCGTGCTCCTCTCTGCATGGTAGAGCATCCTGAGACCAAGGAAGCTCACCCCTGCCTACGGATGACACACAGCGCTCCACAACGAGGACCCACCAGGAGCAGCACAGCTGACCACGGGGGCAGTGCAGCCACCCGGTACCCCACCATGCCAGTCTTCTGGGCCATCACACTAGAGGCCTGAGAGAACCCCATCCCATCCACAGGGTCATCCACACCCCTGCTGGCCCGAGGTGAACTGCACCCATCGAGGCACTGGACAGGGCATGCTGGGGGCCCAGCAGATCCACACAGAGCATCAGCACAGAGCATCAGCGAGTAGCAGGAGAGGCTGCGATGGCCTGCCTCAGCCCTCACGTACCAGCCAGCCAGAGGCAGTACTACCCGAGACATGCAGGGGCCAAGGGAGGCGCTCAGTCAGGGGACATGACACAATCGTCGGTGCCTGTGTCTCGGGGAGTGCAACGCAGGCTGGGGATCAGACGCAACCACCTTGGCAAACAGAGAGGGGATCACCCACCACCCCACTGGCCCACCAGACCCAGGGGCACATACAAGCACCCCCACCCGGTCCCCCGGTCCCACCAGCCTCACCGCCTCAGCAACCCCTCCTCACCCACCAGCCGGCCCGCTATGGAACCTACGTGACCGTGACCGTGGGAGCGCTGACCCAGAACCACAGCTGCCCGGACACCGAGGGGCCCAGCCAGTGGAGAGCCCGATGGCAGCCCCTGGCAGACGGGGCATCTAAAAAAGGATGGTGACCGGAGCTTCACCCACCACGAAGAAAGACTAAGGAGAGGCGCCACCGGTAGAGCAGAGAGTCTGCAAGAAGGCCTGAACCCCTAAAGGACCGACGTGCATACTCAGACTGAGCACACCTCTGCGGAACAACTGAGGGACGCAAAAGACTCCTGGTATACAAGTGAAGGGAGATCCCTATTATATCATCCACAGCCAACCCTCGTCTCTGAACTGGCCAGGAAGGAGCGATGATTACCCGCACGATCTCTGGACCAGGTCCTCAAGTGAGCCCAGCAGCACATTTATATGAGCCATATACAGTGACGCGTTTACTACCTAAGTACATCTACGCTTTCCCCCTACATATGAACCACCAGCAAAGGAAGCCGACGAGCCCTCCTACAACGATGACAGCAGCCACAGCGATGCCTGCTATGGCGCCGGTAGAAAGACCGCTACTCTTATTAGTATTAGAAGGCTCGCACTGGCCCTGGGCGTTCGGCCTGTATCCTCCGTTGCACTCGCACACGCTCTCCTTAGGGGTGGAGTTCGCCGGGCAGCCGACTCCGCATTTCTTTCCGCCAGGCTGCACCTTGTTCTCTTGGGGATTACACGTAAGGCACGTCTGTCCGTCGTTCTCTCCTGTGCATGTCGCACACCCGGCGCCGATCAGCGCGGGCGCACACACCGCGGCTTGTACAGCTATACAACTTGCGAGAAGTACTAGTAACATTGGAGTTAGGATCTGTAATTAATTGGTACTTTCTTCACTCAGATGTATAGATTGGTCCATGAATGAGAAGAGCTTAAATTGGCAGCGTCTTTCTGTAACTTAGTTAATTAAAGAAGCTTAGAATCGGGGGCGTATTGCTACTGGGAAGCGACCAATATCATAGATTTATCTCTTGATTTAAATAAGAGTAAGGCTAGTTAATACAAAGTTAGACTCAAACATTACACATAGTACGAGGAGCTCATAGTATGCCTGTGGTCATATCTTTTCTGCCCCTCCTACTGACGTTATTGGCTTCCTCTGCTGGAAAAGGCGTAGACTCACGCTTAGCTGTAAACGCGTCTCCTACTACTCCATCGCGGGCATGTTGTCTGCTCCATGCGAGTCGCGCACCAATATCTGAACAGACAATGGACATCTGAATCTGCAATGCTCCGGCTCATATAAGGGTGCCTCGCTTGTCGCCGGCTTCTCCTAGTGGCTACCCACCTAATCGCTCTCGACCTTCTCTACATAATCAGCCACATCGTTGTACTTCTTTGCACCTTAATACGATCCTCATCAGTCCAGACAATCCAGAACATCCTACTCGCAGAGAGGAATATACCGTCAAAGCATAGTTTCTATGAGGCGCTATCGAGATAGTTTGTATAGCTGCCTCATTATAGTTAAGGAGAGCACAGCCTACTGACAAGATCAGGCTGGATGCAAGTAAGGGCTGTGTGTGAGATATGCTGAGAAGGATGTGTGTATGCGATCAACATGCCCTATATTTGGCTGCAGATAGCTACAGGCTACGCTCTTTCGGGGCTTATTCATTAATGTGTAGATGACTTCTAAAGTCCTTAGTGATGAGATACATCACTCCCAGTAGTGCACACATACTGGATGTCTTCAACAGAGACTGCCATTAAACTCCTTGAGGCTGGCTGCTTTAAAAGTGACACCCCTGCATTCTTGTTGAGTGCAGCAGTACGCTGATATATCCTGCATGAATATCCATCACAAATAGACAACTCTATGAATAAAGCCAAAGAAGATCAGATGATGAAGTCGAGACAGTTGGCAGAAGAAATCAGAGTGCATTAGAAAGCTCATAAGATCGAGAAGCTAAGCATAATGACTAGATAAGGGCTGTGTGCACAATCTTCGATCGGTATCGCCGAGCAAGATGCTGATGCGTGCTATTGCTTTACGTTTGAGTTGCGACTGAGGTAGCTCAACAACAAATTAGGGCTGCCACAATTGCTTATCTATCCGCAAATATACCATGGCAATGACAGTGCAGCAGATAGGAATGTTCACAGGGACATCATGAGTATTATCGCTAGAAGTCCTATTCCAACAACCTTCTATGGCTTCATGAGCATGCTCACAGCAATTCTTTCGATAGAATGTCGATTATAGAAACGCAGCCATGGATTGTAAAGTTGCTCTGCAGAAGTGATGTTCCCTCTCTTCACCTTTTACGCAAGGGACTAATGCAAACAGTTTGCCTCCCGGTAGCAACAAGATGTGCAGCACAGAGTGTATGGCCCCTTGTGTGCATCAGATCAGAGCTTAAGAGTAGAGCCGAACGGCTGTCTGCTTGTCTTGCGACGAAGGCATGGGCAAAAGCTCTGCCACACTTTATGGAATTAGCCTTAAGGTGAGTGGTGGTTATGTGCCTAGTGCCTTGGAAGCCTGGTACGCACAGTATAGGACAGACTCGATCAGGTGTTCAGGATACGTGGAGTAGGGTTGACATTGCAGTGGGCTTGCATCAAAGAGCGTGGCGGGCTGTGTCCCAACCTCAGAAAGAGTAGTGCGGTCTAAAATAGAGAGAAGTAGGAGGTGCTTTATTGCAAGTACGTCTTAACAAAATAGCAGAGAGGCTCTTCTGCACGCTGTCAAGAGCAGTACAAGCTCTCCGCTAGCGCAAGACCGTTCCACGCATCAACTCTATTAGCTATGTAAAAGGCCGTCAGAAAAGCGAGACGGCGCCTAGCTGTCTGCGAGTAAAGCCTTCAGGGTTTAAAGCATGGGAGGGCAAGGCCCGGTCTGGAGAGCGTCCTGCTGGCCAGGCAGGCCGGGCATCGGTCGAGCCAGCAGGTGGGCTCCAAACCCACTGCGTTGGCTTCAAACTCTCCGCACAGGGGCACGCCTGAGGGGCCCGCAAGCCCCTGGTGCAGAGGACGGGGCCTGCTGGTGTTGTGGTCACGACAGTGGCTCTGGTGTACTCCAGGAGCGGCCACCGCAGGGCTGGTCGGGCCGTGTGAGCAGGGTTCTGCGGAGCCCGAGTAGAGTCTGTTCTGTGTGTATGGCCACTCAGAGGCAGTGGCCTAACGATATTCATCGACCTACTAACTAGTAAACCCGATAAAGAGCCGGTTGGAATACGCAAATACGTGCATAAGAGCAAAATGTTGTGTTCAGACCAAAATTTGCATGGTCGAGACCTCGCTTCAGTAACATCCCCTCTGAGACTCGTGGGTGAGGGTGGGAGGCGCCTTGTTTTTCGCAGGAACAAGGAGCTGATCTTAATCTCCAAGGTCTCTGCAGCCTCCGACGAAAGCTTCGAACAGACCATAGGCGGCCTCTTTCCGCTCTTTCCTTGGAAGCCGAGTCGCATAACTGAAAGTTTATCTCAAGAACTTAACGCATTTCCTCTGCAAGTCCGTGCAAAAAGATATGCTGGAACGGCATTTCCCAGACCAAGCCCTGGGGAGACATGCCTGAGCTACACCGGAGTGCATGATCTGCTTACTGTGGTATGCATTAAGCCACACTTTCCCAGCAAAGGAGGTTGGATCGAAAGTTTTTCATTACAAAGGAAAACAGATGCCGGACAGCACTTCTGTGATTGCTTGGCTCGTGGTGCATTTTACAAAGCGTGTGCTAGCAAGGATAGACTTGTCCACTGGCTCAACACGGCGTATATCTGCGGTCTCAACCACGGTAGCAACCACCTAACCGTTTACGACTTTGCATCTGATGCTTCTGCGCTCTCCTCCAGTGAGACCGATAAACTATTTGGCGCAGTAGCTTGTGCATTAACAGGAGGAAACAATAGTGTTTGCATTCAAATCTACAAGTTGATACATATGTTAGAGGCTCTTCAGCGCGTCTCTTCTTCAACGCACTTACAAAATGTGGTATCGGCAAAAGAATATGCACACTTTTCCAGCAATTATAGAACTCTAAGCCATAGAGCTATCGAGATTGCTATACAGCTCTACGCCGGTGGAAAGCTTCCACCTTATGACAATCTCCCATACGTGGACAAGCTCGTCTGCATCCTTCTTTTTAAAACTCTTTCCGATGCATCGCTGCTCTTCTACCTCTCTAAATCTGACGAGAAGGTTCAATGGTATCTAACGGACCTTGCATTGAAGTCTGCCGAAAGAGTTGGAAAATGGGCATTCGCATCAGCAGCAAACGATAAGCACAGGGAGCAGTAGAGCAACCGGAACCGTGTAGGTTTTATTAGGGAACTCCAGACCATACACTTCCGACGTATCGTTTGTGGAAAGTAAGTATAGGATAGGCCATGTATTCGATATCGTAAAGACCTGGAACGGTCGTAACATAATCCTACTTCTGCGAGCGATTGATGCGACCAAGATTGTGGGTAAATAATGTGCTATAATATGTTCTGGATTTGCAAATCTATCTGGCCAGTAAAATAGAACCCCGACGGACATGGCAGATGACGAGCCGAGGCACTGTAGGGAAAGTGTTGTGATGAACCTTCTGATACGGGCTGTCTCTGGTGCTGCAGCGAGTAGGAAGAAGAATAGAGATAACATAACCCAGGTCGATGTGCAAAAGTAATTAAGGGCACTGACACCGTTATCGCGGGTAACCTTGATTACCAGAAAGCTATAGAAGAGACTGAGCAACCCAGAGAGAAGGCGGAACAAGAAAAGTGTCATCTATTTTACTTTTTCACCCCCATCCCACTTGTGCTCAGGAAGCGCTGAAGCGCCTCTCGAAGCTCACGATTTTCCCGCTCAAGAAGAACGCTTTCTCTTTCGAGGGCCAATCGGTCAATACTTACTCTGCTCAACTTCTTATAGATTGAGCGAAGCTCGCCCACGGCCACCATCGCATCCTTTCCCAGAAAATTATCCCCTACATTTAGGTAAGATGTGGTCACCATCTCGTCGTGTTTGCACTCGTCGTTTATGTGCCTATTCGTCTCATCATCTATTCTATCTACTTCGTTCACCCGCTCAGCCTCTGTTTCTAGTCGTGTGCACAGTGTCGATACTCTTATGATTTTATTAGCGCTCTCCTTGAGTGATATGATTCGGTCCTCTGCCTCGTGTGCAGCCAGAACTAGAGCTTTCATCCGTCCTGTCTCAGAGTTGCGATAGGCGGTCAACTTCTTTTTAAGCTCTACAAACTCCAGGTAGGTGGCCTCTTTCTCCTTTTTGAGAAGGGCATTCTTGGCTCTAAACTCCTCTGTTGTGGTTTGGATCTTGGCTCTCCAGTGCGCAATCGCCTTGGACAATCTCTCAATTTTCTGCTTCTGCCTCTCGATCGCCAAGGAAGACTGTTGATCCTTCAATAAAAGAACCTTAAACTGGTGTTGCTTGGTGTCCGTGTTTGCGCGATACTTTTCGTGGGCGTCGAGGAGGTGCCGTTCCAAATCAGCGTTTATTTCTTCAAGATTTAAACGCAGAACATTGCATGTTTCTTGGCTCTGATTCTTTAATTCTGATATCTTGCTGGAGTATGAGGAGTTCAGTTGCTGAATAAGTTGGTCTTCTTGCTCTTGAGTGGAGCTTTTGATTTCTTGAAGCAGGCGCTCTCGTGCGTCATAGCTTTTCTTGAGAGCTGCTATTTCTTGGTCAAACTGCGCCTGGAGCCTGGTGATATTATCTTCCAGGGATTCTTCAAATAGAGCACTTCGCTCCTGGAGCAGCGCAAGGATGCCGTCCATGGTTGAAAGATGTGTCCTGATGCACCGTCGACGTTGTTCTTCCGCAATAGATATGTATCTAGATAAAAGTGTGATAAACGCGTCCTTCCTATCTACTTGATGGTCAAAGTCTTGAATCAATGACTCTATTTGCTTGATAAGCTCGGTCTTCTTAACCGATCGGAGGCGGTCGCGCCAGATAGACTGGATTTTGGCCCTATTTACAGCGCATATCCCCGCTTCTGCTTGGACCATATTTGTTATTGCGGTAGCGTACTTTGCATGTATCTCATTTCTTCGCTCATCCTGAAGCTGTCGCTGGAGCTCTAGCTGGGCTGCAGGGTCCAGTCCTGCATCAAACATTTTTTGGGACCGTTTTTTGTTCTCACGACTTTCACTATCCTATACTCTGTTAATAAGACTGATTCGTTGACGAGAAAAGTTGGCTACTCTCTTGCCCTGCTCTCTCCAGAAGATGCAGCAATCTTAGAGGCCGCAGCAAGAGTCAGCAGTGTCAAGCGTGCAGTTAATGACATGAAATACGCCGAGATGACGTCGAAGTGGCTCCGTCCATGCTTTACACGGCCTCGTAGATATTCCACTGCTGCAGAATTCCTCCTTTGTCCCGACCCTTTTCATCCTCTACCTCTGCGCAACAAAGGGCGGCCTCAAAGCGTGCCTTCTATTGCCAGATATCCTTACTTGTCGCTTCTAGATATCCACAAGACATTAACCCTTAGTATAGCATCTATTCCAGTCGTTAGTAATAGGCCAGCTCCTGTGTATCACATGTCCCAGCCCAATGATACACTGCTTCTAGGATCTAATTATCCGGCTGCTATGCAGAGTGGTACGACCAGATGCGACAATGAACCGAGATCCCCCCGAGTCCCACTGCAGCATGAGAGGATTCTCGCTATGCTTGATAACTGTGATAACCATACCAACCTTCTTGCGCAAGTGGAGAGTCTCCGACGATACTTTCCTTTAACGCTGACAACTATGGCAGCAGGGACCGTGGAAAGTTTACTTCTCTCTGCAAAGACATCCAGCTATACGGGGACAAGTGCAAGCTCCGGATCGAGCAATCCTTCTGCTAGAATGTCTCTTTCTGGTATGATGAGATCATCAATTCCTAAGAACCCAGCAGCTCCTCCCATGGACATTTACCAAAATGTTACCGACTCTACCACCTCGTTCAAGGGAATGACATCGAGTGAGCACAGCAGCAAACCTGCTGAAGTACCTGTTGGTGAGATCCTGTCCAGTTCTCTTCACAGTTCTGATGTAACTTGCAGTGTCAACACAGCTCCTCTTTCACCCTCTCTCGTATGCAATGAAAAGTCGAACTCACACATGCACGCACTTAACGAAAGAGGCGATAAGTGCGTGGGATCACTGTCTGAGATTTTTGCTAACTGCAGTGGCTCAAAACAGACTTCTCTACTTGTTCCTTTTGTCTTGGGGACTGATAGACTTGGCATTCTTGCAGAATATAAGCAGGACTCAAGTACTCGCAAAAAACTTCTGCGCTGGCCAGGTAGAAACGTTTTGTCTCTTCTTTCAGATAAGGTATACATGGGAGACCCCTATCACCTTTTAGTTCTACCAAACAGTGGTTCTGAGCCTTCTTCTCCGGAACGTCCCTTGTTTCAAGCTGGCATGCCTCCTGAAGCTCACGTATTTCCATGTTATTGGGAAGGAACGATAGAGAACCGTACAGCGGCGTATACTGTGGTATCCATTAATGGCTATCACGTAAGGCTTATAACCTTAACCTCTCCCTCCGTTTATGAGAGGTTCGCTCCAAGCTTCAATCCCGTCCATTCTGTGCAGTTCAACCGCACTGCAAAGTTGATTTCTAATGCGGCACGTTATACATGCATTTGGCGATTAAAAGCTCCAGAATTTACTTTTAGGTCTGATAAGAATGAGGAGAGGGATTTTATCAAAAGTCATGGGACCGGTGTTGTAGCGCAAGTTGAACAGCAATTGCTCTTGCACGCATCTAGAGCGACAAGCATAGCATTCTCAAGATACTCTGCGACTCTAGATGCTTCTACTCAACAATGCGTACACCCGGCTTCTGGTGCTGATACTAGCTATTCGGATATTGAGCCTCTGCTTTCGCTACGATCTGCCAACCAATCTCCTTTTATGGAGCAAACTGATGGCACCTCCACCTTCCCTGTAGGTCGCAGTAACCACGTTAACGTGTCAAGCTCAGCGCAGTCAGACTTGTCTTCAATTTTGAACCTCGATACATCCAGTCAAGACACCCTATCTTCGGCAGTTACGTTGACAGGTTCTCAACCTAGATCCTCTAGTACTTCCCATTGTACCATACCTGCTACTCTCGACGAGCTCTTCAGGAAGCCTCTCCGCTCCAAAGAGTGTCTTAGGCAGAGTGCCTCCAGGCAGCTACTTCAGTATGCATGCTGGAGTTCACCACTAAGCAGAGCAGTCCCCTCTCTTTCACAGCAGCTTGCCGTTTCTAGTTCAAGGCCTTCAACACTACCGTCTGCTGAGAGCTTATCCGTTCTTGGGTGTAACCGTAGTAGGCCAGACGCACATAAGTACGCCAAACGAAGAGAGCACATGTTCAAGGTCGCTTATGAAATGGGGCTTAGCCGCAAGGTATGAACTGCCTTTGAACAACACAAGACTAGTCTTCGTGTATAACAATGAAAATATCCCCTGCTGTAATTTTCTCTATTTCCTCGGAACATGGAAGAAAGACAGATGATATGGACCCCATCTCCTTACTATAAATGTCTACGAAGATTGGACACTCAATCACCTGTGGGGATGCCTCATAATAACCAGAGTAGTTTTTATTAGAGAAGTACACTAGTCGCCGGTCGAAGATGTTCTTGGCTCGCAGCCCATCGTACTTCTTCAGAACATTGAGCTCCACCACATTGAGCGGCCTTGCCTCCACGAAGTCTGTCTCGGACGAAGACTCTGTTACGGACGACACAGATGTGACACCAGGCTGCTTTCTCAGGTCGTCACGTGGTGTGGTGTCTCGGGATTCCTCATTGCTGCTGGCATTCACGCTCCTTCGAGAGTTAGACCGAGTACCTAAATCTAAGGTTAGCTTAATTCCTAATCTGTTCAAGCGGGCTTTTGGCTGCGTAGATTGCTGTATTTTAGGTGTGTTTGCCATTACGTTCGAATCTGCATGGGTTTCCTGAATCTCGGGGGGGGGAGTGGGAACAGCGGGTGTAATTGGCTTGCTATTCTGCACAGACTTTGTATTTGGCGTCGCTATGCACGGTCTGCCAGACATTGGGCGAGCCTTGTTAGCACGCTCATTAGGAGCGCCGACGGCTGAGTTACTATCTCCAGGAAGCCCAACCATCGGAGCTGAGTCATCCGTCCCAGAGAGTGTCATGCTTTGCTCTGTTTTCATAAAGGAATCATTCATGTTTCTCCTAGCTTGCTCAGAGGCATATATAGTCGATGAAAAATTCCCCAAGCTTATGATAACAGACTTTTTCTTGTATATCCTCTGCGCAAGAACGCGCATTGCAGGCAGTGGATTGTATATGCTCGTCACGCTTTGGCTGCTTACCTTTCCAATGCTGAGGTCAACGTATGCAGACTTAAGTTTCAGACCGGATATCTGAACGTTGTCCCGTTGACGTAGGTTTGCGTACGGGACTATATCATACGCCAATGTGTATTGATCTACGGTCCCACCAGTGATGTAGCAGGCCTGGGCACGGAATGCAGTGAACAGGGCAGACGGCCGGAAGGTCAACGAGATGTCAATGTTCATATAATTCCGGTCAATCATGGCATCGTTATAGTATGATCGCGCTCGGACAAGGTGATTGATCAGCTTGAAGAGATTGTCCACGTGGCGCTGAATCATGAATTGAAGGATATAGTCCGGGATGACGTCATATCTAGCGTACCGGATATAGTCCACCAAGTCTTTAACCATGCGATTGTAGAACATTATTTCCTGGTACATAAAGAACATCAAGGGACAGGACTTCTCATTAGCATCTATCTTGGTATTAATCTCGGTAGGCAACGACAAAGCCAGCTTACGACGGTCATAGTGAATCAATCTAACGTTGTAAGAAATAGATTTTGCAACAGAGTACATGACCCCAGATCCTAAGGTTGAGTCTAAAAACTCTAGTATCTGCTGCCCCTCTCGCTGGTAAAGATAAATCCTTTCTGGATCAGCAAGCCCTAAGTGGCGCGGATTGTCTCTAACCGTATTTATATCTACACTAAGAATAGCGTTGCTGATCATCTTCTTCATTGCTGCAGTATCAAATTCACCTCTGTTATAGAGCTGCGCCGGGTCCTGTAAGAGCATAGTACCTACTTCAGCACGAACATGCCTTGAGCTATATCCAAATACAAACTCCGTTAAGTATTTCAATACAGTACGGTCATGCTGAGTGCCCATTTTCGCACCGTATTTATCAATGATATTCTCAACCAATCTATTGTACAGAACAAGACAATTGTCGTTAAAAACTAGTTCGTGAGCAAGAATTCGGAAGAACGTAATCAGAACAGATTCCAAGTCGCTCTCGTCAAACGAGCTGTATACAGATGTCCAGCCGTGCGTGCCAAAGGAACAGCGACTTATGATCGCAGCTATGGCATAGGAGTTCTTGATAAATAGCGTGCTGATGTCTGTTAACCCTATCGTTGTTTGCATGTGCTCCTCTTTGTACTGCTCAATATCAAAGTTGTGTACATCCTTAAACTCAGCCAGATACTTCTGAGACAGTTCCATCGTTCTCTTATAGACGCTTGAAAAGCTGACATCTGAACTTCGTTTAAAGGAGATGCAGGCCTGGGCAAAGGAAGATAAACTGGATGCGTCTCCCTCCGCTGTAACAATTAATTTAAAATGCCTAGACACTGGCTTGAAGTCAGGAATCCCTGTCTGAAGGAGCGTTGCGGCCATTGTGCGCAGAAGTGGAGTAGCAGTGACGCCCGGTGGCATGGGCCCTCCACGTAACGGAGCAGTGGCACCAATAGGATCCTGATTGACGTCTATAGCAGACATGTTCATGGATGTTGTAGATTGATCTATTGCTGACGCCTCAAAGATAGAGCCATCGCCCACGTCCATTCGGTAGCTATTGGCCGTTAACGCCGCATAATGTCTGCGCAGATCGTTGTTGACAAAATCAGGAACGAGGTGTGCATTCTGAAGAACTAGCCAAACGGGGGAGCCGATGTGCTGCGAGAGAGCGCTCAGGGCCATCTTCTCCGTTCCTTTGCTAAGTGGCAAAACCTTCAGCTCTATGATTGGATTGTCATCGGCATAGTTCTCCACATGACTCTTAAGCATAACGCTCTTCTTTGCTTTCACAATGGCCTCGCGAGCGGCTGTGCTAGCCTGCATCAACTGGTAGCTCTCTTGTGGTAAGAATTGCGAAATAAAGCGAACTGCATCTACGGACGAAGAGTGATTGAAGAGAATAGGCAGCTGGCTATCGCTGATATTGAGAACAGATCCAAAGTTGAGTCTCTGCACTGCAGACAAACGGATGTTATAACGCTTTATGCTTCTCACAATATAATTGTTGACGGCAATCCGCAGGAATGCGGGCCTGAAGTGTTTGATGAAGAGCAGGAGCAAGTGATCCTCGAAGCGCACGACAGTATCGTTGTCTGTAAATATGTCAGATAACATGAAGGTCTTCATGAGGTCCGTAAATGATGCAATTACCTTGTCAGAGGATGTAACACTCATGCATCGTTGCCAAACGTTCCAGTGATATATTACAGAGAAAATGATGTTCTGCTGAAGCCCGGGATGATATGGCACGTACGGAGCATTTGCAAAAATGTCTAAGCGATCGACTTCGTTTGCTTGGGTAGCTTCGTTATTCGTGTTCAGACAGTACTTCAGTCCTACAGAGCCTTTAGCCGCCTCAGAGCTTAGGTTAGGAAGAAGCCCTTCAAGGTCGCCCTCAGTATGAGTATGATCTCTTCCAATACAAAATAGACCAGAAATAAGATTGGCTGCATGATTGCGTCTTTGCAAAATCTCAGTTGCGGAAATCTTCATAGAGTTCTCTCCGGGGCCTGCGAACGCCTTTCTCATGTCAGATGAAAGGGGCATGCTCTCCAACTGAGAGCTGTTCCGTACATAAAGCTTTTCTACGTTAAAGAAGCTCTCCTGAATGATAGTTATATCTAGGCTGTTATCAATATTAACCTTAGCTCCTTCAGCGCCCTTCTCTTGCTGACTCAAAATAGACGGGTGTCCGACGATTCGTGCATAGTCATGGCCCGAGATAATGAGGCATTTTGTCATTATCCACAGAAGGGGATCGCTAACCCGCTCCGTATCGAGATATGTAAAGATGTGATAGAGAAACGCCATTGCCGAAGATTCGTCAAATGCAAGTATAAATAGGGCGATAATTGTCTCGATATACTCGTTATTGTCATGACTGATGCGATTGTGATTCAACTGTTCCAATTCAACGGTCAGATCTGCCATCTCCTTCTCCTCCATTAATTCCTGTGTTTTCTCAAAGTTAACCCTACTGGCAATCAAGTCCTCAAAGCTGCAGTTATCTTCTTCCTGTGCTTCCTTTTCAGAGCTCCCTGTCGCATCGTCATCTGCGCTCTCGGCAACACGAGTTATTGCAAGGGTAGAGGTCCCCATGCGCCTGTCTCCTGTAGCCCCATACGTCTCGGGTAGTGCTACCTTCGAGCGAGAGGTTGATATGTTGACACTTAGATTAAGAGGACTTTGAGCCCCTGTAAAAGAAGATATCAAGGAACTCATCTGAAGGTTCGGGGTGTTTTGGTTGCTCATGTAAGGAGAGTTGACCTGAATTGCTGTGGACAAATTGAGAAGATGGGCGTATGCTGCATTCGATGCAAAATTCTGGCTCATGTCGTTATTGCAGATTATTATCCTCGCCACCACGTGACTGTATGTTTGTAGGCTGAGCTTCAGAAGCTGCCGGAGTCCCAAGAAGATCGACGTGCATATTACCGCAGCGTTTCTATGTGTATCACGCATCTGCAATATTTTGCGGTGCATCTTCGTGATGAAGGTCAGGCGTCGCTTGATAGAAGCCTTTTGCATCGAGGCCCCGTGAAGGCTTCCCAAGAGCTCATCAGAAAGTGCCTGTTCAAGACTGCTGTTCATAAGAGTATTAAGTACTTGTAGCTCGAGGATTTTAAGAGAAGACTTTGCGATTGACGCTTCAACAACGGCATTTAGATAGCTGCGCTCTATCTTGGGGTTGATGCTCTTTATCATAACTGATATTAGATGATCCTCCATTGCCGCGCGAGACTTAGCAAATGAAACAATCTGGAAATTGGCGATTATCTCTGGAGAAAGCTGAGAAATAATTGAGAAGTCGTTGCTAAGAAGGATTATGTTGAACGATTTGCTGAAGAGATAATCGTATCCATGTATCTTTACGACTAAGCTATGCTCCATGACGGCCTGTACGCCCGGGTCCAGAGCATCATGAGTCAGTGTCACTGCTAAATCATCGTTGTATGGATTGAATCTAGGGGTGCTTGTTGCACTGAGTTGTGTCCGTGGAGTTGTCGCCGCCGTTCCACTGGTTGTTCGCGGTGTTCGGATGATCTTGACTTTGCGTCTTTCTGGTGTCGAGCTAACCACCTGTTTCAACATTCCTAGTGTGTAGCTAGGGGTCCTTGGAATCACCGGTGTGTTAGGAAGCGCATCCTCCTTTTCAGGGTTCTCGCTATCTTGAGGTAAAGGGATGTCGTTCATCTGCAAGAATAGGTTTTTGCGTGCAACCTCCAAGTCGCGCTTACTCTGCGTTTGCTGCGTAGTCAACTCGTTCTCTTCATGGTCTGAGGTTGCATCACAGAATAATAGGCGCGCATCCCATGAGATCTGCTTCAGCACCTCCATTATAAATGACGGAATCTCAGACCCCATGTTTGTCACTAAGCAAACTTTTCCGCGAATTCCAGCATCGACAAGCTTCTTGAGCACTGTCGCCTGCTCTTCCGGGGAGTACTTAACACAAACGATGTTGGGGAGGTTGCTTAGAAAAGTCTCTGCTACTGACTCAGGGTCAAATATGTATGGAGTGTCCACAGAGTTCATTAAGCAACCCATTGACTCTGTAGTAGCGTTGTCAGATGGCAAGCAATGCTGCCTCCACATACAGAGCTCCTCATCGTTGTGCAGTCTTACTAGGCCCATATCCACACACTCATCTAGAGACGTTGAAGAGCGGGCGTTCTCACTGGGGCTAAGACACATCTTGGAGTCCGTTCTAACTTCGGCTCTGAAGGAGCTTGCTGCACCTAAAAGAGTAACGAACATAAACTTAACAGATTCTGTTACTGTGGTCGCTAAGCTTGAATGTTCTGTCCTGATCTCAGTGAGTGACTCTTCCCATGTCTCGTGCTCCACTTCCAAAAGTGTCTTAATACTCTTGACTAGTTTGTAGCGTCCTTCTGCCGTCCGTATCTGAGACTCGAGCTCCTGCTCGATAGCTTTGTTCCTATCTGCTTCTACCGTAAGCTCTTGTAACAGGGCCTGGAGCTCCTCCAGTTCGGCCTCCTTGATCTCCATGTTCTGTTTGTTGACAATATACTCTTGGCGAGCCTTCTCCAAGCGGGCTATCTTCGGCTTAACATTGTCCCACGCAGTGGCGTATTCCACCACTGCAAGGCACCAGCTGCAAATTGTAGTGGCGGCAGTCGAGATGGATGATATTTTGGCAGGGTTAAAGTCTGGCGTTGCTGTAATGGCTCTGAATTTGGCAAGGATCTTTGGATTGATTGTTTTTTTGTCATATGCAAGAAGCGAGGAAATGAGGTTTCCAGAGGATAGGAGTTGCCTAGCTGACGCCCAGTTTGTCGGCTGGTCCATAAGAGCGCAAAGAGCGTTCATAACGAGAACCACAAGTGGATGTGGATTTGTAAATGTACTCAGCTCTGCAATATCTTGTCTGTTAAGATTCTGAAGAGCCTCATCAGCCTTCTGCAACATAGGGAGAACTCTGTTAAGCTCCTTCTTGGCCTGCGTCATCTCCACAGTGATGGACTTGTCTTCTATAGTAAGGGCCATTTTCTCAGAGCTGACGACTGCGTGCTGCTCCTGTGCCAGTAGCTTCTTTGCGGAAAGTTCCGCTAAAATGGATGCTACCTTTTGCTTTTGTTGTTCAAGCTGTGGTTGGAGCTTCTCAAGCTGCATCTCTAGTTCGCTGGCCTGGGCAGAGCTCTGTGCAAAGAGCTCTAGTCCCTTCTCCAAACGTGCCTCTTGCTCCACCAATTTGAGCTTTCGGTCACTGAACATCTTGTAATATGTACGAAGGAACCGCGCAAAGACTATCGGGGTTTTAATAAGATGCTCGCTTCCCAGCTTGATTCTATAAACTTCTGCTATCGAAGAAAAGACTTGGGCAAAGCGGTGGAGCATGGTCTGATCGATGTTGCTCTCATTGAGCTTGTGGATCGGGATCAGCCCATCGGCTGACATGCAAAACACCTTTGCTACATCGAGTGGGAGAAGCTTGACAGCAGAGATACATATCTCGACCATCGGCCAAGTACCTGGGACTTCTACTGTACAGCGTTTAATAACTCCTGGGTAGGTGGTTCTCATGCTCTGATAAAGACTCGGCTCGGCCAAGATAACGAGGTGGTAGTTGTTTATAGCCAGAAAATGAGGGTCATCCAGCAATTGTTCTATAAACGGAAGAGCTGGCTGGACGACAATTGGAGATAGAATAAGGCATGTGGGATCTTCGTTGATGACACAGCAGTTACCGTAGATAAGCTGATAAAGCTCTTGAATATCCAGTACCATACGTGGCTTCATCTGAAGAGCTTCGATGGCTACCATGACCGCTTGTTCAACAAAAATCCCTGCCAAGTGCACGACGAGTAAATGGGAGTCAGGCTTGGCTAGATGATAGGCCAGCTTTAGCATGCGGCGCTTCAGCTCCTGCTGCAATCCACCAACAAGAGGCGAAAACGTGTCGTTATTTGCCACATGTGGACATGGCTCTGGAAGGGGAACAGACGGGAGTATCATGCTGTCAAATGAATGGGGAAATGTGCAAGTAACAAGGAAAGAGGGGCTGGTGTGTACCGGTTCAGAGGAGAATGTTTGGAGAATAGGATGGAGTGTGCTTCCACGATGGCATGGCCCGTTGTTTGCGGCGCCTTCCTTGCTGGATAGCTCATCTAATTGCAAAGGTTCTGAAACCATATTCTGTTCTGAGTTTAAGTCTGTGCCAATCGAAAGTACCTGTCTATATTGATAATTATTTAGGTCGTAAGAGGCTAAGTTTCCCGTGTGTAAAAGTATCTCGATCAACGGCACCTTCTGGTCGCCTATTGCCGATGAGGATTGTTGCATCAGTAATTGCATTTTAGACAACTGCAAGCCACTCTGCCTCAGTTCAGCTATGTCTGAAAGATATGCAGTATCCTGGTTTAGGATGACATCTGGACGCAGCTTGACAGGAACACGGATGGCTGCAGATGGTTTAAGCTCGGTAACAGTTCCTGACAGATGCCTGATCACGTGATCAACAAGAAAAGCGTCGAGAGTTCTGATAGTTTGATCGGATCTTCCTTGGTAAAGCTCTGCCCGCAGGCACGAAAGTAGAATCTGTAGGAGACCACGCCGAACGACAGATGTGTTTATAGGGTCTAAAAGAGCGTCCGCAGTCGAAAGGATATTCTTGAATGTGGCCGGGGTAGTGAACGAAAACCTCCGCAAAAAGGCAAAGAGTTTTGTATAACTGAATTGTAAATCAACTGAACTACTGTGTTCAGAATGGTCAAGCAACAAACAGATAACGTTGGTGAAAAGAGGAAGGATGGAAAAGACAACGGGATTAATGTAACTTCTGATATGAGACGCGTTGCTCCAAGCGGTAAACACAGCAGAAATCACAGCCGAGACATTCGTAAACGCGCTGCAAGAGACGGTGAGGGAGTGTGCAATACACTTACTCGAGAGCAACGGCGGGCCCACGTTGATAATCTGATAATTCCTAACACAATGGAAGCTTGGGGGCGATGATCCAATGTAGACGCCGTTGTTTTGCATGAGGAAGGAGATAAACTCATTGATCGGGAAACAAGTGAATGCTCCGAGGTTATTGGTTATGGGACGCGCCATATTCATATTGCGTAGGATGAAGAGATTTGTTCCCCCAATAGTGTTGGACGGGGACAGGATCTTATCCTCACGTTTGAAGCAGTTTTCAAAGTACTCAACGAATTGCTGCAGGGTTTTATTTGCACCAGAGAATCGCAAAGGAATAGGAAGCGCACTCGCAGTCTGTTGAAGCAAGGCTGTTAGCATCACCACAACCGCTTCAGCCCCAAAGCCAGATATTTGAAGATATATATTGCTTGCCGGCAATATCTGCAGCTGGTCACGGGCAGAGATGTTTGTCACGGGCTGGATGGTTCCTGGAAGGTTGCTACTTGATGCTGCAAAGCCAACGTCTCGTGACCCCCCAGGTCCAGTCATAGCGGCAAGAGCTGCAATACTTGCAGGGTTGATAGTGTTCATGGTCATGCTAGAGGCAGTGCTTCCGTGTTTGCTGGAGTTCTTTTTACCCAGTGGCTCTCGAGCAGAAGGCATTGTAAGTCCCCCGAAGGATTCGCTGTTTTTCTGTGCTTTAGAGTTCTGCTCTTCTCTTTGTGCGTGTACGTTTGATAGAAGCTTACTGAGGGTAATAGTCTTGTCGTAGTATAGTAGGTCTGTGAGGCATATGTAAAGCGTACGGCGCACATCAGCGGTTTCAACAAATACGCGTGATGTCAATGTATCAAACTCCACATTAAAGATGCCGTGTTCCAAATCGCAATTTTGCGACATAGCAAGCGCGCCATACACACTGTTGTAACTTTTAAGATGATCAAACTTGCTGCACGCAGCGAAGGAGACTGGAATGAGGCGATACGGATCGAAGAAGCATTGATCAAGTGTCGTGTCTAGCTCTGTCTTTGAAGACATTCCATTGACGTGGAAAGCAGCTGCCCAATATTTGCGCTCCAGTATGACTTCCTGGAGTTGCTTGTCAATTTTCTGAACGTAAAGATCCTTCCCAAATAACCCAAGACACGACCACACAACTGAGAAAATCGCATACCCTTGAAGCAACCGAACGAGCATGCCTCGCGTAGGATCTGCAGCCACCAACTCATAAATGTGCGAAGATGACGCACATAGGTGGGCACGCAATATCCTAATGGCTTGCTGGACAATCGTGCTCATGTTAGAACACAAAAATGTCAAATTTAGGACAATTCCATGTTCATCCGCAGATGAGGTCGTGGCTCCGAGATTGAGAGACCCTTGAGGATCAAATTTATGCATCGATTGGGGACTGTGATCAGTGGAGCTTTGCTCCCTAGTTGCCACAAGGCCAAAGAGACAATCGAATAATGTTGAATACACATCTAAGACGTTAACGTAGAAGTTATTCTCAAAATGCAGCGGATTGCGTGCATAATATTCTGTATTAGCTACATCTGCCAACGGAGCACGGTTGGGGTAGCGTGCCTTATAAGCCTCCAGTCTCTCTTTGCGTGTCATTCGCTTACTTGTTCTGCCAGAGATCCCTAAGGCGCTAAGATCCGAGTGCCCTAACGCGCTAGTCGCAGAGGCATCACATCTGTTCGTCATTGCAGCGTTGGAATAATGTGCAACCTTCGTTGTGGAGAGCCCGAGAACCACATCTTTTTTGTCAAAGAGGAGCTCCACGGATTGTAAATCCATATTCATTCGACAATATGACTTTATCTTTTCGGAATTATAGGAATACGTGCGTGCAAAGTCTAAATAATCGAGCTCGAATAATTCCCGCAGAGAGGAGACAAGGATGGCTTGATACAAGAGTGCATAGTTCTGAATACTATCCTCAAGAGAAAGAATACCGCAGCGGCTCAAAGTGGATGGAGACGTATGGCTGATGTCTGTTGTTTCGAAGATTATCCTTATGTGATTGGAGATACGTATTCTTTCGCCGTTGGCCAAGCAGAGCATTTTGTTGTCATCCAAGAGCGAGTTCATACACTCTGCGTATGCAGAGTCAATGGGACCATCTAGCACAATAAACTTAAGCCGCTCTGTGGAGCGAGAAAAGCCCTTAGAGTCTGCCTCAATTTGTGACTGCTCGTCTTCAGTGAAATCCTCGCTTACGCTGACGTCTCGATGCCTCAGGAAAGTCTTGCCTCGACGCTTTGCCTCCTTAATTTGCCGCTTGAGCTCCTTCTCTTCCCTCTCCTTCTTCTTTTCCATAAGGAGGTTATAAGAAGCAATGCAATAGTTCCGTAACACCGAGCTGAAAATCCCATCTTGGAATGCTTCGTTTTGATAGCCACCCAGGAGGCCCTCTGTGGTGAGTGCACGCGGATTGATAACGGTACATTCGTTGGTCTCATCAAGCATGAGCCTCCAGAGAACTGTTTTGAACGTGTTTCGGCTCCCCAGGAGGATGATCCCTGTTCGAATCCAGAGAAGGTTCTCCAACTCGAAGTACTTCTCTCCTTGGTATCTGAATGCGATGCGGCCTGTTGCACGACACGAGCTGCGATAAGCAGCAAGAACAGCTTCTGCCCGCTTCTGGATATTCTCGGCGACCAGAGTCTGGGCCTGCGCAAGGGCAGTAATTTGCTTGCGACCAATGTTAAGTTTGGATGCCATAATGGATGACGCCACTCGATAATGCACCGCATTGCCCTGGAATTGGTCAGCGTGTGTTGGAGCAGCCGATCCTATTACTGTGCCATTTAGTTCTTGTGGACAATCGAATGAGTTGGGCACTACTTCTGCACCACTTAGTCTCTGACGATTCCTGTCTAACAGCTGTTCGCTCATAGGTCTTTTGTAATTCAAAGCGGCTTCAGAAACAGTAGGCCATAATTCTTGATCAGTAAGAAGCATATGGAAGAACGAGAGCTCAGATTTGCGTATGATCATAAACTTATCAACGTCAAGATCATCAGATGGTGCTGCTTGGCCTGGTTGTTGGACAGAGATAGCATAAGATTGCTGAGAAACCGGCCTCTTATTCAAGTCTGTGATCACAAAGCTAGATTTCGCTACTGCTTCCATATTGTTGATAAGCATAAACGATGAGTTCATGACTGCGTCGGATAGATCCTCGACTCTAGTCGTGCAAGTGGCCTGATGATCATATCTATCGCTCTCCATATAACACATGACAATATCTCTTCCAAACACATCTGCAACAATTTCTATGAAGTTGTGCTTGTCGAGCTCTACCAGGCAGGGTGTCAAAAGACGGATGAGGTTGTCAATTACGCAGATGGTCTCGATATAGCCCATGAAGATCATATGCTCCTTGTATTGCTTTGAATTGGCTTTGTCACCTATTAATAGACTCTTGATGTATGCATTTTCCCTGAAGATGTAGAGCCAGCGCTTAAATGTGTGGGAGGACGCCAGAATAACTGACTTAATCGTCCTCAGCGACAGATCGATAACCTTGGTATCATAAAGCTGTATATTTTCCGAGGGTCTGTGAGGCATTCCAAGGTCACTCTGCAGCTGTCTTGATGTTTCCGTTGGTGTCTGTTCCTGGGTGTTCAAAATATCAAGTGACGCCGGACGATGCTTTGGTTTGGCTTTGCTGTTTGTACTAATAAGAATGGCGTCCAGATTCGTGAAAAAGAAACGAAACTTGCGGCCCAGGTCTTGCGCTGTAGCAAATCCGTGCATTAGAAATAGTCCTGCGGCGATATAGTCTATATCTGGCTTTATGATCATGAGGGGCCTAAACAGGGCCATTGTGTTCCCCGGTAGCTCTATACGATTGGTAAAGATATACGAGCTTTGATTCATTGTAATAAACACTGATGCTGACGAACGGAGACGGATGGCGGTCGAAGCTACAGCTTCGCCGGGCGAACCTTGGTTCCTATCTTCTTCAGCCTCGTGGCCTGCCAGAGCGTCACTACCATCTGTCAAGTTAACGTATATTTCCTTCCTTCTTATGGCCTGCTGAATACAAACGATAAGCTTCGAAATCACCGAGAGAGTTTCAAGAGTCAGTCGGTTGAACTCGTCTAAGCAGAGAATAGAGCCGGTGGCCGCCATGCCCATAAAGATCCTAACAACTGTGCTGTAATCCAACGCTTCTGTGCAGTTCAGGACTATACAGAACCGGCCCAGCGAGCGTGCAAAGTCCTTAGAGATCTCTGTCTTCCCGGTTCCTGCATTTCCGATGAGACTATTGCCCTTTAGGAGGTGCTGCATTGTATCAAGAAATATTTGGCGATATGAGTCAATGGTCGGGGAAATAATGAGTCGAGGGATCTGCCCATGATACTCGTAGTAATATGCGGCGTAAGCATTGTCGAAAAGATAATAATAAGGTTTCTTTTGATACGCATTGAGCCTCTCTAACTTTGCTGAAGAGACGGTTCGCTCGCTTTCCTCTAACGTCATGTACATCTTGCCCTCTGAGGCATTGAACGTATAACACACCATATTAGACTCACAATCCATATCCTGCTGCAACTGGTCTCTCTTTCGCTCAAGAAGGTCCCTTATATATAATTCAGTTGCTAGCAAGGGGAACACACCTGCTGGGCTTATCTTAGCTGGCTGGCCGGTGCCTGCCAGAGAAGCCATCGGACTTGCTTGCGCAGCAGAAGATCGAAGTAAGTCGTCCATAGAGTTATTGGCTAATTGACTGCGCAAAGATTGACCCTTCAGTGGAGAGGCTTGTGGACGCTTTGGAGTCTTTTGCTGCACAACTGAAGCTGTGCCATCGGCAGGTTGATTGCCATTAGAGCCAGAGATAGCCACAATGTTATTTCTGGTAATTCCGATAAGAAGGCTCAGGATGTATTCTTGGATTTCCAAGAGAGCCTCAACTATCTGTAGCTTAGACAGCACTCCATCCCGATCACTGCTGGATCGACTGCTTTGATTTAGGACTCCCCTGATTGTGTCGTCTGGATTAACCCTGGTCTTATCAGCGAGAAGCGACGCACTCAAGGCCGATGTTCCTGCACTGGTGTTGGATGGGCGCTTATAAAAGGACGACGCATTCTCAAACTCTTGCGGGTAATTGATGAAAAACCACGTCACGCATTGTCTAACAACGCTGATAACCTGGACCGGGTATGATGCAATAAAGTTCAGAAACACCTCAGAAGAGAAGTTTATCCGCAAGGTGATTTCCCTCTGGTGCACCGATAGCTTTGAATCGCCAAAGTTTGCGGTTAGGGAGCTGTGCCCAGGCGTTGCTATATTCTTAGTTGATATACTGTGATCATGAAGCGGCAGTCTATCGAAAATTATAGAGACCATGCTGCGGAGCTCAGGCGCGTGCTGCTGTACAGCAGATCCCATCATTGTCTGTAGGGTATTAGATATGCGGGTATCCAAGGCTGATAGCCATACGTCAGGAGACCCTCTTATGCGTATGTCCTTCTCGGACGTTGGTTGCATAAGCATGAGTGCTTCACCCTCACGTGACCGTACCCCCTTTAAGTAGAGCGAGCGAACATCGTGCTCAGTCTTTGTTTCGCAGATAAGAGACGTCACATTCTCAAAGCAGTTCTGAAGAGTACGGGTCAGAAGAGTTGGATCAAAGGGCGCCCCATGGGCCGTCTCGTCCTGTGCACTCAGAACTATTAGGAGTTCATTATCAGAAAGGAAAAAGAAGCGCATGAACTGGCGGCGTTTTATATCCAGGTACTTCAGAATGTTGGCATAGATGGCATCGAGATCGGTTTGCCATCCCATGATACTATGAATTGTATCTTTTGTACACCACACAGCTACCTTTTGAGTCCTTGCCACAGAATTCATAAGCGAGAGGTAGTGCTTCACGAGCTTGGTGAAAGTCCGCATATCCTCGGGCAGCTGGCGGACAATCGGGCTTGATGGAGCAAAGATGCGTAGAACAGCGATGAACTTTCGCTGATACAGATCCCAGATGAGAATTGCATCCTGGCATACAGTGCAGGTATTCTTAATATTGATAAGTTCGCGCATGGCAGGGTTGTCGCCCAGCCGCATGAATTGAGATTCAAGTGTGTTTAGCTCTGTTTTGACATCATTAAGTACGTTTTCGACAGTGTCGGTCAAGGTGATCAGATAGACCTGCTGGCTGAGAGAGGCGTGATCTGTAGAAAGGGTTCCTGTGTAGGGTATAAGTGGCAATGTCAATCCATCCAGTTCTTGCTTCAGCTTGGAAAGACTGCTAAGCAAGCTGTACTCGAGCTCAATTGAGCGCATAAAGAGGAGAAAGCTGTTCATGACGCTCGTCTCCAAAATCCCGCGATATACAAGGCGATTAATAGAAGCGGTGAAGCGGTCCATTTCTATAAAAAGGCCACCATATCTAATTTCTGCACGCTTCTTGGCTCTTCTTCGGAAATATTCCTCCTTTTCTGCATCAGAACCAAAGATCTTATAGCAGACGTTATAGAGCATATCGGTGCTATAAATAGAGGGCCGTTGAAGGATGAAAGAATAATTTGTCATCTGCGAGATCAGCACTTTAGAATCTGCCACATCCTTTTCGCTTCTGACGTCCCCAAATTGCTCACTAATGACATAGGCCTCTGATTTCGTTATCCAGGCCTTCCGTGCAGCTAAGTGGGCAAGGTATTTGGCCTGCACTGCCTGTACATGAGTTGCAACTGTGCTAACGCTGAGAGAAAAGTTTCCTGACATCTTTGCCTTGATGTTTTGTTGTTCAGCCTCTTCCTCTCTGTCTGAAAGGTCCTCGTCATTGTCATCCTCTTCAACGCTAGCGTATAAATTGAGCATAATCTTGTTATGATCAAGCGATTGTTGAGCTCGTGATCCCGCTGCGCCAGAGCTGCCCCCAATGATGTTGGAGCTCAGCATAATAAGCTCTGCAATGCTATCGGACTCTGATCCGAACAGGACTCGGTAAACGTTGTGCTGCTCTGGGGAGAGAATCTCAAAGAGTGGTAGCTCCTTGTAGTCCAGTTCTAGCATGAGAAATCTGGATGACATTAGTTTGTATTCCAAAAGTAAATTGGGTGAGCGTAGATATTCACGGGTGAGCATTTTGAAATGTCGTGGCTGGAATGCAATCGAGGAAATGAACTTGAATTGGGGCAAAAGAGTCTCGATTCTCTCTAGGAGCTCTATTGTTAGTGTGAGAAGGGAGGGAGGCTGTAGGTAATAATTAATTGCCTCAAGCATCGTTGGTTCAGGCTGATTTCGCTTAAAGTCATCTATTCCTTCAAACTCGCTAAAATTATATAGTAAGGGTTCTATCCTGTCCTGCTTTTTGTATTGAACGAGGACTGTTTCTGGATCGTAATTGTCAAGATTTTGAGCCATAGAGGCGGGTATGACGACTTTGCCCCGGGTCTCAAGGGTTGTCACGTCTGTGATGCTAACGCTAACGCCTGTACTAGTTGGAAGTTCTGTGGTAAGAGAGATGTCCTCGTCAGCTGCCGAATCAAAGTCAGAATCGTCTGGAAGCTGATCATTATGGTAGCCAAGTATGCCCTTACCTTGTAGTTCGTATTGGTCACTAATAGTCTTGCCCATCGAGCGTTGGGATTGACGCAGAGAATGTAAAAACTCTCCTGTCTTGACTATCTTTCCGTTTTTAAGCATCTTTCCTTGAGAATGCAACATTTCATCGAGTAGTGCCCGGTCTGCAACCACCTCTTTGTATATTAGTAGCAGATATTTGAGGACTGTCCTATTAATTTCTCCGGCCACAGAAGTCGGTGGCTCCTCGTGATTATCTCCATAGGAACACTCAAGCACGCAGTCAGTAATCACTGTAGGATCAAGCAGATGGGATTCCAGGAATGGTCTGAAAAGAGCCTCTAATAGTAGTATGTCCTCTTCTGGCGATTCATGAGGGGCATCATTCCTTTGGCTTTCAAAGGCCAGCTCATCGTGATGTGCTTTCTGAGCAATGCGATGGGCAGTGATTCGCGCTTTCAGATCCAATTCGCCCAGATTCATGCAAATACTAGTGAACTTAGCTTCATCATAGATTGCTTGAAACCGTGCTCTTAACCCCGTAAAAACACGCTTAATGGCTCTTACCTTCCGCCCAACAGAAGGATAGTCAACCATGCAAAGAGGCCTCGAAAAGTCGTTCTTAATGAGGAGGTTCAATCCGTGCATGAAAAGCCAGAAGTCCCGCCTGATCTTACCAATCCGTCTGATTGCCCTAATAACAAACTCAGACTCGACTATAGCAGTGGGGGAGAGCTTCCTAGTGACAGTACGGATGTGCTGGGGGACGGGTTCTCCGGGTTGTTCTTCTATCTCTTTTGCCGACTGGAGCACAAGGTCCAGTGCCTCAGTGGTAAAATCATCCTCCTCAGCTATCTGCTGTATGCTCACGGCAGGCTGATCGAGTGAGCCACTAGGAGATGGGCCATCCTTTTGTGGCTCCTGGATATTGTCTGCAGGGCATCGGCTGGTAACGCCCTCTCCCTCGTGGAGAGTGTCGGGCTCGCCCAAATAAACATCTCTGTAATAATAGCTTATAACAGTCTCCTCCGGCATAAAGAATTCTGTGCTTTCAAACAGGTGGATACACTGATAAAAGTACAGGCTTTCATCATCGATGGTCATAGAGGCCTGAAGCGCATTAATAAAGAACTCGTACCTGTGTCTACATACAGCAGAGCCTGTCGAAATGGGAGCCTCGAAAACATCGGGCCCCTCTAGATTGGTTTGATTAAGTAAGTAGTAAAAGAGTTCAGTTGGTGTCCGTATTGCTCCGATAGAAGAAATGTCTGCGCAACCAGGGTGCTCGTTGAGTGGGTCTTCGAGACTTTGACCATCATCATTCTCAGCGGACTGAGAACCGATCACCATTTGATCAACGTCTAGAATTGCTTTGAGGGAGTCATAACAAAGCCTCTGGAGTTTGAAAAATAGAACAATGAGGTCGTAACGGAAGACAGAGTAAAGGCGAGTGCGCTTATCTGCAAATCTGGCCAACAAAAGATCAAACATTTGCAGGGATCTATCAAAATCTTTCATTGCCTCATTGCAATTAGGGTCCTCCTTGAACTTGAAAAACTTCTCAAAGTAGTCCTGTACCCCTTCTACAGCACCTGCATCACTAATGATATTCTTGTAAATGGCAAGCTCGCTCATTACTTCACACTTCCTGTACAGCTCATGAAAGAGCCTATGCTCAATTTTGGCCTCCTCAAAGTATTGCAGAACGTCTTTTGTCTGCAAGAGCTTGTCTTTATCAATCACTTGTGTGGTGATCTCCTCGTTTCTGAGAAAGTCAATATCGCTTAAGGCGGCATTATTGAAGGTCATCGCGGTGAAGCTTTTATCTGGTATTTTCTTCAGCTCTGCAGTGTAAAAGCCTATCTTGTGGATACAATTCTTGGCAACAATAAGAATCGTCTTGGGAATAGACAACCTAACAAACTGTAGGAGCTTTATCATGATTGGCAGAAGCGCAGAAGCAATCGGAGTTGAATCTACCTGGAAGCAAAGGATACATCGCTTGACCCGTAGCTTTGTCAGAGATAAAACAACGTGTTCAATGGAATCGATGCGAGACCTGAATAAATATGGGTTCAACTCTGTAATCAAACGAAGAAATGCACTTCTAACAAAGTTGTCAGATTCTGGCAATAAAGGTACAGTTCTGTTGTTTAAATGCTGGAGACCTGCCTGATAGCGAGCTGTTTCATCCATTTCTGGGACTTCGTCAATAGGGGATGCAAGACCGTTAGATGGAAATGCGTAATTGGTCATCATCCTAAAATCAAATTCGGAAGCTAGCTGGCATAGAAATGCATAGTCGTTTGCGTACTCTTCGGCAGCCCGCCGGTGTGTGTATGAAATGCCCGGGTGTTCTTCTGTAAGTAGCTGCAAGCTCTTGTCAGAGGACTCGGACTCCTCAGAGTGCTGATTCAGTACTGGTTTGGCAGCGCGTGTTGTAAAGCTGACGGTATGTGACGCAATTGGAACCTTTTGCTGCATAAGCTGTTGAATAAGCCCTTCGTCGCTCAATCGGCTAATGCAGTCACTCACGCCCACAAGAAGATCCAAGAATCCGACGGCATACTCACGAATCTTATCGCATCCGTGCTCTAGGTGCTGCTTAAGCGCCCTTATTCCATTGGTATACTCCCCATACTCACCTAAAATGTCTTTGATTGATATTCCTACCAGCGGGGCGTGAGCTCCACTGTCCGAAAAGAAGGAAGAAAGCTTCACGAAGCTCATGGGCCGGATTGACCGGTGAACACATGTAGCATAGTCAGACAACACGTCTCCTATAAAATTGATAAAGTCAGTACGGGACGGGTACATGCACAAGCCTTCCATAGTTAGGATAAGTTGGATATTGAAAATGGGTGCCGGCGGCAGCCTACCATCAAGGATATACAGGGGAACTCCCGTGAACTTCCTGACATTAATAGCGCTCTCGGTGTTTGGAACTAACACAGCTATCTGCGTCAAAAGATGGCTAATGTCCTCATTGCGCTCTTGACGAAGGTCAATGGTTGTGAGGCTTTGCTCCTTCTCTTGCTGCTTCTTTTGCAGAATGGGGTTTTCTACAGAGCTCTTCTTTGCTAGGGCAGTGGGTCCTAAATCATCATAGATATCTAGTGAATCCTCTCCTTTACGATTAGCGAGAATGGAACTTTTTATCTTCCCAACAAGTAACGCCGCTATACTCTGGTCTCCTCCTCCTCCATCTATGGAAGTCTCTTGGAGCTTGACATAGCGAGCTAATCTAATGGAATCAATGAATGGGAAATCATTAGCAGACTCGCTGGCGATACGCGATAAATCGCTGGCGCACGATTTCACAAACTGACTCAGAAGCAGGTAGTCGTCTTTTTTCACAGTCGCCTTTGCTTCGTTATCTAGATGATGAAGCACCTCGTGTGAGGCATTCTTTTGCTTATCAGCTCCTTGTGCTAAGTATTTTTGGACCTTTGGCGGGTTTATAAGGAGTCTGCGCCCACCATCCTCTTGGAGCAAGTTGAGATCTTCTTGTGTCAACTCCCGGATGCTCTGGGGCGCCGTTGATTCTTGTTCGCGGGGGATGCATGGCACACCGAAAAATAAATCCATTAGATCGTCATTTGCTTGAAGTAAGAGTTCAAGCATGAACTTAACCATCATATAATCGACCAGACGAATCATTGCCCGCACTCTAGACATGTTAAATACGGAATAGCTCGATAGCGTAGACAGTATTGCTTTCGAATTGCGCTTCTGCGCCTTTTTAGAATCGTGACTAACATCAGAACGACCCTTGACAGACGCTGGGCCGACTTGTTGCTGCGCTTTGGCGCTAGAAACTCCAGACGAAGAAGCGCTTTCTGATGCACTCTGCTGAATGATACGACCATGGACCTGCTGCTGCACTTGCTTTCCCAGCACTAGAAGGATTTCGGAGATCGTTGTAATATAGTTGCCCAGAAGAGACTTGACGGCAGTGATCCGGTTGCGCGACTCCACTACGAACTGCTTGAGAGTTATGGTGCTTGGAACATTGGTCATAGTTACGTACAAAGCCTCTGCTCTCTTTTTATCCAGGCCCAATCTGGTTAAGTATGTTGGAAGAAATTCAAAGCAGTACTTCTTAAAGGGAACAAAGCGGAGCTCTAATGAAAACTGGTAGCACAAACTGTGAATTTCCTGGAGCGGGCCCAGGAAGACGTTACTGGCCAAAAGGCTGGAGCGTGTCAGTGCCGAAATGGACTTATTACGAGCTGTAGTCGCTATGCTGTGCTTCCAGAGGCTCAAGTACTTTCGCTGCCTAAAGGTGGAGAAAAAGTTGTTCCTCCGTAACTCGAGGTAGTATCTGCGCTCCCTTTCCCAATCAGCGATGCTTAGAAGCTGTGTTGTCTTAGTGGCTGGCTCCTGATAGCATATACCGTTGCAAGAAAGAGTAAAGTACCGATCTGGGTTGATTTGGTGATATGCACAGACCAGCAGCTCGTATGGGTTCTGCCATGGATGTGATTGTGCGTAGACCTGTGACACGTCACAAGCAGCCGCTGGGCAATGTACATTCTCAACGGAGGAGTGACTGCGAGGAGTTTTTCTCCCAGACGGTGTGTCTGATGAGATTTGCCCTCTGGCAAAAGCATCGGCGGCAGTGTAACCTACTTCAGCATGACTTAAAATCATTTGGCGGACAGAGGGGATATCATATGTAAGATAAATAAATTCGGATTGCATGAGTCCACTTGCAATAAGCTCAGGAGAGGCGTTAAGAAAGGCCTCGTACTGAGTCTTAAGGCCCGTGTAGTAGGTTTCTGCATACATCATGAGTTCGTAGGAAGTAGTATAGCTAAAAGAGCTTCGATCGCCATCCAAATTCTTAAAGTAGTTACGGAGCTCCCTGCAAATATCAAACTTTTGGTTATGAGAGTAACCTTTGGCCAGTTGAAAGGGGGACTCTGTAAATTTGGTAGAGAAGCTCGACTTTCGTAATCCTCCTGGGGACCCGTGCACGGAATGCCCTGTGGCAGAGTCGGCTATAACTTGCTCGCCATTAACATCTTGGCAGATGATACGCTCAATCTCCGCGCGTTCTTTAATACACTTAAAGATTGGAAGTACTGCGTCTATCTCGATAATAGCTTTTGTCAGTGGGTCAGCAGAGCCATCTGCACACTCCTCTGTTGGAAGGGTAGCAGCTTGCTGTAGCGCATCGTTGCTTGGTGCGTGAATGGGGACAGGAGTTGCTGAGCTGAGATCCTGTTTAGCCGATTTAGTTGTTTTTCTGAGGGATGCACTGGATGCAGAGCCTGCTCGGCTTTTAATCACCCAATCTGACATAGACCGTGTAATTTTCTTAATCCCTTGGGACAGCTTTTCGTCCGGTCCTTCCAAGGCGTCCTGTCCTCGTGATCCGCTATGATCTGCAGTACCTGAAATGCTGCTAGAGTACCCCATTTCGCTAGCACTGCGTATCTTGCCAGTAAACTTATATTTCTTGTTTAAGCCTCTAGTGTAGCTACTAAGCGCTGTGCTGGGCCGGACCGCGTCCAGCGCCATCTTACTGTTCTGCTCATACAGCTTGCAGCCCTGTAGCTGCCCAGGATCGACCACAAACTCTGATTTTCTTCCTGTGCGCTTAAACTCCTCTATACGTCGCTGTAGTGCTAGCTCTGGAGGATTGTCTCCTGATGGACCACTTTGGGCACCTGTGAAGGTCAGTCTATCACCGTATGACGAGTCTGCAGTGCCCCCGGTGCGTTCACGCCGGATCCTGGAGGTAAGCTGAGTGGTACTAGTCGGCCTTCGAAGGACCCCTGAGCTAAGAGGTGTAACTCTCAACGTATCTTCTAATATCTCACTTTCATCAACGTGACCTGCATTGGTTCCGAGTAATGCAGAAGCAATACTGTCACGACTGACACGTCCATAAATGTCAACTGTGCAAAGTGGAGAAGACTCTAATGCTTTCTGAGCATCTTGGCGTCGATAGCGCTCTGGAGAAAGCTGGTACTGGGATAAAAACTGCTGCGTGGGCTCAGAGCCAACGTCATGAAGGCGAAGAGACTGGCCTGTTGCTGAGGCACCGGGTGGTTGGTTTGTTTCTTGTGCAGCTTTAGTGTACAGCCTTTTAGATGAAACCAAACGGCCTACCGGGCCCAGCAAAGCCTGAGGGCCGTTACCTGCCGAGCTATCTCGCTCCTTTCTCTTTGTAATAGCAGTGTCGTAGCAGCGTTCTAAGGGAAGAAGTAGAGAGCCAGTGGAGACTTGATTGAGACGCTCCCCGAAGACAAGTGGGGGCACGGCTGTGGATCCGACTGGTTTGAGAGGCGGCTGCGCACCCATAGGTGGAGGTGACGAGTAAAGCTTGGCAGCGGGGTTGGGCGGTGTCTGGGCCGAGCTGGGACGTTGGGCCCGGGACCCTATAATAGCAGTGTTAGGAGTTGTGTTTGACGAGATGTGTTGTGTTCGTAAGCTAGTGGTTGGTCTTCCAGTATGTGAAAGAGCTGATTGTGGCCGTGTGGTTCTAGCAGCTCCAGTGACATCATATGTGTCAACCATATAATCTTATTAAAATGTGAATTATCTTTTTCTTATTGTACTTTTTTCACATTTTGCCATCCTCCCTCCAATGATGTTTGTCGTCTTCTCCAGCCATATATCTACTTTTTCCAAGATGGGTCAACTCATGATTATTACCAACATATAGTATAATCTAAATCATTTTGCACCGAAAATAGTTATGCCCCCGATCGTCGTTCCACTAGCGATGACATCCTCACAGGGGGACCAACAGGTGTTCTCCCTGAGGACACTACACCGTGTCGCAGAGCATGGCAGCTTTCTAACTTATGATTTCAGTGATGACGCTGATTCTGTCATTGCAGGCTTGGAGGCTTCTTGTCCCGACTCTTTTGCCAATCAGACCATACCTACGCTCAGTTCTGACCAATGTGACATGTTAAACGATTACTTAGACTTATGTAACACTATCCATGCACAAAGCTCTGTTTTCCACGAGGTTCATAGCGCCTCTGATGACCTCCAATCAAACATTGATTATGCTATGTTTCTACTAACAAAGGGTACGGAGACAGCTCCAATCTTACGGACTATTCTACCGAAGCTCCAAGACACCGTGGGGAATTCTGCCGGCAACTGCTCTGATGTGGAGCCGGCAGAGATCAATGTAAGCTATGATCAGATGCCTCTGTCGGTTCGGAACTATCTTTTTTCACCCTATCTATTTGTCCACACATCTAAAGTTGCCTTCAAAGTGACTGATAAGAAAATGTCTACATGGTTTGTCACCACAGGCCCGCCCCAACTGGTGCAGGCCACGCTGACTAGTATTGTCAGACCAGATGGAGTTACCATCACAAACACAGATGAGCAGTACTTGACATTATTCTCTTCACTCACCGACCTAGATACCGTTATTTACGCCAGCATAGATAGCATGTATTCAGAACTTATAGTAGATCTTCCCATGTGTCCCGATTACTTCCTTGTCGCTTACCTACAGCCTATATTTATTCCACACGATAGCGTGATAACCGGTGACTCATCTGGAGCTAGCATTACCCCCGTGAACCTTATGGAGACAGGAATCACCTTTCAGCTGAGAAACAACTGGGTTGATATAAATAATTTCTTAGCTCCTGGCCTCAGCACATGTGCTTTCCCGACAGTCTTGTCAGACGAGGACGCAGCGACACTTGAGTGGGTTGTTACCAAAATGAATCAGATCAAATGGAGTTCGACCATATCACAGACACCTAAAACGAAGACTACCTCCGCAACCGTTACAGAAATTTATGAAGAGTATGTGTCTTTAATGAAAGCTGAAAGAAACGAGGCCTACGCTGCTGAGATGTCTAGACTAGTTATGTCCTACATAGATGGCGTTATAGACTTCAATCCCTTGTTATTTGGTCTCGTTTGCCTTTCCTTTATCAGCTCGAAACTCATCTATGTGCTTCTAAAGTACATCAATCTAGTTTTTGACCCCCCACTGGGCCTGCTCAGGAGTCTTGGACTTCCGGAGGCGTTCCCAGTCTTACACAATCTGACTTCAGTAACAGATTGTATCTATGGAATAGACTACGTTTATAGTAATATTATCGACGATAAGGAGCGGCTAGAACAGACTACGCGGCCATTAAGTGTCTTAAAGAACAATCGCCCCGGCCACTCCCTTCAGTATAACAAGCATTACAGGACTTATTACAGTTCATTTTTTCTCCCCACATATCAAAACTTCACCAGGACCCAGTCGCTGAGTGTACCTCTATACAACATCTTTGCTCGAGACGTTGTCTCCACGAAGCAGCGCCGCTTTATCCCACTTAATGAGCTTTCTCTTATGGAAGGGAAGGCGCCTCATGATATCATATATGTGGATGGAACTAGACCCATTAAGTTTATTAAGGATGGCAACGGAATCCAGCTTGTTGAGATTAGCATCCGAGACAGGACAGATACAAATATCCCCATTCGAGTGCCACATGACCTTTATCAGAACGTCGTCAATATGGTTGATCGTAGTGCGTCTACGGAGCAGTGCCGTGCCGAGCTCCAGCGCATAATAGAGGGCCAGTTCAAGCTATCGAAGCAGCTCAACGGGGAAAGAAATTACAACTCCACAAGAGCTATTACATACCAGAAACGCCAGAAGGCCGCGAAGCAGTCTGCTACAGATGAAGAGGGTCACTCTGACAATTCCCTCAACTCCACCACCTCGCCTACTTGCTTGACGGCGTCGCTGGACCATGGCAAGATTTCGTCTACTAAAAAAGTCACGCAAGATAGCAGCTTCATTCCTATACTTTGCGAGCCACGAGACACGGCTGTGCTGCTATCTGGGGCCACCGATATCAGCACAACTATGGTGGGGCCTATCTGCCATGCATGCTTCAATGCCCAGGCAGCGTCTTCTAACATATTGGGCGTTATTCAAACAATGATTGACGAGAGCATCTTTACCTATCAGGATGTATTGGGGGCAACACCTCCATCCCTGGTACACTTTGATGGCCGGAAGGACACTACCAACAATCCTGCCCAGACTGAAGTTATATGTGATGACTCCACTGATCCCACTTCTCTGGTCACCAAAACCACTGACGATAAGCTTGAGCTTGTGGTGGACGATCAGAAGCTGTATTCATATCGTGATATCGCGATCGTTCGAGCCTCCTGCAACCCGTCAGTCACCGTTACAGACTTGGATTCTTATCGAGACATCTGCATTCAGTTTAGCCTCATGATCGAGCGCTCTCGCCTCTGTGTTTACTTTCCTAGCTTTACGTACCATGACTATATAAGCCTCGGACTATACAACAACAAACTTCACTATCTTCATACCAATTCAGGATTTCACTTAGGATTTCTCCGGTTTCTTTTTGACTCTGCATTTACAACAGAGATAGATAGGTTTTCAGGCAATTCTTTGGGCACCTCAACCACTCAATCCTCCTCGCACGCCTTTTGTGTAACCGATGATCTTATAAGATTGGTTCAAGCAAGTGACTGTGAGAACTACGCACCTGTACTCATTGATTTATTCAATAAGTTTGTCCTTCTAAATACTTATTTTATTTCTCGAAACATATCGTTTATTAATCCAGTCTTCAGTATATTGGATGCTACTTGCAGCAGTCAACTTGCGACAGAATCTTCTAACAACGAGCACCAGGACCCCAGCGAGTGTCCTGATCCATTTGCCTCTGATTTTATTGACCCAGCGTCATTTATTACTCTGTCTGTTGGAGATACCAGCAGCTCATCTCACCCTATTAACTCTGCTAATTCCTTAGTCCAGCTCTTTAGCCCATTCCAACACCATGGAGACTATACCAATCAGTCGGCTCTAGTTTATGCCATACTTACTCTTAGATTTCTGACCACCTTTATGGGAGGGTCTCTCGCTCTTCAAGAAGCTATTCGCCTCTACACCATCGCGGCCAGCTACTGCATGATTAGCTCCATACCTCCTCTCAAATGCTCAGTCAACCTAGCAGAAGTCAACTCAGATTCAAATGCACTGCTGGATGAGACCATGACCTTGTGTGGTTCCAAGTCGTCTATCCTTTTGATTAATGAGCATAATCGTCACCTCGGCTTTTCAGAATCAGCCCAGGCTCTAAGTCTTGTCGATCATTTTAATGAAGACATACTTCATGGAGGATACAAGGCGACCATAAACAATACATTTACTCCGCTTTCTCCATTTTTGCTCTCCAAGGAGTACTGTCCATCAGTTGTTCAAGACTCATATATTCACACAAACCTACGCAGTCTTCAGTATATCAGATGGTTGAGCGGCTCAAACTCTTTCCGGCCGCACACATTTGAAGAATCAGACTCTGCGGGATACGACTCTGCCGTGGCTTATATCAAGGACTCTGCAAACATCACTGACCAGGTATCTCAGGCCTTCCTGCTGGAGGGTTCCATGAGAAGAAAGATAGAATCGTGGCCACACTATGGGGTATCTTATCGAGTCTGTCCAAATTACGACGCAAGCGTCAATGGCACAGCGCTGCCCAGTGCTAAAATGGTTATTTGGAGTAAGGACGACATCCCCACTGATTACATGTCTTCAAAGCTATTGGCCGATAGCGTATTCAACAGGGGAAAGTACGTCACAATTCCATATGGATCTGAGTCCTATGGTTCCGTCAATCCTCACGAACTCGGGGCCGCTGCTAACGAATCCAAACAGTCAGCAAAGGCCTCTAGTGCCGAGCATGATAAGAAAAAGGACAGTAAGGCCAAAAATATGGACGCAGATCGAGAGCTTGATTCTCTAGCAGACACCCTTTCTCTTATTAAGCAGATACAATTAAATCCAGCCTATCCATGCGACGCATCCGCTTTCACCGCACTTTACACATCTACAGATAGACCCGTTACAATCAAGTATCACTTTATGGCCACAACGGGCCAGGAAGCCTCCATGCATCATATCGAAGAAGAGCAGATATGCTTTGGCATGCTAAGGGTATACATCAACGCCTTGCTACGGATCCTCATAGAGTGGATTGCGATTTATGCGCCTTCCCTTCTGTGCTATTACGATGTGAGTCTGTCCGCCACTGCAGCGTCGGCCCCTCCCGACAACACTCGTTTCTGCCCCTTCGGGTTCAATCGGTTTGTAAGCTCTGCGCTTCTCGAAGATGAAGCCGAGTATGCCGCGGGGACTCTACTCAAAAAGGACCTTGTGTCAGAAAGTATTGCATCTAAAGATCGAGCCAACACTCCCACGATCTTATGCTCTCCTTTTTTGGCAAGCAGCCTCAAGGAAGATCTTTCTGCCGGAAAAGAATGCCCTTGGCAACAGGATAGTCAACCTGCTATGTCTTTGGCGCAGTATTTCAGTGAAGCCGATCAAGCCGGCAGTGCAGACGATGTCCAGACGCGTATCGGCCGCAAATCTCTGTATTCAGACCAATTTCTGTCTGACCATGCGAGCGTCTTAGCGTCCTATAGGAAGATAGAGAGCGCCATGGCCACAGATAAGATCTTATCGGCAACAGATATTGTGAATAGCACAGACAGGTCCCTCCGCTTCCTTGCATATCCATACATTGTGTTCCCAGTCAATAACACAACGCATTATTCACGCATTTACTCAAAGGACCGCTTCCAGGAGAGTGACTGGTCGCAACTTAGTCCACCGCCGCCACGCATACACACAACCCTTCAGTTCTTTATTTGTCAGGTGTACACTGGTTCTGATGTCCTTTTTAGCTTGTTTACAGAACCACTTATCACAGTCCCCCTACTGGCCAGAACAATGCAAAACTTGCTGAGCCGGGCCATGCTGGCTGAACAGCGGGCATCCTATGTTTGGCGAACAATTTGCCCAGATTCGCACTTTACAAACTGCGACCAGAGCTATATGTGCATGTCTTCATGGGACAAGAAAGTCTTAACCCCAAAAGCAATTCTGCAGGACTTTAAACGGCGCAACAATGACCTTATTCAGGGGCTTGACCCGGAGCTTTGGCCCATCACACTAGACCCCTCCCATATGCACCTAGGGAGACTAGTATATCCGAGCTATTACCGTGCTTCAAGCAATCTCGAGGACCAGGCAGCTCTTTTCAATCGCTGGGGATCAGGGATGATAAGCACATTGATATCGTCCGGTACGCGGAACCTGCAGAACGAGCCTCAATCCACTCTCCTAATTAACTTTATTCCGCGGATCAATCCCTATCGTATTTCTCACGAGTTCTTGCAAAAGAGCCAGCTAATTGTACCAGGGATTATATCCCCCAGTTATGCTACTGCAGAGTTAGTCCGTTTGTACCGAACATACTTCTTCAGTATGGACGAGGAGTTTGTAAGATTGGTCCTCTGCAGGTCCAGCATGCTTTTTTCCTGCATCACTACAGGCTTTACCACGAAAACAAATCAGTCCGTATACGATCTGTGCGGATCAAATCCTGTCTCGGAAGACATCTACTACTTCGCGACTCTAGGCTATAAGCATCTGCAAAACGCGGTTAATACAAAACAGTACACATATCCAGCGCCAATTTCCCTGTTGGACATAGAGCAGGTCATCTCTGGAATAGAGCTAACGTACAGTTCCTACGTTAGCAATCAGAAGTACTCAGAGTATCATTACACTGATGAAGAGAGAAAGTCCCTACTTGAGAAAATCTCGCTCTTTGAGTTAGACCATAAAGGAATCGTCAAAAAGACAGAAGCCTTGCTCTCTGGAAATGTGTTCTTCCACTCCTACGATCTAGTGATGAAGTCTTCATTGCAAGACATCAGTTCCTTACGGCGTCATGCTTTTATGCCGTGTGTAACGCCGCGCTCCTACAAATTCTTGCTAAATCTTTTGATGATTGATACAGATGAAGATTTAGATGAGCCTGGATTCCGTAACACAAACAGTGCAACGCTCATCGGCAGCTTGGGCTCTCTAACTGCAGATGGCTGTAAAAACGTTCTTCTTTTCGAAATTATTCCTGCAATGCTCCTCAACCACGAGTCTGGGGATTGGGCGCATTCCAGCATTGATCCCGAGAAACCTGTCTACAAAATGATATGCTCTGACATCTACATTATCCTGAGGCTTGTGTCTATCATCTGCACCCGTATCGAGTTCTGTTTGCAGATCCTTGAGCGCGTGCCGAGCGACTGCAGGCAGGTAGGGAAATATGGAACCCGCTCAATGACTCCATTTCCTCTGTCGCAGTACAATGGTCGCTGCGCCGCTGGCACGCTATTCGGCTATGATGACCTTGATTACTCCACCCCGTGTGGGAACCGTATCTTTTACTCAAGCAATCAGTACTTTCAGCTCTCTGATACCTATAGCCTGTCCAGATGCCGATGCGGCGCAATTCGATGCCCTTATTGCGGTGGGCTGGGCTCCAATATGGGCCTTATAAGCGGAAGTTACTTGCCCGGAGGGACTTCTCAATACGTTGAGTTACAGTCGGGCTCCAGCAACGGAATATTCTCCTCCAAAATTCGTACATCCGGTGCGTGTGCAGAAGATAAGGAGGCGTGCCCTGACACGTATGGTTTGCCTAGTTGCTTGCATGACAACTACTCAGAAGACGAGTGTCTGTTGAATACGTCCAATAGCAAGACCTATCACTGCTATCCGGTGACACAAACACTCTTGTACAAACTTCAACCAGCCCTTCCACTTCCCTTCAATCTGTTAGAGACGCTTAGTGTGCTACCTCAGACGACCTCTCTGCCAGACCATAACGGAATGGTACAAGATATCTCTGCGCGAGCCTCGGCCGGTTCCAAGCAGACGCGTGGATATAAGGGAACATACCAATCGCACAGATGGGCCAAACAGGATTATTCCGGGGACTTTATTAATGAGGAGGGTAAAAGCACGAAAGCTGGTGCACAACAGCTCCTTGAAAGGGCCAAGCTTCTCTGTCAGCAGCCTGCCATCTGCGCAGGAGAAGGCTACCCTGTCGGCAACTATGGTGAACGCCTTGTTGACCTTGTTCATCACCTCCCTCCCTTGGATGCGTATACATTTCGAGCTCTTTCTACTTCGAGCGAGTACGCTACGAATCGGTTTGTGCAGGAATATCTAAATAGCTCTCTTGGACACGAAAGCGTATGCGTGAGTTCTGCCGAAAAGGACTACAATCCTGACACGGCTATCTCTTCCACAGTCGTGCTGAATGAAGACATGTACACACCACCTGCAACAGACTTGTGCAGTTACTTTCAGGGGCATCGCTACGCTAGGATTCTAGACTGCGATGAAATCAGCGACCCTGTTCTCACATATTTGTTCGACCCCAATATCTTTTCCCATGTCTATCTGTACCAGCCTCCTCCCGACTTCGACAGTTTACCAGCTGATGAGGTATTCAAGGAGCTAAGGGATAGGCAATTTCAAAAGTATCATCGCGACAGTCTATGGCCACTTGAACAACATATCTTACCTTCACACATCCAAAAGAGGCCAGGGACTCTCCCCACTAGCGCCGACTTTCGGGGGGAGCTTCTCTTTCTACTGCGTCTTATGCAAATGCATGTCCACCAGACCAAGGAGGGCGTTCTGTCGTCAGAGTTTACTCCATACATGTACGGGTTGCTTGGGCTTTATGCCTACCCTCTTCTCAACCTTCGGAGGCCGATAACGACACTCTTGCGACGCTTGGAGTCTTTTTGCGCCCGCATAGGCACGACAAGCATGAACATCAACTATCTCTCGCTGTACCGCCCCTCGAAGACTAACATTCAATCTCCGCGTTCCACAATTCTCTTTCTCTTTCTTGTCTTCGCAACGCGTTTGCCCTCCCCTTATGGAAACCTCCTTCCGCTTTCCTTGCCCTCAACAGCATCGCCCTCGGACGAGCTCATGATCATCGTCGAGAACACCGGAGGACTGGCCCGGTTCTCCGGTATCACCAACACCGACAGTAAATAACGCACACAAAACGTTCACTACTACAGTTGACTCGTGAACCCACTGATTCCAGACTGAACAGAGAGGCTGTCACCATCCGAGAGGCGGATAGCTTTGCCACGCTTTGGCTTGCTGCCACCGCCGCCGCCGAAACAATTGCCTCCATTCTTCTTGTGGCAGAGGAACCACCAGCAGAGGAATCCGGCAACAGCTCCAATGATCAGTAGTGGCACTATAACAGAGGTTGCCACCAGGCCGGACTTGAGAGTACAGGTCGCGCCGTTTCCTGTGTAGCTACCACCACATTGACAGGAGTAATTGCCCGACGCGGTGTTAAGCACACAGTCCCCTCTTCCGCTGCAGACGACCCCCTTTTGAACACATCCAAGTGGATAGCAATTCCCGTCCTGTGCCCGGATGGACCCGAAGTGGCACCTGCACTTCCAGAGTCCGTCCACGCCATAGCGGCAATCCCCTCTGTTGTTGCAAACGGTCTTAATGCGTCCATCGCCTGTAATCACACATTTATTATGCGTCTCATCATTAGGTACACAGGCTCCATCTATGTTCATGGAGTTCCTATTGCATGAGCAACCCCACTCACCATATTCATTTTCTACGCAGACTCCAGCGCCATTACAAACATAGACACCTGTGAGACACTCATCGGGAACACAGACGACACCTGCGTCACCTGGTCCTGCCGGGCGCTCGCTGTATGGATAATTGCAGGACTCACAAAGCGGTCCTGAATATGCGCCTGGGCACGCACACATACCAGCTTCCTCCCCTTCAGAGATGCAAGTACCATTGTTCATACACTCACCGCCATTGGTACATAGAGGGGAGGAGCAGTCTTCTCCTGTGTAACCATCATTACAAAGGCACCTATACCCCAACATCCCAATACACTGGCCATTGCCGCTGCATAAACTGTCCTCAGTTCCTCCCCAATATCCACAATTAGCTATTCCACAATCTGATCCCGCGAAAGAAAGATGCGGGCATGTGCATATTCCAGTATCCGTATTACATGTTCCTCCATTAGCACAGTCTCTGTTACCAGCACATATAAAGGAGTCGCATGCCTCCCCACTAAACCCTGGCCGGCATCTGCAGCCAAAAATTTGCCCCAGCCTAGGCGGCGTTCCCGGGAGCACAGTACATTCTCCTCCACCAAAGCACAAGTATGGATTGTTCCTAGTTATATTTTCACGCCCGCACGTGTCGTAGTAGCAATCGCGTCCGCTATAGCCATGGAAGCAATTGCAATGACCACGATAGGTGTGATCGTCGTCAAGAATACACTGGCCTCTGCCGTGACACACTGAGTCAGACTTGCATGTGAAGGCCTCACAGAACGGGCCCGAAAATCCAGATCTACAAGAGCATTCAAACAGGCCATGGCCCGTCTCCACACACTCACCGCCCATGCTGCAGTACACGAGATGAGTACTGAAACGCGTCTGTATTAATTCAGCGTGACACAAGTTCTTGCCCTCACAATTGTCACCCAAAACTCCATCAAAACAGACACATTTGCCCCACAGACATCTACCCAATTGGTTGCAATCCTCATCTGTAGTGCACGTGCTCAGAAATATATCTACAAGGCCACATAGCAAAAGCAGCTGGGAAAGCATTATTTAAACCCTGGGCATAATTTTTTAGCCGGTGAAGGAGTTTGACCGAAAACACGGATTCACTCTGTTTTTGAGTTTAAACTACCTGTGAAGCGCCCGTCCATATGACCGTGAGTGCTTCATTGGGCATATTAGAATGAATACGTGAATATATGATATTCTGTGACTTGCCTGCAGAGTTATCTCAAGACCATTACACGTATCATGTCACCAACTGTAACGGCAGCGCTTAGTACGTTGACCAGTAAACCGGTTTCCTTATAGTCTCTGCGCAGCACTGCTACTGGGTGACAAAACTGCAACTCAGAATCATCTTTTGGGGAGGAGGGGCGCACTTGACGCGTTACTTTCCCAGTTGCCCTCGGGGAGGAACTCGTGTCATGGGCCATGGTCGCGTCTCCTTAGCAAAGCCCTTGCGAATGACTGCCGTGTGTTTACCCACGTGCACGTTGTGGGGCATGAAATGGATTAGATCTTCTTCACGGCGTCGCCTAAAGCTGCGGTTGGAGTGCAGAGCTGACCCGTAAAACTTCTTACGGATGTCGTCCTGCATTCTGTGCGTCTCCTGATGGAGTAACTCACCTGCCGTGGTAGAAGGGACGCTTTGACCATCCGAGACGCTCGATAGTCCTTCTTTTGCAGTGCTGCCTTGGTATGGCTTCCTCATAGCTAACTTTTCTGTCGATATATCTGGCTCAATAGGGTAGACAAGCGGGTCGAAGCGGCTCAGTTCATCGTTTAAAGGAATAACTGCGGTGGGAACAGGGGAGCTGATATCAGCTGATGCTATGGGCTCAGGAAGGGGTGGCTCCCCAAGCTTGTATACTTGTTCTAAGAGTTCGTTAGTCGTCGCGGATTCGCCGCTCAAAATTACCTCTAGACCCTTGGCTGATCTGTCTTTTGCTGCACTAAGTTCGTCTTGCAACCGGCGGACTTTTTCCCTATTAACCTCCCTGTGGATATGCCACGATTTATGAGTGTTCACCGACATCGCGAACTAAATTTTCGGCAACGCTTGAAAAAGAAGAGAGGACTTCAGAACAATAATTCACTTGGATGCAATAAAGTAGAATCCTTGAGAATGGCTCTCTATCCCGCACTCGTTGCTGCCGCGTATTATTTTGAAGTATCCGTTTTCTCCCCACTCTTCTCCCCAAGAGTTACGAGCAATCCAGTAGTCCATATGAGTCTCATCTCTCGTTTCATCATCTCTAGAGGTATCTGTTCTATAGCCAAGAAGCTCAACTCCATGCGTTTCGGTTTAAGTGATAGGAGGGTTTTACAGATAGCGTCCATAAGTACACACGGATATCTCATAAATGTGGGGGAGCCTTCATGTACGCAAAGTTAATTGTGCGGTTTTCTTCATCTGGGTCTTGGTGCTCTGGAAAGTCCGCCTCAGGCATTAGACCACTTTCAAGAGGTGCAGCGGGCAATGAGCTGGGTATTGAAACTTGCTGCAATGATGCTTTATTGTCTACTCCAGTAGCTTGTAGGGCTTTATATCTGCGCCCCAGTTCCAATAAAGCAGCCTTGAGCTTAGCGTTTTCTTCTTTGGTAGCTTTCGTATCGATCAACCACTCCGTCTCCATTTTTCGTAGGTCAACCAAGTCAAGCATTGTCTGCACAAAGTCCACTCCACGATCACAGTGTTCGCAAGGAAGTATCCTTACATCCGTGTTGTTAACACTCCGAAGAATGTCCCCATTTTCACTGGGTACAACCTTGACACCGCTGTACGTGGCTTTGTAATTTGAAAACTCAGTCTCCAAACTTAGAATCTGATTCTTTAGCTCGTCAATCTCCCTAGCGTGTGCTTCATCTAAAAAGTTTACCTGTGAAGAAGCGTCCACAGTTATCAGAGCCGAGAAGAGGGATTCGGCACTCTTGCCAAACTCCCTCATGGCCTTTTCGCTGTTATGTTGGTGTATTTCCTTTTGCAGCCGTGCAATCTCTGCTTCTTTCTTGGTTAGCTCCTCGGCTAGCCCTTTTTCATTGCTAACATATTCCTTGAGCTTCTCCGAAAGTCCCATGAGTTCTGCCTTTATATAATTTGCCTCAGATTCTGCTGCACCGGCCCGCCGACGCGCTTCATTCAAAGCCTCTTCTAGTTCATGAATCCTGTCATTCAACTGTGCATTCTCTTGATCCTGTTTGTTCACGTCTTCCACAGCCTTCTGCATGGCCCCTCGAATATCACTCATTTCTACTAGATGCTTTTCTTCTTGTTTCTTTCCGGCAGCTATCAGAGAATCAAGTTCTTCCTGCAATGATGTAATCGTAGCATTAAGGGATTGAACAAGGGTGTCCAAATCGGCTCGTTCCTTAATCATGCTCGTTGCGGCTTGATTCATATCCTGTATCCGAGTCTCGAGGGCGTGAATTCTTGCGACTTTCTGTTCAAGGTCCCTCTCTAGCTGCTCCGCTTTACACCTACCAGCAGCAATCTGCTCCTGCAGTTCGGCAGTAGCCTCTTTGTGTGTCATCTCAGTGTCCTTGACTAGCTGTTCAAGCCGTGCCATTTCTGTGAGGAGATTTTCAACTGAAATGCCTGCATATGGATCATTCAATACGTCCGTAACTATAGCGCATGACTTGGTGAATATGCTTGGGGGGATGGCTGCCTCGATAGATGCATCAATCCCACGTCCAAGAGTGGCGGCAGCATGCTCCTGAGTCACAAGAACCTGTGCGTCAGTGACCAACTTAGTCTGTATTCGACTTTTGTAAAGAGGGTTTTCGCCTCTGGGCGGATATTCATAAGCCCGTGGCTCTGGCATATCTATATGGTTCAGCTCAGTCGAGTTAGGAGCGGATTTGATACTTTGCGGACTAATAAGATGTTCGTGAAGGGTCTCAGCTCTTCGCCGCGCCGCAAGCTTTTCTTCTTGGGACAAGGGATGTGCATCCTTCACATCGTCAGCAGACATCTCCTTTCCTCGCTTGATTGCTGGACGTCTATCTTGTGGTGTGAACCCACGTCCTGGCATTGTAGACTGCTTCAAAGATGGCTCCAGTTGAAGCTTCCTGGCACTCTTGTCTAAAGAACGCGCAGATGTAGATGCAGCTAAGGATCCTGGACCCATCGTAGCTGCAGTTTTGCTTGGAACTTGGCGAGTGGTACTAGAGGCAGGTCGATCTATGCCTACACGCGGCCTTATACCGGCTATACTAGTTCCTCGAAACACTGATCTGTCTGCCCGGTCAGCATTTGACACTGACCGTGTCAGCCCGGCGATAGGTATCCTAGAGGTGGCTCGAAGACCTGAGCGATTAACACTAGAAGTTGACATTGCAGACGACGGAGGATTAGACGCAGCAGCAGATCCAGATGCCTGCTTCGATTCAGTGTATCGTCTGTAGTCTAGCCCAACCTTCGTCTGCTGAGTGGCCATATTAATATAAAAGGTAAAATTTAACGAACTGGGCAAAAGTGAAATAAATGCAGCCGGAGCACTCCATCAGAATCAATCCTCTCACCAACAACATACTCTTTAATGCCCGAATATCAAAGGTCCCAGATAAGAAAATCAACTTACTTATCAATCCAGACGGCTTGCATCTGGACAGCCTAGAACATAACCGAGCCTACCTACTCGATATTAAGTACCCTAAGAACGCTATCGTCGATGACACGCGAGCACGTGTTTCGTACAATGGAACTAATCTTAGCGTACGCGTGCCTGTCCTCAAATATGACGGAATGGAGGAGGACGAGACAAAAGGATACCGGGGACTAGTTCGAAGAGTACTCTTGGAGGAGAGTGATAGCTCGCACCGGACAGACCACGCGAGCCAGCTGATAGTGGGAGACGACGATGAGACTTCGGAGGAAGGAGGTCTCAAAGAGCCTCGTAAGACGGTTTCATCCGTGCGTGCGAGAGACAAGATCCTTGCGAAGAACACACCAGTCTCAGAACCATATGTTGCTAGAATTCCCCTGAAGCACCGGCCATCCACAAAAAGGCCGGACCTGCATCCTGTTATCGCCTTCCAGAAGCAGGAGAAGTATGTTACAAGCCAGGACGAGCTCCTCCGACTCGCTCGTAAGGTTGCACATGTTGAAGAAGCAAAGTACTCAGCCAGATTGGAGAAGAAGAAGAAGGACGAGGCCATGCTCACTCAACACATGGAGGCCAGAGAGCAGCGAAAGGCGATGAAGAAGTCAAAATCACGGCTCGTCGTCGAGCGTGCCAAGGCTCGGTTGGCCATGGGAGATAAGAAAACAAAGAGCGGGAAGCGGGCGCTTCAGCGTCAGTCAAAGGTCTGAAGCAGAGACAATCGTTGATATGTGTTGCTGCATGCTGCTTGTAAATTTACACATAGAGCTACACTACTGACTCTGCTTTTTGTTGCTTCTGTCCTTCCCAGACTTTGATTTCTTGACTTCCGGTTCATGCGGTGCATCTGCTTTGGAGGAGGAGCCTGTCTTTGTCTTCTTTGAAGATTGGCTGGCAAGTGGCAGAACCTCTCTCGGTTGAGGTGCCTCCTGAAGGATCTCATCGTCACTGTGATCTAATGTTACTGGGATATCCAGCTCGATGCTGTCCCCGAGCTGTCGGACAAAGTTACTATCCATGTGGGGAAAATCAACGACATAGCTATCTTCCTCGCTAGAGCTAAGCTCCTCGCCGCTATACAGTAGAGGCTTGTTTTGGACCAAGCACGCGGCCTGCTTACGAACCTCTGATAAATACATCGTTACCTCCTTCTTAGGGAGGCCATGCTTGTCACAAAAATAAGACACGGCTAGCTTTATGTTGTTGTAAAGCCCGAGGAAAAAGAGTTCCATCTTCTGCCCTTCTGTAAGTCCTAACGGGTTTGGAAGCGCATTTATAGCTTGCAAATCTGTACTTGTCTTCTCTTCCAGGGTTGCAAGACACTTGAGGACCGCCTCATAATGGTCCTTGAGCGCCGCAATATTGATTATGGAGGATGACATTAAATTAATTTACTAACCCGACAATCAACGGCTTGGATGGTCAAGAAAGGTAGAGAATGCGTCACAAAGCCAACCATGCATCCAGAAAGATCTGAGCTAAAGCCGCGTAAGGCTGTGTTACGCCCCAATAGGGAGAAGGAAAGTGCCTTGGAAGCAAGAAAGGAGCAGACGCCGTGCGACAAAGATGATGAGCAGATCAATGAATTAGAAGATAAACAGAAGATACGCGCATTTCTCAAGGAGCGCAAAGCTCGTTTAATAGAAAGGCAAGAGAAGAAGTTGGAAGACCCTGCAGCAACCCTACCCGAGGACCTCCCCATCGTAAAGCATAGGTCTCGCACCAAAGAGGGTTACTACATATATACGCCGGATGAGCTGAAGATGGGGCTTCCTGGCAGTGGAATGACAGATAAGTGCCCCTTTGATTGCGATTGCTGCTTTTAAAGTTAATTACTCTGCAATCAGTATAGTCTCAGTTGATTGGTAAAGTTAGTAAATTTTGTTATATCCAGCGTTGAGTAAGCGGTCTACCTCGCTACTGGCAAGCCCTATGGTTCTATGAAAAATACTAGGATTGCTCTCGAGTGCGTGCCTATAGGCTTGCTGGTACTTGGAGAGCGAAACAGCGCCGATAAGTTCAGAGCTGTGTCGTGCTATAGGGGTCGTACTGCTCATCTTCTGTAAATCCTTGTATTGACCAACATTACTACGCACTGCACTCTGGTTTGGTGGTTGTGTTGTCCCTATTCTCTGCATATATGTGGCAAAGGACATAGGTTTAGTCAACTCAGGGAGCTTCTCCCAGGATGGAGGGGTGTAGCGTCGAATACACTCCTGAACGTTTTGCTCGCGTCTCTCGCTTATAGCCTTCTTGTTGGGATAGTAGATCTCTGCTGGTCTCGGGAACATGGATAGGGAGAAATCTGGGTTTTTTAAAAGTCGAGACAAAGCGTAGAGTTTGAAGGTAATTTGCTCTAGTTATATATACATGGGAACACTTCACTTGCAAGATCTCTATATAGATGACGAGGACCGGACGTATTTCATTCCAATCTCACGATCGACGTCTACCGGCAATACCCATAGAATTGCATCTTCTTATGACCGCTGTACGACTCCAGTAAGGTCGTCGTCTCTTTCAAAAAGCCACCAAGCAGAGGAGCCTGTGGAAGAGCCTCCTCGGCGACCGGCACTGATTCCTTCTCCTGGAACTATAAGAAAGTACAACACTTGGAGAACCGCAACAGAACCTGGGCCGTATGCTGTAGAAGCATTGCAGCAACATGCTCACAGTCAACTCGCTTCCAGCGTGGACAGGACCCAAGCTAAAATCAGACGTGTCTCTACTTCTTATGGCCCCGGTGACCAACATACTAATCAGATTTACTCAGGAATGCATTCACACCAACATGCAATGCAGACAACATCAGCTACAAGCTCTGGAATTCATGCAGCAGGTCAGTTATCATATCATTCTGGTTACCATCAATTGACGTCTTCCGTCCCCATGCCTTCATGCACGCTTCGAGCAAAATCACCCAGTGACGGACTTTGCAGAAGCAAAAGCCGTGGCACAGAGTATTCTAGTAAGGCCCGTGAACGGTATGACGCGTCATCCACCACTCTTCCATCTCTTACCAACCAAGTAGCAGATCTTTCACGAAGAAAGCGAGCACCAGACTCCTTGTTTTCAGAGCCCCGGCTGGCTCTGCCAAATGCCAACACATACGCACGGGCAGGTATGCCTCAAGCCTCTATAGCAGACCCCCACTTTGCAGGCTGGAGACCCAAGAGTCTACGGGGGCCCTCCACACCATCGCCCATGCAAAGCAAACAGCAAGGTCTTGCATCCCTCCCAGTACTTTCGAAAGTGCACTAGTAAATTATCCTGGGTTCCAATTTAAATACTATGGACGACGTATGGGCGTGTAAGGCCGTTCCTCAGGCTTTTTTGGACAACTTAAAGAAGCTTGGATATACAGACCTCCTTCCTATCCAGCGGAGAGTCCTGGAGATATGGTTCAACGGAGCTATCCCCGAGAAGGCCGACGAAATCCGACGGATTATTTGCAGCTCAATGGCTAACAATATGTTCATTGCAAGTGCAACTGGATCTGGAAAGACACTCTCTGCCATCCTGCCCCTTGCTCTTGAGGCCTTTGCAGGATTAGACTTTGTAGCACTATTTGTGGTCCCAACAACCCACCTTCTTACTCAAATCTATCATTTACTTCTCAATCTCTTTCATGATGTGCCATCTGTGCGAATATTCCGAGCAATGGATTGTCTCGGCGCAACCCTTTACGAAGACCCCGCCCTTCTTCGACTAGATCCAGACATAGTAGCTGCTCTAAAGGAGCACCATGAGGTACTGGAAAGTACTGATACTAATACTTCCATGTTCATAGATGACCATCTGGTAAAACGATTTCTAGACTCCATCACGAAACAACTCGCTACAACGCTTCCCGACTTCAGAAATATCATTGAGTATGGAGAGGATAGGACATCGTACATCATCTGCGGTACCCCCGGGATCGTCTCTGCTCTTCTTACGGCAGTCAAGCCGGCCTCGGGCACAGGCATCGCCTCCCGTGGAGTAACCTCGTTCCTGAAGCTTCGGCACGTGGTGATAGACGAGGCAGACCACATCCTTCTCAACGACAACACGTCCTTCCTGGCGCTCATAAGGGAGTTCTTCGCTCAACGGAACTCCACGGCCGTCTTCCGCGTGCCTCTCTTCTTCGCCCAGCGACACCGCCTTGGGCTCCCGACGGACAGGTTTGTCTTCCTCTCTGCGACCATGAAGTACCGGGCAAGTCTGCTCGAGAACATGGGCCTCCACGGCGGGTGCATGGTGGACTTCGACGAGGGCCACGCGCGCCTTGCCCTCTCGCCCAACGTCGAACACTTCGTCGTCCAGCTCAAGCGGACCTACTCCGAGATAGACATCGCATACCTGGTCTTCAGGTTCCTCTGCAGCCCCGCCGGGTCCATCACCAACTCGAGGACCACCCTCCTGCCCTGCATCGTCTTCGTCAACTCCAGGCACACCGCGCAGCGCATCGCCCACCTGCTGTTCCTGATGATGATCAAGGTTTACAAGGAGCTCCGGTACAGGATAACGCTGGTGGCCCAGGGGCACGTCTTCCGGAGGCCGAACTTCGAGTCTGTTCCAGCCATCTCCAACGAGTCCCTCGAGGAACACCCTGCAACTATCGTCCTGGCAACTGATAACTTCGCCCGTGGGCTCGACCTTCCTGCGGTTCGCTCGGTGGTCAACTTCGAGCTTCCAGAGTCGCTGGCCACCCTCACCCACCGCGTGGGAAGGTGCGCGCGCGGCCTGAACAGCGGGGTCGCCATCTCAGTGCAGCGGAGCGAGGTCGAGTACAAGTTCGACACGCTGGTCAACTTCGATCCGAGCCGGGTCGTCTCCATAGACGAGGAGAGCCTCTGCGACTACCGGAGCACAGAGGGGCCGCGGCTGTCCGACTTCTCCATCGGGGACAGCGACGTGCTGGAGATCTCACGGAGGTTCAGCGAGAACATGGACGTCTACCTGACCACCCTCTACGACGAGGAGTTCGGGCGCTAGGCGCTACACGCCCTTGTGCGGAAGGTTCAGGTTGAGGGGGCTGTGGAAGATGTACTCCGGCGCGCAGAAGTAGTACTGCATGCAGTACCGGCCGAGGAAGAAGATGACGATGGCCAGGGCCCCCACCAGGACGTAGTTCCACGCGCTGACCTCGAGGGCCTCGCACATCGTGCCCCCGTGCGCGTCGACCGTGTCCAGCCCGTTCACGCACCGCTTGACCTTGCTGCTGAACGGGGAGGCGCGGACGGCGTCTGCGATGGCGACCTTCTGGGCCTCGTCGGGCGCGGAGAGGAAGAGCGGGTGGACGCCGTCGCGGTCGGGCCCGTAGAAGCGGGGCATCGTGTACTCGACGGTCAACTCGTGGCAGAGCGAGTTGGAGCCGCGGCCGATGTAGTAGTAGCCCGAGACGCCCCAGCCGGTCCCCCACGAGTTGCGCAGGATCCAGACGGGCCGGCCCTTGTGGGCCCCGTAGCCGACGAGCATGACCTGGTGGTTCGTGGTCGCGCGCACGCACTTGACGTCGGGGAAGACGCCGCCCTTGTAGAGGTTGAACGTCAGCGCAGAGGCGACGACGGACTCGTAGTCCTTGTCGATCGACGTGTCGACGCCGGACTCTGTGTGCATGGCCGCCGCGACCCCGACCCCGCGGGCCAGGACGTTCATGACGTTCCGCTCCCACTCGGCGAACTTCCCCTTGTCCATCTCCCCGACTATGGGTCCCGAGGCCGGCACGCCCTCGTTCCGCAGGATCTGGTAGACGCCGAACTTCTTGGGGGTGCCTGAGCCACCATTGACATCATACTCGTATTCATCGCTACCTGCAGCCCCAGAATTAGAAGAGCTGCCCTTCTTCTTCATCGGCATGGAGACGAAGGCAGGGTTGAAGTCTCCTATGTTGGTGCCCTGACACTTAGTACCATCGTCTGGGGCGGCCTTCTCGGGCGTCGCGTACTCCCTGTAGATGCACTCGGACTCCTTCGCGAGCTTGCTCAGCTTGTTGACGAAGTCTGCGATGGCGCGGAAGTAGTTCCCGCCGTTGCAGTAGTTCCCGCCGATGAGGTTGTCGAGGAGGAACTGGACGGAGAGGCGCAGGGTGGACGCGCTGTAGGACTTCCAGTTCTCGGGGATGTCGGTATACTCTTTCTCAGTACGATTTTGAACAGTTATCATTGTAGCGCAGTCAGTACTCTTCTGACTGTCATCCTGACTCGCAGGGGCCGAGCAGTTGCAGAAGTAGTTCGACGGAAAGGGCTGGGGATCGAGGTACTTCCCCCTCGTGTAGAGGTCTGCGTCGACGAGCATCAGGTTCTCGAGGACCTCGATGGTCGTGAACTCGTAGCAGGAGCCGCACAGGCCCTGGTCCTTCGCGCGGGTCACGAGGCCCACCTCGCGGAGGTCGACGGAGTGGGGGAGCGTCCGCTGCCTGTCTTTGACGTTCATGTCCCGCACGTCGACGAGGAAGAAGCTGTCCTGCTTCTTGTTCTTGTCGTCAGCGTTGGCACTCTGTGAATTAGCTTGAGTGTCTCCCTTCAGGTCCGGCCCCAGTTCGTATGCATCGACGTTGCAACCCTCATACTTATTGGTTTTATTAGTCCATTTGCACGCATCTGCAGCTGCGCCCCACTCGCCACCCCCCAGTGACCGGGGCGGGAGGAGGCCGGCGCGCGGGTGGCGGTCCATCCGGGACGTGATCCCGAAGGTGACGTGCTCGTGGCCCTCCCGGCGGAGCCTGCGGAGGTGCTCGAGGTGCATGCAGAAGTTCCGCTCCGCCTCCAGCCGGTCCCCGGGCGTGTCGTAGGCCTTCCCGTAGAGGCCGACGAAGCGCTCGAAGGCATGCTCGCACGCCATGTGGATGCTGAACGGGTCCCGCTCGGCCGACGCCGCGCAGAGGAAAGACAAGGTAAGCAGCAACATCCGGTCCTTTTTTGGGCCGCGGGTAGGTTAGCCGTGTGCGGGACTTGCACACCCTACCGGGCGGGCGTCCTGTGACACCTGGCCGCAGACAGGAAGAGGAGCCCGAAGAAGACGGCCGTGCTCGCCGTCACCCCCGCCACGGCCCCGATGTTCCTCACACGACAGTCACACATATCCCCGTGGTAGCCCTCGGCACAGACACAGGCGTCCTTGTAGCACTCCCCGTGCCCTGTGCACACACTCCCAGCCAGACGGGTGTTCAGGCACTTCTTGCTGGCGCACAGCTGGCCATGGGGGACCGCGTCCTCGTCGCACTGGCACGCAAGGGCGGCTGGAGCGTCCCCGACAATCCTCCCCGAACCCCCACAGACCAGTCGCGTCTTGTTGGCGTATAGCTTCACCAGATTGTGGGGCGCACAGGCCCCATCGACGGCCGTCATGCCCTTGTCGCAGAGGTCGCAGTGCCTTCCAACGTAGCCCGGGTTGCACTGACAGGTCCATGCACCCGTAGCGTTCTGTACACACGTCCCGCCCCTCGCCTTGGGCGTCCAGTTGCAGGCAGCCCCGTTCTTCACGCACTGGGCGTGCACGCACGTGCTGTTCAGCATCACGAAGTCGTCCTCACACTTGCACAAGTACTCTCCATCACTGTACAGGCATTCTCCGTGCGGGCACACAAGACCCGTGTCCGAAACACACCCCGCCGGGGCGCACCCGTGGTCCGGAATGTGCTTGAATGGCGGCACACACAGACACTGGTGCCTCGCCGTGGAGTGGTCCAGTCGGCAGAGCAGAGAGCTCGTCAGGTTTGCCACGAAGCCGTCGGCGAAGATCGTGCTATTGTTGTTTCTGATGCTCTTATCAAGCATGTGGGGGTATCCGCAGAGCCGCTCTCCAACGACGCACTCGGTCGGGTAGCACAGCCCTTCCAGAGGAGAGTAGTCCTGGGGACAGGTGCCGTTGGAGGGGTGTACGTTGACCACGCGCAGCGCAGCCTCTGGCGCTGTGTGCTGCTGGCCCTGCGTCTCCTTCTTCTGATCCGCTCTAGCTGCGGCGTTCTGGGAGTCAGACGAGCCCGCGGGTTCGTGGTGGAGCATCCGTCCAGGCAGGTGCTTGCGGGTTGTCTTGGCTGTTGGCGTCGGCTGCTGATGTTGCGCGTCAGTGGGAAGGCTGCTGCCCTCGAGAGAAGCGGCACTCTCGCACGCAGACCCGGAGAACCCTGCATTACAGATGCAGCCATCTCTGTGACAAACTCCGTGACCACTGCATGCTAAGGCACTGCCTTCTGCAAAGCAAGAATCTGGTTGGCAGGTCCTTTCTGGGGTCGCTCCATGATGGACGCAGACGCACTGCCACTTCCCAAGGATTTTTGTGCATACTCCCGCGCCATTGCATTCTGCTGTGCTGTTATCATGTCTGATTGTCAAGCAGTGTTCGGGAGTGCAGTGCCCGTCGTCTGTGGCTACCGACCCGTGGACACAGGTTGAGCAGAGAGCCCCCGTGTAGAGCTCCTTGCATGCGCATTGAAATTTATGTACCACATTATCAGATTGAGAAAGGAAATGTATATGTGCCTCTGTACTGTAAATTGGATAGCTGGTTCTATTAGTCAATGCTACACAGTCTCCGTGGCCAGAGCACTCGGTAAGTTCCCCAAGCTTGTTCTTTGCAACACATAACCTAGGGACACATCTCTCCTCTATCTTCCTGAAGTCCTGTTTGCAGTGGCAGGAGTGCACCTTGTTGATTTCACGGCACTCGCCGTAGGGACAGTAGACTCCAGAGACGTTGCATGCCTTGGGAACACAGCCGTAAAGCTTCTCCTGGTTCATGGTTGGAAGGAAGACATACCCAGGATCACAGACACACTTGAACTCGTTCTGAATCTTGGAGCAAGTACCGTGACCTCCACAAATGGCCGGGGAAGGGAGGCTCGAGATGCAGGCGTTAGGAACACAGGCGCCAGCCACAAAAGTCTCACCAGGCAAGCACACTATAGAGATTGTTTCGCAGTACTCTCCCTTGACATTTGGGTCACACACACATATGCCTTTAGAGTTGCAGTACCCAGCATTAGAGCAAATCTTGGTAGGATCCACCGGGTTTACGCAGCTCTGCATTGTGCACGTGTTACCGACAACTATCGAGGCGGGATTACAAAGGCAGACATACTCATAATTGTCTGCACCCTCCTCGACAAGGTGATAAGAGCATTGTCCATGTCCACCACAGACAAGAAGGCTAGGATTGTGGGAGGACGCAGGCATAAGGCACTCAGGTGGATAACAACGATCATCAATTAACATAGCCTGCGATGAACAATGCTCACAGTGAGTTCCTGTATAAGCAGGCTCACAAGCGCAGCCATAGACCATGGTATTCCCAGAGATGCCCTTCTTAATACATTTTCCTGCATTCCTGTTGCAAATGGAATTCCCAAAAGTTACACAAGAAGCGCTAACACAAATTATACCTTCGTGCTCTTCCACCTGAAGGCCAATGAACCCAGGGTCGCATTGACAAAAGGGCTTGGCACCTGCAGTAATACATTTTCCGTTTTCACAAACAGCATTAGTGATAGGATCAATACATGCTGGATGGACACACCCATGTCCGAGCACGAACTGAAAGTCACCTCGGCAGAGACATTTATAGACAGGAAGGCCAGATGTTTCATTGTAAACCAATGTGTCTACACAGTCCCCCAACCCGTTGCAGATACTACCATCGGTGACACAAGCTTCGGGTATACAGCTTCCTTGGACATCAAGAGTCCCAAAAGGGCATGATATTAGATTGAGCTCGCACGAAAAACCTCCATACCCAACATCGCAAACACATGTACCTCCCTTGCAGTATCCATGGTTGTTACAGATTACATTTGGAGTTGAAGCGTTGAAGCAAAAGGTAGAATAGCAACGATTTTTGTAAGGAATGGCTCCTGGACTGCAGTGACACTTGTAATCTAGATAGCTGTTGCTCTTTAGGCTGGATGAGGCTTCACACACTCCAAACCCATCACAGACTAAAAGAGAGGAATTGTAATTATCCGGTATCTCTCGAAAGCGAACAATTTGTTGCGCTACATTACTCACAGCATATGACAAACAGTTCACGGAAATGCACCTCCCTTGGCTGTCCTCTTCTGCCTGCACAAATACAAATCCTGAGTTACAGCTACTGCATTTTATACCACCAAAATTATTGTTACATAGACAGGTATCATTTATGCACAGTCCTCTATTGTGGCAAATGACCAGTCCTTCGTCTGAAATGGAGCTAACACACGATTGGCTTATGCACGTGCCATCAGAAGCTTGTACATATCCAGGGGAACATACACACTCATAATTCTTGGCTGCCTCTAAGAGAACACAGTTTCCATGTGGGCAAACAGCTCCGTCCTTAATGCATTCCATTGGGACACAAAGGTCTGAGCCAACGGTCTCAAAGCCCTTGTTGCATAGACACTTTGGCTTCTTTCCGTCAACGCAGCGCCCATTTGACCCACACACAAGCCCGCGGGACAGGCACTCATCTGGAAAGCAGTCAGATCCTATACGAGTATAACCTTCATCACAGAAAACTAGTGGCTTTTCTAAAGTGCACAATGCGCCATTATGGCCTTTGTAACAAACACACTTCATGTTTAAACAGACGCCATTGCCACCACAGATTTCACCGGTTTGTGAAATGCAGGATTGATGGATGCAGACACTGCCCATGTGTAGGTATCCTGGCTTGGTGCAATTACAACTGTAATGCCCGTTGTCCAGAAGAATTGGGTGGCCTCCTCCGCCACAAACTTGAGAAAGGCTAATGTCTGTCGGATGCTTTATAGTACATAAGATAGGAACACACACATTATCAAGTAACATAGCTGTTTTAGGGTTGCAGGATTCACAATGCTCGCCAAGATGGAGCAAGTCACAGACACAACCCATCCTGCCATTATCTTTATTGACGCAAGCACCACCGTTATTACAAATGCCTACCTCTGTTTTACAAGCTAGATCGTAGCAGAGACCCGGGCCAGGGCTATAGAAACCATCGTAACAGGTACAACCCAGCCTGATGCCATCCTGCTCTTCACAAACGCCATGGTTGCTACATACAACTCCATCGCTAGTGCATGGATCATTTGAGAGGAATGCAGATAATAAAGTCAACGCCAGCATGAGTGCTAATACTGATTTGCCAAGTTATCTCGTATTTTATTTTTAAGCAGTGTGGGGTATAGCTAGATCGGTATCTTGGCAGAAGCCTTGTTCCATTTACTTGATTGACCTACACGAAGAAGTGGTCAACGCTTAGTCATTGTAAAACGAAAAATAAAATGGCAGACACTAAGAAAGCTCGTCAAGAGGACGACTGCATGGACGAGGATGTCAGCCATCCATACTACGCCGCATACAAGAACGAAATACAGGCTGAGCTCGATGAGATAGCAACTATGCGGCAGGAGGATGGGAGTGAGTTGCCAAATAAGCGTGTGAAGAAGCTCATCAAGACCATACATGCGAAATACAAGAAGCTCTACACAGCCACAAAGCAAGAAGAAAGGTCTGCCGATCAGCAGCGTCAGACAGAAGCACACCTTGCTGAGCTTCCCGAGCGCATGGAGCCGTACACGGGTCTGGCAAAGCGTTTAAGAGTTAGGGACTTTCCTTATTACAAGGCAGTTGACAAGCCTGTTGTTGTGTGTGGTTGGTGCCACCGTGTGCGCGTCTCTTCTCCCAAACTTGCTTTCGTGGTACTTAGAGACGGGACCGGATACTGTCAACTGGTTCTTAACGAGGCCTGCATGGGTACTCGTAGGACTCAGACACTTCTGCGCACAGAGGCCGCTGTCAAAGCTGTAGGAATTCTTGTCGCTGATACGCGCGCACAAGGCGGCTACGAAATTCAGTGTCTCTACTTTGACATTATTGGTCCGTCATCTGGAGAGTTTGAAACGCGGATCACCCCAGAGTCTGGTCCCGATGCTCGTGCCAGAGAGCGCCATCTCATTCACCGAGGCGAACATGGGTCTGCAATTTTGAAAGCAAGGGGCCGGATTCTAAGGGCCTTCCGCAACCACTTCTACTTCAAAGGCTGGACAGAGGTTACTCCACCAACAATAGTCAACACCGAATGCGAAGGAGGCTCTAGTCTGTTCAAAGTGGACTTTTATGGAGAAGACGCATACCTTACCCAGTCCTCACAGCTTTATCTGGAGAGCGTCATTTCTGCCCTTGGGGATGTCTATTGCATCTTGCCTTCATTCAGAGCAGAGAAATCGAACACAAGGAGACACCTTTCCGAATTTACACATCTTGAAACAGAGCACCCGTTCATTACGTTTTCGGAGCTCTTGGGGATAATTGAGGATTTCGTGATCTCTGTTGTCACTGAGCTGAAAAATGACAAGCAATTCTATCCCCTTGTCCAGTTCCTTAATGGTGACAACTTTGACAAGATTGCCTCAAGCTTGAAGAAACCCTTTAAACGTATGAGGCACAGTGAAGGAATAGACTGGCTGAATGATCACGGAATTACCAAGGAGGACGGTACAGCATTCACTTATGATGACGACATTCCAGAAGCCCAGGAGAGGAAAATGATCGATGCCATAGGAGAACCGGTTTTCCTTACACACTTTCCAGCACATCTGAAGTCCTTTTACATGGCACGCTGCAGTGATGATCCCTCTTCCCCAGACTACCTTCTCACGGAAAGTGTCGACTTACTCGTTCCCACTGTTGGCGAAATTGTCGGGGGGAGTATGCGTAAGTGGACGTACGAAGACACATACAAGGCCTGTGTTGATGCAGGGCTCCCCATTAAGCGCTACTACTGGTATCTTGATTCACGCAAATTCGGTGGCTGTCCTCACGGCGGAATGGGCCTGGGTCTGGAAAGGTTCATTTGCTGGTTACTAGGAATCTATACTGTTAGGGACACAGTTCTTTACCCTCGTGCGCCGGGTCTCATTGAGCCGTGAAGCTTGTGTAAACCAGATTGTTTCTACAGCTGTTAGCTGTTGATTCGCAGCCGTGAATGCCTGTATTAAAATGCTGTCGCTGTATGCTAAGTTCCTTAATACGACGGAGTACATTCCCCCTTTGTCACAGTTTGCTGCAATCTTTGTATTTGGGAGCCTTATTCTCATGGAGGCCTTAAACTTGGTGAAGCTCCGCTTGGTGTCTAGGTCTTCACGTGCGCAGGTTGTGCATAAAGCTGCCAACTTGATAAAAGCAAGTTCTCACGTGGTGTATGACAACTATCCAGAGATTGAGCTAAGTGCAGCGAAGTTAACAGGCCTTCACCCAGTGCCGTACAAAGCTACTGCAAAAGATGGTGACCTGGCAGGCGTAATTCATGACAGCAGTGGCAAGTTCGGGATCACCATGAAAGACTTCCAAGCACTGTACTTTATCTCCTCCTACAGTCGCATTCGGGGATGCTTTCACAGAGAGTGTGTGGGCCTTCCTGGGGCCGCCGTTAGTTTGAGGGAAGACGATGGAAGCGTATCTGAGTGCATCAATCTGGGAAGCTACAATTATCTCAACTTCAGCCAAACAACCTATAAGATTGAAAGCATCAGAGAAACAATGCAAACATATGGCATCAGCTGGTGTTACAAAGGGGCCCTAGCGACTTCTGCGCTACAAGTGTGCCTAGAACAACATCTGAGTGAGTTCTTGGGTACGGACGCGTGCATTGTCCATTCAATGGGGTTCGACACCAATGCAATGGCGATCCCGTGTATCTGTCGAAGCACAAATGAAGGCGGGACAGTACTGATTTGTGACTCATTAAACCACGCTTCACTTGTTTCTGGCGCTAATCTGGCCAAGCGAACTGTCGGTGCTACAGTAGAAGTGTTCACACACAATGATTTTGAAGAGCTGCGTGTGCTCTTAGATAAGTACCAGGGGCGGGACGTGGTGGTTATTGTAGAGGGCCTCTATTCCATGGATGGAGATATCCTCGAACTTCCACGGTTCTTAGAGTTACGAAAATGTTATGCATTTCGACTCTTTGTTGACGAAGCTCATTCAATTGGCTGTCTTGGGCCCACCGGAAGAGGGGTCAGTGATTACTATAACATGCACGGCAGTATAGACATCCAAATGGGAACGTTTACTAAGTCGTTTGCAGCCGTGGGAGGATATATAGCGGGTCCAGTAGGGCTGATAGATAAAATTCGTCGCGAGGTTATACACTACAATGCCTGTGCACTGATTCCACCGTATTGCGCAATCCAAATCCAGAATGCCCTAGCTGAGCTATTACAGGATAGAGCGCGACTTCTTCAGTTGAGGAAGAATAGCATTATGTTTCGAAGTGGGTTGAAGGAGATTGGATACATTGTTTACGGCACATATGACTCCCCCGTTATCCCCGTTCTACTATACAACCCTGTAAAGTTAAAGCCTGTGGCCGATGAGCTTCGTCGTCGTGGAATAGCAATTGTAGTTGTGGGATATCCAGCCGTGCCTCTTGTATCGAGTCGCATACGCTTCTGCATTTCATCAGGACACACGGAGGAGCAGCTAAGGCAGGTCTTATGCCACATGAAGCAGATTGCTCACCTGTACTGCTTAAGACATGGTCATCAGAAAGGGAAAAACCAACTGATAGAGATGTGCAAGGGAATCTTGAGCCCACCAATACATCCTCTAGCCGAGACTGAAAGGGAGAAGACGTAGCTCAAGACACTTCTTTTGCAGCTTAAAATGAAATTAGATGAGCTACACTGTCCACATTGTTCAAGAATTCAATCCAGAGACGCTTCCCGATCTTCCACACATTGGCAAATCTGCAGTAGTTTGCTTAGGAGGTTCTTTTGACAGGATTCATAGAGGCCACCTGCTACTCTTGGCTGTCGCTGTAGCTTGTGTAGAGAAGGGCGGAACAATTCTGGTCGGAATCGTAGACGGCCCTCTACTGACTCGGAAGCTCTATGGCAACATGGTTAGGGATTACGAGCATAGACGACGGGACGTCCACCAAATTCTTAATGGTTTTATTTCTTTACGCGAGGATCTCTTAGATAAAGTAGATGACGAAATAGACAAAAGTGACGCGAATATAGAGTGTCCAGAGTACGAGAGTGAGTCTAGCAGGGGTGGTAGCATAACTGCCAGAACTCCTCGGGCCATGTACACCGCTGGATCTAATACTCCGATAAGGCCTGGAAGCAGCTATCTACCATATGCAACAACATATTGCAGCACAATGAGCCGAACTATCCCTAAGGGGTTTCAATCCAACGTTAACTTGAAGCTCTTGCGGATCACCGACCCTTATGGGCCATCCATAACGAGTGCACTGGATAACGGAATCCTTGTCGTTTCAACAGAAACTATTTTGGGTGGCCACATGGTTAACGTAGAACGTTTACAACGAGGCTTTAAGCCTGTGGCGCTTGCTGTCGTACCTTTGCTCCGAGATAGAGATGGAGAGAAGGTTAGTTCCACAAAAATCCGAGAAGAGGAAAGCATGTCTGATTCATTTGCTGACCGCGCAAGCTGAAGCGGCTCGAACAAGTCAATAAAGTTCATATTACGTCACGTGGCCTAGCTCAGTACCTGTAAACACAAATGAATTTGAAATGAATTCAGCTTACTCACATTATCGCAAAAAAAGGTGATGTCTCAGATAGACAAGCTCATTCCGATTGTCAACTCCTTGCAGGATGTCTTCAGTGCCATAGGGCAGGACAAGACGAATATCGACCTGCCGCAGATCACCGTCGTCGGCTCCCAATCTGCGGGAAAGTCATCGGTTTTGGAGGCTGTCTGTGGGCGCGACGTTCTCCCCAGGTCTGCCGGCATTTGCACGCGGCGCCCCCTGATCCTCCAGCTGATTCCGACAAAGCCCGGTCAATTTGTCAAGGACGAGAAGGGCAAGACATACGAGGAGTGGGGCGAGTTTTTACACACAAAGGACAAAAAGTTTGTCCACTACCAAGAGATTTGCAAGGAGATCGTCGCAGAGACCGATAGGGTCACGGGCGGGACACTCAACGTCTCCCCCCTCCCGATCCGCTTGAAGCTTTTCTCCCCTACCGTCGTTCCCCTCACGCTCGTCGATCTCCCCGGTCTCGTTAAGAACGCTTTGCCGGGCCAGCCAGCGGACATCGACGTTCAGATCAAGAAGTGCGTTTACGAGTATATCCAGAAGCCGAACGCCGTCATTCTTGCTGTCTCTGCTGCAAACGCCGATCTCGCAACTTCTGACGCACTGCAGGCTGCGATTAACTGCGATCCCAAGGGTGACCGCTCCGTCGGCGTTCTCACAAAGATCGACATCGTCGACAAGGGAACAGAGGCAACGGTGGTGTCGATTCTCCGGAACGAGGTGCACTACTTCAAGTTGGGCTGGATCGCTGTCATGAACAGGTCCCAGAAGGACATCGACGCTCAGAAGACGATTGCGAAGCACCTGCACGACGAGGAGGAGTTCTTCCGCACTCACGATTACTATAAGCCTCTGGCTGCACAGAGCGGAGCCAAGTACCTGGCGAGACGGCTCAACCAGGTCCTCATCAACCACATTCAGATTGTCCTGCCAGACCTTAAAATGAAGGTCCACCTCCAGCTTGACAAGTATTCCAGGGAGCTGGCATCCTATGGACAGCACCTTGAGGGTCGCGCAGAGATGGAGCGTGCTCTCCTTGGGCTCATATCCTCCTACGAGAAGGAGTACAAGGCCATCCTCGATGGTTCATCTGCCGGTGCGTCTAAGAACGAGCTATATGGTGGTGCCCGTATCTCCTACATATTCCAAAGCGTCCTCCCCAAGATGTTTGACACAATCAGTATCCAGGAGATCCTCAACGGCGAGGATGTCCGCACACTCATCAGAAACTCCTCTGGTACCAGGTCGAGCCTCTTCCTTTCTGAGAGCGCCTTTGAATTGCTTGTGCAGAAAGTTGTTCGCAGGCTCGAGGGCCCGTGTAAGCACTGTCTCCAGCTGGTCAAGGCTGAGCTCATATCCATTGCCAAGTCCATCCCAACACCGGAGATGAAGAAGTATCGCAGGCTCTGCAACGAGTTGGTCAACACGTGCATCAAGCTTATTAACGATCTTACAATGCCGACTGGGAAGTTCCTCCAGGACCTCATCCACTCCGAGCTGTGCTACATTAACACCCTGCACCCCGATTTTGTCGCTTCCCAGGAGTTTAAGGGACACATTGACGGCCAGAGGAATATGGCAAATCTAGACGTCTCGAATCAGGGCTTTGGCGAGAGTAACTTCGGTGGTCCGGGCGGCCCCGGCATGGGCGGCTTTCCCCCTGGTGGACCTGGCGGTCCAGGTGGTCCCGGGGGACCTGGGGGGCCTCCGGGTGGTCCTGGAATGAACCGCGGCCCTGGAGGACCTCCAGGCGCACCAGGAGGCCCCGGTGGGCCCATGAATCGTGGCCCCGGCGGTCCTGGGGGACCAGGTGGCCCAGGAGGACCCGGCCCTCAACAGTTCAACGAGTCTGTGCCGGAGAAGATCAAAGCTCAGGGTCCCCTGTCGGAGGCTGAGAAGCTTGGTGTTGACCTCATCCCGCGTCTGATGAGCGCATACTATCGAGTTATTCGCAAAAAGATAGAGGATTCTGTTCCGAAGGCGTGCATTGCCTTTCTTGTTAAGGCCTCGATGAACCAGCTTCAGGAGGTTTTGGTCAGAAACCTTTACTCCGGAGATAAGATCGAGGACCTTTTGTGCGAAGATCCCTCCATTAAGGAGAAGCGTGTCGCATGCAGAGAGCTCGTCGATGTTATGCAACGCGCAAGCAATATTCTCGATAAGATAGGTAACATCCGCAACGTCGAGGACCTTGCCAAGAAGGACTAATTCGTCGTTTGTTGTGGAGTCTGTCAGGGACCGTCTCTGACTAGATAAGTGAACCACTGGCTGCCTTCTTCTCCCGCTCTAGTGCTGCAGCAATGCGAGCTGTCATGCGCTGTTGCCAGAGGTCGAGGTCCGAGTGTCGAGGCTGAGGGGGTGGAGGTGGGGGCAGGAGACCTGGAGGTGATTGCTGTTCAGAGTGAGGGGTAACAGTGCTCTCGGGTGTACCCACCTCGGCATAAGAGAGGCGCTTGAATCTCAACTTGGGCCGCGGCTCCATTTTAAAATGAATACTGAAGCAATAGAAAGGCCAGGCAGCTCAGAGGTAACCATGGGGTGTCTTCTAGAGCTTCAGTACCATACCAGCATGTATGTGAAGGACCGAGGTTGTCATTATACTCCCTCAAAAAATGCCAAAATAGAAGCCAAAATAGAAATCAACTAAAACTGGATTACATGAATAGCCTGCAACAAGGGGCATCACCTAAAACGCCGTACACGAATATGTTTGCACGAAGCTTCCTGGCACACATGCGCCAGGAAAGCCACATTTCAGAGCATCATCTACCTGGCTCTATGACACAGATGATTTACAGCAGCGAGTTTTCAGCAAGCACAAATCTTCATACAATACCATTGGAGACCAATCCCGATCAGGGTTATCCGAGAGATGTGAACTTCACTACTGATGAGTCGACGGACCAAGTGGCGTTCGCACGAATGAAAGAATTGCAGATTCTAGAAAGCATATATCTCTGTGGAAGCTCAGAGAGCAAACGCAAAAGCAAGTCGAAGGATAGGAAGAGTGGGACGATGGTTGAAATAATCTTTGCATCTCCAACCTCTGGTGTTTAATGTTTGTACTATCCTTGTTCACTCAATCTGATGAACAATCAGCTATATTTTTAAGTAATTCTAAGACTACAGCTTCGAAAGCTTCGTAAGTTCGCTGGAACAAAAAAGATAATGGTTGAACTCTTTCCCATACTAAACTTGGGTGTATACTATGTCATCATTTGTCTATTCGTAGGTCACACTATCTATTACCCACTGCACGGGCCGCACGGGGGTCCTGATAGTCTTATGGATTCCTTCGCCACCCCTCAGAGAGTGTTGTCGCACTTTCTGCGTGCCTTCTGGATACCACCCCACTACCATTATGTAGTCTACTCTGTGCTTAACTTTGGCCTTCTGATGGCGATACATAAGTATACAGTTGGTCTGACCACAGCCAAGAGGAACATTTTTTTATTAACTTTGATAGCCAATCCATTCAACGTGATTGCTAGTACAGACACGGACCTATCTGCCATAAGTGCCAATCTTTTGGTTCTTAGTATTCTCCAAGTGGTGGGGCCCTTTGTCGTTTACAACCAGGAGAGTCTTCCGTCTCATGAAGTTGCAGTACTCCAGCGGGTGACTGGCTATCAAGTTTATCTCCTTGCAGCGATTTTACAACCGGGGCTACTCTATCTCGCTCCTTTCTATTTGCTTGTCTCTAGGACTCAGCAACTGCGCTATCGATCATTGTCTACAGACGAAAACACCGATGCCAAACCAAAAGCTTCTCAGCGTCCTTTCGGATATCTTGCAGCGCTGGGCACTGTGCTGTCCTTCTTAGTGTATGGCTTTGCGTACTATCGCAAGAAAACAGGCCAACTCAGACCGCTATGCAATTCCTTATGGGAAAGCAACGCTATCAAGGCGGAATACTCCACTTGGTACAGCTACTTCAGCAAGCTACGGGATCTGGTCTTGACATACACTAATGGCAGCCTGAATTTGGACTGGCTTCTTATTGCACTTGTTGCATCCCTGGCTTGCTATTACTCTTCCATTCGACTCTACACAAAATCAGTTGGCATGACTGGGAAGCCGTCGGCTCAGAACACTTATTATCTCAGCGTGGCTCTGCAGACGCTGCTTCTCGCCCATGCTCTTTCTAATCTGAAGGTATCTGTAGCTGCTGTCTACTCTGTGCTAGCATTATTCTGTGTGTCTATTAACGACTTTTTCCTCCTAATCATGTCTACCTTGGGGTTTCTCGGGGACGCCTTCTTCTTTTCTTCGACGCGATTGCTTAAGCAGTATGCACATGTCACACACTTCGACTCTCTGTTGCAGGAATACTCTACTATAAGTCGGGCTCTGTCAAATAGTGCTAGGACCGATATCACTGATATGTCGTCCAGTGTTCCGCAGAATATTTCTGATCAGTGGGCATATGACGGCCAAACTTCTGCAGATGACATCTCCCGCATGTCAGTCATCTCACTGCAGCTTAAGGGCATCCGTGGGGAGGTTTCAATGTATCACGTAATGATCCTCGCTGTTATTTTCGCAGTGTTTATCACAGATATCTCTGGGGTGCGTCTCCTTTCGAAGAGGAAGCACGGGGTCGTGTCCAAGAAGTCGTCTGTTAGTGTTATTCTATTTGGTTCCCTCTATTTGGCCCTTGCCATTGCAGGAACTGTTCTCATTCACCTCAATGTCCTATTTGACATTAGGGGTCTCAAAATTGCTCTATTTGTCATGCAGCTTGTTGCCGAGCCGTTTCGAATAGGCTTTCTTCTCGTCCTAGCACTGGGGAGTCTCATGAAGTGCACGAAGTATCTTCTTGTCCAGACCGCAGATGCGCAATAGGTTTACGGTATAACAAAATAAATTACCATCTGCGTTTTTCTTATCCCTCTGCTTGTTTCTATTGAGTTCTGTTGAACCTTTTGTCATGAAGCTTGTTGGTTGTAATTTCAAAATAGTTTATTAAAGACGGCTTAAGCTGATGGGCTGTTGCTGTTGTCGTCCCATCGAGGGCGAAGAGGAGGACATCACCCTTCGCTTCCGCGGCCTGGCCGTTAATTATGGGGGCAGAAAATTCTTGCCAAATGTCATTAAAACGCGCACATATAATTGGATTAGCTTTCCGTTTATAGTTCTTCTCCTTCAGTTTAAACCGTTTTTTAGTCAGTTCTTCACTGCTGTAGCCCTGCTGCAGATATTCCGGGCCCTGAAAGTGGGCCTGGCCTTCACATACTACCTTCCACTCATATTTATTTTCCTCGTTAGCATCGGGAGGGAATTATACACCGAGCTGGGTTGCTACAAGAGAGATAAGATAGCTAACTCCATGCTCTATCAGATTCTTTCTGACAGCGGAATTAGAACTGTCCGCTCAGACGAGTTACAAGTTGGAGACATTATCTACTTGGCACCAGGGCAGAATATTCCCGCAGATATTTTGATACTGCACGGCACTGAGCCTCTGTACTTGAAAACAACCAACTTGGACGGAGAGACGGACTATAAGTCTCGTACTGCGTGCTTTGATACTACAGACATCTATAGTACCGACTACAAGGACATACTTCGGAAGAAGTTGGACTCGCACATATTGCAGTATGAACCGCCAAGCTCCCAACTCTACAAGTTCAACGGGAAGTTTGTTCTGTTATCGGCACCTCAAGATGTCTCTATGTCACCCGTCATGCCCATTTCACTAGCAAATACTGCGTGGATGAATTGTACTCTTGCGAAGGGGTCAGTGACGGGGCTTGTCATCTACACCGGAAAGCAAGTCCGGATTATGCTGGGCCGAAAGAAACCCAAGAGCAAGAGTGGGAAGTTAGATGTGGATATCAACTTGTATGTCAAGGGCCTCTTCGTGCTTTGCATCTTCTTGGCCTTTGTGTTGACTATGGCAGGGTCTGTTTATTCTCTAGTAACGTTCATACGGTGGATAATCATTCTTAACGCTATCATTCCTCTCGCTATGAAGGTGTCTCTCGAGTACGGCAAGTTTACTATGGCGGGGACTATCAGCTACGACCCCGAAATACCAGGTGTCAGGGTACAAAACAGTAATCTAGTAGAAGAGCTGGGGCTTATTAACCATATATTTAGTGACAAAACAGGCACGTTGACAAAGAACGATATGTGGCTTCACGAGGTCGTTGGGAGTAATAAGAACGTAACGGATGGATGTGAAACTATGCTTCACGCTCTTATGACATGCCACAATGTTGAGCTGGTCACTGAGAGATGTCGGAGCATTAAAGTAACAGCAAAGAATGGCATCGTACAGCATAGCGATCAGGACTCTGAGGAAGATCAAGCAAAGCAGCTTGTGCCTCAAAAGACGAACACTCGCATAGTGCTAGAAGAGGAAAAAGTGATCGAGGGATTTGGTGAAGCTGTTTCGCTGTGCTTCACTAAGCACACCACTAATGAATACCTGCTTCTTAACAATTATATAGGAGCATCCCCTGATGAAGTGGCTATCATCAGAGGAATGCATGCTAGAGGACACATTTTAAAAGAAAAAATGCACAATCGCATCCAGTATAGTTCTGGCACTGAGGACTATGAGTTTGAGCTTATTCATGTGTTTCCATTTACCTCGGAAACAAGGCGCATGTCGGTCATTGTTAGGGATAGAGAAACTCAAGTTGTCTACCTCTTTGTCAAAGGCGCTGATACTGCCATAGAGGTTATTTCTAAACCGTGCGATTGGATGCGCAACGTTGTTGATCAGCTTGCGACCACCGGGCGACGTACTCTAGTGTATGCATATAGGATTCTTTCTGCGGATGACTTAGATGCCTTTCAGCGTGCATGGATGAGTGCCGCGGAGGACATCAATTCGAGACAGGATAAGCTAGATCAAGCAGAGGAGGACCTTTTAGTTAATTTAGACGTTTTGTGTGTAACGGGGATAGAAGATCAACTCCAAGACAACGTGAAGGACACTATTCAGTCTCTGAAGAGGGCAGGAATTAAGTTCTGGATGTTAACGGGTGATAAGATCATAACGTCCCTGAGCATTGCTCAAGCATGCAGTATTCTTCCTAATGATGTGATCAGCAAGCATACAGACTTTTGCAGTCGTGTATCTGAGATAGGAAATAGTACTTCCCGGTGCGTAGAGCTTGACGCGCAAACTGGGGATGTACAGCACAGCCTTCATATTGTGGGCGAAAATACATCTAGTTCAGCTATGCAGTTGGCAAGCGTGGCCTCAAACCCGATCACTATGTCTCCCCTAGACCCTGTACTCATCACCACAACATGCGCGCAAGAACGGAGCCACAGCTGTTCGTCCCCTAAAAGTGGTCTGCGGTCTCCACTGCACCATAGGACTAATAGGGCATTATTAAGACATCCACTTAAGAAAAGTGGATTACGGAATAAGAAGCTTGCAAATATCAAAGAGTCAGCATATGTGCGTAAGTCCCAGGGAGTGTTTTTCCTCACAGAAGAGCTTTCGTTGGATCGCTTGCTTCAAACACTTCACGATGTGCTGGCAGTCGTGGAGACTCAGAAGAACATAGCAATCATCATTGACGGGGGTGCTATAGATGCTCTTTTAGGCACCTATCCAACTAACTACTTCTACCGCTACCGGATACACCCTATTACTGGATCCCTCCTGCCGCTGCCACTCATACTAAAGGCCTGGCGATACTTTGTGCGCTTCCTCTATGTCTACTTCACTGGAAAAGCGAAGTCTGGAAAGGGGAGTTTGGGGCCAGATGCCAAGATACGGGAGCTCTTCGCCGAAGTTACTTGCCGTGCCGAAACGGTGATCTGCTGCCGCTGCACCCCGGGACAGAAAGCCTTGGTGTCAGAAATAATAACGACTTATAGTGGGAAGCAGTCGCTAGGCATTGGGGATGGTGCCAATGATGTTCCCCTAATCCAGCTCTGCGCTGTAGGAGTCGGTATAGCAGGAAAGGAGGGGACACAAGCAGCAAACTCGGCAGACTTCGTCATCAATGAGTTTCAAGGACTGAAAAAGCTTCTCCTGTGGCACGGGAGAAATAGTTACATAGGGAGTGCACAAATGTGTCAGTTCATCATGCAGCGAGGCATAACGCAAACGCTCCTTCAAATATGGTTCAGTATGCTTTATTATTTCGTAACTCTAGTAATATACACAGGCGTCTTATTGCTGGGATTTGCCACATTCTTTACAATGCTTCCTCCGTTCAACTATTATATTAACGAGGACATAGATTATAAGCTCGTTATGCAGTATCCAGAGGTCTATAGATATACGTCGTCTGGAAGACTGATTTCCTTCAAGACCTTCTGCCTCTGGCTCCTTGCGTCCATCGTGATTTCGTTTATGATCTTTGTATCTTTGGTCTGTGTTCTTCCGTGGGATGTGATATATACCGAGTTTGTTCTGGTGTCCTTCGCCGCTCTTCTCATTAACCAGCTCCTTCTAATCTCCTTCACGTCTCATCGGTGGTCTGTCCTTCTCGTAATTACACTGGTGGGTAGTTACGCCTCATTCTACATCGTGCAAACAATATATCCTGACATATTTCCCCTTTCCTTTCTCTACTCCTTTTCTTTTACTTGGAGTTCGCTGTATATCGCCTTCAGTGCAGCTCTACCAATCTACATTGGCTCTCTTCTGGTAAAACACTTAAGTGTACCTCCTGTGATCAAAAAGCTTAGGAAGTTAAGAGCTCCCGCTGACTGTGCGTGTTGTGCTAAAAAGAGCAATTGTGCATGCACCAAGTCCCCAATCCACTACTACAGTTCCACGGGCACATACTACTTTAATTTGACAGATAAGGCTGCGAACGTACTCACATGTCGATACTGCTCTACGTGCCCTCGTAAGTGCTAGTCGTTAGCTGTTTCAAAGCTGCACGCTCACTCGTTAGCCCATCGGTTGCAGTATCAAATATTTTATTTATGCCTTGCAATCATGTGCCGTTTTTTCGCACTTTTATTTGTATTAAGATATCTCTTCTTATGCTAATTAGTTAGTTAGTTTTACAGACGATTTGTTCTACATCCTTATGACGTCTTCAAGCATATACCAGCGCTCTTATGCTCTTGTCCTTTCATCGTGAAGTAGAGCGCTGCTAGTTCATCCAATAGTTTCTCTTTGGTGTGCTATTTGGCGAAAAACAGGGCACCGCTTGTGTTGTGTTTTTGCATGAGACTTTATCTTAGTGATACCATCGGAATTGCGTCTAAAACACGAGGTGACCCTTGCGTAGTCCTTTACAGTTCGGACTTTGTGTTAAATGATCTTCTGCACTTCGTCCTCAGAGGTCTGGACAGCTTTTCACAAAAGAACCATTGGCTCGTTAGCGAGTTTATTATTGTAAACTTACTCGTGTTTTACTAGGCTTTGAACTCTATCATCGTAGATTGGTAGATTTGTATGAGTTCATAGAAAAATTAGAAAAACAAAATTATGGCTAACAAGTCCGAAGAAGCGGAGCTCAGTTACACCGAGATTGCCTCTCGCATAGGAAAACTGTTCAAAGAGGAGAACAAGCCTATCACAATTGACGCAATGTATGAGCAGCTGGGGGCTCCACTTAACATTCTCTCATATGTGTTGGAGCGGTTAAAAAGAGCAAAGCTCGTCGCTGAAGAGGTAGTCAACAACGTGTGTTTCGTTTATCCTCTAGCACCACTCTTCGGTAGCAGATCATTCCACAGCAAGGCCAAGCTAGTTGACCTACAGCTTAGAGTAGCCCAACAACGTCGGAAGAGCGCTACTGCGGAGCAGCTGAATCACTTGGAGCAGCTGCGCCGAACATCTCTAAATAAGGGAAAGGCAGAATCGAGCTCCCGCGAAGAACTAGATAGGGAAGCAGAGACTCTCTTAGAAAATATCTCAGATATTGCGAAGACAATATCAGCGGAGGTGGGCACAACGACAGACAATGTACTGAAGGGCTTAGGAATTCATGAGCTAAACCTTTACGAACTAGGGGTGCTGAAGATGCCTGCAGAAACAACTGAAAAGGAGTGTTCTCCAAATACAATGTGATCTTAAGCAAGACTTGGCCTTAGACATCTCAATCGCATGAAAATCTATTACAAGTACTTCTTTTTAGAGTCAGCAAATGCAGAAAGCTTGATAGACGGTTTCAGAGCTTGAAGTTTTGCAAAAAGGGTCAACACATTGTCGCAAAGCATCCTTATGGACACTTTGCATTCTTTAACGTCATTAATGGTATACACTGGATTGTAGACGTTGGCAGAACGCTTTCCATGACACTTTCCGATCTCTGAATCTATTCGCTCGCATGTCTGGTGAAGAAATTCAAGTGTATCAGAGAGCCAAGTCTTTGTGATGCCGTCTACATCCGAAATGATGAACTTATAATGCTCAGAGATGATGATTGGCATAGAAATGAAGAAGTCCGTCGTATTCAGAACAAACCCGAAACACTCAGAAGTAGGAGATCCGTCTACGACAACGTTGTTGATATAGTATTGGATGATAGGCACATACCATGGATGGACATTCCTAAACGCCTCGTGCGTAGCAGACTTGTTGTACACATTGTAGGTGTCCTCATCTATATCATATTCCACTTTAACTTTCAACTTAAGATTGACAAACTTGGGCTCTGCTGATAGCTTTGATAGTGATTGATATAGTATGGAATTAACTGGGTCCCTTGACATAGTAGGGCACGTGCGGGCTTTGAACTGCTCCTTGAAAGTCTTGCTGTCTACTTGTATCTTACCATAGAAGAAACTGACGGTAGGAGGGGGAAGAGCTAGAAGAGCGATGACAAAATCGGTAGCAACATACTCCCTTCGCTGGGGTGTCATAGTGTTGTCTCGGTGCTGTAAAAGGTAGGCTCGTGCTCTTTCATCTTCCTCACGCTGAGACATTGGGGTGGGAGTGATGCCTCTGGTAGGAGAGGTAGCTGGGTGCAAGTTTGACGCAGCAAGCTCACCACCCCGTATGTTGCATGACCCTGTGCTACTTCGAGGCTCCACGTTTGATCGAGCACGACGGCGTGCACTTCTTGCAGGGGATCCATTACGGCCTGTGGCGTTGAGTCTGCTGAAATTGAAACACGGACTAGCAATCTTAGTGGGGCTTCTTCCGTTGCGGCTAAGTGATTTGTAACGTGATCCTAATAGACCTAGGTTATCAAAGCTATTTATATGTCTCGATGTTCCCACTATCGGTGTAGAAGGCGGCGAAGGAGATCTGGCTCGTGGCATGTTTTTATGAGTATCCGAGGTATTAACCCGTAAAAGCCCCATACGTGCTCGCGTCCCTTCTGCGCTAATATCGTAGAGAGGAGTTGTTCCCAAAACAGTTGTCATCTTAAGTGCTCTGTTAGGGGTACTTTCAAGCTTTCCTGAGTTGGCAATGATTGCCTGCTTAGACATGCTGGCATTGACAAGAAGGTCTGCGGATGGTACCACACTATGATTACAAGTCTGAGAGGATGCCAATCCACCGACAGGGTCAACAAGAGATTGATAGAGAATTGATGATCCTGTCACTGGCTGTGATTGTGACTGCGAATGGGAGACTGTATTCCGCTTTATAGTTTGCTCCACCTTTGCTTTATTCTCAGCCCTCTGGTAACTATAATAGGAGGTTTCCAATAGCTTTGATGACTCTGTTATCTTGTACTTATCTTCTATTCTTTGAGTAGGTCGTTCGGGATAACACGCAATAGAACTATTATGAGCGTCATTGTTTGAAAATGATTGTGTCGATGATGGCCTTTCTGCATCCCTACCAGGTTGCTTTGACCTCTTTGAACTAACACCTGTATTGCTGAGAAGTAGTCCTACATAAGAGACAGTAGATACACAGTGAGCAGAAGCTCCATTTTTAAGCTTGTTATACTCCTTGAACAGTGTTACGGTTGAGATGTTCTTAGCCTTCAGTAGCAAGTAGAGATTGCGTCTGTCAACAAGCGTTTCTCGTGGTCTAGGGAGAGGAAGCCCAATAGCCCCAGACTCTGTCCTGGCCTCCACTTCTCGAACAGAATTAAACATGATCTCATCTGTCAATACATTATCAATGATCCCGGCTCTGGCAGCGTTCGGAGTTAAGAGCATGGGATTAGAAGGTGAGAGAAGACCTGCACTGAGGTCAACACGCCTGTGCCGGTTACTGTGGTGAAGAGTGTTTGTTAGTGAGTCGCCATCGGAACAAGCACTCAATGCTAGAGATTTGTTGAACCTCAAGGCAGCTATAGAGTTGGCATCTGCCGTCTGCAAAGCTCGTAATATATCTCGATTGTCTGGTATCATGCTTTCTACGGGTAGCTGGTGGGAAAGAGAATCAATATAATGCACTTTACTCCCACCAGTCAGTGCCTGTGTTGTATAGACCTCTGCCCCAAAGACTGCGCTGGAGGCGTTCATAATCGCCCCTTTTATCCAGTCGGGCTGATCCTCGGCGAACTGGCTGGGGGGCGTGATGCGTTTGATAGTCGTCACAACGGTTTCATCCAGAATGCAGGCTCGGCACTGTTTGAAGCTGTAAGAAAGTATCTTCCCTTCTGGAATCTTCGCGCTCTCCTGAGCAGAGAGCTTTGGGAAAATCCACTCTCCTGTCTGCTCTGGGAAATTGGGAGCCTCGCGAACCCACGTGTAGAAGAGCAGGTCGCAGGGATGAGAGGTCGACTCTTCCTTGGTTTCTATGTTAAGATACGTATAATCATCTCGCTGTTGCCATGTTGGGGGAAGGGGAGTGCAAAGGGCCACAAGAGCAATCCAAACATAAGAAGACGCTGGATCTAAATCTAAAAAGGCGCACATATTGAGGACATCTATGCATACATTTGGGGGCCTTTGCGTGAAGTAGAATGTAGGGTCTGTTGAATTAATTCCGGAAAGCTGGTCACGGAGCCTTCGTGTAAAGGCCAAATAAAACGCATCTACTGGGTGCACCCACGTGCTCTTAGTCGACGGGGGCTTCCAATAATATGGTCTGTTATTCTTCTTCAATGAAACCCCCTCCTCCCAGGCAAGAGGGAGAGGAGCAGCAATAGCCTCGTCCACTATCCACAACAGGCCTGCATCAGATGTGGAGAATCCAAAAAACTTGGTGTACTGGCTTATAATTGGATCTGTGAAGTACTTGGAGAGACGTGGGTCAAAGGAGTCCGGCGGCATCAGATCAGGAGACCGTCAAATTTAGAGGTTCTTCATTTGACATACAAATTGTAATGGCATTTATGCATGCACATTATGTAATCTAAAGCGGAACTTTGGCTTTGGATGATAGACGCGGCTGCATGGCTTGGGATGGAGCTCTGCGTTCATACAAAAAAGGGGGATGTGCTGACTGGAACCCTCTTGGCGATGGAGCAAAATGGATCGATGATCCTTTTTCATGTCAGTCAGCAGGTCAACACACATGGAAATGCAGACTTGGAGGAAATACTCCCAATAAAGCGCCCATCTATTTATATCAACAGATCAGATATCGAGCGAATCCTTGCGCCAGCTCTTCCCGGAGAGGTGTCCCGTTCAAATGAAAATGTTATAATGTAACCCTGCATTTATATTATACCCGAACCTTTAAGACCACCAAAATTAAAGCTGTCTTCGGAGCACGCAACTGGCTGATGCTCAACATAGGCGGTGTTTTCACATGCTTGTCGGCGGATGCAGGCAATGAGTTTCTCGCTGCGGGTAGATCAAATGGATACAGTGTGTTTTCTCTCAATCCTCTTCAGGAGATTTGTCGTAGGACGTTGCCAAGTGAAAATGGTGTACGTCTCTTAGCTATTGCACCCAGCCTTCCGATAATCGCTATGGTAGGAGGGAGCTCAAAGGTATTAAGTGCACAGCTGAAGTCTGCTTGTAACTCTGCGGAATCCGTTAAGATCCGTGGCATGGAGCACGCAGACACTCCAGAGCTTATGGCCCCTAACGAGGTCTTCATCCTTAACGATTCGTCTGGTGAGATGTTAAACCGACTCAAATACGGTTCTTGTGTGTCGAATATATCCATTCATAAGAGTTTTCTTTTTGTGCAAGCTGGAACAAAGCTTTTTATCCATCGACTATCATCTCTGGAGTTGATCCATACACTGACACTTGCATGCACCAGGCTCGAATCCAGTGGAGCCTCTGCTGTGAGTGTGGCAGTTCCTTCAGACGACTGCATTATTATTGCCACCCCCAGCTCTGTCGTTGGATCGGTGGACATTTATAGGTTGACACAAGAAGAAAATGCATCGGAGTTTAAGCGTAAGACGGTGACCATTAGTGCGCATAAGACGGAAGTGGCCTGCTTCGCCCTGTCTCCAGATGGGATCTATTTGGCGTCTGTTTCTAGTCACGGAACAAAGATACGCCTCTACCGGACGATAAACGGAGCTGAAGCAGGGTCTTTGCGACGCGGCATTAGCTCTGCGGTGGTGGTCTCCTTGGCCTTTGACGCCAGCTCGACGCGCTTGGCGTCATCTTCCTGCAATGGGACTGTTCACGTGTTTGATGTTGTAGCGTGCAGGGGTCCATCAGATGACAAGCACAAGGAGGTCCGTTCGTTTAATACATACAGATTTGCTGAGAAAGCCTTAAAAGAGAGGGCAGGACTTATCATGACATCGTCTTCCTTCTGGGTTTTGTTAGAAAGCGGGGAGATTCATAATGTAGGCTTTTCCTCTACTGCTAACTGTATACTGCAAAGCGTTTGGAGTCTTAAGTGAATCTTTATAGGGTCATCTTCTGCTCCTTATGGAGCTGCTTTTGTTTCTATCAATGCCACCGTGGGTGCTGTTTCTATACACAATTGCCATATACGTGTACACAGGAGCCTTTTATCCGTTGTCAGTAAGGCTTCTAATGCTATTACTATCACAGTTGCTGGGGCTTCACCTCGAAACTATGCGTCCACTGGCACCTACGCTCAACGACAGTGTACTCTCCTTTTACAGCGGATTTTTATATGTCTGTGCATACGCTTCTTTGTGGACATGTCTTTATGATCAAGCCTCAACCTACTTTTACTACAACGCCATTATAAGCTATTTTCTTCTAGGCCCAGATAGATTTATTAACCAAGTAGCCCGGGGTGTTATCTATCCAGATCTCTCTACAGAGGAGTCGTCAAAAGAATTGAATGCAATCCCTAACACTAACAGATTGCAACAGAAGTATACCATTTTGCACTTTGTAGAGTTTTTTCTATCTTGGCTGATACTTTATCTCTTTGGCCACGAGGCCAAATTTTTTATCTTCACTGCATACTGCCTATTGGTTAGCGCCTCAATGCTCGTGTTTGATGGCTTAGAGACCGAAAGGTCTGTCTGTGCAATCTCGCTTCCTGTTACGCTTGTGCAGGCGAAAGAGCTACCGATGTATACCTTCTTTCCATGTGCATTAGTGCTTCTTTATGGCATCGTCAGACAATATTCAGCTTCTGAGGATCCTACTACTCATTCTGCATACCTATTCGATGACGCTCTTGGGCGTGTTCCTGATCTCTGTAAGGAAATGCTTTCGTTGACAAAGAAGCAAGAAAAAAATGATGTTGTGTTAAAGCTGATGAACGTTTGTGCAGCCCTTCTGTATAGTACCAGTACAGAGCAGCTTATGGCTTGGGCAGCAAATATACTATCCATCGAATTAAACTGCCCCCTAATGCTGATTAACGATAATGCAGTCCATGTGGGTAGACTCACTATTAAGCAAGCCGATGTAGACGCCATATGCAGACACATACGCAATGACAGTCGCGCAACGAAGCCCTATAAGATGGTTGCTCAGTCATCAGTGGACCATACGTGCCGTATGTACAATCATTTGCGGTTGGGGAAGTTTTATGCATACATTGGAGGCCGCTCTACAATAGTAGCCTTCATTCAGCCTGAAAGACTCCATGATTTTATGGAGATAGCATCTCGTGTTGAATCCTATCTTCAGCACTGTCGAACCTTCTTCGCAGATTGCAGTAAGGCAGCCAACACTATCCTGAATGGGTATTTACAACTGGCGGAAATGGAGGCTTCGTGGCGGAGTCTGCTTGATACATCAAGGCGGCCCTTCTATACGTTTTGGACCATGTACCGCGACAGAATACTATCTTTACGTGGAGACTCAACTAATAAAAAGTCTTTGACCCGTGAACTGTTGCTTTGGTCAACGTACTTGTGCATCGTTTCCGACATGTTTCGTCTAGAGCCAGTGGGTGGAACACATTACGAGTTCCAACGAAAAAGAGAGGCTCCTCTTGCCCTCTACCTATTGGAAATATATGGTAGCCGCATATTAAATGCAGACTGTCAAATTGTGGCCAGCAAGAGGGTGCAGCAAAGATTTGGCCTTTTCCAGTTCTTCACAAGTAACGGCATAAATGATCAGGCTGTGCTAGCCGATATGCTGCGGATGGACATGGCCATCTATCATGCTATTATGGCATATATCTCAAGCTCCTTTGTACTTCAACCTTTTCACGATTCCTTTAGGTGTAAGATTGCCCGTGGATCACTCTTCCGGAAGCTTGAGCTCTCCGATCTTCTTGCGTACTATCGGAACAATAACTTCACTAATGGAAAAACGCGCAAGGTGGAGAGCTGTTCGGAACTCGTAAGTTACATCGATGAGCTAACAAATGAAATAATCCTAATCAGCAGCCAGTGCATCCTTAACTTTTGTGCGTGGTTCAGTGTAACAATTGATCTTCCCATCAGTAAGCTACACGTGCTGGACATCGTCGACGGTACAACGAAGGCAGAATCCTCTCAACAGAGACGGAGTATTATGCATAGCTTACAATATCGCAGTAAAGAGCAAACAGGAGCAGCCTCTTCACATTCTTTATTCACGGATACGTGCAGTAGTCCGGGAACCTATGGAATGGTCCTTCTAGACAATAAAAACATCTCTGCCCGTGCATTCCTCAGTGCAATCCACATATTGAATCTTATAGTTTGCTTTCACGATGTCTCTGAGTGCTGCATCTATATACCTGACTATGCTGCTGGACAAACCAGCATCCTCTGATGAAGAGTGTGGACACGCGAGAAGTTGATTTAGTAGGGTTTGCTTAAGCAAGTAAAGTAGATTATCTTAGCAACGTTTAAGTTTACTCTGTTTCATCAAGGTTGGTTTGCCAACTGCTGTCCAAGCAAGTCCCACACGGGCCGCTCCGCTCTGGGCAAAGCCCGGAATCAGACTCTGAAAGCTGGATTCCATCCATCTCCGGCGGGAGAAGAAGATGTTGTGTTCCTTCCCCCGGTGGCCATCGCTTGCTTCCACGGTGCCTTCCAGGACGTCCCATCCTCTGGCCCGTCGGGGTCAACTACCGTCTGGCACTAGTGGGCACCTACTATCTCAGGACCTTGCATTAGTTGCGGTGACCTGACCTTGGGAGTAGTCTAGCCTCCACAGAATCCAGGGTTCTGGTACTCCATGACAAAGATGGGATACGCTATGACTTCGGGTGTCTACCTCGTTCCTTGGGGTGCCTCTTCGTCTCCTCGTGGATTATACCATCAGTCTCGAGTATGATTGGAGGGTCTGCTCCCCGTGCGCCTCTATCTTGGAGTTGTGGTACGCGTTTGTGGATGCCACGGACAGCTCCCATGTGTTGTGTCGGGGGAGAAGTATGGCCCTCTGCTCATGGATCACAGTGCACTCTTGCAGGTGCTCCGTCACCCAGCACGAGACCGTGTCGGCGCATCATTCTATGCAGTGCGTCTGGCTCGGCTGACGTGTGGGCTGGTCCATCTGCACAGCACACTTGGGGTGATGCTTCGGTCTGTCGAGGCGTCAGTCCAGGGCCACCTCTCCGAGGGGCGTCATCCGAAGCACCAAGAGCGATCAGGACCGGTTCACCGTCAGGTCGTCTCGCTTAGTGTCCGCCTACTCGAGGGTGTCAGGCACTGCCAGCTGTTGTAGCAGACGCCCGGCAGGTGGCCCAGGCCGCCACCGCTCTTCGGTGCGGTCATGTGTTCAATTTGCCTCCGTCAGCCAAGCACCCCAAGGGCCTCATCTCTTGTCAAGGGATTCATATGAATCACGTGTGGGTCCATCTCGACAAGCGTGGCGAGTGATCGGCGCCATTGCCAGCTTCAAACGCTCATCTGCACTCGCTATCGCCTTGAGGGAAGAAGCATTCTCCTTTGTCACCAAAATGGGACAACATCTGAACCTCGATTCCCTGACTTCAGATGATGAACAAGCAGGGAAGTTCTTTGCATGGCACTTGCATGAGGGATTTGCTCGGACAGCAGTTACAGCGTCTGGCTGCATGTTTCTCTTACAAGCCTGGTAATTGACTAGGCTTGCTTTACAGTCGCGGAGACACTGCTGCGTCTCTCTGAGTCTTTTAGAGAGACGATCCAGTTTAGTGTAGAAGAGCGAACGCGACCCAGTCCCGTTCCTACCTGCTGCTCTACGGTCTGCTGCCGCTACTTGTTGTTCTCATTTCCCCTGCTATTGATAGTCGCAATACTCTATGAAGCAATCGCTTACATCCATCCGCAACCCTAGGCGTTACGGCTTGGAAGGCCATGTCACCGTATAAGCTCTATGGAGGGCATTTACTAGCCATGGCAGATGGAGGTCGCTGCTTCTGGAGGCCCTGGTGCATGTCGGGTCAGAAGACGCTGACTCCACTGGCTGCAGGAGCCCCCACTTACTGTGACAGCTTGAACTAGCACCACTTCGAGGACAGAGGATATCTACAGCCCGAGAGGACACTCCTGCAGAGAACAGATTCAGGCATAGTCGCCAACAGATCCTTGATCCGGATAGATGAGAGCAGATACCCAATTAGTAAGGCTTTGACTAAGCTACGCAGAATCGCATCCTTCAACACCAGACTCTGACACACGAAGTCTAAGGCAGACCATAGGTACATAGCAGACGGGTAGAAACCTGCTTCGTAGTGTGTGGAGGCTTTGATGAGGCAATCGCGGGCTTAATGAAGGCCGGGACCGGTAGCTCTAACAGACAGTTCCCCAGCTTTGGAATACTTGCGATCACCATAGAGTCAATACAGTGAGTTATCTGCAGTAACAAACTTGTGGGGATAAGAGCAGAGTTCCACCAAACTAGTTAGACACTAATGGATCCTAGCGCGAACTCGCAGTATAGGGACTTGCAGAAGGCACCGCGTTCTACTCATCTGAGTAAGACGGCCAAATGAGTGGACCCATAGTGCAAAGACCACGAGGCCAAGGGCTCCTCCATAGCCTCAGAAGCTAACATCACAAGAGTCACACTGGCTGCGGAGTGCTTTCTGATCCACTGAGGCTTAGCGGCATGGCTTCAGTTCCTAGTACGGCCAGACAGGCTTGAGACACGAGATACTCTGTCTGCTGCAAAGCACACCTTCTGGCAGCGACTCTGGTCTATCGAGTAACTCTCGCATAGAGGAGGCAGATGGCTCTGAAGCGTCACTGCTCGCCTGATAGCTCTGAGTCATGGCAGAGGAAGCTGTTTATGAGAATGCACCCCTAGTGTGTAGATCCACATTTTCGTGCGACGTGAGAAGACGCTCCTGGATTGATCTGTCATGCCTCTGTCTGCTCTAGCAAAAAGTAACCCAGCGTATGCACTAGTGATCTATGTCGCCATGGCATCTGTAGCTAACTAGCCAACGAGACAATCACTAGAGGAACCCTCGCACACTTATGAGCGGAGGTGCAGCCTGAGAGCAATCCTCTGGCCGCTAAGTGATGGAAGAGCAGACATAGCGTTGCTCCGTACAATCACACTCTCTCACCTTAGTAGCTATGTGGGCAGCCCCGGTCTCGTGAAGTCTGTGGATAAGCTGCTTCACCCCATAAAGCATCCAGAATTACTACAGGTGACACCTGCAAAATCTTACTGCGGGAGGCCATGCTCCGCTAGAGACGTGGCTCTGGAAACACATTAGCTGATGGGAGCTCCCCTCTGGCGTTCTTAGCGGCGGTGTCTGTCTACAATAGCTCTTACACCCACTGCCTGTATATGGCCCAACTGTGCCGTATTAGACCCCTGTCTCCACTGAACGGCTGATTCAAGGGCGATTGCCGTTACCAAGATGATACCTTACATTGACTTCTAAGAGCTGTCTTTGCATATATTACGCTGCTTAGTACTGCGCTCAAACGAAGCTTGCTATTGCTCCGCATCTATTGTGGATTGGAAGAGCAGTTAGCACTCTCAGTGGTCCATGTGGTAATCGGAAGCCAGGGAAGTCTAAGTTGAGTGAGAAGCTTGAGAAGCGAGTAGCAGCCCTTATACTCCTCTGCCGGGTGATACAGAGAACTGGCTCGTTCCTTAGCGTCGATAGTTCTTCAGAATGCACGTTTCTTTGTTTGAGACCTGCATGCTTCGGATTGTCCTCTGTTGCCAGCAGAGCAGCCACCGCCCTGTGTGTCTCCTTCAGGCACATGCCCATCTATGACGGCGCCTCCTGCCTCTTCTCTGGAGAGGCATAACCGTCCCAATCCAGACACCTTGCTCTCAGCACGCATCTCGTATCCAGCAGAAGCCAGGGGCTCATCAACCATATTCCATGAGCATCAGCGCTGTGCCGCTATGTTACTTCCTGTTCTTCTTGAGGGGAGTGCTCTGACCATCCCAGTGTCTCTATGATAGAAGAGCTGTGGATCCAGAGATGATTGTTGCTTTCTGGCCCTCTCTTCTGTTCAGTAGACTGCGAGAGCGCCCTTCAGGAGTCGGTCCCCCAACCTTCTGTTCTCTCGGGGAAGTGGTCCTTGGATAGTGCCACTTGGATGATTCTCGAAGCCTCACTGCACGGGTGCTGCTTTACAAACACTCCTGGCTGAAGCTGGACCCGAATCCTCCTAGAGTTACCTGCTGGCCCAGTCCTTGATTGCTATCAGCAGAGGTCTCAACCTTCCAAGGACATCTCGGGGACAATACGTTTGGCCCACGTCAGCGCCACTTCCTGGCAGGGGCATGCAGAAGATCTGCTCCCTCTTGTAGATCCATCATTGGTATCGAGAGCACTGCGCCTGCTATCCTCGCTGGAAGTGTCGGTAGACTGTGCCCCGTATCTATCCCATTGAAGAGTTGGAGGTCCGCCAGGGACAGCGAAGAGGATTTCATCAAAACTCTGATAGTAGATTTGCCATCATGGCAGCCATAACGTAAATAAGGCCACCAGCTGTCTGATCCCTGCAACTTCCGGGGTGAGACGCCAGGAGGCGTGGCTGGTTCAGACTAGTGAGGGCTACTCTTGTCATAGCAGGCTCAGAAAGTAGGGAGCAGATGACGTACCTGATGTCCCTCAACGTACGCATGCAGCCTGGAAACCGTGCTCAAAGCACCGAGGCCTGCAGGGGAGTGGCATCCGAACAGGCCCGACAGTTATGACTGCTTCTGAGGACAAGTCAGCGTGACTAAACGAGAACATGAGAACTCACAGAGACCCTCACAGTTTTGATGTCTGGGAGAACGCGGGGGCTGACCACTCCAAGGTTGTCCATCTCATGAGCTGGTTTCCGATAGCAGGCATAACAAGGAAGTGTCCTCCAGTCATACACAATTTCATGCCAGCTCATCTCAGGGTAAAGCATCCTTGTCTGGCTTGCCAGTCCATCCATGACGGCAGCAGATGTGTCAGCATTCCATATCATCGGCCACTTTGCTGCTGCACAGTCAGAGTACTGCTCGTGGCATTGCTTGCTGATGCTCTGCATAAGGCCATGTTCCCGTGGCAGTGACAGGTGAGTCTCTTCGTATCTGTAGTTCATCACAGGTACGGCTTCTCTTGGGTCTTCCACTTCTACGTCTGTCTGGTATCTCACCTCAATGCGAGTGGCCAGCTGCTGTTATTAGATCTTGCAGTATAACTATTACGCATGTGTGTGTCCATCAAGACTACCATATGAGGCTATACACATCTGGAGTTCTGTTTAGCAGTTATCAGACTCGATATCAAGATGGCACGGGGACAACACTCCCATTGGTCGCCGGGGACATGAATCATCATACAAGCCGCATAGTGCACCAGAGGCAGCACGACGGTGGAGGGCATGCCTGGAGGTAGATGGCGCCTACAGCAAGTGGCATGCTGTCGTTGTCAGTACAACGGGCATAGTGGCTACTGGACCCACACTTTAGCAACCTCAGTCGAAGCAGCTGCACATTGAAGGAACAAGTTATAAGTCTCGCCCGCACTGTTGGGTGGTGCTCTGCCTTGATGCTAACTCAGCGGACCAGCCCTCACATCGGTGACGGGGAGCAGGACACCGCGCTGGTCACGTGATAAGATGCCTTCACACAATATTCTAACTATTCTAAGTCACGTTGGAAAGTGGCTAGCCCTTTTGTACTCCTCCTCTCTGAACGGGACTGGAGACACTTAAGGCCCCTTTTAAAGTCTCAGTATCATGGAACCACTGCCAGGCAACAAACCTTGTACTGTATAGCATGAGAGTCTTTAGGACATATAAAAAGCTGTGCGACCATAGCAACACGTCTTCGTTCACAGGTGCTAGCGGAATCGATGGGCACTAGTGAAGCATATTAGCGGGTAGACGACATACTGATTCAGGCACTCTGCGTGCGGTCATGCCCCACAGCTCTCGTAATGGGCCACGGGCGGCTTGAGGACCGGTGCTCTATGACGGCGCGAGTGTGGAGTGGTGTGCCCAGAGCATCGCCGGACCGATAGCTTCAGCGCGGCATCCAACACGGTACAGCAGGGAGTTCAAGCCAGCTGAGCATTGGACCAGGCCCTGGATGGGAATTGAGGGTTCCTGTGCACGACTGGGCTACTCTCTAGATGGGACAGGGTGCACAGTGAGCTGGGTGGGTGCGATGCTGTAAGGTATCCATAGTCGTGTCGATGCATCTGGTAAGTCCACACTGCCGGACAAGCCAAGAAGACCTGAGGGGTAATGGTGCCGTCTTGTTATCGCTATGCAGTACTTTAGGGCACGTAGCTAAAGATGTATCCCCTGATGGCTGGGAAAAGGGCAGAGCTAAATGAATAGTGACTATGCCCATCATGAGCAGCTCCAGATGCTACCCAATCACTCCCTGGAAGCGCATATATCTCAGATAGGTGACACTACATTCAGAGTAGAAGAGGAAGTTGTGCACTGTCTGACCTGCCATTCAGGACCATGTGCGGATAAAAGGTAGCCCAGCGACTGACGCTCTGCATCACCTCCTCGTCCGCGACTTAAGCAACCAGAAGTCAGCCTCGATATGCAGGACAGGGGCTGCGAGGAGTAAACTCACCACGGGCCCGATTGTCTGACACCAAAAAATCCGGGACGACGACGGCAGCCGCTGTCTCCCTAGGAGGATGTATTATGCACGGTATCGACCTTGGTCCCCTAGACGGATTGTTTGGGGCACTCTGCACTAGCCCTGACTTCTGAGGCATTACAGCCTGTGAATAGCACAAAGTGAGGCAAAAAGATATATAGATGGTGTGTCGCTTTTATGGAGAGGTACTCCAACTTTTAGATGCGCACAGCTGCACCGGGATAGGCAGTTCACCTGGCTTACATTGGTGGCCTGCCCGCCGCCACATTTGTTGCGACAAGAAGCTGCACTTGTCCAATAGATTGAACAAGCATTACAGCGGCTTCTCTGATGATCCATGCATAGCCATGTGCCGTCCTAGTAGGTAGCATAGATACCATAATATCTAACCCATCTGTTGCTAGCAAGGAATAGCAGTTAATCGCACTAGATACCCTTTTAGGCAGGCATACAGTTTCTGTACTTGCACTTCCACCAGTTGTAATGACAAATGTACATTCAGAAAGGTGTTATGGAACGCTCTGCTGCCTTTCAAGGTGAGACCTAGACCTACATATAAAGCTAAAGGCAGAACTCTACACATCAATTGTTATGATATTAGTGTGGTGACCGGTTTGGACTAAGGCACGCTCCTCACCTATCTATGTGCTTGTTTGCATGCTCGCTGCTAGCGTTGGACAGGACTGCGAGAGGGTCTGCCTCGGGCTGCACCCTCTTTATAACACTTACCCCTTGATGACACACCTTAACAAAGGAGGATGTCGGCTAAGTGCGTAGAAGGCTGCCCGTGCATGGCGATTCCTGGAGAACCGGTTCATACAGAGAAGGTAGGGGTGACCAGCGGACCAGTTGGGCAAGGCTGGTGCTAGAGAGGCCAGCTACCGGTCTGGATTGCAATAGGGACACCTGTAGTATCTTTCTGCCCTTCGAGTGTGGAAAGATCGTGAGGCCCGCTGACAAGCTGGACGCTGCTTTTTGATTTTATGCATTTGTAGCAGCATAATATCTATTGGGGTCCACTTCGCTTGAAACCGAGGAAGCTTAAGTTCTCTCCGTATACAGGCAAGGATCATTTGTAGAGGTATACTGCGCAGGCTGGTATCAGTCGGCGTGGTTGCTGTCCGCAGATGTCTCACCTACGTCTTCTCATGGCAGATGATCATCAACAACACTTTTCGGCCACGTGGTGTTCTACAGTGTACCTTCACCTTCGACCAAAGGTTGGCACACGCATTATGTAGTTTAGATTGCTCATCACCCAGGGTGGTATAGTCAGCTCCTGTCCCTTGCTTGTCCATCTCGTGCAACCATTTATTGATGGCCTTTCTAGATCAACAGGTGCCTCCATCGGTCCCACAAAGGAATGTGTCATGCAGGCGGCCACTACAGGTTAGGGTCTTCCTACCAAGGAAAAGGGTCAATCGGTTTACTGCGTGGGGATCCTCTGTGCGTCTCATATAGGCCTGACAGCCCTTGTGCCCCAGTATCTCCTCGCAAGCCGCTGTTTGGAGTCCACATGCATATGATTAGCACCACGCATTTGGTTTCAACAAACTATTTAGGGCGTTAGACCCTTTGCACTGCACACTGAGTATGCTCAGCGTGGGAGGTACACAATCAGCATTGGTCTTCTCGGCTTATTGTATGTATAATATTACTGTTGCTTCGTATTCAACTAGTGGTCCAGCTCATGACCTTGAGCGCAGATGATGGCCCGTCAACGGGTATTAGCGGCGATCGTGGCACGTACTTCCACTAGGGCACGGCCTCCTGGGTAGGGGCATAAGTGGACTTCTGTTATTCTGCGGGTTTGCTGCTCCCTCGGATAGCAAAGATTGGAGTAGCCCAGACTAGCATTGATCATCTCCGAGTCTCCATCTGTCCTCGTTGTCTGAGGTAGGCTTGATTTCATAAACTGGAAGGCACTGCACTGTACTCTGGATCTGCGAAATTCAATTAGGCAGGGCTGCTATCTCGGTGACTGCACTGATGTAGCCTCACACCCCGTAGGACCTACAGGGAGCATCACAACCCAATGGAACCCTTTATTTATCTAATGCAAGTTGTAGCTGTGACCTCATAAGCGCAGGACGTTCTAGAATAACCGGTCAACTACAGAGTTCGTCCATTCATGTAGAGCCAGCAGATAGAGAGTGATATCAGTCTCGTCGATCGTCTAAAACGCACACCAGTCAAGTCTCACAGGCGAGCAAGCCCCACCTACCCCGTAGCAATAAGCATCGGTGGGTGTCCCTCATAACGATAAGTAGACAGGCTTTCAACGGTCACGGCACTCGCTTTCCTGTTGAAGGCCTTCCAGTCACTGACCTAGGTCAGCCTCCTACAAGATCCGTGGCGGAATTGTATCAGAAATGCATGTTTATGGGACTCCCAGCTCAAGGTGTATGCTGCCGGATCCCACTTTCCATACCAGTCTGTATACAGCGGTGTTCTGGCCTCTAATGAAACTACACTGGAGATCACATAAAATATAATGCCCCAGTCGGGTATTATCAGACTCCTATAGCTATGCAATGAGGTCTGCTTTTCGCATTACGCATCAGAGAAGTATGTTGGGCTGTAGTGGTGCAATACCTCGTATGATATGGTTCGTGAGCCCAGAGATAAGATGCTTGTATCAGTCGATCTGTTTACCTAGGGCCAACCATAAGTTAGACTAACGGTGACAATCAGACTCTGCTCGACTCCCTAACAGCAGATAGAGATCCGACTACCCTAGTACCTTACCTGAGACCACAGGGACGCTGATTACGGGTCTGATTAATAGCTGGCGGAGCGACACGACAGGCCTAAGTTTTTTCTGCCGAAGTAGCCCACCACAAGAAACTCTTTGTCGTTCATACCAACAAATTCAGGTGCTGCGAGCAATCATGGTTCTACTACTGCTACAATGGACAGCACCAGGATGATCCAAAAGGGGTAATGAAAGTCCTGGTTTCTTAGCTTAGGAGACAGCGCGGTTTGGGCAGTGCTTCTTGTCCAAATGTAGAAGTGTTGGCCTGCGTTTCCTGAACTCTAATTGAGTCCTTGTCATGCGGTAAGGTATCCTAAAATATCCACTACAAAAAGCGAAAAATAGCGCCGTCCACGCCCAACAAACCAAGACGTCTCACGGGCTAATCTACGCTGGTTCATATCTTCCATGGACCCTAGCGACCACACCGATCTTCTCCTAGAATCTCACAGGAGCTCGTCTTTGAGTGCAGCTCTCCTACGACAGTCAGTGGTCGTGGACATTATATGGTGGAGGAGAATGCTACAGGGGCTGAGAAGAGAGTGCTGGCAAACGGGGGTCCGCAGGGATCCGACCCGCGCAAAGAAGGCGCAGGGGGCTGGCTCCTCAAGGATGCAGAGGCGCCAGGAAGGGAGCCGGTAGCGAACATGGTGCACAGCGGGAACACCCGGACCATCCTCAGATTAATGGCAGGACAGAGGAGCTGCAGGCGCATGGGGCAGCATCACCGCTTGTTTTTGGATTTTCTGTTTCCCTGTGTGTTGCGTAAGGGGTTTCAGAGAAGGCGGGGAGTGTTGGGCTGTGTACAGCGGACGTACTTGGCACTCAATGAATTCCTATTTATTAAACAAAGTATCGTAGGGGACAGATCTTTTTGGATTGTCTGGCATAACATATAATCAGGTAGGGCGTTTTAGCTTTGGATATATTTACTAGTAGATTCTTACTTCTAATAAACTAATGAGCCTCAATGTTGTTAATAGTATTCTATCTTGTGCTGAGTGCTCTTGCGGCAAATTGTGAAACAGAAGGCAATAAAAGCAATTGTGACAGCGGTCGCTGTGAAATGGTTGGCATTGTTGAAGTCTGTACTCAGTGCAAGACAAATGGACACGTCCCTATTGACGGAGTATGTACGCCAAAGAACGAAGCAGATGCTAATTGTAAGAAGGATGGAGGGAGTCCATTAGATCAAGACGCTAAGATCTGCGGGCAGTGTGCTCAAGGATACTTCCTTCATAAAGGTGGATGCTATGCAATTGGTGGAAACGTTGGACGCATCATCTGTAATGATCCTACTCCTACACTCAAAGGGCGCAATTCTGTTGAGGGTGTTTGCTCAGCGTGCAATTCTACCAGTGGATTCTTTAAGAATCCTGCCAATGTAGCTAATAAGGATTCGTGCATAGCATGTGATGATACAACTGGTGATAGTGGCAATGTAGGTTTGGAAGGATGCGCCACTTGCCAACATTCTGGTTCGGGAGCAGCCACATGCTTAACATGTAAAGATGGATACTATGATAATAATCCAAGTCAGGATACTGTTACATGTGCATCATGTACGGATGACTGTAAGACTTGCATAGATACTGGAAATGCTAAATGCACATCTTGTCAGACAAAATATTTAAAAATTACGGACCCTAATGGTGTGTTTGGGGAATGCGTTGATGAAAACACATGCAAACAGCCAGGAACCCACTTTCCGATAACAACTACAGATAACATAAAGGTATGTGCTCTTTGTAGCGATGCGGAGAATAAGGGCGTAGTTGGCTGTGCTAAATGTACCTCGACCCCAGCAAGTGATTCCGGCAATGCAATCATTGTTAAATGCATAGAATGCACAACGCCAGATACCACCAAACCCAACTTTGCCGGGACAGGGTGCTTTGCTTGTTCTGCAACAGATTGCTCTAATTGCAGTGCAGATAATGTTTGCGAAAAATGTGGGAAAGGAAAGAAGCTGAGCCCTTTAAAGGATAGTTGTTTAGATAGTTGCCCTGCTGGCACGCACAACAAGGATAACGTTTGTGTCCCTTGCCACACATCTTGTGCAGAATGTGCAAGTGATTCTGTGGGAGAAAGCTCATGTACAGCTTGCTATCCTGGATTTGCATTGCGCAAAGGCGAGGACGAGGCTACCGGGGCATGTATTCCAGAATGCACGGGAAAGTACGCAGAAAACTGTGAAGCTGGCCAGTGCACAGCCATCGTTGGAGGCTCCAAGTACTGCAGCAAGTGCAAGGCTGGATACGTTCCAGTGGACGGCGTCTGTGTGTCGACAACAGCAAGGACGCCGACTGGATGCACGCCAAATGATAACAATGATGGAACATGTAAGGAATGCACAACCACATACTTCCTGCAGTCTGGCGGGTGTTACAATGCACAGACATTTCCGGGCAAATTGCTATGCACAGCGGCCACTGGCAACGGGCAGTGTCAGACATGTGCAGCCAGTGGACAAAGCCCAGCTGGAGGAAAATGTCCGGAATGTTCTGAGGGCTGTGCAAAGTGTACTGACTCTAACACTTGTAACGAATGCTTTTCAGGATATTACAAAGGTGCTGGTAATAAATGCTTTAAATGTACCGATGGTGACAAGGCTAACTCTGATGCAATAACTGGTGTAGAGAACTGCGTAAGCTGCGCGCCTCCAATTAGTGGCAATGGTGGCTCTGTCATCTGCTACGTCAAGACGGATGGCACTGGCGGTGGTGATAATGATAACAACACCGGCGGAAGCACGAACAAGAGCGGCCTTTCCACGGGCGCCATCGCAGGCATCGCTGTGGCTGCTGTCATCGTTGTAGGAGGCCTTGTGGGCTTCCTCTGCTGGTGGTTCATCTGCAGAGGAAAGGCGTAGATGTACTTAGGTAGTAAACACGTTACTTTATGTAGCTTATGTAGATGTGCTGCTGGAGCTATCTGAGCACGGCCCAGGGATCATGTGGGTGGGCCCGTTCCTTCCTGTCCAGTCCTGAGACGACTGTCGGTCATGGATAACATGACGGAGAGTCCTCTCCAGTGATATATTCAGAGTCTGGGCATTCCTCGGCCACTTCGCAGGGGTATGCTCTGTCTGGATATCCATACCGATCTGCCTTGGATTCGGGCCTTTTTGTAGACTCTCTGCTCTACCAATGGCGCCTCTCCTTAGTCTCTCTTCACGGTGGGTGAGGCCCGGGTCGCTGTCTTTTTTAGATGCCCCGTCTGTCAGGGGCTGCCACCGGGCTCTCCGCTGGCTGGGCCCCTCGGTGTCCGGGCAGCTGTGGTTCTGGGTCAGCGCTCCCACGGTCACGGTCACGTAGGTTCCATAGCGGGCCGGCTGGTGGGGAGGCCGGGGTTGCTGGGGCGGTGAGGGCTGCTGGGACCGGGTGGGGTGGTGAGGTGGGGGGTGTCTGTATGTGCCCCTGGGTCCGGTGAACTGGGGTGATCGCAGCTGTGGTGACTGGGGGCTGTCCATCTGTGACTCACCCCTCTGTGGACTCGTGGTCTGTGAGTGCCTCCACCCAGACAGCACCCCAGGAGCCGGAGAGTGGTGCCAGCCTAGCTGCCCTCCCTCCTCGGTGCCTCCCAGTGCAGACTCACCGGAGGCCACTACCCTGTCAGCCACCCAAAGGAGCCGTGCACACCGGGACAGAGAGGATGACCAAGGGGGTCAAGCAGCCCTGCCACGAGGGTGCACAGCAACCAGCATGAGATGTAGGGTCTGCTCGAGCGATGTAGTGGCAGACGACTCCCTCTGACAGCGACCCTGGTGACTGCACTGGTCTGCTCTCGAGGCTGAGTGACAGTGTGCACAGATGGACATGAGTGCAGGAGGACCGTCCACACACGGACAGACTGTGTGGACCCAGAGAGGACTGGAGTCTGCTCGGGACACGCTGACTGTGTGCCCATACGAGAGTGCCAGGCAACTACTCAAGCACCGAGAGGCAGGTACAGACACGGGCACTAGAGATCCCCAGCCAGACACATTGCTATGCTCATCCACAGGGGCATCAGAGGGCCAGGTGGAGTCACCCTCACAGTTAGGGCCTGATAGGAAGCCAGAGGACTCAAACACTACAGCAGAGCAGGCCCAGAGGAGGCACACTCCAGGCAGGTGAGCAGTGGCAGAGCCTTGATAGCTGCCATCCACCCCCATGACACCCAGGCAGGCACCAGACTCCGAAGACTCGCTGGCCTCGACTGATGACCCGAGGGGGCAGCAGCCAGAGGAGCGAGGAGGCCTTCGGACGCCACAAGAGGCCGGCTGTCCAGCAGGCGATGAGGCAGACAGGTGACCTCTGAGCACCACACAGGCACAGAGCCGACCATCATGAGTGATGCCCGATCACAGAGATGACCACGAGCGCCCTCCACCGCACTCTGGGGGGCTGTCGATCATCCCACTGCCTCTCATAGCAGACCTCCTTGGGGGCAGTGCAGTGGGTCCCAGCTCATACAGGAGGGTGTGTGCCCCCCTCAGTATAGGATGCCCCGACTCTTCCCGAGGGGTCATCAGAGCCACGAGGAGGGGTCAAGGTCCTGGTGGATCATATCGGGAACTCCCGAGGGCACAGCAGGTGAGGTGTGGGTGACCCTCAGCGTGCTCCTCTCTGCATGGTAGAGCATCCTGAGACCAAGGAAGCTCACCCCTGCCTACGGATGATACACAGCGCTCCACAACAAGGACCCACAAGGAGCAGCACAGCTGACCACGGGGGCAGTGCAGCCACCCGGTACCCCACCATGCCAGTCTTCTGGGCCATCACACTAGAGGCCTGAGAGAACCCCATCCCATCCACAGGGTCATCCACACCCCTGCTGGCCCGAGGTGAACTGCACCCATCGAGGCACTGGACAGGGCATGCTGGGGGCCCAGCAGATCCACACAGAGCATCAGCACAGAGCATCAGCGAGTAGCAGGAGAGGCTGCGATGGCCTGCCTCAGCCCTCACGCACCAGCCAGACAGAGCAGTACTGCCTGAGGCATGCAGGGGCCAAGGGAGGCGCTCAGTCAGGGGACACGACACGATCGTCGGTGCCTCTGTCTCAGGAGTACAACGAAGGCTGAAGAGCAGACACAGTCACCTTGGCAAACAGAACGGGGATCACCCACCACCCCAATGGCCCACCGGACCCAGGGGCACATACAGACACCCCCCACCTCACCACCCCACCCGGTCCCAGCAGCCCTCACCGCCCCAGCAACCCCGGCCTCCCCACCAGCCGGCCCGCTATGGAACCTACGTGACCGTGACCGTGGGAGCGCTGACCCAGAACCACAGCTGCCCGGACACCGAGGGGCCCAGCCAGCGGAGAGCCCGGTGGCAGCCCCTGACAGACGGGGCATCTAAAAAAGACAGCGACCCGGGCCTCACCCACCGTGAAGAGAGACTAAGGAGAGGCGCCATTGGTAGAGCAGAGAGTCTACAAAAAGGCCCGAATCCAAGGCAGATCGGTATGGATATCCAGACAGAGCATACCCCTGCGAAGTGGCCGAGGAATGCCCAGACTCTGAATATATCACTGGAGAGGACTCTCCGTCATGTTATCCATGACCGACAGTCGTCTCAGGACTGGACAGGAAGGAACGGGCCCACCCACATGATCCCTGGGCCGTGCTCAGATAGCTCCAGCAGCACATCTACATAAGCTACATAAAGTAACGTGTTTACTACCTAAGTACATCTACGCCTTTCCTCTGCAGATGAACCACCAGCAGAGGAAGCCCACAAGGCCTCCTACAACGATGACAGCAGCCACAGCGATGCCTGCGATGGCGCCCGTGGAAAGGCCGCTCTTGTTCGTGCTTCCGCCGGTGTTGTTATCATTATCACCACCGCCAGTGCCATCCGTCTTGACGTAGCAGATGACAGAGCCACCATTGCCACTAATTGGAGGCGCGCAGCTTACGCAGTTCTCTACACCAGTTATTGCATCAGAGTTAGCCTTGTCACCATCGGTACATTTAAAGCATTTATTACCAGCACCTTTGTAATATCCTGAAAAGCATTCGTTACAAGTGTTAGAGTCAGTACACTTTGCACAGCCCTCAGAACATTCCGGACATTTTCCTCCAGCTGGGCTTTGTCCACTGGCTGCACATGTCTGACACTGCCCGTTGCCAGTGGCCGCTGTGCATAGCAATTTGCCCGGAAATGTCTGTGCATTGTAACACCCGCCAGACTGCAGGAAGTATGTGGTTGTGCATTCCTTACATGTTCCATCATTGTTATCATTTGGCGTGCATCCAGTCGGCGTCCTTGCTGTTGTCGACACACAGACGCCGTCCACTGGAACGTATCCAGCCTTGCACTTGCTGCAGTACTTGGAGCCTCCAACGATGGCTGTGCACTGGCCAGCTTCACAGTTTTCTGCGTACTTTCCCGTGCATTCTGGAATACATGCCCCGGTAGCCTCGTCCTCGCCTTTGCGCAATGCAAATCCAGGATAGCAAGCTGTACATGAGCTTTCTCCCACAGAATCACTTGCACATTCTGCACAAGATGTGTGGCAAGGGACACAAACGTTATCCTTGTTGTGCGTGCCAGCAGGGCAACTATCTAAACAACTATCCTTTAAAGGGCTCAGCTTCTTTCCTTTCCCACATTTTTCGCAAACATTATCTGCACTGCAATTAGAGCAATCTGTTGCAGAACAAGCAAAGCACCCTGTCCCGGCAAAGTTGGGTTTGGTGGTATCTGGCGTTGTGCATTCTATGCATTTAACAATGATTGCATTGCCGGAATCACTTGCTGGGGTCGAGGTACATTTAGCACAGCCAACTACGCCCTTATTCTCCGCATCGCTACAAAGAGCACATACCTTTATGTTATCTGTAGTTGTTATCGGAAAGTGGGTTCCTGGCTGTTTGCATGTGTTTTCATCAACGCATTCCCCAAACACACCATTAGGGTCCGTAATTTTTAAATATTTTGTCTGACAAGATGTGCATTTAGCATTTCCAGTATCTATGCAAGTCTTACAGTCATCCGTACATGATGCACATGTAACAGTATCCTGACTTGGATTATTATCATAGTATCCATCTTTACATGTTAAGCATGTGGCTGCTCCCGAACCAGAATGTTGGCAAGTGGCGCATCCTTCCAAACCTACATTGCCACTATCACCAGTTGTATCATCACATGCTATGCACGAATCCTTATTAGCTACATTGGCAGGATTCTTAAAGAATCCACTGGTAGAATTGCACGCTGAGCAAACACCCTCAACAGAATTGCGCCCTTTGAGTGTAGGAGTAGGATCATTACAGATGATGCGTCCAACGTTTCCACCAATTGCATAGCATCCACCTTTATGAAGGAAGTATCCTTGAGCACACTGCCCGCAGATCTTAGCGTCTTGATCTAATGGACTCCCTCCATCCTTCTTACAATTAGCATCTGCTTCGTTCTTTGGCGTACATACTCCGTCAATAGGGACGTGTCCATTTGTCTTGCACTGAGTACAGACTTCAACAATGCCAACCATTTCACAGCGACCGCTGTCACAATTGCTTTTATTGCCTTCTGTTTCACAATTTGCCGCAAGAGCACTCAGCACAAGATAGAATACTATTAACAACATTGAGGCTCATTAGTTTATTAGAAGTAAGAATCTACTAGTAAATATATCCAAAGCTAAAACGCCCTACCTGATTATATGTTATGCCAGACAATCCAAAAAGATCTGTCCCCTACGATACTTTGTTTAATAAATAGGAATTCATTGAGTGCCAAGTACGTCCGCTGTACACAGCCCAACACTCCCCGCCTTCTCTGAAACCCCTTACGCAACACACAGGGAAACAGAAAATCCAAAAACAAGCGGTGATGCTGCCCCATGCGCCTGCAGCTCCTCTGTCCTGCCATT